GATCTTGGCTCCTCGTCGGCTGCATAGTCTTCGGACCTTGTGGTCGACTTGGGGGGCTTTAAGAGAAGGGCCGCGTGCTGGCTTCACATGAAGGGAATCTCGGGTTTGCTGGTGGTGCGAGTATGGATTGCTCTTATTGTGAACGGTGGATTGTTTGATCTCTATGGGCGCTTGTTTCTTTTCCCCTGTGCTTTCACATGGGCATAACGGTGGACATAGCGATGGAAGGTAGATCCAATGGAGACAATCAAAACCCAAGCAATTTGCCTACACTTGATCCATGTACTCTGAATTCTTCGAAACTAATGTCTGACGGACATTGTGCTCGACATGTTGGCGTAAAGGGCGACGGGTCCACTGATTTGGCCTTGGGAAGCCAATGAAACGATGTCGACAGCTTTGGCTGGGCTGGCTGCCAGCGTCCGTTCCAAGTGCCAACGCCGCGCTAAGGCTCCGATGCTAGCCCGCTGCGTGCAGTTGCGTACATTAACCTTCCTGCAGAAATCATTGATATGACCAGGCGAACTTCTTCCCGCTATGTCAACGGGAAGCGTCGTCCAAGCGTCGTCCTCCAGCCCCATAGCGTTAGCCGCCGCTATGGCTCCCGCAACGCCCACCCACGACTACTACGCCGGGCTGGAAGTCGTCCCCAGAAGTTTCAGCCCGACATATAAATGTCTAAATACCGTGAACTGGGTAAAGGTTCACAGGGATGTAAATGTTGGAGCTGAAGAGCTTCTAAACCAGAATATCTAATCTCCCGATCTCTTGGCCATCTTCTCTGCATCCCGTCCCATTTCCATCCTCCGTCTACACGACCCGCGCAACGTCAACATACCCCAGATCTTACACCTTAGTATTTCAGTAGAAAGTCTTTGATATTCCCCGCCGATCCCCGGCGATTTATCAGCACAGTTCAACCCGAAGTGTGCCGTTCAACAACTGCACCAAGGTACCAAGTAAACTGTCTGCTTATATGAACGGTCCTATGCACAGCAAACAATCTGCGAAGGATTTTCTCAGCGTGCTGCTGCTTACTAGGTAGGCCCACCGGTGGGGTTCTGTGGATCTGCGTCGCGATCGACACTGTCATGTTCATTAGGCAGCATTTCTTTTTCTCTTCAATCAATAGTCCAAGAGGCCAAAAGGTAGATGCAAAGACCTGCCCATTCCATTCATCTCATAAGCCTATAGCTACCATGAATTCCAAGTTGTGACCCAGTACTACGATCTTCGACTGCGATCAATCCTATCATTCTGGAGGGCTTGCTCTCGAACAAACATTCTGTTTAGCTGTCTGATGGGCAGTCAGTGGCTCAATCCCTTCGATCTATTTTACGCTGTGCGCCTCGTACATATAAAAATATGGCTTTGCCATCATCATCCACGAGCTCACTAGGTTCTTTAGCGCCCCTAAGCGCAGCTACTCCCCTACTACTGTCTAAGATAGACGAATACAACACCCCCAGGTGTGGGCGAGGTGAACGTATAGCCCCTGTAACCCACAGGTTGAGTAAAGTATATAAGTTCATATTCAAAACCTATACTATAGGATCCAGCATAGACACATTAGATTCAGCCGACAATGAACTACGTTGTGCCGGTTCGCTTGCGCTATTTACGAACGATGTTATTCACCACAACCTCAACCTCCTGGTCGCAAGCGCGTTGACTCAATCGAGATGCACATTCACCATTTTGCTGTGCCAGCATGCTTGGCCTGTCGGCTATCACATCCGCGACTTTCCGCTCCCGCATGGAGTTTTGACCTCATAGCCCGCAGCCCGCAGCTGGCAGCTCCTCCACGACACACAGCACAGTTACAACCTCATCACCCACCACGTTGCTATCTGACCTGCGTGCACCTCCCTCTATCGAATTTCTTTAACTCTTTTTTTCCGCAACAATGAACGGTGCTCAGCGTCGCCAGCGCGCTGGCTTCGTTGGCGCTGCTATTGATGTCGCGCCATCCATCCTCGCGTCCATCGATGGTGCCATCGGCGGCGGTGTTGCTCTCACAGTACTATCACCGTTTCAAAAAGACGTGCCAGATGTCCCGGCTCTCGATTCCCCCCCTGTCAAGACGCAAGAAAATCCAAATGTATCTTTCGAGAACCTCACGCGCGGTGATGCAGCCTTCAGCCCCCGTCAGCAACTGGCGACGTCGGCAAACTTCGAGTCGATTGAATTGTCAGGAAACCTCTCGTCGCCAGCCATATCTTCAGCGTCGTCCAATCCTGCATCAACAACTCTGTCCTCTCCAACATCCTCCGACTCACCATCAAGCCCTCCATCAACCTCCACCTCGACGCACACACTAGCCATCAAAAACGTAGCAACCTTTCTGGCGGGAGCAAATATAACCTCGGATACCATATCGGCTCTGCTCCTTGTTCTTCTGCATCGATATGGCCCAAGCATGTTAACCCGAATGCCTGGCTGTAAAGGAAGAACAGTGAAGAGGCTCCTCAACCTCGCGGCATCGTTAGTTCCACAGTTTGCCACCGAGAACCCTCAGTTCTATCTCATCGATAAATACATGAACCTTGCCGAAGAAGGGTTCAAGTATGCAGCTGGTTGGGAGGATTCCGCCCTTGTGGAACTTCGAGGCCAACTTAGAAATGCTGCTGTTCAACGAGAGCACCTCCTTGCTAGCCTCTTCACGATGGATCTTCATCACAGGAACGATATGCAGGAATTCAAGCAACAGCGGCGCGCCGATACGAAAGTTCTTGTACAGTGTCAGAAGGCAATCCTGGCTAAGACCGAATCGCGAGTCCGCCAGGAGCTCGCATCACAGCACAAGGCCGATCTAGGGGATCTCAAGCGCAAGCACGAGCGGGAGATAAACTCATTGATGGAGCAACTATTGACTGCAAAGAATGAGAAAACTAGCCTCGGTAATCACAACCGGGCGCTAGACTCGTTACTCACTGAGGCCGTGCAAGCTCGGGGGGATGTAGAGTCGCGCCTCCAGGACGCCATGGTGGAGGTTCAGGAGCTCAGATATTCCCGAAAGAAGATTGCATCTGACTTTTGGAACCTGCAAGAGAGCCACAAAGATCACAGGACGTTGCAAGGCGAACAACTTTGCACAATCCGAACTCTCCAGGACGAGGGCCGCGCACTGCGGGCAAAGATGAACTGGTTGAAATTCGTGGTCAAGATCATGGGAATCAAAGGTCGTGGGATGCGGCAAGAATTGCAAGATGAAAAGGTCAAATCCATTTCAGTGATCCAAAGCCTGGAGTCGGAAAACGCCGCTTACGGTGTCAAGCTTGCAGATCAAGCTACGCAGCTGGCATGTCTCCAGGAGCTCAGGAAAGAGCAGGAGGATCGCAAAAAGGATCTGGAAACTCATCGTGCCCAACTCTCCTCTGAAAGGTCCAAGCATGAAGAGGAGGTTCTACGGGCCAAAACCGATCTGGACGACGCTAATCGAACAATCACAGCGCTAAGTAAGCAGAACGCCGAGCTTTCGAGCCATGCCGAAGCCCTCCAAATTGCATCAGATGCCAAAGATCGAAGCTTGCGAGTCGAGGTTGCAAACAGCGATTCGCTCCGGTTTGAGCTCCGTGAAAAGACTGAGGTATCCGAAACCCTCGGAATCACACTTGAGGAGAACAAACAGGCTTTAATCTTGGAGGCTGAAAAGACGGCCTCGATCCGCAATGAGCTCAAGCAGGAGAGAGAAAGCGGAATGGCGGCCTTGGCCGCTAAAGACAAAATTATTGATGACGTCCGTGAGAATCTCGCTGCCAACGAAGGCCAAAACATTGCGACAACTCAGACCGTCAAGGACCTTGAAGGTCAAGTAACTATACTTCGTCAAGAACGAGATATCCTGAAGAGTGCTGAGCAAGAGGCAAATTCGAAGAAGAAAGTGTTGGAATTGAAGATCCGTGGGCTGAAGACTGAAGTCGAAGAACTGTGCACGGCCAAAGCAACTTTGGAGCGTGGAGCCGACACCTCCGCAGCTCGGATCAACGAGTTGGTTGCAGAGATCGAGGAGATGAAGGCGAAGACGTCGCTCGAAGCCGAGGAGCTACGGGTCGATCTTGAAGATGTTCGACAGGAACTAGCATATGAGACTGCGCACGCGAGTGCAAGCCGCCAGGCTCTCGAAGAGGAGCGCACAGTTTGGAAGGGTTTAGTGGAGGCCAAGGATAAGGAAAAAGAGATTTTGGAGCAGCTTGTCGCCTCTAAGGAATCCGACCTTACCGAAGCCACGAGAAAGTTGGACAGTGTCCGGGACATGGAGAAGGTCGTCGCAGAGCTCCGGTCGAAGAATCATGATCTAGAGGCGGGCAATAACGTCTCTGCGGAGGAATCTAAGAAGCTTACTTTGAAGCTTGTCGAAATCACGAAGGAGAAAGAAGGCGTCGTGAAGACGCTTAACGACTCGTGTGAGGCCCACAAGAACTCTCTGGCTGCCATGGTCGCTCAGCATGAAGATGGACTGGCGAAGCTGGAGCAATCCCATAAGGCTGAAGCCGACAGACTGGCAGGAGAGATGAATGTTCTCGAGTCACAACTTCAAGAGACCACCGCCCGGATTTCACAGCGTAGCGAGGCTTGTCGGGCATTCGAGAAGCAGTGTCGGGAGTCAGAACAGGCTAGGACTACGCTAAGGGGTGAACTCAACGATGCCATTACCTCAACCCAGGCTCTTCGCATCAGAGTTCGGGATCTAGAGACCGACCTCGACAAGCTCAGCTCAGAGAAATGCGATACGTTTGCAAAGTTCACGAAAGCCAAAGCAGATTACGATGTCCAGATGGCTGGTCTCTTTGCGACGATTCGAGACACAAAGAAAGAGAATGAAGTCCTCGCGGCGGAGAAGGAGTCTCTCCAAAAGAAATACGATGAGCTTGTCGTGCAGCATAGGCACGACACCTCCGTAGCTTCCGAGAAAGAGGTGAAGATTTCCCATCTTTCCCATGCGAACGCGGCTCTTGCGACTCAAATAGATCAAGAAAAGGTCGAGACCGCAAGTCTTGAGAGAATGAATGAAGTTCTCAATAGCAGCTATGGGAAAGCGAAGGCCGAACAAAACGAGCTCTGGAATCAGAAGGCGAAACTGGAATCATTGGTGCAGGATCTCAACAATGCCCATGCTCGTCTTCTCAAAGAGAACGGCCAATATGCTCGCATCAAGGCAATAGTCGAAGCCAAGCATTTCCAGCCAGGCCATGGCAATGTGCTTGAGCTTCAAGAGACTATCTTCCGTCTGACTAAGCAACTGGAAGACGCTCAAGGCCAGGCGAAGCAGCTTCAGAGCAACCTTGTCCGCACACAAATGGATGCAGCCCAAAGCAGGTGCCAGAAATTCGAAGACCACCGACCGAGCGTAAACGAACTTTTATACAGCTTCCGCAGATTGTTCGGTCAGATAGGCCAGCTGCAAGTAATGGAGCGTGTGAATTTGCAGTATAACCAGCTGGACAAAGGGCGGAACCTGGTCAACTTCACAGCTCGTGAGGCATGGAACATCGGGTACCGGCTTGACGAGATGACTGAATGTCTGAGACTCGTTTTGAGAGACCTTCTCACTCCTTTAATAGGAACGAGCACTGCTAACCTCCTTCACCTGGTCATAAAAGACCTTAGCCAGTGTCTGAAAGCAGCAACTGAGGACTTAGCGTATTGCAACGAAGAGCTCAGACTAGGGAAACAACGGCGAGGGGTGTTGACCGGTCCTCAATGGCAGAGTGCTCTTGAACAGCTCAAGCAAGAGAAAGAAAAGTTTTTGAGCGATCCTTTCGGCCTGAATAAGGATGCGCTTTATCTTACCCGACAGAAACTCGAACCTATCGCAGACTCCCCCACAGAGGACTCAGAAGAAGTGACGACCCAGCCGGACTTGACCAAGCTTCCCTCCAGTCAAGAGTTGATACGTTACTTGGCCACCGACAAGCCTACTTCTATTGGGGACCTCATGGCCAGCATTGGCTTGCGGGATGGAACGATCGAGGCCCGAGAAGTATGCAAGCGGCTGGCAGAAATCGCAGACAGGAAGCGAGAACGTAAAAGTGGGTTAATAAGCTTCACACTCAAGCCTGATGCGCGTGTCGACGCGAAGAAAGAGTCTCAGGATGGCTGTCTCGGTGCGACTCACGGAAAGGAGAAGGGCGCGGAGGGAGAGCATATGCCTAAAGAAAAACCAGGCGTTGTAGACCAGCAAAAGTGTCTTCAAAACTCCCGTTGGTCGGTATAGGATTTGGTCGTCCTTCCCGACGAGAAAAAAAACCAAAAAAACCAGTACACACCTGCTCTCGTCTCATTCCTATACGGTGCTAGTCATTATGCACAGCCTGACAGCTGTGTGTTCGACAAAGCAATATGTAGGGATCGGTGGCGAGGGTATGGGAGGCTTTCCGACCTGACAGTTGGAAGCCGCGTGCTGGTTTCACCAAAAAATATCCGGTCTTGTTGGCGTGAGAAAGGATGGACATGGGAAGGCCGGGCTTGGGCTTGGGCTTGAACAAATGGGTTGGAGTTCGGTTGCTGGTACTGGTATGATACCTTGTTTTCTTCAAGCGTTTGGTTATCGCGGCGATGAATTAGCTGTCAACAGGGACGAAAGATGTCTATAGAAACAATGAAGCTGAGACTCAAGTCAAGAATCGTGCATGTGTTGGCTGATGGTGCATGTGTGTTTCGAATGCCTGACAAGAGAGCCTAGTTTCTTAAGACAGGCGGAAATTTGTCATGTATTCTGAGGCGCAACGTTCGAGCTAGAAAGGTCCATACAATGCTTCGCCATAAAAATCCGTACACTTTGCTACCGCTACATGAGGAGCTTCATAGTACTCTCAGCGTTCTGAGAACTTCGGCATTCTAGCCAAGTGGTAAACTTGCGAGGCTACCCTAGACATGGTCAACAGGGTGTACGAAGATTGGAAGTGCATCCGCTGCCCCCGGGTTCTATTATTAGGTTGAAGCCCCACAGACAGCGGCAGGAAAGTGTACGGATACCTATGGAAAGGCACTGGAACATACTTGCCTGGAATGTGTTGAGGTCGTCTTGAAAGATATGTCATGTTCCAAACCATTCACCGCGAGCCATAAGACAAACAAAACCTGAGCAAAAAAGAAACAACACCCACTTACCGAATCGAACCCATGGTATTTTCCCCCAGCATCTCGTCCCTGTTCCCCCCCCCCCAAACAACAAAAAATTCAGGCCGAAGCCGTATGAAAACCGCCCGCTGCAGACGGACGATTTTTGCAGGAAAGCCAAGAAACAAACGCTAAATCCATAGTGCGAAATCCAGGCCAACAGGACAGAGAAGATAGGAAGAAGTAATGTCAAAGTGGAGGATTTGTTACATTTCGCAGATTCCAACGGGTTTTGGTTTGGTGACTTGGGGTATCTGCGCCCGGCGCTATGCCGCAAACCAACTCCGCCATGTACCTCCCGCCTGCAAACTACATAGTTTCATTATTGGTCCGGTCCCGAAGGACAGTGACAGGGTGAAATTATTTGTCATTTGTGGCTAGGAAAAGTAGGATGGTGGCATTCACCGGGAGTTGATCTGAGAATTGAACGACAAGCAAAGGCATCAATGAAAACAAACAGGACTCTACCCCTGGCTTGCGCCTAAGAAGTTTTCGTACGTATCCAATGAGATAAGTCAACTATGAGAGCTCGAGGAAATACAACCTGGGGATGTATTGGAGCTAGCACTTGCGTCATTTCGAGCAATTCACTCACGAACATAGAATAGGATATGTATCAAAACGGGATTCCAGTTGAGGGTATGGACGAAAGAGAACGCGTATATGTACTGGGGCACACAATTCGATACTACACGGGCACATCAAGTGCGACTATCTTCCCATTGCTTTGAATGATTGCTGGTAATGTACAGGTTGCGCAAATCTCAATGCATGGCAAAAATCTGCTTCTTCCGCAAATGCACGGGTTCCTCACCCTTGGGAGTGTTTGGTATTGTCTTCTCCAATTTCTAAGGCCGTAGATTAGCTCGGAATCTTCGTCGATGAGCATCGCAAAGCAGCTTACCAGATTCTCGAACACACACGTGTTCAGATTCTTTTCCGAGCCCCGGCAGTTCCACATCTGGTGGTTGTTGTTCTCCAGACACTTCCAGTTCGACCGGAACTGTTCTAGGCAATGCTTGTTGATGTCCTCGATCCTACACGGCCCAATTGTCAGCCAGAGAGCTCTCCCATAGCTTCCCAAGGTGTCGTATGGCATAAACATGACTGGGGAAGCTCGTACACGCTAGCGGCACATCGAGTGACCTTCCGTCCCTCCTTCATACAGTCCAGCTCTCCCCGACCATTGGCCTCGGTCTTGCACATCATGTAGTCATCATTGTATGGTTTACAGCGGGCACCGATGAAGTAGGACGCGCTAAGAAGGGGTGCAGAGCTGGCTCCAATCTCCTTGACCTTGGGGATGTCGTCGGGTAGAGGGGTGGTGTCGATGAGGACGTGCGAGTTGAATCTGGGCGGCTGTGGTCAGTCGATAGCACCAATGGCTTCCCGAGGAGCACACACCTGGGCTGCCTCGCGGCCATCTTGAATATGCGGCCGCAATGGGTGTTTTGGAGGAGTGGAGAGGCGGTGGATGGGCGCGGAGGTTTGTGAGGCTCGGGTGAGGTTGTGAAGTTCGATCGCGGCTTGTCTGATTGGCTGGACTGACGGCTGGCTTGAAGCTCTCCTTCGAAGATTCCACGCGCAACAAAACACTGCTTTTGTCCAAGTCGCCGGCACCATCCACGCCCTCCACCCCCATGGACCGCCCATAAACAGCCTCTCCGCGAACCTCGCCACCCGACGACCTTCCGTTCATTACATTCCACTTCCGCCGACGCGTCCGCCCGAGCTCGCGCCTACCTGACCCTTCTCGACTCCCGCGTTGAGCCAACGTTCACTCGCAAAGCCTATACTTCTGCGTCTCCAGAAAGAACACAGCACATTGCCGCCGCCATGTTTCAGCAATCACAGCCCCAGAAGTTTGGGACGCTGCTCGGAAGTACCACGGCTCCCACTGGTGGTCTATTCGGCGCCTCAACCCAGCAGCCTCAGCAACCTGCCCCGAGTGGCAGTTTGTTCGGCGGCTCGACCCAGCAACCTGCTGCGACTGGCAGCTTGTTCGGCGGCTCGATCCAGCAACCTCAACGTCAAACGGGAAACCTCTTCGGCGGCACCCTGGGAGGAACAGCAGCTGGGGGAGCAGCAGCTCCAGCGGGAAGCCTCTTTGGCGGATCTCAGCTTGGAGCTTCACAGCAGCAGCAGCAACAACAACAGCCTCAGCAGAGTTTGTTCGGCGGCCTCTTACCCCAACCCCAGCCTCAAGCGCAGCAATCACAACAGAGCGGACTGCCACCTTTAAGGGCATCAGCATTGGGTGTATCTTTGGACAAACCAGCCGGTCCTCGTAAGTTCGATACGAATCACATCTACGCTAGATTTTGCTAACCGGCGGAAAAGGCGAAAAGCCCACCTTGGAGCAGGTCGCGTTGCTCTATAAGAAATGGAACGCCAACGACGCCGCCTGCGCGTTCGAAGGATACACATACAACCAAGTCGGGCCCGACGCCATCAAATATGAACCCGGACCGGACGAAGACCCAGTCAAATGGGATGAGGCACTAGCGAAGAGGCCCAACGTAGAATGTGTGCCCTTCCTCCTGCGCGGTTTTCAGGCAATACACACTCGAATCCAGCTACAGGACAATGCGGTCAACCTCCTCACGAAGAAACTCCACGAGATCAACGATCACTTGAAGTTCCTCATGCAGAACCATGACCTGAAGACTCAAGTGCGGTGCAACGAGGCGAGGAATAGGCACAATGCGTTCACTCAACGCGTCGTCAAGCTTGCGGCGAAGGTGCAGATTCTTAGGAACAGGGGATATGCGATGGATAGCACGGAGGAGGAGCTAAAGAAGAAGCTGCATGAGCTGGAGAAGAAGGCGTTCGACCCCATCCTGGGCGGTCGACAGGAGGAAATATGGGCGCGGATGTCAGCAGCGCGAGCTAGGGCACAGATCCTCCAAGCCGAGTCGGAGAAGCTGGGCCAAGCCACGCAGACGCAAGATGGGAGCGTGTTAAACGAGGCAGATCAGAAGCAGCTTCGCCAGGTTGGTTACATGCACCCTTGAACATTCTACCGGAGTCACGTGGCTAACGCAATCTCAGCTCCTCGAGGGCTATGATTCGCAGTTGACGCATCTGAAAAAGGAGATTGACGGCATACGGAAGGATTACGAGGAATGGGAAATAGCTCAGAAGCCGGCTCCTACTAAATAGGTCGCGCTGCTCGGTCTTTCACCTCGAACCAACCCACTGGGTCAATCACATGGAGACGGTAGTTGAAGATCGACGATCCAAACGGCATCTTCAGTGAGGCCTGCAGCGGATCACACTGTCGATGTGGTTAGGATCGTCTTTGATGGCATGTCAGATTTTGGATTCAATTGGCTGTCATAGCATTCAGACTTTGCTGCTATAGCGAGCGCACAGGCATTGCTATTGTTGCGTTGACGAAAACAAAGCGATTTGGAAGGCGATTTGGTTACGAGCTAGGTAAACGCTCCTTCCTTTGTGGGGAGACAGTACGGGAAGAAAAATAATACCCACTGTAAAGTACGAGTCATAATTCTGCATTACAGGAGTTCTTGAGCGCATTGTCTTGGAAGTAGTGCCTTTTTGCTACAAGTTACATCCGGTCAGCTTCTGTTCACGCCTGCTGCCTGGGTATCATGATGTCGGTTATAGCTGGGAAAAGTCTCAAGAATCTGGTGTTTCAATTCTACGCACTGTCGACTTTCTCTCTCTCTTTTGTCGCTGACGGTGACCTTCCGCTTTATGTTTATCACGAGCTTTTCAGACCAAATCAAAAAACGCTCTCGTTCGGCCCTTCTGCGGGTTTGCTCTGGAACTTAGCCGGTACCGTATTGCCAGAATCACAGGTGCCGACTGGGGTCCACGCATGCAGCTCCCAGTCAAGCAATCGAAGTCATGCCAGCAAGAAACGTCCAGCTCGCATCGCGATGACCGGAGGAGTCTCCGTCAGCTGCACATCGCAATCCTGCGAACTGTCTGGGCTGCAGATGTCTTTTTCTTTCCTCACCTTCCAGCAGCCGTCGACCTATCGAACACACTCCGTGGACAAAAGAAGCCACGAAAAGCTATTATGCACGCATTGAACTCTGGGGGATCCGCCACCGTACGTATGCGGGCTCTGCACGATGATTGTCTGAGAAATATATTTTGCTTGGCTGGCACCTGGGCAGCGAGCGAGATGTGCGTGCATGGGTTCAGGTTCAGCAGACGGCACCCGAGGCCGAACCCCTGGGTCGCGAATGCGGCCGCAGAGTCTGGGTGTCGGGCATGCGGCTCGCTGGCCTATGGAAATGGTGGGATGTGAGCATTTTGAAGAATAGGGTTGGGATGGAGATTTTTCTGGCGCGCTGCATGTATATGCGGGAGGATTGGGTCTCGATAATTCCTCTGCTAGTGTGTATGTATGCATGTACGGTAAAAAGAGTTAGAGAGCTGAGGGCGCAAGCTTCGTATGCACAATTGAATCGTGTCAGAGGGCTCTGGAGGATCCTCCGCCCGTCTTAGCTACATTAAGGCAGGCTCGGGAGCCGAACCGTGCCCTGTTGGCGCACTATCCAGCGCTTCTGGAACTACTGCAAGGTACACGATGGAGCGTTGGATGTGGAGCGAGGGACGTATGAAGTCACCGGCGTGCCCCACCAGATGCAGACAGGGTGCAGAAGGCGCTTGCGGCTCACGAGAGCGCAGCAGAGAGACGTACAGCGACGTCAATTCATATGCGGGCGAGACGGAGTCGAATTTGGGGTGTTGGTTTCGAGATGAGGGGGGCCATTCCGCCAGCCGATTCTGCCAGCATCAATATGCAAGCTCCACCACGCTCCACCACGCGCGAGATGGGCAACATGCCGTATGGCTCCGCGATCGCATGCAGGCATATCTTCGTCCATCGCTCGCTCGTCCGTCTCAAGGCGACGGAAAGCCTCTCTGTGAGCCGCGCCGAGGAAGCACGGGGGTGGACGCGGCAGCTATCTCGCCAGGCACTGTCACTGTGACTGTGACTGCGCTGGCCGACGGTCGACTCTCTATCCAGACGGCTCTATCAGACGGCCCGCTGAGAATACCCCATTGGTGCTACGTGGCGTTGCAGCTCGCGGAGGGAGGTGATTTGCTAGTGTGCAGTGTGCCAGCGAGTCGTGGCGGCGGGCTGCTGCATCGAGACATATAAAGTCGTGAGAAAAAGACACAAGAGGGAGCAGAGATTCGGATGCGCCCTCGTCTTGCCCAAGCGGTCATGACGGACGTCTCGGCAGCTGCCATTGCAAGCCCTCGCCCCCCTCCGGTGCCCCGTTCGACGCGGGATGGTCTCGAAATAGCAGCTCGCTGCTCCCCAGCCGGCAGGAGTTGAGAGGACGTCGCGACACGGCGCGGGCGGGTGCGAGCAGCACTGATAGGAGGCCGGTGATAGGCGCACAGGCGATGCCAGCGGAAACGGGCCAGCAGCGCGACGAGCAGCACGACGAGCACGACGAGCGCGATGCAGCACGATGATAGGAGCGCAGGCGACGCGGTGGCAGAGGTTGGGGGTGATGCAGCCCTGGCGGACCTGGACTGCACAGGTGCGGGCGGCAGGGAGGAGCTTGTAAACGGACCGTCCTTGGCATGCACAACCTCGCTCACAGCTCCGCAGAATAACGCCGTCCACGATGGCCGGCCACGCCAGGCGGGCGCTCGAGACGTTCGACGCACGCGCGGCGGGGGCCGTAGAGTGCCCCGCGCTACTGGTGCCGAGCCGACACTTGTGCACGCCAAGCGGGGCCGCTTTACGCACTCCCGCCTGCTCTCCAGCACCTCTCCCTGCGAGCAGCGGCCACAACGAGCGGCAGGGGCCTGCGCGGCGTGGTGGGGGCGCCTGGGTTGCGCCATCAGAGCGCCCAAGGGCCCGTTGTTTGGCGGCTCTTTTGGGGCTGCCAACGGCGTCGTCGACGCCCAGGACGGGTCGCAGGGCTGCTCTCGGGGTCCTGGGCCTCTTCACGCGGGCGCTGCCTGGCTGTTCGCACCGCACACCAGCCATGGTGCCATCCCAGCGCGCTTGGGGCTAGCAACGCCGTGCTGCAGCTTCACGGGCTTGGGCTTGCGCGCGCCGTCGTCATTAAACCCAGGGAAGCTAATGCAAAACATCTAACCGGACGTGCAGCAATTCTCCCCTACAGGTGCATACAGACCAATTCCTCCCAGGCTTCGCACCTCTGCCTCCGTCCGACTCCAGCCTCATGGACCGCCTCTGCTAACCTCGCGGCCCTCCGGCATGAGTACCACCACCGGCCCTCTTCTCTTCTGTTTTCCCCTTGTTTCCTTCTCACCTTCGTTTGTCACCTTCACCTAGAGCAGAGCGCCGGGCCTCGAGCGCCCACGCTGCACGCGCACCCTAACGGCCTGTCATCTGAGTTGCTGCATATCCCCAGACTGGAGGACCACACGCGCCCCAAACCCTCTTTCCTTTGCCTTCGAACCTCTGCACACCCTCTCGCGTCACGACATGGAGCCTGCGAGGGATCCACCTTGGGCCGAGCATGAGAAGGTACGTACCCAGCCCACCATTCGCCCACCCACACACTGCACGCCGCTAATCGCCTTCCCTGCCAGCTGTATCTGCTCGCCGAGATAATTAAGGCGGCGCCCGTTCCCTCGAGTGTGCTATACGGCATCATCAGAGACGCTCAGATCCAGCCCAAATGGTCCGACATTGCCCTACCTCACGGTACGTCCAGCCAACTGACGCCCGCAGCTAGGCCGAAGTGCTGTGCTGCTCCAGCTGTCTGACAAGCCCTCTTGCTTGCGTTCAGAGTCACACTCACCTCCCGCAGCAGTCACTAACATGCTCGTCCAGGACGCTCGCTCCGCTCCTGTCAACAAGCCTTCGATAACCTCGCGCCCAGCTATCCAGGCGCGGACTATAGACAGCGCCCTCCGCTACCTGCTCCTGTCGTGGGATCCTATCCCGGTCCTGAGGTTCCAAAGAAACGTCCGCTACAGCCTGAAACGTCCACTCCGATTGGCCGCCTGCTGCAACCTCGGCCACCTCACTCCTACCCGGGCGAGTACACGAGCGGGCCAACCTATGTGATGTCGCCCGTTGCTGAGCCGTCAAACAAGAAGAAGCGGGGTCGGCCAACCAAAGCAGAGGCACAAGCAAGAGCAGACGCAGCGGCGGCGCGAGGAGAGGTCTACCCACCACCCAGGAAACAGAGGACGTCCCTCCCGTCTGTGGAGCCATCACCACTACCGTCTGGTCGAATGACACCTGGCCCAGCACCAATGGTGTCCATGGTAGCAACGACACCGCAGGTGCCTCACATGGAGGTAGAAGAGGAGTCGTCAGGCAAGAGGAAGCGCCAAAAGCCCTCGCCATTAGAGCTGGAGAGAGCGCCTAGAGGAGAAGGAGTAATCGATACAGAATCACCCTCGTTAATTGGATCAGCGTCAGCGGAAGGCTTACGCCCGCCACTGTTTTCCCAGCAATACACACCCGCATCAGCAGCCCCATTTTCATCAACAGACCCGAGAGATAGAGACCAAGACCGGGATCGAGACCGCGACCGCGATGTGCGGATGGAAGGAGTCGAAGATCCCCAACAACAACACAGAACCACCACCCCTCGCTCATTCAAAGATACCGTCGGCATATAAGGCGTTTTTCCCCTTGGGATTCACTTACACAAAAACACGACTCGGCGGCCACTTGTGTTTTTTGAAGCGTTTGGACGATGATCTATATGTCACGCCGTCATGATGACCCATTTTGCCATGATACCAGTTTATGGAATCCGTGTGGAGGTAATTGCTCTGTCAAAATCTTTCACGCGCGCGCATGCATCCTTACTACATGAGTATCATATTGGCCATTGTCAGCTTTTCTAGCCTGCTTAAAATTTCCTTCTGCGGAACCTATCACGCCACGTCCTTTTATTTCCTTAGACATGCAATTTCTCTGCCTCTACTTCAATGCTGTGTTAATGCTACCCTTACGTTTCCCTTGACGTTTTTTCTTAGTTTACGTTGCGGATTCGACGAACGCTTATAAGTTCTAATGTCTATCTCTACCTTTTCACGGCCCTCTTGAGGACCGACGGACGATGATTCTACGGAAGCAAGTACAGCCAGCGCGCACATGCGAAACCGAACCTATGTTTCTATTACCGAGTCCAATGTGTTTATGTACCATAGCATCTACCGTTTCCTTGCGTCTACTATTCAATTGGATTGCGATAAGAGCGGAGGAAGGAACGGAGTGCAGCTGAATGCAGCGCAGTGGAGTGGTCAACGGCAATCATGCAATGTACAAAAGCAAACTACTGCCAATCAAAACATTCGAGACCGCCGTCCTCACGTACATGTACTGGGGGTCCGCTGCTACCTATCCCAGAATCGAGAGGTTGTGGACAGACACGCAGGAGAAGCGAGCGAGTCACGGTGCAGCGGTTGTCTCAGACTTGTGCTGCATGCGCAAGTTGTCAGCTGTATGTATCCACAACCTAAACCAACACAAACCCAGTCCAGCTCATCCAATCAATCCTCTGCACCCCGAGGCGCTGTCCTCGCACAAAACGGCCTGCATGCACGATCGTTCGAAATACTGTACCTCTCTTCCTGCGTTTCGCGTCCACAGGAACAAAGACAGGGAGAACCCCCTAACTAAACTCGCACACGGCTCTCTCACCCGCACAGACAAAGTGCCACAAGACGGCCGTTTTCTGCACGATGGCTCTGTGTCACGATGCAGGAATCAGAAACAGCACAGCGTCCATATCGCCTGCACCTGTTCCTTACTAGCGGCTCCCTAACGGTCGGCGCCACCTGAAAACTTGAAACACAGTAACACGACAGCCGGAGAGTTTTTTTTTTTTTTTCTCTCGAGCCGCGGGCGCTGAGAAAAAAGGCGTGCAGCGATGATCCTGTTTAATCTCCGAAGCCGATCCTGTAGTGCCTTCAGGATGCTTTGGGGCAAGCGAAGCCGACGAACGATAATGGGGAACGCGGGTGGGCTTGGCGGGCCAGGGGGCGTTTATGCGAGACATGACTCGATGATGCGCTACGTGGTTCGGTTCTTACTGTAAATCTTGTGAGGCGATGCCGAGATGAGTTATGGTCGGGATATGCCGAACTATGGAAGAGGAAAAGCTGGCTGGAAAAGCGTTTTGAAGGAAGCGTAATGCGGCACAGGTTGATGTGTCGTCTAATTTGGCCAGTCACACTCGTGTTACTACTACCGCTCTGTGGGGTCTGTTAGGTTTCTGCACGACCGTCCTGCAACGCACTTAGCCTGAATGCTGCATGCTGCATAGCGGTGCTGTGCGGCTAATGATACATAACGTGGTGAGGATCTGGCGATCCGGATCTTTTGGACGGTAGGGGATTAATCTGGTGTAAAGGTCAGTTCGGATGTGTGGGATGGGTGTATATTTTGCATAATGGACTGAATTAACTTCAATGCCCTGAAGTAGACGCGGGAGTAGACGCGGTAGTAGACGCGGTCGAACTGTTCCAGTGTCCTTGACGTTATCTGCTAACGGCCCGATAGTCCCTTTTCTCTGGTGGTCTTTGTGATTGTTGTCTGGTGAGACTTCAAATCGAGAATTGGTCGTTCTTCCTTGTTCTTTTTCTCTGATATCAACGACAGTGCTCCAATCGCTACTCAACTTCTTCTTTCCATCTTAGCTGATTTGCTCTACTCCGCATTTTTTTCTCCATCCTGGCGTCTTCAAAATAATTCGAACGCCTTTATACTCAAATATGACGAAAGCCTGCTTGCGGCTCTCTGTCACTACTTGCGGTGCTTCATTTTAATTATAACTTCCTGGACCATCGGGCCACACTTTCACTGTATGTACATATGTCTACTACCGCCCGAGATAGCCCGGCAAGACATCGGGCTTGTCAAAATGTCCTTCAGGTTGTATCAAAAATGAGTTCACTACACGTGGTTCACCTTGCAAAGCTCTTCGAGGTATGACACTAGACTGGAAGAGCTGCTGGAGGAAGAAGCGTTCGTAAGCCACGCGTAGCTTTTGTAGGAGATGCTGAGATATGGCCGAGGGGACTCGAACCAGCAATAGAGCTTTTAAGAGCCAACGGATATTGCGTAGAATCCAGGATGATGACCTGTATCAAAACCCCCCACCCGGTGCCGAGTTGGGATGCCCCATAATACCCCCGCCACTACGAATCGCGCAAAACACTATGATGACGTGATTGGCACGAAAGAGGTATCAGAGGTCCTCAACGCCTCAAGTTTAGAGACAGTAGAGAGCCAGTGGATGACCCGCATCAATGTCATGGTCCCCAAGTCTTCGACGAATTTCAACGCCGGTGGGAATCCTGTCAAACTTTCTATCAACAGACACGAGTGAAGGAGAATTAATATTGGACGAGCCTAATTATCACCCCCCTTTTTGCTGGATATCACCCCCCTTTTTGCTACATATCATCCCCCCTAGATTTAGCCTACCTCCGGCCTGTAACAACTTTGTTCCACCAGTTAGACTATTACTTAGGCTATAATTGTGTTTAATAATAGTTTTTAATTCACCAACATAACACCGGATCTCTCCGCCGGACAAGCAGGCACCCCAACAGCGACCCAGGGCTCTACTTACTTGGTCCCTAACAGTCAACCAGCCCTTAAGGATGGCCCTCTGTCTACTCCTAAGGAGGAGGCTGTTCGTGGTGAAGGAGGATCTTCAGGCGTAAGACCTTGGTATAATAGTGTATACGGCGTTGCTTTCAATTAGCAACTAAGAGGTGGCTATCTAGGAGCTTTCCGCTTCTAGACTAGGTAGAATAGATAGAGGTGAATATATCCTTTCCGATTTGCACAAGCGGCAAGCGAGTGAATATAATTGGTGGAACAATATTGATACGGGCCGGAGCTAGGCCAAATCTAGGGGGGGGGATATGTAGCAAAAGGGGGGGTGATATCCAGCAAAAAGGGGGTGATAATTAGGCTCGTCCTTAACACTAGGGGAGAGGAAAACCTAATAGCGGCGTTATTTGTCTAAATCCGGGATCTCGGGCAATTCACCTGCCTCCTTGCCTTAGGTCAGAGGAATTGTGTAGTACGAATCGCTTCGGCAATTGTACGAAGAGGCCATATCGATCGATATCATTGGTCTCTTTTCCCACTCGTTCTACGAACCTACCTTTACGGGAATTTTAAACCCCGCTTGGCCAACCATCTTCGATTGAATTGCGACGTCAGATGTCATAAGGCGCCGACGTCGTAAACTCGCTACACTGAATCCTCTTCGAGCAAGGTGTCAGTCTCCTTTCTGTACTGTGCCGCAATATAGTAACAGATTGCATATGGGCACCTATTGTGATCTATCGTCCACATCCGACTCTGCCCCTCTCATCCATGTCAAACCTCCCGTTATTATCATCAACCTGCCTGGAGTATGGCTGACGCTCCTGAGGTATTCTCAGGTGATAGTGGCTTGCAGAACTACAAACCTTCGAAACCATCTATTGATGCTCCTCAGGTGTACTCAGTTGCCGGCCTGGAGTACAATGAGCACTCTCCTGCATTCGATGGACACGACAGCCCGGCTGAGAAGAGGGTCTTAGGTCTCCGGGCCACCACGTTTTGGCTGCTTTTCGTTCTTACTTTGGTCGTTTTCGGAGCCGCTATAGGTGGTGGCGTTGGCGGTTCGCTAGCAAGTAATAAGCTTTTCGTATTCTACTACCTTCTTAGGTCACCCCTACGCTCCTCTGCATTAACTGCTTCAAGGCACAGTAAACTGATCAAGAAAACCCAGATCAAACTCTAACGCCAACAGCAACAGCAACAGCAACTCGCATCCCAATCGTCCGCATCTCCAACGTCTTCCTCTGCCCCCGCCATCTACACACCCCCGGCCCCCTCCACCATCCCCCTAATCGCCGCCTCCTGCCCACCCCCTCCCACCCCCGCATCCAACACCTCCCTCCTCCACGACACCGACGGCGCCTGCGCCTTCCGCTGCACGAACGCCACCTCCCTGTCCCGCCACGGTGCCAACGAGAATGGCTCGCAGCCGCGGGCCGAAAGAGCAAGCGGGACGCCAAACGCCACCGCCATAGCCGCTCTCGTCGCCTACTCGTTGCAGGACTGCATGGACGCGTGCACGAGCATGAACCATCTCGCGCGGCAAACGCTCTGTGTGGGGTTCACGATTCGCGCGGATCTGGGGTACGCGGTGACGCATTCGCAGCCGGCAGCGAATTGCTGGCTGGTGGCGAATGCGACGGGTAGTGGGGGTTGTGAGATGTGTGCGAGTGGGCGGTTGTGTAGGGATGAGGGGTGTGAGGGGGTGTTTTGAGGGGATAGGGAGAGGAGTTGGGGGCAGGGAGGATGGCTTACTGCTGATTTGCTTGGGAGAGACGTGATCTGGTTTGGAGGAGACTTAGACCCAGACCCTGACGGAGTTTAGGCTCAGAGGGGCATATGCAGCGAATGTGATGGTTGAGGAACTGTGCCGCACCCCTTGCTGACTTGCAACTCGTCACGTGTATGCTCACATGATGGATTACCTAAGCGATCAACTGCCCCTGAATGGCTTCCATTTAAACTTACAGATAACACATCACGCGAATATAGTCTTTTTCTATGGAATCGTGTCTGAGATGGCTTTGTGCACGAGGTGGCTTTCAGCACGAGCATTTCGGAACTTGCATGTAGCCATGCATCAAAGAACGGGGCGGGAGCGTACAGTGCTCTCGTACAGTGGGCGTTCATCTCATCACACTGCACGTAATTTCAATCATGTCCCTCGCTTAGCTTGAATTCTAAACTTTTTCCCCAGCTGGCCAGTCCGCCACGCCTTACTATCTATAGAGACTTCCACAGCCTGTTAAAATATCTATGACCTGTATATATTTCTAGGGTAGATCTAGAAATAGAGCATTAGAGGTACTGGGGGCCCCAGAGGAGGTATAATAGTAGGGGTTGCCCTCCCTGGCAACGTGCATAGAAACTCCTCTTTCTTTATATTTCTGTATATCTTTAGATTTTAAGAAGGTAAAAAATTCCTCCCAGTCTCTCCTAGTCTATAGTTAGAATATGCACTTTTAATTTAATGCCTGAACGTGGTTGTGCTGTGTAGAGAGACTGTACGTGGAGCTCCACTGTACTGGGCGACTGTACGCTCCGGAGCCGGCCCGATCAAAGAAAACCTCAATCAATTCGGGTAACCGCTTATGGGAACAATACTAACGAACGGTTAGCTAACCAAACCACAACATGCAGAACTTCTCACACATACCACGCCGTCTGCCACCAACTCAATCCCGGGGATTGTTGAGTCCACGGTCCAGTTCCAATCCTCATCATGGCTCTAAATTACTTCCCACAATCTTTCTCGCTGAGCAGTCTAGCACTTGCAGCAGCATTACTCTCGCTGATCTACCTCCTACATAGACGAGCTACAAAGGATAGAATCGTCCCAGCCGGCCTCTCCTGGGTCGGCCTCCGCAACGAGCGCTTCGCAACCACCCGCCTCCACCTCCGGGACGCCTTCGCCGCTCCAGCCCATCTAAAAGAAGGTTACGAGAAGGTACACCATCCCGCCTTTCCCACCTCCATCCTCAAAACTGACCCATCCAAACACAGTACAGCAAAGCCAACCTCCCCTTCATCAGCCCCAACATAACCTTCCGCCCTGTCGTCATCCTGCCCCCCTCGCACTTCCGCTGGCTGATCTCCCAACCCGACGACGTCCTCTCCATCGCCGCCGTCCTCAAAGACGCCGTGCAGTTCCACTACACCTCGCCCAGCTCCTGGACCTTCTCGCGCGCCTTCCACGTCGAGGCACTCAACAAAATGCCGCTCGACCTCCTGACCTCCGCCATCGTCGACGAAATCACCACCTCCATCGACACCCTCTGGGGCACCGACAGCTCCACCTGGCGCAAAGTCCCCGTGTCAACCATGAACACGGCCATCTGCCGCATCACGAACCGCGTCTTCGTCGGCGCCGACCTAAGCCGCGACCCGACCTACATCGCGCACCAGACGGCCTTCGTGCACGCCATCGCGCTCAGCGCGGGGCTGATCAACAACGCCCTCCCGAAGCTGTTGCACCCGCTGCTCGGCCCGCTCGTCGCGCTGCCGTGCCGCTACTACGACTACCGCTGCTCGCGCTACATCGTGCCCCTCGTCGAGCACCACCTGCGCCTGTGCGTCGCCGCCGCCGTGGCGCAGAGCGCGGACATCGTGCCGAGTTTCGGGCCGCCGCGCGATATGCTGCAGTTCTTTGCGCGGTACGCGGTGCGCAGCGCCGACGCCGCCGACCGCAATGCGCGCGCCATCTGCAGCCGGCTGCTGGCGCTGAACTTTGTGGGGATCCATACGAGCACGATGACGATGGTGAATGCGTTGCTGGACATGCTGAGTCCGGCGGGGGCGGCGCGGGAGTGCTGGGCCGCGGTGCGGGAGGAGGCGGTGGGGGTGCTGCGGGCGCATGGGGGCGTGTGGAGTAAGGCGGCGGTGAACCAGCTGGTGCGGAATGACAGTGTGTTCCGGGAGAGTCTGCGGTTCAGTCCGTTTAAGTTGAAGGGGGTGGATCGGGAGGTTGTGGCGAGCAAGGGAGTGGTGCTGCCGGATGGGACGTACTTGCCGAAGGGGACGAGGGTGGCGCTGCCGACGCATGGGGTCCACTTTGATGATAGGTTTTATAGTGATCCGATGACGTTTGATCCGTGGAGATTTGTGGGGGTGGAGGGCGCGGGGATGATTGCGGCGGGGGAGACGTTTTTGGGGTTTGGGTTAGGAAGGCATGCTTGGTGTGTACCCATTTTCCGTTTCCGTTCCCCTTTTCTACCAGGAAGAGTGACTGATCTGTGAATAGTCCTGGTCGCTTCTTTTCGGCCCACGAGCTGAAGCTGTTGCTCGCGTATATCACGCTGAACTACGACATCCAGCCGTTGGAGGAGCGGTATGCGAATACCGAGTTCAGTGACTTCTCAGTTCCGCGAGATATCGAGCTGACGATAAAAAGGAGGAAGCAGTCTGCGCACTTGGATGACGATTAGCATGTCCGCTAGCTCGCTGTTGGATTACACCTTCTTATCTTCATTGGTATCAATATTCCTAGAAAAAATCAGCACATTTTGTCGGATTGCTTTCTTGGTCTCGTGGATGCATCGACTAGGGGCGTTTCGTGATTGTGTTTGATATCTGATATGCCGAATATCTTGATGACGAAGTTTGACTTGGGAGTTTGAACGACGTGTTACCGACTTTGGGCTGCCGCCTCAAATCTCGTCATAACCACACTAACACGAGAACAAGGCATTTAGAAGACCTTACTAACGCAATCAGACACCATGTCAAAAACTCAAGATTCGATGCGCGAAGGGTTTCGTATCACAGTTCCTTCACGCCGAAGTTTATGCGCCCGTGAAGAAGCGTTCTGTGCTTCACATTTCTGCGTTTGTCTGCCAAGAGTTACTGTGCTGGGCATTTTCGCGGGAATTGGACCATGGCAGGTGAAGGTGGCCCGCGCGTCGCTAACCTCTAATTCTTACAGCGAGAAGCGAGTACCACGGCTCTTTGGAGCCGACTATAGGTGCCAGGGGCTCTGTCCTCTCCAACTTTTAGAGAAGGGGCCTACCGTTGGTGGAGAGGGTAGTCTCGCCAGGGGCCTCTTTCGCCGCGGCGCAAGCGTGTTCAACGCTCAACCTTAGGGCAACATTCGGAACATCTGGCTATTATGACTGTCTTCGAACAACGCGGCTTTTTTTCCTTTCTGAGTACTCGCGGAGTTACATCAACAGCAATATGAAAATGACAGCACAAGGATGTTACGAATTCCGGAGTGGCAATATAGAAAAGTAGAATGCACTGACACGTGCGCAATGAGAATAATGCATGGTACAGATTTGATTGTTACCTGAAAAACCTACCACCCTAGACGTCGCAAGACGTTCATGACTTAGTGGCCGAGTTTCGGGCTGGATTATTGCTGCTTCGTGGCCTGAGATCCAGGCAACGCATTTCCACTCTCGGTTAGCGGATAGAGCATCCAATAGAAGCCTACGGCTCCGCTGACCAGCAAGACGTAGTATGCCACTGTCCAGCCAACACCTGTGCCAGGACTCGTCGCTACGACGCCATTGCTTGACCCTTTCGTGTCTTCCTTCCTTCCAACATCTGGACGGCCGATAGGCTCTCCAGTTTCAACGCCAACCCTCCCCCATAGACGTGGGAGGCCCTGCCAATTGCAGAAGGTATGGGCGAGAATTATGGAGTAGACATTGCCCGTGCGGAGGAAAACGAAGGCGGCGAAGAAGCCGAACAACGAGGTATAGGTGAACTGAAATAGGGAGCGCAGAAGCGCTCGTAGTATCGGAGTATGAGGATGGGTAAGCCTGAACTCGTAGTAGTGGTGGATGTGGGCGATTCCGAAGTATAGTGGAGTCACGAAGATGATCTTAGTAGTCGAGACGTTGGCCAGGATATGGATGGGGATGATCAAGGAGCGCCATATGAGCTCCTCACTAATTGGACCCTGCTGAGAGTGAGCATTGCTTCTTGCATTGCAGAGTGAAGCCGTACAGCGACGAAGTTTCTGTAACCAATCCAGCTGCGGAGGGTCTGGAGGACGTATGTCCCGCGGATCCAGTCCTTCCAGCCCCCATCAACAATACCAGCCTCGAACAATGGGCCAGCAAATAGGATGGAGACTAAAAGCAAAGTCTTCGTTATGTCGACGACGGAGATTGGCCACCAGCCTAGCAGCTTCAGAGCCTCCGAGGGAGCGACAGCACTCCAGACTAGGATGACGTATATCGTGATGGCTGCACTAAGGAAGCACGATAGAGTGACAGCGCGTACGCGGGCGCGAATGGACGAGGGGGCATCGCGTGAGAGCTGCGGGGAGGGGCGCGTGGCTTTAGAGAGGTAGAATGGGACGACGTAGATGAGAGTGAAGAGGACCTGCGACGGCAGTAGTCAGTATTAGCATAAAAAGGAGATATGGAGGCCTGCTCATAGGCAGATGGCAGAACGCGGGGCAGGGAGGGAGTGGAGATTGAAACACGATGAAGCGGGACGCACCGACAACGCAGCCGCAGCGCTGGGAGAGATGGCTGGTGCTCTCTGAGCTGCGAAAATGTTAGGGCTAGATATGTAGGCACAGAGGGAGACACGGGCGACTACGGGGCGACAGTGGAGGTGTAGAACGCGAGGGGTGGGGAGTGCAGATGGCGTTTCGGACGCTGGCCATCCTCAGCCAGTGGATGAAGACGTACCGGGCTCTTTGGAGTAGTAGGTCCTCAAGCGGTGGAGAACGCCAATGGGCGCCATGTGCGCGTCGATGAGGCAGCCGGCGTGGGTGTCGGGCGATGAGTCTCTGTTGTGGCAGATATAAGGGCTTAAGATGCCGTGGCATCATTCCAGAGGATCATCCACACCCAGAACAATACCCGATAGGCGCCCAGCCTTGCAGGTCACGGGACCTCGAATGCAAACACCACAAACTCTCATCATCCCTCAAACCACTCCACCACCATCCGCCACCCCCTGGCTCTCGGCCCACTCAGCTCGCGCAGGGACCGACAGCCAGTCCTCGAGCCTCCAACGGTCCGCTGGCCCCGATCTCACTGGCCAGGAACACGCTGCTAAAATTATTCCCAATTTCCCGCACGCGATCCCAGCCCATCGCCGTGGACGCGTTTGGCGGCCGTTGAGGGCAGCTATCGATAGAGGATAAGGGGAAATTCGAGAATCGCGACCGAACCGCGTTGCGCAATCGGCGGGACCGACGGCGCACAGGAATATAGACTGAGGGGCGTCCGCGCGTGGTGTTGAAGACTTCAAGAATCGCATCCCCGTGCCCCCAGCCCTCACCGACACCTCAGCACCATCCGAGCGCACCAGGCTCAGCTCTCCGGCCCGTGCCTGTGACTTCTGCGGGTTCCTGAGCTGGCATTGGAGGCTCCCGCCCACCTGCAGAGCCGAGTGCAGCAGTCCTGCAGCGTGCAGTAGCTTCGAAAGGAGCGCAGTTTTATCTGTCGCCCACCTGTCCTCCTCTCCTCTCCAATCCTTCTCGCTTTTTTAATGCATTTGTAGAATCCAGTCACTCTTTTGACATGCTTGTGTAACTCTTCTCGTCACTCTTTACCGACGCCATACGGCACTTTTTATCTTATTTTTTTTGTCTCTATATCTCCTAATTTAATGATACCGGCAACCTCCCTGTTCACGTCCTCCTATCTCTCCGATCTGTACACTATTTCGACCCTACTCCCACAGCCCAATGTCCTCCAATACCAACCGGACCGCTCGGTCGCCCTCTCCCAGACACTCGCCACATTCCTCCGCGCACTCCTCCCCGAAAAGACGCCCGCTGCACGAACGCTCAGACTCGCAGACCAACCAGTACTCCAGCCCCACAATCCGCATTGTCGAAGACCCAGGCGCACAGATCTATGGGAAGAGCCCGTTCCCGAGCAATCCCTCACAATTACTGCCTCCTCGCAAGGCACCAGCTGGTTATGCGTTCGAGGACCGGGGGGCTCGCGTTTCAGATCGCAATGATGCCACCAATACCGTGCCAAACCCTGAGACCATCAACACCCTGGTCCCGAAACCACTGCAACCCAGGAGAGCTGATAGGAGCTCGGCATCGACTACGTCGGACCCAGACACCATCGTGAACAATTCGCCTTTCTCGCCCTCGTCCAGTCGATTCTCCTCAGGCACTACACCCCCGGTGTCACCGACTGCTCCTGGCCATGAGAGATTAGGTGGTTTGGGAACACTACAGGAGAGCGCTCCCTCACCAAAACGTTCAACTATTCGGGCTGTCATTCCTTCATTTTCGTCCGAAGGCCACGCATTAACTCCCAGAGCGTCTGCAGCTTCTCTTGCATCGACTGCCTCGTCCGAGACCTTCAACTACAGCACACACGAAGAGCGAAGGGCCTCCTCCAGTTCCAATCCGCTCGTGCCGCTCACACCCCCGCTGCGGAGTCACAAACGACCTCCACCTACTGGTTCCAGCGGGAAGAAGAAGCAGGCTCCGTCTATCAATCGGGTCCCGTTGAAACCAGCCCTCAAGACATCGTCGGAATCGCTCGCCTTTTCAGACATATCGTATGAGTACGACCGCCCGAGATCGTCGTCTTCTCCTACCCTCTCGTCTTCGCCGACCATCCATGCCGCTCGTCAGGTCAGTCTTGAGAGCGGAGTCAGAGTTCAATTTCCAATTGTTCGTCCACCGTCGGCAAGCGGTCTATTTGCGGAGTCTCGTGTGCTGCCCAAGCATCCATCCCGAATGAGCAACCGCGCTTCGCAAGTGCATCAGTGGAGCTCTCAGCTTTCAACGATCGCATCGGAGTCAGAGCGTGGCTCCAACGCGGGTTCCCAGCAAATATCCGATCGGGGATCCCAATTGGCCTCCTATAGAAGTTCGCAATCAGTAGAGCATCCCAGACCAACCGCACAGACACCTCGCAGACAGACGATTTCGAGCATTGCCTCCTCCGATAATGCTGTATATACTTCGGAGCCAACGGACTCCTCGGTTTCTGTACCACTGCCTCTGTTCTCACCATCATTGCGACCTCCAGAAGGCCGCGATTCTGACGAGCATCGAGATGTAGTTTCGCCTCTTCAGTCTCCTCCATTGAGGCAACAGCGATCTGGATATTTGAGCAGGCATAATAGTAATGATTCGCGTCCGGGGTCACGTCCAGGGTCGTCACAGTCGGACTTCGCAACCTTCATTGCAAGCACGATCCCAGCATGGGCAAGGTATGTGATCTTCACAATTCAATTCTTGGAAAGCGAGTCTAACATTTCCAAGGGTCTACTATCAACGCGGCGACCGTACCTCGATGGGAGCCCCTGACTCTTCCACCGAAGCATCAGATAGTCGACTGCCCACTGCTCAAAGCGGCCGTACGCAAACACCATCTGAGGGTAACTTTCCATTAAGCATATATCGACCGCGAAATCGGCCACACCAAGACCAATCGCAAGATGTGAGGGATTCAATGGCGATATCTAATGAGCCAATTGAGCAAGAAATCTCAGTGTTTGGTCCCATGATGACCCGTCGGTCCATATCTGAAATGTCTGCTCCGCGACTGCGTACCGACAAAAGAAGTACCGCACGGCTAAGCGCGTGGCGAGCACCGTCACTTGATGAGGCGTTTGGTAGCATGATGTTTAGCCGGCAGAATAGGCAAATTCTTTTGTTCTGTTTAGGTTTCATTTTCCCGTTCGGTAAGTGTACGATTTGAGATTTGAGAATACCAGCCATTTGAACAATATGCTAATGTATTAACAGCCTGGATGATTGCCTCATTTCTTCCTATCCCTCCCAACCCTGAAATCTCCAAAGAAGCGACACCCAGTCAAGCGGACCTTGAGCGACAACTAGCACAGCGCGTAGGACCTGTTGATGGGCGAGACTATCAAAAGGCCTTCTGGTGGAGGAATCTAAATCGAATAATGTCTGCTGTTGGAATATTGCTCATTGGAGCAATAGTGAGCTGCCCTCGCCCAACGAACTTGTCCAAATGCTGACTATATATCTAGATTGCGCTTGCCATAGTAGCTTCGCGCATGTAATGATGAGGAACACCACCTACGAACGTTGGTGCACATTTAACGAATCCACAAAACCACACCAATGTCGATCTCGACTCACACGATCACGATCTACAAACCAAAGGGCGTCACTCTTTCCGCCTGTTTCATTTTCCACGATTCAAAGCTCTCTGATATCACGAATCACCGACATCTCCACAAACACCATCTACAACTACATCTCCTAATAACGCCTTTCCTTTTTCTCATTGACTCGCTACGAATGAACGGTTCAAACGACAAGTCGACAACAGATCGACCGTCATGAATTGAATCTGATGGGATCTCTTTGATTCTTGCAACATACGAGCGAAAAGCAAACTTCATGTCGAATGCAAGCGTTGCATATTTTTTTGTCTTTTTCAGCGACGGAGCTAGCGGAGCGAGGTTGCCGCACGCTTTTCATGAATTACTCACAGAGTCTACGTGCTCGTGTTTATGTTTTCTTAGTGTTATAATCACCTGAGAACGTTTCCTTGTGTCCAATTTCCGAATCTTCTGATGAGTCGGCCGACTTTTGCGAGAAGCGAGCCAGAACAGAGCTTGATTGTATGGCTGAAATTGCTGAGACTGGTAGTGCGCGAAGCACTCAATATTTGTATAGTATCATTTTTAAAGTGTAGGATGTGTAATTCTCAAGGCGGCTCGGATGATGAGCGAGTGGACATAACGATTCTTTTCTGAAATATTTTTCTACGCAGTTGTGTGATGCCTGAGGCTACTTTATGGATTGTGTTACTATTTCGATGCTCTTGACGCTTTTCGGATTGCTTCAACACACTTTTGTTAGCTGAACAAGACATAGGTCTGTCGCCTTGAATGACCTGTCAATTCACAGGGCGTCTAAGCCGGTGCCATCTGAATGCATACAATTCGAATGGGACCATGCCTCTTAATCCCTGAAAATGCATTTGCTTACTCGCAAACTGGTAATGAGGCATTCTTTGTGGAGCGACAAGGCACATCTAAGAATATTCCTCTATCACTGAGTCCCCTCCCCTCTGCACGACAGCTCCGATGCAACAATACAAAGGTACCACGACGTTCCCATTGGCCCAATACGAAAGCAACAGACACAGCACCACAGCCACACGCCCACCTGCAGTCACACATGCTCGTTCCACACCGCATGACTGCAGGCCCGGAACAGTCATACTGCAGCGGCGCGTCACTTCGACTCATCGCCTGAGGCGGAGGCGAAGCAAAAGCGCGGGTCCAAGCGTCCCGAACCTGACGTCGATCGCTCCTTACAAAAGCCCCGCCGCTGTACTGCCATTTTCACCACACTACTACTCGGCCTCACTCGCTCTACTACTACCTTCAAAAACACCTTTCCCCTTGCTCTTTTAACTCTCCAACCATACTACCCCTAGCAACCCAGACTGCAACCCCCCCAGCAATCATGGCGGTCCGCGCACAATTTGAGAACTCGAACGAGTGAGTTTTCTGCCCCCGCTGCGAAGAAAGACGAGGGGCACACCCACCCCCTCAACTTCAACCTCAGACTCGCACATTTGGGATATATGGACTGATGCGAATCGATGTAGGGTCGGCGTCTTCGCAACCCTCACAAACGCCTACGCCATCGTCGCCGTGGGCGCCTCGGAGAACTTCTACAGCGTCTTCGAAGCCGAGCTGCAGGACGTGATACCCATCTGCCATGCCACGATCGCGGGCACGCGGATAGTAGGGCGGCTGACGGCTGGGTACTTCCCTCCCCTCCCCTCCCCTCCCCTCCCCATCCTACACCAATCAGGTCTAACATTTCCCAGCAACCGCAAAGGCCTCCTTGTCCCGACCTCGACCACCGACCAAGAACTCGCGCACCTGCGCAACTCGCTCCCCGACGCCGTCAAGATCCAGCGCATCGAGGAGCGGCTGTCGGCGCTGGGCAACGTCATCTGCGCCAACGACCACGTCGCGCTGGTGCACCCGGACCTCGAGCGCGAGACGGAGGAGATCATCGCCGACGTGCTGGGCGTGGAAGTGTTCCGGCAGACCATCGCCGACAACGTGCTGACGGGGAGTTACATGGCGCTGAGCAACCAGGGCGGCCTCGTGCACCCCAAGACGAGCGTGCAGGACCAGGACGAGCTGTCGAGCCTGCTGCAGGTGCCGCTGGTGGCCGGCAGCGTGAATCGCGGGAGTAGTGTCGTCGGCGCCGGCATGGTGGTGAATGATTGGATGGCTGTGACTGGTACGTTTTTGGGGATCTTGCTCTGTTTACGACCGGCCCTGGTGGGGGTGGGAGGTAGAAGAAGGATTGGAGAGGCTAACGATTATGCGCAGGCCTCGATACCACAGCGACAGAGCTCTCGGTCGTCGAGTCCGTCTTCCGGCTCGGCGAGGGCATGGGCCCCAGCGCGATTAACACGACGAATAAAGACACGATGGTTGAGTCGTTCTACTAAGCGAGTCCCAGGGGAGGAAGTTCTGTCAGATTCAGCTGAACGAGGCGAGGATTCTAGGAAGGAGTGGTCTTGCTAGCTTCTAGGATGAAGCGATCAGCGGACTGCTTCCGAGACCACGGAGGCGTCATCTACTTCCTCTGGCGTATGAGGTATGGAAAGTCTCGGCGCACGGCGTCTTGAGCAGCAGATATAGGATACCGACCAGGGAAGACGAATGAGGGCTTGTAGAAAAATGATACCAGTGTTTTGCCAAAGCCGTTCTGTGCCGTGATGTTGAAAGGCGTAGTCCAAGTGAGCATAGAGAGACGATGTTTTGAATTGGTAGTAGAGGGCGAAGCGCCCCTGACTTTATCATCACGTCTGATACTGAGCTTGTGGACCAGGGCTTCCCGATTCCAGCTCCGAATCACAACCCTTTTGACGCGCCCCCTAAATCAGACACCAACTTCACGGGCTGACCCCTCAAGCCATTGACAGGTCTTGCCACATTCTAGCTTCAACACTTTCTCAGTACTGCCAAGACTTGCCCTTTCTGAGCTTTCATTCAATGTCTATTTCCTTGCCCCAGCCATGGTGCACGTGCCCGAACAGTTCATCCCGACGTCCTCCGTATTGACAACATCGCCCAAGGGCAGAGCCCAGAACCCAGGAGCACTTCCAACGGGTTCGCTCATCTCGTAATACCCGACGCCCATGTCTCCTCAAAAATTTGAAGGATTGATTCCTTCAACCGCGAATGCTCAGTGCATCTCCATCAGCCATATCGGAGAGCCAGCCATATAATCCAGCCATCCGCCATTCGCAGCTCAGCCATTCCGAATGAATTCAAGAAAGAAAAGAACCGCCTGTGCCGTGCATGCAGAAGAAGAAAGCAACATACCTTGCTTGTGAAGCGCCTTTTCGAGGTCCTTTCACCCAATCATCCTCTTCACCCGCGGCGTCGGCGTCCATGAACTCTTCCCCACACCACCCCCAAACGCCCCGCCCCCATCTCCCCTCTTCGGCGTCGGCTCCCACTCGCTCCTACTCTCCCTCTTCTCCCCCATCGCGCCTCCAAACGCACTCCCCGGCCCCTCCCGCCTCGGCGTGCCCACCCTCTCAAACAGCCTCAACGCCGCCGGCGTCAGGTTCCCCCTCGCCTTGCTCGGCGCACTGAGGAACCGCGGCGTCGGCCCGCCCTTGATGCTCGAGATCATCGAGCTAGAAGAACTCGCAACACTACCCTCCCTCTTTCCCCTGCCGAGCCGCTCAACCATCTTATCGTGCAGCTTCTCGCGGCGGCCGATGTCTGAGATCTCGAATGTGCCTCTGGGAGTTTGCTCGCCGTAGCCGCGTAGGAGATCGAGCGGCGGTGGTTCGTCGGGCTCGGCGTCTACGAACGCGTACCCGCCCACCCGCGGTGTCTCGGCGCCGGTGTAGCCCGCTTCGCTTTCCGTTGGGCGCGGGCGGCCTGCGATGGCGTCTTGTACGGCGGAGAGCGTTGGCGAGGGCGGGTCTTCGGGGCGGTAGGGGTCGAGCAAGGGGCCGGGGAAGCGGGTGTTTGCGTGCAGGACGGTCTTGGGGGGTGCCATAGACGCTGATTCCGCTTTCATGGCTGCGGTGGTGTGAGTCTCTTCGACAGAGTCCGGAGGGAACATGAGCGCGTTCTTCGGTCGATACGGCGCAGAGGTTGGCATCGCAGGGCGGGCATCAAGGGGCGTAACGAGGCGATGCGTCTTAAGTACCGACGAGGCAGCCTCGTTGTCCTTCTCAGCGAGCCGTGCAGCCTCGCCCGCCTCGAGCTGTTTGGCGGCTTCACGCTCGCGGTGCATCACCTGGCGGCTGGCGAGGATCTTGTTGCCGTTGTACGCCCACGCGTACTTCTCCGACTTGCGCGCATTCTCGCGGTCGAGCAGTTTGTTGAAGCTCTCGTTGTCCTCCGACGTGTATTTGGCCTGGAACGCGGTCAAGCTCAGATTCAGATCCACCTCTTGCTTCCTCTCCCCATCGCTGTATTCAGACCCCCCGAACTCCGACCCCGCGACGGACACAGGCGTCTCTGCGCTACCCCACGCCCGCGGTGTCTCACTCCCATCTCTTCCCAGGTGCCGCATGGGCGTCATGCTCGGAGTCATGCTTGTCCCGCGACGTCCCCGCACCTTTCGTCCGTCTTCGCCCATAAGGTCCGTTAGCTTGCGGCCCGCGGTGGCGATCCAGGCTGAGTCTTGTGAGTCCAGCGCATCAAGGTATTCCTGCTGGGCTTTGGTTTCTAGGAGTCCGGGGAAGAAGTCGCGCGCAATGATGTGCGAGAGGGCGTCGGTGTACAAATCTTCGTCCAGGACGGTGGCGGGGCGTTTGCGGCGTTTTGGCACTGGTGGAGGGCCCATGAGGGCGGTGGTGTTATCGCGCTTGCTGAGCGCTTGCGAGGGTTTGGGAGAGGCCATTGTGGAGGTGTAGAGGAGACAGTTCGTCCTCGCGGGCTATTGATGTTTATCGTAGCATCCGGTAGAGGGCGAACGAAGTTGTGAAGTCGCGGAGTAGGTGAGGTGAAGTTCAAGGCAGAAACATCGATGCTGGAAGCCAAGACCCAATTTTCTGCCACCGCCTCCAGCCTTACGGATCTTGCACATGTCTCAATGACTGCCTGAAGATTCAGGCTATAAATAGTCTTCGCAAGATTCAATAAGGCCTCGTCCAGGGGAACACACCTATGTAATTGGTTTTGAAGCGCCGTAACAGGTTTTCAATTTTCTAAACAAGACTGGAGTCCGTTATCATGAACAAGCGGTAGACCCGCCATGCTACCTATTTTAGACGGCGGTAGATTGGTCTACACAGATCTGTGGGGAGCCATTACTTCAAGCATCACGCAAACAGAAACTCACTATACGTCCAATTTCAGTAAAACTTGAAAACCAATGACATTGCCCTATGATACATCCACTCCAGGGTATCAGCACCGCCCACCACCAAGCAAGCCCAGCTTATAAAAGCCCACCCCATGGAAACCCAAAGCAACAAGGCCACACGCAGGGCCAGCAACAGACTTGCGCAAAAACACAGAGAATGAGAAGCACAGAGGTAAGAAAATTAGAGAAACTTTGTTCGAATAGCAAAAAGGCAAAGTGATAGAAAGACAGCTCCCAACTCCATGCAATTTAAGCAGATGCACCAGCCCTGGCCAAATACATAGGCCCGCCATGGCCCAAAATTAAGAAAGGACAAACAAACAATCAGTAGTATACAGAGCACGCAAGTATCCAGGTCGCCGATCCAAAGTCTGACCCAGAAGAAAACGAGAGTTGACCACCCGGAGACGGTAAAAAAGGAAATCAGTATATATAGTGTTCACTGTAAGCCTTAGGTTACCAGCTTACGGCCTCCGCTTCTGGTTTGGGCCGGTATACGTCCTGAACTCGGATCCAGCAATACCAACGTAATTTCGCGGCCTGCGTTTCGGCTGGTACTCTTGCGGTTGGCCGTGCTGCGGACCCGGCCCAGTAGTGTGCTCAAACTGCGGCTTGTGCGGCGGTTGTTGAGAAAATGCTGGTAGGTGTGGTGGTTGGCCATACGGCTGAGGAGGCGTAGACTGCGAATTGCGGGGGTCCATGTTTGCGGGAAGAATGGGCTGGCCACCGTACTGAGAGCCAGCATATTTGAGTGGAGGGTACGGTGACTGATGAGGTGGTGGCGCCTGTTGGTGGTGTGGCGGTGGTTGAGATTGATAGGGCTGGGGCGGCTGGTGAGGTTGGTACATGCTGAACGACGGTGGACCGCTGTACGCAGGGTTGTGCTGTGGAGGCTGTTGAGGGGGGTAGGGGCTCTGATGTGTAGGAGGCTGGGGAGGTGGAGGACCATAGCTGCCACTGACTGGTGTGGGATACTGGTTCTGTGGCGGACCTTGCGAATCGTAATGCGCAAATCTGTAGTTGTAAGGCGGTGGCGCCTGCGCGGTCTGAACGAAGGGAGGAAGCGGTGGACCACTCTGTGGAGGTGCTCTGGCCTGACCATTGTAATCAGGAGGATATCCTTGAGGCGGTGGGCCATATGGAGAAATAGGTGGTGGGTGTTGTTGTGGAGCACTGGCTCGGCGACCATCCTCCCATGGCGGCCGATATCCATGCTGCTCTGTAGAGTTTGGTCGAGTGTGCGGTCCAGGATGTCCTTGTTGGTCAACTGGAGATTGCGAGAACGAGAACTGCCCAGTTGAAGGAGATGGCGCGCTGTTGTGGCCGGAGGATGGAAGGCGGGATCCACTTGCGGTCCGCTCGTGAGGGATGCTGAGGCGAGAAGGCGGAGGTCCCATGTGAGTTTTGTCCAAACTGCCTCTGCGGACAGTTTGAGAGGCGCTGTCGCTACCAGCCCGCTCGGCCTTCTTATCTGGCTCCGGCGAATTGTAGTGCGCGAATCTCCAGTGGATGGGCGGTTTTGCAGAGCCGTTGTCCACATTGGATGGCTGGGTTGCAGCGGGTTGGGTCATACTCTCGCTACGAGTAGGTGGAGGCCTCATGTGAGTCCTGTCCGAGCTGCCTCGACGGGAGTTTGAGTTTTCGGACGCAGTCTCGCTGTCAGACCGCTTGACTCTTAGTTCCGACTCCGCACGAGGGAAATTAGACCAAAAGTCGTCTCTGGGGCGTGCTGTGTTAGAGCTTGATAGTGGTCGTTGACTCGTGCTCTCGTTATCGCCCCTCTCGGCTCTCCTGTCCGGAGCTTGCTGTCGAGACGAATCTAGCATCTGTCTGATGCGGGTCAATGGTGTTCTATCCGGTGAAAGATGTCTCGAGTTTCTACGCCTGCTCATAGTGTCATTCGACCAGAACCCATGAGGTGGCGACTTCTCCCGTGGGCGAATGGGTTCATATGGAGCCGGCTTGCGCTCTGGATTCTGGGGATATCGCTGTTCAGGAATCGGTTCGACATTTCGATCGTCTCCACCCCTCAAGCTTCCGTTCAACTGAGCAGGGTGAGAATCAATCGCTTGAGTTTGAGTGGGAACTTGGTAGGTGCCGTTGATGACTAGGTTTGATGTTGGTACACCAACATATGTCCATGCTGCGGGCTTCATACGCCCTCTCAACCCGCTTCTAGAAACCTCGGCATCGTCATTAAGGAGGTCGGTTATCTTGTTCGAAGACTTTGCAGGCGCATCATCCCTTGCCGCTTCTTGGGATACAGTCGGGATTGGAGTACCGTTAACATCCGCAAATAGAGTAGGGCGTGACGAGCTCGGTAACTGTTCTGGCTGCATAACTGGGCTGCTTTCTGCAGTCTCTAGTGACATGGCAGTAGACGTAGCCGAGGGAGGTCCAAAGGGTGATGCAGGAGGAATGATTATCTTCCTAGCCGGCGTTGTCATTGGTGCGGCAGCAGCTGGTTTGAGCGGCTCGTTTCGATTGGGAGGAGTTCCAGGAGCAGGAGGTAGCTGTGCAGAGAGGTCTGCAAGCAAGAGTAATGCGGTTGCCTCCTCGATGGGGTTGACCTCGGCCTCCGCTTGGTCCGCTGCAGTTTGCTCCAATTGCATCGCAGCATCGGCAAGCGTATCGACATTGTAGCTCGCTGTAGCAAGCTCTCGATCATTGCCAGACAAGCCAGCGTAAGCCGCGAATCCTCCGGGAAGATTTTCGATTGCATCATCAGCATCTTCATTCTGACTTACGAAGGCTTTGCGGGCCTTGTCAAGATTAAATCGAACCTCGGCTTGCTTCCACATCTCTTCAGTCTCGATGTACACTCTGCTGCGAGATTCGGATTTTGCGGGCAGCAGGCCCGTCAACTTATGGGGGTACTGGGCCCCATGCCTCGGAACCACAACGGCATCCTGCTTATCGTTAGCAGAGTCGTGTAACACGAGCGATCCACGGCTCACTTCATCGTCAGTCCCAGTGCCATCTAAGCCCTTATGCTCGCGTTCCAGTTGCAGCAAGCGATGCTGGCACTGGAGCAATAGGTCCTCTTGGAGAATACGGAATCGAATCTAGTACGATGTTAAGCACGGCAAGAAAGGGGAATGGTAAGTATACATACTGCAAATTGCTCTCTCTGGATATGCTCCTCGGCGGTCTTCCTGCGCTCTAATTCTTCGGCTGCTAGTCTTTTCTTGTTGTCGACGACAGCTATTCTTTGTTTCTTGTACCGTAGCAGCTCCTGGGCGACAAGGTGGTAGTCGTCGCTTTGTTTGTGGTACTCGGGGTCGTCTTCTAAGCCAGTCAGGGTTCTTTGAGCTAATTCGCCAAGCACAGGTTTTAGCGCTTTGACGATCGCGCGATAGGCTGTTTTGAGCTGAAGCTGGCGGCGAAGATCTGCTTCAATACTGACATCAGCGTGAGGCTGCCGTCGGCGTCCAGGAAGCCGTTTGGGCACCTTGACCGGCTCTTGGCTCGCTGATGGAATTTCGTTCTTGAGTGGTTGGGTGATGGCGTTCTCCAGACTCGGCTCGGGTGACCGCGATGCTGTCGAGGCTTCGTCCGTGATCACGGGCGCATTTTCGGTCGACTCAACAGGCGTTTCTTTTGATGCGACTTTCGCTCGCTTCTGGCGACGGGCGAAGGCCGGGCGCTTCTCAGACTGGTCGCTGTCGTTTTTCTCTAGATTGATGCCGTTCGTCTCACCATTGGCGTCGGAGGCTTCCGAGTTTCGCGCGCGTTTGCGCGACGTCTTGGAAGCCTGCGAGCTGGCGCGCGACGCTGGTTTCGATGCGACAGCATCCTGTTGCCCTGAGCTGGCGGGCGACGGAATCTGATTCGGGGGCGAAATGGGCTCTGTTGACAGACGGGCGCGCTTGGCGACACGCTCAGTCTCGTCGTCGACGGGAGCGTCTGGCTGCTGGACCGGGCTGTTTGCGCTCGCAACGGATCCCGCCCGGGAGTTGGTGGCATTCGACGCAGCCCTTCTCGTGGTCATCGAAAAGGGTCCGGATGGGAGCAGTCTGCTTGGTTTCGCAGGTGTACTATGATTTCCTCGCTTACTAGAGCGTCTTAGCCTCCCTGTCAGGCCTGCCCCCGGAGATGTGGCTAGTAATTGCCGTCATGGTCAGTGAAAATTCTCGAAGATGAATGAAAGCACCACGGGGCAGAAGCGTACCTGTCTTCGAGGCCGGCGGCGTCGTGGGATCGGCCTTGAGCGAACCCCGTCGTCGTTTCATCCTGACGGCTAGACAAAGCGCATTATTAGCCCCTCGTGATCATGATAATGCGCGGCAAAAACAATGAAGCTGCAGCGTGCGGATAGTTGCCGTCGCGAGTAGAACGTACCGTGATTGTCGAGGAACTCTCGCCTTATGCTGTGTAATGTCGGGAACGTGTAGAATAGTCGGTGATCTGTACTCTCTCGCTGCCAACAGCGTCAGCTGCTGAGATCAGGATGATGGCTCTATAAGCAGGCGCAGCAATGGCGGAGCGGTTGATATCAATGGAATCAATAGGATCAATAGCAATGCCGTGCGCGAAAGCAGGATTGGACTGGCAAATGGCGTGGAACAGAAGTATACTCACCAATCAAGACAGACTTGGGTGAGGCTTTCCGTCAGTGCCGTCAAGACCGTGCTCCCCGAAGTGAACTGGCTTGAGACGGAATGCACAAAACCCTTCCCAAGTGACGGTCGTCAAAGATCAGGATCCGTAGATTACCGGGCTGTACATGCCGCGATTTTCAAAGACGGGGTCGTGGGTAATGCCCGATCGAGCGGGTGGCTGGTGAAGAGGACAAGAAGCAATAAAATGCCCGCAGGAGAGCCGGAAGGCGGGAGCGGGATTGCAAAGACGACAGCACGGCAAGGAGTGCCACTCAAGCAAAGAAATATGCAGCAGCCGATGAGGCCAACACACGGGACACGGGGTGTGAAGGGCTTGGTGTCTTGCAGAGTGATGCTGAGAGAATCCATGGATTCTAGCAATGGGTGCTCCAGCAAATCGGCGCTAGCCACATTCGGGAGCCCCCTTCCAAAACCCTATAATGGCCAGCGGCCGAGCAAATCGCTCCGCAAACTGGCCGCAACGCTGCTGGTCTAATCATGGCACGCGGCCCAAGGCGCCTCTACTGGCTGCGAAGCTGAGATGTCCTTCTCTTAGACAGTGCTTACAGTACAGCTGAGTCCGACGCCCGCTCAAAATCCTCAGATGCTGACCTCGGATGCATGCCCCATCCTCCTGCATAACCGGGTTTGTCCTAGCCTGGACCGTGGGTAGAATAACGCGCACGAAGATCTGAGATTTTCGTCATGCCGCGACGCCCCGGCTCGAGTCTTGAATCTCTTCAAAGGCGCCGATGTAAAACCATGTGCTGTCTTGCGATAGGCCATCGTGATCCATTCAGCACTTGATGAATCTGACGGCTTAGCGCCTTCATCATGAATACTACCCAGCACCCAGCGTCTCCGTAATTAGCAGGGGTTGCAGATGGCACACTGGGTCTGGAAAAAGTGGCGCACTCCTCAAGCACTTGTCTCGTGTTGTCTCGTGTATGCACCTGTGTGCCACTGCTTGGAGTGCTTTAACGAGTTTTCAGGTTGAGGAGTTTCTATCTCGTTTGGATTCCTGAAAATGCATTAAAGCACCCTAAGCCGTGGCAGACAGGTATACACACGAGACACAGTGCTTGTTGTAGAATTGGAGCGCCACCTTTTTCATGCCCCGTGTGGTTGGTGACCAGCTAATATTACAGCCCGGACTCATCCTTCGTTTCATATCGTTAGCTCCTTCAATCCCTCCATATGTTCAATCTATACTTCAAGAACAATAGATCATTCTACAGCAGGAAGATGGTTTCAAGGCTCATCAAAACCATGTAGGTGACGTCTTCAGGGTTGTCTCACTTAAGCATGAAACCATCCATTGATTGAAACTCAATCATTCATTCATTCATCAGACATCTCCAAGTTAGACATTACCCGCCGCAGCAGTATGCTCGTAAACGCCCCAATAGCACAGGCTAGACTCGCACAACACCGTATGCCCGCTATGCATGTTTACCGTTGCTCAATGCAAGCACCAAGCCAAAAGCACAGCCGCCCCATCCCGATTCTGCACATGCAGCCCTCTCCCCCAAGCAGCACTTGCTGAGAGTCAAGATGCAGGGAAAGAACCTAAGCTTCATATCTGTAGTCGGACCCATATACCTCGACTCAGATCTGGTCCCTCCTCAAATCGCTCTTGAATCCTTTCGTCCGTCCCCACGCCACGTTCGGCACCTCATCAGCTGGATGTGGGGAGAAAGAGCGCAAGGTACGCTCGCAGCTCGGCAGATCTGTACCGCCCCAGGACGGAATCCCCGCAGGCACTAGCACGTCCCATCCCGCCTCGATATTCGGCTTCTCCCAGATCTGCTGTGCCGTGCTGCCGTGCTGCCGCTCAAGCCACGTGTGCAATAAGAACCACTTGTGCGTCTCAACAAAATCTGGACGCCGGTTAACAGCAAAGACGGTGAAGCGCCGCATAATGGTCTGGCTGAGGTCCACCAGACTCATTGACCATCGCAGCGCAGTGAGTAGGAGATTGACTTCATCAATCATACCAAGCTTGTCTTCCCGTGTCATGGCGTCGAAGTAGTCCCACACGGCGTCATCAATCTCAGACTGCTCGGGGTCAGAATCACGAAGTGCTTTTCGCATGGTAAATCCTGACTTCGGTGGTGGTGAAGGTGGCGCTGGGAGAAGAATTCGACCAAAGCGACAGCCCGGCTTGTGCGTAGGTGTGTGGTTCATATTCCACAGTGCTAGTTTGTGCTTCGAGATCATGGGAAAATTGGTTATGGGATCTCCAGATACGAGGGCGCGGGAGATGTTGTAGTGGTGTGTTTCGATCCAGGTAAAGGAGTCTTCCTCACTGTAGTTGGTGAAGCAGCCTTCATCCTTGCTATCTGAGGACTCATCCGTGTCAGTGGCACACGCAGTGCCGGTCGTAGTGCCGCTTGTAGGACCAATAGTCGCTGGAGCTGGCATGGATGTTGCTACCTGGAGACCGGAGTCACTGATAGGACCAGACTCAAGCGGCTGCACATCGCGATTATTCCGGACCTCTCCTTCGTTCCGGTGGACAGCAGGCTGGGTGGCTGCGAATGCTTCGACTTGCTTCCGTAGTAGGGCTGCAGTGACCTGCCCGTTCTCAGAAATCGGAATACCGCCTCTTTTGTTTCGATTTGCGATCCGTACTTCGTCTAGACTCAGGCGTTGATTAGTTAAACCTTTCGTTCCGTAGTTGATGGAGCTACCCAAAGATTGGTTGCTAAGGCGATTGCGCAGACCAGCTTGGTAGGGACTTGAGATCAGGGGTTGCATATCGAGAGTCTGCATCGACGACGACGGACCTTCATCATTGACTATGGCAGGAAGCGATGTGGTTTTGAAAAGAGAGTGTACCTCTGGATCTCCGCCACGTGGGGAAGGCGCGAGCGACGATCCAACAACCACGTTGTTTTGGGCCATGTTGATGCCGGGATCGTGGGTTTGCAAGATGGCCGAGACATCGGGCGACTCTGCTGCCTTCGGCACGTCTTCCCCTGCATAGCCGGTATCCGCATCTGATAGGAGTCCAGGACGCGTGCCACGTGCCTGCTGATCAGATTCTTCCAAAGGCGTGTTGTGAGGTGAGATATCCATGCTGATGGCGTTCCCGCAGGCACCGACCCCCATTTTATCGCCGCCTAGATCTGGACGCTTGATCTTTCCTGGAGACTGCTGGAAACGGCCAGTCCTGCCATTTCGAACTGCCGGGGACCTGCTAGACCCGCCCATCTTCACTAACGATCCTGAGCGTGTGGGAGTGTTCTGGTGTTGATGCGTTTTCCCCGAGATGGCAATGACTGTACATCAGTAGTGAGATGATGCCGGGGTGGTAGTTGGCGTGTGTTGTTGAATAAAAGAGCTTGTGATAGGCGACCTCCTGACGCGGTAGACGCGTTTTGGCTTGGCGCGCCGGAGGGTGAAAACAGAAGCGAGGATTGCATTCACCCGACCAGTTTATAAGGCGGAATGACTCCCAGAGTCCAGATCTACATCCTTTTGCGCCGAGCATGTTACTTCCACTCCTTCACCAGTCCGTCTCCATTCACCTGTGAGTTCGAGAAATTACTAGAACATCTCCTTTTTCCAGCGGAGATGACACCGTCTGTGGTCTCGAGGCGGTTCGGAGCTTGATCAGAGCGGTCTTATAGCTCGTTCTATTTCCTGGAATCTTGATGAGGCTCCCGTAATAGTAACTGGGAAGTATACACAGAGTGCCTTCGGCAGGTAGTCCGCCTACTTCGATGGATCGGAAAACAGCCGCATAGTTTACGTTGCCTTGTTTTCTAACGCAGTGGCGTTTTCTTTCGAGCTAGCTAGCTGAGAATTGGTCGGACGATGTGCTCCGATCTCACCGCGCAACGCCATGTGAAAGGGCACAATATCCCGTATTCGGCTACATGGCGTTTGGTCATGTCAAGTGAATCCGAATGGACCTGTTGCCGTTACACCAAAGCGGTTCTCAGAAACAGATATTTCCAGTTGGGATTCTGGCGGTCAGGTGCAAATATGTAGTCCCTGGGCTAGCTCCTGGTGATGTCTAGCGTAGATATGACTGGAAGTAGGCCTCGCGATTTGTCTTCGACCCGATCCAATTGGCACCCGGTACCTGGCATGATGATCGGCAGTGGTACTTAGTACAACCGCTCCTGTGAAACGTCGCACTGCATTTAGACTAGACCTATTGGCCCGACGGCAAGTACAGGCACCGTTCGCGCGATCGCACCCGAGAGTCAACTCCCTAAGGAGAAGGCCTGGAGAAATTCTTCTGGGTGGGAGGTACTGCGTTGGAATCGGTCGACATCTCCTTCACAACGCGTGCATAATCACTTTCTTCCGTCAGATGGCCGATATCGTGTAGTTGGACCCAACTATCGCGGCGCGTTCTCGAGGGCAGATATGGGTCATTGTTTCCTGCAGACTCCATGTGCGCTGGCTCGGGCGCATGCGGCACGGCCTCCACATGCTTTATTCCATCTTTGAGTCCAGGAAACTGATCATGTTGGAGGTAATCGCCATCTGGACTTGGCACGTGTAGGATCCCGCCCGGACGACTTGCTTGTTGTTCCCATGCATGTTCCAATTGGCCATCTCCTCTTGTGCGCCGATCGCTGGTGTCCACGGAGAAGCTACCCATGCGACTGATTTTGAAGGCTCTTAGCCTGTCCAGAGCAGTTTTGAAGTCGTCCAGGACCACGGAATCAGTAAGGCACTTAAAGACGAAAGCCAATTTCCAGAATGGATTTATTCCAACAGGAAGCGAGGACTTGAGAGCGTCGGTGACGGAGCAGACGTCGATGATGATGAATGCTATGCTGACAACCATTGCACCCATCATGACGCCAAATCGAGGAGATATGCGAATAATGTCGGCAATCCTAAGCTCGTATCGGACTTTGATGTTGTAGAAGAGGACAATCGTCGTCAATATCCACCAGGGGTCGCGACACAGAGCCTCCCATGGTCTCGTCTTAAGGAACAGGGTATTGATGTTATGGAAGTATGCGAAATTGGCGTAAATTTCGAGAACCCAGTAGGGTATGGAAAGGATGATGGTGGTGATGAAGAGAATGCTGGCAGGCCTTGATAGAAAGGGCTTTATTTTCATCCAAGCAATTACGTTGTGTAGTACCCAGGAGGCGTTGAGAAATATGGCGCCGCAGGAGAGCCACCAACCGGCAATTGGGTCGTGGAAGAATATCCAGAAGCCTTGCCAGATACCTAGGACGAGCTATGATGCTATGTCAGTGCGAAAATTCAAGTGTGGGTAGCGCAACCATTGTAAGATAGAAAAGTCTAGATATGTAATGGTCCGCAGCGCCCCTGACTTTTCAGGATGATAGAGTGTATGATGGAGGGATGTTGAACTGGCATGCAAGATCTAGCCGCGGTGGGAAGGTGGAGCTTGGGTGTAAAATGCACCGAAGCACTTTTGACAACGACGTTTCTTGGAAATACGTACTTCAAGTAAAATGAGCTATATCAATTTCTTATATTAGCTACAATTCGGGAGCCATATGCGACAACGCGCTTCGAATCAGGTTCAAATACACACCTTATGCAGTATCACGCCCTTCCGCATGTTCGCAATGGTGATGCAAGCCATTATGATGAGCGATCCCACCATGTAGCCCTGGGACCATGCTTCGAGAACGAGGCCATCGGGATTGGTAGGGCGTCCGACACGACGCTTCGCGAGGAAGACGGGCGCCAGTTCTCGTGGAATCGGACTCATAGTCGACGCGTAAGAATTTTATGAGTGGGATGATGTCAAAGGAAGAGCATCGCCTCTTTGGGGAACTGGCTGGGCATGACGAAGAAGGCGGCAGGCGGACGACAGAGATACTGCGAAGCCAGGCAGGTTATGAAGCAGGCGCTGGACCGAGCTGTGTGTGATGGCGAGAGGTGTCTCTCCATCAGCCCTCGAAACAGCACGAGCCGTCTTCTCCGCATTACGAGAGAAGAGGCGTCAAGTGGCGTCGCGCGACAAATCTTACCGCGGTGCAGGCCTGTCGCAGACTATGGGGCCGATGAGCTATCCCCGTCCGGGAGTCCATCCCGCCCCTCAACGGCCGTCATTCGGCGGCCGTCGGGGGGCTCTTTTGGCAGCAATGCTGAGGTGGAGTTGGGGCTGGACTGTTCTGAAGCATTTGCGCAATCGAGGAGATGGTCTATCGCGAGTCTGGCGTGCTATTTTGCCCACGGGCCTAGCCAGCGGTACTAGGTGCGGCGAGTGTTCCTCCAGCCCAGCTGTGCGGCGTATGACGAAGTGATGAAAGCGTCGCAAGTGCTTCGGCAACCGATCCACGGACAGGAATAGTATGGGGAAGTCAGGGGGTCGACTATCCTGGAAGGCGGCCCAGGAGCCGTGGTATCTGGGCTTACATGCAGAAACGCAGGGAACAGAGCATGTCATAGGCACACAAGCGTTGATTAAATCAAATTGCTAGGCAGGCCCGCAGGCTAAAGTCACGGCGTGTAGAATCTGCAGCAAGAAGCACTCAAGCTGCCTAGGCATGCTGAAGACTCCGCGCCACTTCTTCGATTGGCCGCATGTGCTGCTTTTCGTATACCACGACAGTCGACATCTAACTATATTCAATACAACGCACCGGAAAGACTTCTGTTTTGACGCGGGATATTAGGTAAGGTCTTGTGCAAGGTCCTCCGGCATTGTGATTGGTTGAAATCCTCGAGTAGTGAAGTAGGTAAATACTGCAGCTACGGCATAGAAGCTCCAGTAAGTCAACTTCGATCTTACATGCGATGCGCAGGACCCTTTACTTCAGATCGCTAGCTGATAGGAGATTTGAAGGTGAAAATCTCAGAGCGAGAGGCATATTGGCGGGATAGAGACAAATAGGGGCATACTACAGCCTCAAAAGGTAAAATACCTAGCGCTAATACGAGCTAGTCAAAATAACCTGTTTCTCACCGCCCCGTCTGGCCCCAACACAGGCTTAATGAAAGCACCACCACCACCACGTCCATCAACGTTGCCTGCCCGGGTCTCAATCCATCTTGTGACTCCACCCACCATCTGTCTCTTGTTCCTTGAAGCTCCAGAACTTCGACCGCTGTATCACGCCGTGCGTAGTATCGCAGTAACACGGCAATCATACACGCCTCAGCAGCACTCTCATTCGATTACCACGTCCTGCTCCATCAGCGGAAGGGAAGCATATACCGAACAGCATTTGCCACCAGGTAGACTTGGTCGTAACAAGATATGGACCAAGACGAGATGGACGAAAGCCCAAGCACGTCCAACCTCCCCGCCAAAGGGTTCTTCAAACTCCCCCGGGAACTTCCTGACCTCGTGTACTCCTACGCAGTTGTAGCTAGACACGAAAATGGGGGCCGCCAACCAGCTCTAGCTCTCAAGTTGCAGCTGTGCTTTCGCCGATGTAAGAGAGAGGTTGTAGGCCTCCTTCAGGAGGATCCGACGAAGTGGCCTGAATTCACAGCTCTTTCACCAAGCATCAACGTCAGCCTGCTTTGTGTCTCTCGTCAGGTCAACACCGAAGCGGAAGAAGTGTTTTACCAAGAGAATATCTTCGTCACAAACCCTCGCTTCTACCTCCATGTATTTGCGCGCTCGGATCGTCACTACTCTAGCCTTGGCTCCCTGTTAGAAGAAAACTCAATTCGACGACCTATACCCGCCTACGCTTCTGACCAGCTTACGAGCCTTCGTTGCACAACATGGTGGATCCCAGGATCGTATAACCTTTTCCCTGATATCTCCGACGAAGCTGCCATCCACGAGGAAGGAATAGGATCACAACTTGGACCTCTATCCTTTCCTCAGAATACATTAGATTTCGTTCGAGCGCCATTAGTCGGCCGAAATGACCGAAAGATTAGCTTTTTGGATTCGTGGGGATCATTCCTCTGTCGCATCGCCGCGCTACCGAACTTGCGCAGGCTCTACACGTCCTACCTTACCTTGGAAAAAACGCTAGAAAGGATAATAGCGCGACCCAAAGGGGTCACCGTTACCAACCTGGTTGACGTGGTCTTGGGCCGAGTCCGAGAGACATTCCAGGCACGAGAAGCTCGAGGTTTGCCGAGTGTCGATGTCCATTTTTGCGGCACTCCCTTGAGCCGGCTAAACGATGCTCATGAGTGGGAGCATTGGAGCTTGCTTGATTGCACACGTGCAGAATGCACGGCACTTGGTGAATAGAGTTCAGCAGATCTTTCAACGACTTTTCAGCGGAATTGATGAGATATTGGCATGCCGATCTTCGTATCAGCCCGGTTCTCTGCATCTGCGTCTGTTTTGCTTCCGCTTTTATTATTCATCTTACTCCTACGCACATACAGTGGTAGATGTTCCTACTGATCGAATCATCCTGACGTTTGTCTGCTTGCTACTGGCAAGCTTACTGCAGATTTCCTAGCACTTAATGTAAGCAGGTAATCAAGCGTCATCTCATACATAAGCTAAATGACCCGGCTTCTTCATATCGTCTATTGCTTTGAATCTAAGATCTAGATTCGGTCAATCACCTTCGTTGGGATGACACCTTAGCCTGATTTCAAGAGATTCTTCGAACTTCCTTTGGAGCTCCGGGAGCTGATGTACTCCTTTGCAGTCGTTACAAGAGGCGCAAGCGGAGTCATGCTGACCCCATTGGCCATAACCAACCGCCATCTTGATGAGCTTTGGCGCCGTTTCAAAAGAGAAATAAAGAGCCTATTACCAAATGGCTTACAGCCCCGCCAACCTCCTACGTACTTGTCGCCAGATCAAAGTAGAGGCAGCGAAGTTCTTCTTCGAGCAGAACCACTTCGTCATCGATCCTGACTTTTGGTCCGCTCAGGAGACATGGCTGGTGTCAGAGGTCGAAAAACTTACAACGAACCCCTTTCTAGCTTCCGCCTCAGAGCAACTTCGCATTCTACACTTCAGGAGCTGGCCTAGCCTGAATTTTTCCTCGCGCAGGATTCCTATAGACCTCACTACCGAAACGGCTGCCCGAGCATAGCATGTTGGAACGCTCATGCCAGCTCTAGTATTTCCCGCTGGCCCGGCAAATGGCGCTGCGCCGTTCTCCTCGTTATTTGCAACGCGTTTCGACTCGAGTCTAAATCCTATCGTAGCGCTGCCGAACTTTTGCCAATTGTTCTTGGATTATTCTAGAATTGCGGCAGGGATGCAAAGCTCACTTGATCTGCATACACCTGATCCGTTAAAACTTTGTGGGTATCCGTCCCCATGGTCCTGCTTTTTTAGCCCATATGGAGGCCCTCATTTGCAGACTACGAGACAAGCTGCGCCTTCGGCAATCTCTCGGCTTGCCCGATATCGATGTTCATCTCTGCGGTCTGACTTTGGAAACGCTCAACACTGGGAATCTTCAATGGAAGCACTGAGCTTGGCTGCAACAAGCCGGACTGCACTGGCAGTAGGAAAGGGAGCAGCGGCACTCGAGAAGAGCGTGCGCTCAACAAGAGAAAAAAGAACCTTGTAGTGTGATGAGTATGATGCCACCAAGCTTACTGCCGCCGTGCACTTGCGCACAGCGCTCACCCCGTGGTATTGAGGTTGAAGGTTCTGGCGTCGAGCCCCAGGTCGAAGTCGGCTTGTGATGGTTTTCACGATTTTTCTTCTTGTCCAGCGCTTGTACCTTGTAGTCGTTACTTTTGAGAATCTAGAGGGTCATCACCGTCTGAGAATCCTCCTCTACATCTCCAGATCATTAACGTGACGCAAACCCATCCTGCTGAAACAAACACTCAGCTCCCGAGCCTACCTCATGCACGGCATATGTACAATGACAAGCCATTACAGCCAACCACACCCTGCGATCCAGCACCAAAGCCACGTGACCCGGCGTTAATCCCGCTAACCCCGCAAACACCACCGTCACCACTCTCAAGACGAACGGATTACGGCGAGAAACGTAGCGCCGAATCCCTTGCTCTAGCGAAAGTATGTTACGACATCGGGGAAACAAAAAGGTCGCGCCGGTATGCTGCTAACTCAGCTTCGTATATCCACGAAGGGCCTCTAGCCTCGTTTCGTATTCCGCATTGTGTAGGTGGAGTGGGCGGAGAGTTGGAGCTTGTTGTGCAGACTTGATCCCGGAGCTTCAGCTGCAGGTATACTCTGGATGATGCCTGGAAGATGTTTGGGCTGAAATGCTTCGGGTCCGAGGAGTCGATTATGGTGGCTTGAGGCATTGGATGGTGGCCGGGGTTTGGGAGGGGTTAAGTCCTGCGACTATCATTTGGTATATATATAGTCATTTTCCCTTAGCTTTTGAGCATATATCAACCACTCCTCTCGCAGCCTCTTGCCTACATCGACCACTGCCCCCTCACCCTTCCGATATCCAACTCCAACAACACCCACATCACTCACCATGGCATCCTACTCCGAAGTTACCTCCAGCTCCACCCCCATCCCAGAAGGCCAGCACCTCGCCGCAATGCTCCTCTCAAAGGGTAGCCCCCTAACCCTCTGCCACCGCCCAACCCCAATCCCGGGACCCAACGAGCTTCTCATTGCCGTGCACGCCGTCGCCTTCAACCCCGTCGACTGCTACCAGCGCGCCTACGGCCTCTTCATCTCCTCCTACCCCGCCATCCTCGGCTCCGACATCGCGGGCGTCGTCCTCAGCGCCGGCTCCGCCGTCCCCGCCTCTGCGCCTCTGCCAGGGACCCGCGTGACCGCCTTCGCGACCGCCTTCTTCGAGCAGGGAAACCCAGACTACGGCGCGCTGCAGACGCGCGTGCTCGTGCCGGCTGAGAACGCGGCGCCAATTCCAGATGCGGTCAGTTTCCAGGACGCGGCGATGTTGCCGATGGCTGTGAGCACGACGTGGGCCGGGTGGAGCACGGTTGGCTTGCCGCGGGAAACGAAGTACACGCCGGCAGACAAGAAAGGGCTGCTCGTTTGGGGTGGTTCGGGGAGTGTTGGGAGCGTGGCCGTCCAGGTAGCGCGCATGTTTGGCTTTGTGGTGTATGCGACGGCGAGCGAGAAGAACCACGCGTATGTGAAGAGTTTGGGGGCGAGTAGGGTGTTTGACTACAAGAACGCGGGGGTGGTGGAGGAGATTGTGCGGGCGGCAAAGGAGGATGGGTTGAGCATTGATGTGGCGTATCATGCTACGCCGCAGAACTTCAAGGAGACGTTGGATGTGGTCAAGGCATTGAAGGTCGTGGAGACGGGGAAAGTTGCGATGGCGGCGCGCATGGATGAGAATTCGCCCAAGGTGGAGGGGGTGGAGGCGAAGTTTGTGTTGAATCCGGAGCCGCTGGAGGCAAGAAAGGAGCAGTTTCGTTTCGTATTCCACGACTGGCTGAAGGGGAAGCTCGCGTCAGGAGAGCTCGTGCCGAGTCCAAAGGCCAGAGTTGTTAAAGGTGGTTTGGGATCAGCCAACGAGGCGCTGGATGAACTGATGAAGGGTGGTATAAGTTCCGAGAAGCTCCTAGTCGAAATTTAGGGTTGCCTTGGGGCTTAATGGGTTGGATTAGACCACTCTGTGAAGTCTAATGCCAATTGAATAATCCATACTTCACGTAGCCTGGGCCTTTAATTCTGCAATTTGGGTTGAGATGGGCTGTCCATTACCGAACCACCTCCTTGCCGCGTACTTCCAGCAGACGACAGAGCGGCCGTTACCACGGCCGACGACATCAAAGCCGTCAATTACTTCAGGTGTCCCATTATCGCTTGCCTGATCAGGTTGGTCACGCCAGATTTCTATGTGATCCCATCGGTGGGCGGATCGAAGCCAATCACGCCAATACTTGTTCGCAGGGGCGCTCTCATCCTGTACTATTTGATAGCTTTTAGCCATCTGCGCGACCCTGAGAGCCTGGGCCATGTCCGCAACCTCGAACAACACCACAATCGCTTGGTGCGAGTCGGCAATTTTCAGAAGTCGTGGATAGAACGTGTCGCCTTGGTCCGTGTGTGGTCCCTGGGAATTCACCGGCGGAACCAATGCTAGCTTGGGCTCGAAATCACGAACAGAGCGGCTAGTCGTGTGCAAGAATTCATTTGGTGAGATGTATGGCGGGTTACAAATGATAACCTTCCATATTTTCGGTCTGGGTTCGTAAAAAGTACTTCTGCGCCGTCTCTCGCCGAGGCGTATGGTTGATTGGAGACGTAGAGCTGCTTCAAGACTCGGGACATCCGATTCTGGTTTTGCAGGATCGTGGGTCAAATAATCTTCGGCGAGCACATCTGCCTGTATGAATTCAGTCGTGTTCAATATGTCGAGCGACCGTCGAGGGGTATCGTATTTTGGACCTGTTGGATGGGACAATTTCTGCTCTTCGTCCACATTTGGGAGCTGCAAACGGGCGGTTTCGAGCAAACGACTTCTGTTGTCCTGGGCCAGTTGGAGGGCCTCTAGAGAGATATCTACGCCAAGCAATCGGAGTTGTATATCTGGTCGCGCTTTGGCGAGTTCATGCTGAAACAAAAGCGGAATACATCCAGATCCTGTGCATAGGTCAAGAACTCGTAGACGGCGCGGAAGCTCGGGTGCTAGGCTGAGAAGGTGGACAAGATAGGAGATAGAGGCGGCGGTTTCTTGCCTTAAAGCATGATATCCATTAGCTTGTATTCTAAACCAGAGATTTCCGGCTTCTTTACCTTGGAATAAGAACCCCAGGGCGACATTCCAGCTCGAGATCTCCGAAGTACTCTGTACCCAGAATATATTGCAATGGCTTGCCCGTCGACCTCTCATCCACAAAGCGATTCAACAATGCATGCTGCGTCTCCACATCTCCTGGCGCAGTCTTTTGCGCGTGTTCCTTAAGCCATCGCAGTTCGTTATTCGCAGCAGCGCGGTCTTCACAGGGCTCGATGAGACGTTCTAGAAGACGCGCCTCGAATTCGGCACCCGATGAGATCGATTGAAGGTTTCGAGAGGGAGTTCGTGGAAGAAATGCGCGATTTCCAAGGTCCTTTGGCTTGGTTCTGATTAGTAGGCATTGTGGTGGCAGCCTAAAAGGCCATCGCATGATGGAAGGTAGTGTTGAGGATCGGAATTGTGAGACCCTGACCTCGGGGGACGCGGTCTCGGAAATATCCGTCGCGTACTTAACGACACTGCATTCTAACCACTTCATATTCTACGTACTTTCGCGCCATTGAAGTCTTTATAATGAATAAACGTCAAGCTGTTCTAATATGGCGCCTCCTAGAGAGGTCGCAATGCTAGACAAAGCGGTAAGCATTCAGCCAGATGTAGCGTCAGAACTCTCTGTTATCATCAATCATTACCTGGGTGCACGCGTCCGAAGAGAACGAATTGCCTTCATGGTAGTCTGACTACATAACCTAGGCACTATATCTTCAAGTTGGGAAGTGGTGCAATGATCAAAGCATAGCTATAATACGCTCATTCTTGCTAGGTACCTAATTCCTAGAAAGCAAATATCATGTCAGAACCAACGAAGCCATCGTTCCTTGTCCTTTCCCTTTCTTCGCTCAGAGCTTCTCAAAAACTTCCAATGCGGCCTTTGCCGTACTGTGCGCGCTCTGTGGGTTCATGCCAGTCACAACCCTCCCATCGACGATATGAAAGTCGTCCCAGACGCCGTCGGCTCGAACGTCTGTATCGGGTAAAGGGTTAGTAGACGTCTCTTTCAATTGGTAGCCACAGCTCCAAAGTCATGATCAAGCATATTTGGCAAGAAGGGAAATAACGTACACTTGGCACCCAGCTTCTCCGCCCACTCATCGATCAGAGGCTCGCCCCAGCTTCGGATGGGCTCCATAATGTGCATGTCATACTCGCCTTGAGTTGTGAAGCCCGTGATTGTCTTGCCCGCAATGATGGACTTGCCGGTCTCCGGGTCGATGACGCCGGGAAAGATTGCTTCACCGTGGCAGCTAGGCGGAACATATCAGCCAAAACCTCCGATGGCAACCCTAATCGAAAGAGGAACAGGGAACATACACAGCAGACACAACACCACCCTGCACCCACACATCCGTCGCAATCTTCTGTAGGCCTTTCGCATGCGGGTAGTCAATCAGCGCCGCATGGCCTGCGCTAGCGTAGAAGATGCCATACTGTCAATCATGCGTAAGCATACTCCTCATTTCAATCTCGGCGGCTTCTCATACCTTTGACCCATCAATAGTGTTCACGGCGGGCATATTATCCAGTTTCTGCCGGAACTCGCCGCTCAGATCCTCCCATTGCTTCTTGTCATCACCATGTAAGAAGTCCGGTGTTTGACTCAACCAATCGGGGACATATGTGCCTTTCTCAGACACGAGGTCTACTTCGAATCCAGCGGCTTTGAAGTCTTGGAAAGGGTGGAGAGCTTCGCTGATGAAGAGACCTGTTGGGTTGCCATTATGGAGAGGAGCGGTGGCAGAAGTGACTGCGATGATGGCGCGGCGTGGGAGAGGAGACATGTTGAGAGTATTTAATACCGTGCAATTAGTTGGAAGATTTTTGGATATAAGTCTTGTTGATCAGAGTCAGATTGAGGAAGGTTTGAAGGGTATTTCAGTAGTAGGGTGATTCTTCAAATATTGACAGCAAATACCGCATTTATATATCAACCTCACCATAACCCCGCTGCTACATCTCTATCTTTCCACGCACACTAAGATTACTAACAGAGGAGTTGTCTAAGCGAGTTTTGGATGCAGCGATGAATAGGGCGGCACGACGAACAGGGCGGACAGGGTATATGCTCCACCCTTACCCGGATAGCAAGGCTGATTGGCTACAACGCCAAGTATTGCAACCTCCCCTGTAAAGTCCTCAGGTGCTTCACGCTTACAGATTAAGCCTGTTTCAAAGTAGACGAATCGAAGTATAAAGGTGCTGCCATGACAAAGCAGCTGAATACAAAGAGTGCGGCCGAATGCAGGTGTGGCTGATGCATTCGGCCGCACACTTTGTATCACGATGTCAGTAGTAATCCGATGCATTCGCTTCTTTGTAACTGTCTTAACTCCGCGGGTTAGAATTGAAATCTACAGAGTTCACTTTACTCAAACATCCAATCAGCATGTAAAGATCAAAGCTGTCGAAACTAAGCCACATGTTGACCGATGAACCACTTGCCAGTTGAGGCCCTCCTTGCAGTGGTGTTAAGCGTGCAAAAGCGGAGAATACAGTATCACTATTGACGCAGCACCTCGGAGATCCTGAAGAAAGATATTAAAATGGTACTGTCTCTCCTCAACCCACCCCAATGAACAGTCCATCCAAACACCAAACGCCATAAGTCCTGCGCAAGTAAAAGTACACACAAAGAATCGCGCGCTATGCAAAAGCCCATCTCGGGGCTGCAAACAAGCCCGAGACATGCGACGGGCAAGAGAAACACCCGAGTATCTCTCATGAAGAAAGAAGAGAGAAAGGAACAAAGCCATATTAAAGTCGAAGAATCAGTCCTTCCTGTTGGCAAATATGCACAGATAACAACTCCAAGCCTGTTCCTCGTCTGTCGCATCCATCCATCGTTTAAAGCCACTTATTCATCCAGCGATCTCGATCAAACAGCTATGCCAACCACTCCACCCAACAAGAGTAGTTTCGTTCCATCCAGCCAGCCAGATAGTTAATCTATACAGACTAGCCAATCACCCCATCAATCACCTCCTCCCATCCTCCCCAGACCCCAACAGCTTTGAAAGAAGAACGCCGGTGCTGCAGCGACAACAGAGCGTACGCGAGCTTACCTCGAGCATGTTCATATGTCCTCCCCTTCCCTTCTCTCGCAATCCAGCTTTCATGAGTCTCCAGGGGGAGTAGGCAACCGCCGCCCCTCCTGCTCCGGACTAGGCGGATGAATAATCGTGACAGGTGCACTTCCCCCACTCCCACCGCTATCACGGTCCCGACTCCCCGCGCCCTCCCCATCCTCTCCCTCTTCCATAATCGGAGGCGGGCTAGCCACGCCAGCTCTATCATCACTACTCCCAGCCGCTTGCCGTCTCCTTCTCCTCTGGTTCCGCTCAGTATCTGCGCTCTCTCGTCGTCGTCGGACTCTCAGACTGTCATCGCGCGCGACACCATCGTCCCCGTCGCCGCGGAGGCCCTGCAGCATACTCGCCGCACGGTCCGCAACGTCTTGCTCAGCATCTGTCGGGCTGACGAGGGTAGGCCCGTCCGAGTCACCCTCCGACTTGGGGCTCAGCAGACCAACATTGCTTGGCTCGGCGTCGCCGCCGTCGTCGGAGCCAGGGCCGACGTCTGGGATCTTTTGGCCCGAGGCAACCCGTACCTGGTGTCGGTCCTTGAGGCGGGCGCGCCGGCGGCGGTCGCGCTGGTCGCGGGCCTGCGGGGCGGCGGCGCGGAGCTTCTCGAGGAGGGTGTCCATGGCGCCGGTGGAGGCTGGGGAGGGGGGCGTGCCGTCTGCAGAGGAGGCCGTGGCCGTGTTGGCGAGCGCCGGGTTGATTTGCTTGCGGCGCATGGAGGCTTCGTTCCTGCGGTGTTGGTCTTCGAGAGCGATGTTCTTTTCGCGGGATTTCTGTGCACGGGGTAAGCTTCAAAAACACATTTGGATGCTTCCTCCCACTCATGAACGCTAGAAACCCTGACCTTGTCCTCCTCCAACTTGCGCAAGGATATGAGAAGATGAAGAAAAAGGAAGTACCAACCTTCCACTCTTGAACGAACGCCGCCAACTTCGCAAAGAAGTCTCTCCGCGCATTGTCATCTGTCGGATCCTCGCCATAGAACGCCATGATATCGTCATATGTCTTGGTCATCTCCTCAAGGAACAACTGCATCTGCTCCGCTTTCCTCCTCGCATCCTTCATGCTTCTTTGCACGACAATGCTCACCCTATCCTCGGGATGGAATTTGCTTGGGTCAGACAAGTTGCCAGAGTCAAGCGACATCTGCACGTTCTTGATGGTGTCGATGTACTTCTTAGCGTCGAGCTGGAGCTGTTCGACGTTGAGTTTTTGGGCAGTGATGACGCCGCCAATCTCCTCCGCGAAGCCTTCCCAGCCTGGATACTGGTTCCTGACAACACGCTCGACTACATCGGCGAATGTGCTCTCGTTCTTGTCGTCCTTTAGCATACCTAACCTAGATAGCGTAGAGAGCTTGAAACCGTTGGCTTGCTTGTTGGCGTCGTTCATGAAGTTACCAATGTCAAGGATAAGCCCTAGAACCGATATCAAAGATGTCGAGTCGCGCAATGATTCCGAGACCCGGACGACCTCTTGCAATTTCCTTGCAATCTCATCGTAGTCGGCTTCGAAAGTACGAGTGAGTGTAAGCGCCCTCATCCTACTCTTCCAGTAGTGATGCAGCTCGAAAGCAGTGTAGAGATAGATCTGGTCCTCGCGCGTCAACTCGTTCGGATCCTGCTCTCTCTTGCTGTCCACAGCATTCGGACCAGACCAGTCTTTAGAATACGGTGCCATGAGCTTGGCAGTGTTATCAGGGATGTCACAGAAGTCGGGCTTTTGCATGAACTCCATGACGACGGTGTTGTCCAGCAGTTCCTTGTCGCAGTGAATGATACTACGCACGATCTCATCAACAGACAGTGTGCTGAATTTGGACATGCTGATCTGGAAATTTTGCATGAGATCGCGGGATATAATCTGCTTCTTCTCGTCCTTCTTGGAGGTCTTCTTGCCAATGGCCTTAATCTCTTTCGCCAAAAACAGCTTCTCAACTTCGTCAAGAACACCCTTATTGCTCAGTTCACGGTACTTCTCCTCCTTCTCTTCATGCGTCGGCGCGTGGTTGGCCCAAATGGTGGTTTGTGGTGCATCGACCTTCTCCCAATGGAGAGCCTTGAGCTTCTTCTTCGGACGCGCAACTGAAAGACCAATTGATGGCGCGGCGTTGAACTGGTTCTGGTGTGGCATGAACCCACCACGCCTTGCACCTGGCATTGGCGGTGCGCCAGGAACAAACCCTCCAGGTGGCGGAGGAGGAGGCATAGAGCCGTCCATCTGACCAGGCATTGGCGGAGGAGGCGGGATACCCATACCGGGCATTGGTGGTGGAGGGGGAATGCCCATACCAGGCATTGGTGGTGGAGGTGGAATACCAGGAGGGCCACCAGGGAAGCCCAGCATTCCAGGAGGTGGAGGTGGAGGAGGGGGGATATTAGCATTATTATTAGATCCGGGCATAGGCGGGGGGGGAGGTATTCCGGGAGGACCAGCGGGAAACCCAAGCATCCCAGGGGGTGGAGGAGGAGGTGGAGGTATCGCTGAAGCATCTGTTTTGGGTGGTATCTCATCAGCCTTATCGGCATCCGCAGGCGTCTGGGGGTCGGACTCGAGACTTGGATGCGAAGGACCGGTCGTGACACCATCCCCTTCCTCATCGTCACTCTCATCATATCTCTTGACCTTGTTGGCGATCTCGCCGAGGAGGCCAGTAGCTTGTTGTGGGTTCATCTTCGGCCTTCTCATTTCCACAAGTCTCGGTTTTTCGATGACCGCATCCTCCTCATCCTCGTTGACTTCAGGCATCCTGCCATCTTCTTCGACCGAGGAGTCTCCACCGATTGGCTTCCTCCTTGGCATGGCACTTTTCTGGCGTGTGACAGAACCCATATATGCGTTGCTAAAGTGGCTGTAATCCTGAGCTTGTCCACTACTCTCGCCCTCCATCCGTTCTCTGAGTTCTCGAAGCTTCTCGGACGGCGTGACTTGGTTCATGTTCTTGCCCTCAAGCTGTGCTTGCGTCTTCGCCCTTTGCAGCTGGATTTCGAGTCTGCCCATCATCTTCTCACGGTCCAGAATACCTTGCATTTGAGTAGGATCGGTGGCGCCGAGGGCTTCTTTGCCACCCTTCTTCGAAGCAGACGCAGCAATATCTTGAGCATCGCGAAGCATGAGATAGAGCTCGCGAGTCTCTAGCTCATTGCGTTGCAATTCTTGTGCCCGTATCCGTTGAATTTCAGCTAATTCAGCCTTCATGGCTTCAACTTGCCTGCCTCGCAACTCGATAATGGACGCCTGCTCTTCGAGCTGTCGTTGTAATTTTGCCACGACACCATCAGCACCAAGCTCGAGCTGTGCTTTCATTTCATCGCGTTCCGCAATGGCCGAGTCTGCGATTTGACGAGCCTCGAGAGCCTCATGGTGCGTTTGGCGAGCTTCGCTATCGGTATATAATCTATCCAACAGACTCTGAACGGAGAAATTAAGACTCTGTTTGAGGTCCATATCTGGTAGCCGGCGGTCCATGGCCACATAGCTTAACATAGATTCGACAAGCTGGAACATGCGTAACCGTTCTTCCCCTTCGTTATCCCGTATCAGGAGAAGATGCTGCAGTGCGGAGACAAAGTAGTCTTCGGTCTTGCTGCCCTGAATCTTGCTCATAATAGCATCGATAATCTGCGAAGGGTCGTTCATATCTTTGACCTCGCCCTCAACGCTATCGACCATCGAGTTCTTCTCCGTATCAAGGAAATCTTCATAGTCGATAGCTTCGTTTGTCCTGTAACGCTCAATCTGCTTGTCGATGACCTCGTATTGAAACCCTTCCATCTTGGTCAAAATACGCTGGATGCCACATGTCCTGAATTGTGATCGTATATGCATCCGTAATTGAAGCTCCCTTTCAGGAGCGTCGACAATCATGTTGATGAGGAACATTGAAGCGACAGCGTATTCCATGAGAAGGTTCTCCATTCCAATGCCACCGCTGCGGACTTCGTCTGAGGCGCCGACCAAGGATCCCATCTTTCCACGACCATCGATCGTGACCTCCACAATCCGCATCCATGCATCGAATCGGCCATTCTCGTTTTGCTGCGTTTTCAGGTGGTCCAGCGCTTGGAGCACCTTCATGTGCCCCTGACCGTCTGCCCAGTGACATAAAAAGGTGAGAACTTCAGAAACCAGCCTCCGTGTATTTAGGCGTGGCGATATTAATGATCCAGCCAAGGCCATGACAATCTGCGAGTGCGAGAGGGCATTATCGGCGCCATATTTGTTGTTCATGAGCGCTTTCAAACACTTGACGATGTCGTACTCCCTATCCAGGTCCTTATCCGGCGATGATTGATCCCTCATCGGTGGCGCTGGGCCCTGGCCTTGTCTGCGGTTGATCTTGCCCAACACATTCGTGAGTGCAATTTGGCCCTGTGCTTCTACAAACGCCTTGACCCATGCAATCGGCTGTGTTCTTAGACTAACAGAAAGACTCTGGAGTTGCTTCGCTGAGATTGAATTGTCCATGACTCTCCGCACATACCACTCGGGGCTTCCCTCTTCTTCTGCGCGGCTAAGTATGCCTCCCATTGCATCAGATCCAGTGTATGTTGTACGTTGCGTCTGCCTCTTCTTTTGCTCGTGTTGGTATTCAGCAAGTTTATCTTGATACACGAGGGTCCACTTCTTGTCAATCTTGTACGCTTCCATCTGCCGTCTAGCCTGCTCCGGTAAGCTTTTCCAGCCGCGTTTTACCATCAAGTTCATGAACTCTTTCTCTATAACATGGTCTGGTGGTCTTTGCAGGTTGAAGCTCTCCGGTGCAAACGACGCGGTCGATGAAAAGGCGGACGGGTGGTTGGACGAGAGATGTTGGTGTGATCCTTTCGCGTTCATGTGTATGCCCATAGCACCGGCGGTAGGGAGGAGGGTTTGGTTGTCGAGACCAAGCGTGGAGAAGGTGCTTTGCGAGCGGTTATCAGAATACGAAAACATGTTAGAGAGGCGATGGTCGCGGTGCTTTGAATCGGTAGAGTAAATGCTGGCCTGATCCGAGGACGTGCGCGTGGTGTTGTTCGACGAGTCGGTTACGTAGGATTGGTACGACTGCAGATTATGCTGGCTGTTGGATCCGTTGGCGGTACTCCCCCGGCCCGCGGACCCCCATTGTTGCACCGAAACTCCTCGATCGCCAGGCTGGCTGGTGGTTATGGTAGTGCCGGACCCATGCGGCGGTGGTCGAGGTGGACCTGAGCTAGACGAGCCATTGGTAGGAGGACGAGAGGGATCAAATACAGGGTATTGGTGAAAGTCTCCTCCTCCCTTGTTCAGATGGTGTGGCAGAGGCTCTGCTCGTCGGGCGGCTCTTGGGTCGTCATTGGGTAGATACTCCACGGGAACGGGTGAACGACTGTCCATCATGTTGTCATAGGGAATCGAGGTTATGACGCCTGCTGTCATAGAGAGCCCCGACGAATCCGGCCCCATGGATATTGGCCGCTCTATCGATGCAACTGAGGCCCTATGCGAATGTCTCGAGGATTGCGAGCCGGGCTGGCTGGGGGGTTGGCTTGGGGCGCTGGGATAGAGATGTCCTTCGGCTGCGGGCTGCTTCTCCTTGTGCAGTCTCTTGCCAAAAAAGCCCTTCCCGCCCGATGATTGCCTCGACTTGCCATCCTGCGGCGCGTTCGAAGGCATGGCACAGGATGTGGTGTATATCGGCGCCGGTGGTGGCAGCGGCGGGCGGTCCGAGGCGTCTCTCACGCGGCTTGAATTGGAGTTGCTGCAATGCCCTGGGCGGGCCTTCTAGGATATGTGAGCCACGATTCCGACCTGGCTGATACAGCCTTATGCGTTGAGGGGTGAAGGTGGTATAGCGGGCAGCAGTCGTCAATCGTCAATAACACGGACTCGGAGAAATCGACAAAGGTGTCCCCCGGCCGTGAACGGTGACGGTGGTCGGTCAGCGCGCGCCGTGAGCGCAGACAGGATCCAGGCTTTGCGGGCGCATCAGCACATCGGGGGGCGTGTCAAAGAGTTTGGCGTGGTCTGGGGAAGGGGGGTTTGAGGTTGTCGAGCCGTCCACTGATCCCCATGCGCCACCCCTGAGATTGAGCCATCTGCCAAGCTCCAGCGAACACTCCGCAAACCACGACTCAGCCAGCCCTCACTCTCCACGACGCCAGCTCGTCCACGCCTCGGACCGCCTCTGCAGGTACCCGCCGTCCGAACCATTACGCCGCCCAGGCTGCTGCATCCGCCATGTCGGGCTTCTTGGGATTCCTGAAGGTATGGCATTCGCGCCAGCGCCAACCCGGAGTCCACCGGGGGAGTATATAGAATAGCACCAAGCTGACAGTTACTTGCGCAGACAATCCTCGTGCCCGCCCTCGTCTCGCTCATCGTCTACCTTCTCCTCACGCACCTCGTCCTGCCCTTTGTGCGCCGCCACAGACACCGCTACAACCAATACCTACCTGTTCAAGGCGGGCTAGATTCGATCTCCTCCGGCACATCTTCACTACGGCAACGGGCTTCGGACGCTCTATACGCCTTCTTCGTCCCCTCGAGCTGGCGGCGAAGACACGCTGTGGTGGACGGCTCTTACGCCAGTGATAATCATGAGGACGAACTATTTGACGACGAAGAGGGCGAAGGCATGGTCGGCTTTGACATTGACGAAAGACGGCGGGAAGCGCTAGAGCGGCGGAGGAGCGGTGTTGGCGAGGAAGACCGACGGCTAAGTCGGGATCTGGAAGAGGGCTTCAAAGACGACAGCGACGATGAGGGAGACACGACACCTAGGAACTCGCGGTGATCACGGTGGCATAAAAGTGGCGAGCGACGCATATACCCCTCTTGGTACATAAAATTGTCAAGCATAGCATTTGGATTGAGTTTGCGTTACATTCAAGGTATTTGCTAGAACCATGACCCTCCATATTGAGAAAACCCGTTGTTCAACCTGAAGAACACCACTTTCACTTACAGCCCAAAACTAAATGCTAGAAACTCGTCTACTTTCGCTGGCCGTATGCCTTGGTGGCATAGTCGCCCGCGTGCACGATCAGATCCTGAGGCCTGTACTTTAGACGGCCAGAGAAGTATTCGTCCAGAATTGCCTTGGTGCCAGCAGCATATCGCTATGGGTAGTTAGCATCTAGCGTTGGTGTATTTGTCGGGTTGGACATACCTTCTGCGCATCAATCGAGGTACCGGACATATGGGGCACCATAGCGTTTCCGCCTCCCCATGGGTTCTTTGCGTATCGGAGAGGGTGGTCCTTGGGGGCGGGCTGTGGGAACCACACGTCACCACCGTATCCCCTGAGGTGACCGGATGCGAGGGCATCAGCGACATCCTCCTTCACAACAATGGCACCACGAGCAGTGTTCACGAGCCATGATCCTAGCATGCCGTTAGTGACGCCCCAGTCAACACCGGGGAGCTTTCTTACCCTTCTTCATCTTGGAGATCAACTCCTTGTTGAACAGTCCTCGGGTTTTCTCGTGCAGCGGGCAGTTGATGGTAACGACGTCACACTGTGCCAACATCTCCTCCAAGCTGTCCACACGACGGCAGCCAATCTCCTTCTCCACCTCCGGAGATAGCGGCTGGTAGTCGAAGTAGAGTAGCTCCTTGCAGTCGAAGGGCTTGAGACGCCTCAGGACACGCTCACCGATGCGGCCAACCGCCACGGTGCCGACGACCTTGTCTTCCAGGTCATACTCGTTCTTCGCGACAGCGGCGACGTTCCAGTCGCCAGCCTGGATCTGCTCGTGGGCAGGGACGAAGTTGCGGACCAGGGTCAGGATCGTCATGACGACATGCTCAGCGACGGAGACGACATTGGAGCCAGTGACCTCAGCAACAGTGATGCCGCCATTGGTCTTGTTCGCGGCGTTGAGGTCGACGTGGTCAGAACCGATACCAGCAGTAATAGCAATCTTCAGTTTCTTGGCTTTGGCGAGACGCTCGGCGGTGAGGTAGCCGGGGTGGAATCTATGATGATACAGTATCAGCAACTGCCGTGACGCTCATGCGCAGGAGTGGGTCTTGGAATTGGTTTCATGCAGGGTGCGAGCGGGGTACACGTACGGTGTGGTGATGATCACTTCAGCGTCAACCAGCTCTTGGTCGAACTTGGAGTTTTCGCCCTCCTTATCCGAGGTGGTGACGAGAGTATGGCCTTGCTCCTCAATCCATTTCCGGATGCCCAGCTCGTTCTCGGTGGTACCCAGAAGCTGGGGTTCTTGCTCGGCGTGGACGCCGCCCTGCAACCATCGTCAACACCGACCCGAGCTGCAAGAGCGGTCAATTGGACTGGGGAGAGCTTACGTCGTAAAGTACAAGCAGAACTTTGCCCTGTTGACGTGAAGTTGCTGTTAGCCCTCGCGCTCCGTTTGGTGGTTGGCGGAGAAAGGGAGCTCCAATGCGGGGTGCAGATCTCGCGGAGAGTATGGAGGAGGCAGGGCGCGCAAGGCGTTGAACTGAGCGGGCAAATACCATTGTGAAAGAAGGACAAGCTGGAGAAGCTCGGAAACGAGAAGTTGTGGTGTTTGCCTTTGCGTGGGCAGCTGTAGCTATATCTAATGCAAGGGGTGATGTCAGTACAGGCCACCGCGGAGGGTTGCGGCATGATTTGCTTACCTCTTTGGACACGGTGAAGGGTGACGTCTGAGACTAACGGGATGTCAAGAAGCTTGAAGAGATAATGTGGCCTGATTGCTCTGCGCGATGCCTGCTTTTATATCACCCTTACTCACCATGACTACCCCTCAAGGCCCAGACAAAGAGCCCACATTGTTGTCTATCGAATCCCGAATTTGTCCCTCCAGAAACCGCCGGCTTTAGCTTCCCCACTTCGCGATGCAGCCCATCGACGAGCCACGGGCGGAGCACCAGCCAAAGCCCCTCTCGTTGGCCGTGCGGGGCAGCGGGGTTGCGGCGAATGGTAGAAGGCCGTGTCTACAGATGTCGTAAGTCTGAGGTTCATGTTTCACACGATTAATTGCCGTTTAAGCCCGCAAGCTGCATATATTGCCGTGGTTGATAGACGGCACAGATATTAAGCACTTCATCTGCATTAGTCTGAACTGACCCCTACGCGGAGGAAACCCGGGGGAAGTCACTGAAAGTACCATTCACTGGTTCTGGTAGCGGGATACTAGCAAAGATCCCGCTGGGTGTACAATGCAGGGACATTCTTCGGTCTAGCGGAATCTCCAAGCTCCAGCCAATTGGAATACCAAGTGCGGGCTTGATAGTCCCTTCTGGGAGACATCAGGGTGTTTATCGTTAGCTCACTGTTGAAGTAGAGTAGGGAATATGTAGAATCTTCGGAAGGCCAGATGCAGAAACAAACCGCTTCGACAAACAACAGCCATAGTGCGGAAACTATTGCCTTCTTGAGGTGAAAGTAGCGGCCTATCACGAGGTCCAGCGCGGTCCAGCGGCGTCAGGCATCACCAGGAACGCTCAGAGACCCAAACTGGTAAGAAACACGGTTGAGGTGGGTGGATTTCGATCCGCTGTCCGGGGAAGCTCTGGAACTCTTTCGTGCATTCTTCGGTGCCGTCTCACGCTGCGAGATATCTCCTCGTGGATAGCTCGGCTCTAAGTGCAGTCGGAGCCGCTTCGGTCGGTATATAGGACAGTGCTCTGGGCCTCGTTCTCCGGTATATCGGCTTGATCAGATCTCGGCTTCATCTTCCGGAATCGGAAACTAGGACGGAGGGCTTCGGATTCATGTGCATGAGAATTGGAATCGTGAAAGGTTTCTCCCTGTCTGCGGCGGAAAAGAGCGGAGATGATGGCATTGAAGCGACTTTAGAGTTTTGAATGCCCTGGGCATGCCATTTCTATTGAAGCTTCTCTCTGACCTCGAGGCGCAATCTGCTTCCTCAACATCAACTCTCTCATTGTAAAAGCTCAACATCCTCATCCAGGTCGAGTATTGGACGAATTGGTATAAGGCTCAACACTCGGACTAGACCACGTTTGGGCATCCTAAAGCATTTCAATTCCAAGCTCTGATTCGCCGTCTCATATACTTGACATCTCTCTAATCCACCAATTCTTGATGATTTCATCCTTGAGTTTACCTAAGCCCGATATACAAGCGATTTATGGATCCTTCTGTCAGAAGTCTGATTTTCAGCTCAGAATCCATGTGTATTGACGCCGCCCATCCGAATCTCAACCTTCAGCAGAAGACATGCAATGCATCCACTCAAGAACCCACAAGAGCCTTTCAGCATGCTCTGAGATCAACTCTTTTCATATTGCTAAGAGTTATTCTATTGGGTAGGGTGTCACCTGATCAATGAGACTGACATCCTCAGCCTGAAGTCTCTAGTCGTCCCCATGGGGTGATGTGTGACGGATACTTTGGCCATTCGACACCTTTGCCGCCGGAATAGGACACCATTATCTCTAGGGTATCAGCCTAATCATACCGAGTCTCTATACGCAGATAGAGTCTTCATGTGATGGAGAGAGATGAGATCACACCAAAGAAAATCATCATCAATTCACCATCCACAGCGTTTGAGACATTCACCTGTCCACTGTTCATATTCATACTCACCAAGAGCTCAAATCCTGTACATTCATCAGTTAGTCAGTGCACCAATTTCCCATATTATTACCTGCAACGCTTCCACCAAACCACCACAACACCTCCATCCCTCATCACTCCCTCAACAACAACCAAAATGTCTTTCGCCACCCCCCTCGGAGCCCCACCAACAACCTTCCCCCAATTCCTCCAGCTCCCTCCAGAGCTCCGCTTCCGCCAGAGCTCCGCTTCCGCATCTGGAAATTCGCAACGCCCACTTCCCGTATTGTTTACCTGTATCAAAACTGCCACGGCTACTTCACCAACCTCAACATCCCCGCTATCTTCCATGCGTGCTCCGAATGCCGCACGGAAGCCCTTCGCATCGCCGCCACAGAAAACAACCTCTTAACAATCCAACCCCACGCCAACCCCCCGCTCCAGATTTACTTCAATTACGCAGAGGATATCCTACACATCGTATCCTCGCCACTGACTATCAGCGGTTTGTTTGAATACAGCCGCGGCTGCGCCTGGATGGAGCTTCTTGCTACACTTCCTCTGGACGAGCGGAGCCGCATCCAGCGCCTAGGGAGTGGAATGCTGCCGATGAAACACCTACTCAGCTTGAACGGGTTGCACGGGTTGCGCGATGTCAATGTGTTGTTCCGGCCGCCGGATCCAACCTGGAGCGAGAAAAAATGGATGATGTTCCCCGCGGTGGTGGCGGACTTTTCCGCCGCGGATGACTTGAAGCACTTGGGGACTTTGCCCCAGGACACGGCGCTGAATCTGGTCAGGTTGGATCGCGTTCATAAGGGTGGGGAGATTGGACCTGGAGCTGTTACTCCGTATGCGAAGCTGGAACCAATTATAGATGGTTGGCCCAGGCTGGGAGCTGGGGCGGTCTGGCTATGGAGCGGTTTTGTGAGCATTTCATCGAGCTCAACGCGGATGAGCCGAAGGATTTGGAGATGCGCTAGAGCCGTCAGATTGAGATGATGGTTAAGGAGATCTGCGAACTACAATAGCAACAGCGAATTAGCAAAGAAGGGTTCAATAGAAAATTCATGGCCCAAGACATCGATTGGTGTGGCCTGCCTATGACTTATTTTCCGAAAAAGAAATTACAGCCTGGTAATTGTATACATTGAAAATGACTTGAGACCCATAAACGCCATTTCTAGAAGTCCTCTAGAGCGCTAAAGCGACGGATGAAATTGAATCCAGGGAAAAAGAATGGAATCCGGTATGTACGGGTATCTGTCTTAGCTTGAGAGCAGCAGATCAAGCCGTGACATTCTCTTTCTTCGGTTGCTTCGACTCCCTAGCTTTCGCATCCGCCTCCTCCTTTTCTTTAATAGCTCGTTTTCTCTCATTTATCCTCTCCTCTTCCGCTTCAACCATTTCTACAAGCAAGTCAGGCATGATCAAACTTAGTCATCAACGCTAAGCCATGCAGCCGCTGAGTAAGCTCCCGGGATGTGTACGCACCTTTCCACTGGTCCTCGCCCTCGTACCGCTCGTGATGTATCCGCTTCTCAATCAGATGCTTGTGCGTCGGGTCGTTCGGATCCAGCACCTTGACCGTCTCCCATCTGCCCTTGCCCTTGCTCTTATCACTCGACTCGAATGCAAAGCTGATGAGCAGCACCGCAACGGTCAGGCCCTGCGCAATCACACGCGCCTGCACGAGCTTCTGCGCGCCGGTCAGGTATTTGTTTCGGCTGACAATGGCCCACGACGTGCCCATCGACGCCACCCATGAGCCGAAGATGATGGGGTAGCGGTTCTCGGTCGCCCAGTCTGTCAGGCGCTCGCCGCGCGTCTTGTTGGCTTCGAGCATGCGGTGGTGCTCGGCGACTTCTTGCTCCCAGCGGCGCTTGTCGGCGTTGTGGGCGATGTCCCAGGACCGTGAGGCGCGGTCGGCGGAGATGATACCTGCACACAATGGAATTAGTACTGATCATCCTGAGAAATCGTGAAAGGGAAGGGCTTACCGGTAAATGTGCCGGATGAAGCTACCAGGAAAGCTCGGAAGGGAACGGTGAGCTGGCGGAAGCCGTGGAATCTCTTCGATGCAGCGAATACACCAAGTCCACCGACTGCTGTGCCCAAGGCCATTCCGAATACGCCGCCTTTCACTGTCGCACTATTTGCTTCATGTTAGCAATTGCACTGACTGATTTACGACCTCATATGTGGTCCGCGGGGTGTCGAGGAGCTCGTACTTGTAATGCGCCGCCTCCTCTTCTTTCGTGATAACCTTCATAGTTGCAGAGCTAGTACAGTGAATAGAGTTGGGTATCGAGGATTCTAGTGCCAATTGAAGTCGTATGGGGATATTATGGATGGAGAGTGGAGGCGGTCGTGAGCATGCGCGCACTTATATGTAAAAGAAAGTTGGAGGAGGAGCTCGAGTGCATGACGTGGGTTGTTCATAAGCCACCGCAATCGAGCTTTTTCTCGGGGCCCCTCGGAGCCACTCAAACATGTCACTCCACAACTCCAATCATTACTACTCCCACGGACAGACAGTCAGCGAGCTTGCCGCTGCTATGGCCGCCGCTGCTATGACTGCCGCGGCTCCATTCTTTAAGTGTCAGGCGTCGAACCATCGCGCTGATTTTTTAGAATTATATGCGCTCCCCGCTCAGTCTCCACGCTTCCCTTAATGGATAACAGATCCCCAAAGCACCTTGAATTCCTCCTAATCCACTATCTTGAGTTTCGCAGTCTTTCAGCTGCCTTGAAGGCTCATTAGCAAACGAGGACACCCGCCTCAAAACAGTCAGCATTCGCGATAATTCTCTCTTCCTCCTCCGATTCATCCCTCGTCGGCAGCCGATGATGCCGCTTCGGCATTGCTTCGTACTGCCGTTAATCTCCTCCGGGGTACCCCCGAATTATGTTCTGTCCGACGAACCTCCGATGTATGAGCGCCACCCCCTTTCAGTACAAAGGTATATAAGTACTTTTGAAGAATTGAAAGAATTTCAAACAGAATTCGAACATATTAGTATCCTAGTCGTAAGTCGTTTATGCTCTCTAAGATTGATTCTCATGCTTTGAAATACCACCGTGGTTTCATCGGAGATTCCATCACGTGATCGTAATTGCAGGCTGATTCTTACCAATTGCGATCAAGTGAAGGAATCATCCATGAAAACACGGTGGTATTCATACTTTGTCCTAAGAGCATGCCTGCCTGCCTGCCTGCCTGATCTGGTATGAAGATGGTCGATTCGCTCGCCAAAGAGCGACGTTTCCCAAAACTAATCCAGAACCCATCGACTCATCTTCGGTACTAGCTTCACGTAACAAGGTTGTGATCGCCTTGACACTTTGGTACCTGCGTTGCACACCCATGTAGTCAAAATTCTAGTTCGTTATTGTACCAGCGGTACAGAAGCAGGCTGCAGTATAAGAACATCTCTCGCAGCCGCCTGCTCTTACACACCACACACTCAACGCGAACGTCCATACCAGCAGCAAAATCGACGAACAATCCCTTCAAGATGGACACCACCCCGGAAAATAATGAAAAGTCGCCCGAAATGACTGACATCATTCTTGACAAGGACGGCGATGTTATATTTCTGGTTGGAGATGGCGACGTATCCGTTTCTCGAATAAGAGTTTCTTCTAAAGTTCTCATCCTAAGTTCTCCGGTCTTCGAAGCCATGTTCACTCACGGGTTTGCCGAGGGCCATAATCTATCAGCTACCTCCCCACGAGTAATACCGCTTCCAGATGACGGTGTGTTAGCGATGACACTTCTCTGTCAGATCATCCATCATAAGCATCAAGATGTGCCTAAGGCCCTGGGTATGAATCATCTAGTTGAGCTCACAATCTTATGCGGCAAATACGACTGTGTCCTCGCAGTCCAACCTTGGGGAATGATTTGGACCACTGAGCTGCTACCTCGCGCTGTTGAAGAAGGATTTGAAAAGCTGTTGTTCATTACATATGGCCTCGACCTTGCAGAGAATTTTTTCAAGCTTACCGAACACCTTGTCAAGAACCGCCTAGTAAAAATTGAAGTCGCTAACGCGATTCCTGGGTACGAGGGAGACCCCGAATTATTCCAGGCTTCCCTACCAGGTCAGTAGCCGAGTGTCGATTTGCCCCCAGTAAGTACATACTCACGAATCATGATAGAAACCTTGGAAGAAGCACGAGCAGAACGAATTCAAAAGGTGCTCGAAGCTTTCGAAAGTGTCATGATCCCCTTTCTCGACGGCCCCTACACGACCCGCGAATGTCAACGCAGTACCGTCACAGACTACTTCCATAGCCTGAGTGCAGCTGGCTTATGGCCTCTTTCGCGCCGTCTCCAGGCCTTCACAATCCCCCAAATCTTGAAAATACTGGACAAGGTTTCCCTACCTCGTTCTGATACCTGCGAGTGTGAGATTTGGGAGGGGGGATGCCATCTCCAAAAAACCAGCCCCGATGGCATCATACCAACTCTCTGTGCAGGACTCCAAGCTATTGATAAGGCCACCACTGGCATCTGCTTGGATTGTTGGAGGGTAGGAAGGGAAGCCTACGATATGCAGGAGTGCCGCGTGAAGCACTGAACAAGAAATTGTAGACCGTTTAAGCCTTGTCTGCAACTGCCTGGAATCTGTCCATAGTATCTTGGAATTATAAAATCGATTGTCTTTAAGAAATTATTAAGCACTGCAGGCTACCTTAGACAGGTGTGCACTTGTCTGCCAATTCCTGGATTCCATCGATGCTGTCTTTTTCTAAGAAAAATGGCCTCAGCACTCTAATCGATCTTGCAGTGCTTTCCGATTAATACGATTGCTCTGTACCATTAACCGCCTATGAGACTCTCTAGGTTTCTGCGCTCATGGTATCTGCTCGCCATGAAGACCAAGTCGGGGAGCTAATATTCGCTATCTACGTCCTCGACCTTCCCAAGCCGCTCAGATCTTTACTAGGAAGTTACAGCTCGAACGAACTCAGACAATTCGACCCAACACTCGGCATTCAGATTAGACGGAGACATTCCACGACTTGCTAGGTAAGCTTTCACGCTTTCCAGAAGCGCGATAACGAGATCTGGCATTGCCCCTCAGTGCGCCGAGAGATTGAACGGGCAGACACCCGCTTGCAACTCCTCAGCATCTTTGAGCATGCTGTTTCCTACCACACCTGGTTTAACGGAGACGATGTGGATGAGCAGTCGAAGAAATGTGGCCACACTACCACAGGCCGGTTTCTCGGCGGATTGGCAATTTGTGGTGTTTGGCCATTCTCCGAGGTCAAAGCCATCGTCAAAGCTCTCCCACCTTCCAAAAATCCTGACTGCAAAAACGAGCAGTGTGCAATCTGCGTTCGACAGAGCCCTCGGGATACAATCACCGGAGATCTCCAACTACGCATCCCAGCTCTTGAGCACGTCATCATCGGATTCTACTTGGACTGTGTGAAGACCGGAAGACAGTCGTACGATAGGACATTGTGCCGTGTGGCACATTGACACCACGAATTGTTCTTCTGCGAGCACTCAAGTTTATATTTAGGCATGAAGTGTACACCCTCTTGCCACTGCATGTGGGGCTTCAAGGTATTTTGAAGAATCTAAACAAGACGAAAATCCTGCTTTTGGAACACCCCTCAAGCTCATCAGGGGACCTTAGACGGTAGTGTGCAGGTGTGTAGATTCCTTAGAATTCCTAAAATACTACAAGCAAGAAAGCGCACCTAAGATACTCCAATTTGCCCATGAGAATGTGCATACATGTGTTCAGCGCTGTGAGAGGTCCTTTCACGTCCTCAATATAATCCAGCTCTCTCTCTTTTCCGGGGTCTGTGAGGTAGGTGAAGGCACTCTGCCAGTGCCGTCTACTTGCCAACTTCACTTCGGCTGCCATCGAAATCTGGGCGAACGCCTGTGACAAGTGAAATGATAAGCACGGACCCTATTTATTCACCTCTTCCACTAGCGCGTAGGCCACATGACGGCCAAAAGCTTTTCCGTTTGCTTCTAGATACCTTTCCTCGAAGCTTCTCCGACATCATCGCCATCACGGACAGCCGCGCCTTCAATCAACACCAACCACGATGGGCAACCCCGAGCCTGGCGGCACCGCGCCGATGATCGTCCTCCACAAGCACGGCGATGTGATCTTCGAGTTGGGCGGGGGTGACGGGGAGCCGTCTGCACGCCTTCTTGTGGCATCGAATATCCTCACAATGGTCTCGCCGGTCTTCCGAGCTATGTTCACCGGCGGGTTTGCTGAGGGCCAGGTAATGGTTTATACATCATAACTTATAGCTATTTGTACTTACGGGTTCAAGGATCTCTCCCCCAGTTTGCCACGGGTCGTCCCCCTACCCGACGACAACAAGAAGGCTATGGAGCTGCTTTGCCGAATCCTGCATTTCGACACCAACGCAATTCCAGCCGAACTTGATATGGACTCCTTGGTTGAACTCACGATCTTGTGCGACAAATACGACTGCGCTACTCCCTTCAGGTTCTATGGTAACGTCTGGGTCTCTGCTCTGCTGCCACAGGCTTGCGAAAAAGGCTTCGAAGAGCTTCTATCTGTGACATATGGACTTGATCTTCCGGAGCCTTTCATGGAACTCACTGAAATTCTGGTCAAAGAACTTCCAACGCAGATTGATACTGTTGCTACTTGTAGTAGAAGTGGATCTAATGTTGTTTTCGAGTGCATAGCTGGTAAGCCTGTGCCCGTCAAAGTCTTCTTCTAATCTATACTGATCAGTTGTTTCAGCACACCTTGCGACAGAGCGACTGAATATGCGCACACAGCTAGCCATTGCCTTCGAAAAGACTGTGTTCAAACCCATAAAACTGGCCAGGAAGTACCTAGGAGAGACTCCTTGTATGCACTATCACGTCGGTCGGTATCTTGATGTCCTGGAGAGCGCTGACCTCTGGCCGCCTTTGGATTGCGTTTCCAAGTTGTCGCTTTCGGAGATGGAGCAAAAGATCGTTGATCTACCTTCAGTCTCAAACCCTGCGTGCTTGATCCTAAACTGTAGTTGCAAAGAAGGCAACGAGTTAGCGTGTCCACCCCGCGATGAAGGACTACGAAGGGCTCTTCTGCAAGCTTTGGAAATAGCTAGAAAGCAATTCAAAGGTCTCTGCCTCGACTGTTGGAAGGAGGGAAGACAGTTCTAAGACAACAACAGTTGCCGCGTTAAACATTGAGCACAGCTCACGCTTCGGACTCGCTGGATACGGAAACTACCACGAAGGCTTTTAGCGATACCGACCCATTTCTCCGAAGGCTCCAATCCTTTAACTAGAATTTAGCGCATTCAATCGATTGGAAGTCCTCATAATTTTCATTGTAAGCCTTTCTATGCCATGTGTATTTGTGTGAGACGACCTTAAAAAAGACCGCTGCAACCAAGTGCAGACAACCACCTGCCACTGCATGAATTGCCCCAGTGAGGTAAGAGGTCTGGCAAGAGAACCCAATTCTGTCTCATTTGGTTTTCCGAAAGCGTATCGAGGGCTCTCAAACAGTGCCAAAAAGGCGTACTGTAGGCCATTCACCTCCGTTTTTCGTTTCCATTAACACAGACCAGCGTCCCGTGGCTACATCCATCTGCATTTGAACCTGCTCCTCTTCTTTCCCTCTCGCTGAAAAGCTCCTGTCTTCATCGAGCCGTCATATCATCTTCGGCCATTGTTCCCCCGTCCCCAGCAGCTATATCAACAACAAGTCGAACAACACCCATCTCCTCAGCTAGGTGTAGAGCTTCTAGAAAACCTATTGACATGAGCGTGTACAGCTGTCTGCCGCTGCGTGAGGTGCCCCAGTGAGGTGCAATGTCTGCCAGTAAGATCAGCTTCCGCCTCGCTTGAATTTATGAAAGTGTATCGGAAGGCCTCATACAGTGCCAAAACAGTGCACCATCGGCCAATCACCTCCATCTCTCATTTCAATCAGCACGGACCAGCGTCCCGTGGCTTCTTCTATCTGCTTGTTAAACCTGCTCCTCTTTTCCTTCCTACATTCGCCACCGCATCCTCTCGGACCTCAACAACCATCATGGACACTACCGAGCCAGATGTGGCAGCTGGCGTAGGAAGGGCAAAGAATCAGTGAAGGAAGCATCAATTGTATTGAGGTTGTAACGAGAGACTATATAGTGAAGAGAGAAGAGAGGTTTGCAGGTGGCAACGGTGGCAACGGTGGCAAGCACCAGTCAAGCTGAGCATTCAGCTGTGTTCGAGTGAGCTGAGTCTTCAGCTGTACATTGAAAGCTGAGAGGAGTGAATAGAAACGTGTTACTGGCTGCCAAGATGGCAGGCCGCCCGACAAACCAAAGGAGACAATAGCTTTGGATAACGGCGACGTTATTCTGTCCCCCGGTGACGGCAGTACTCGCCTCCTTATATCCTCAAAAGCCCTTACACTTGCGTCGCCGGTATTCAGAGCCATGTTCACTGATGGATTCACAGAGAGCCAAGGTCAGTCTCTGCTCCGTCAAAACTCTTAAATATATGCTGACGTACATTGGAAGACTTGTCCTCCGCATAGCCGCGAGAGGTCCCCTTACCGGATGATAACGAAGCCGCCATGACGCTGCTCTGCAGGGTCCTTCACTTCGATGCCCAAGTCCCGGAAGTCATCAGCCTAGCAGATCTAGTGGACTTTGCGACTGTCTGCCATAAATACGACTGCGCGGCATCCGTCAAGTCATAGGCTCTTGTTTGGCTAGCCTCATACCTACCCCAAGCCTACGAGGAAGAACACGAGGCTCTTCTATACGTCACGTTTGCTCTGCGTCTCCCGGGAGCGTTCAGGGTGACTACGGGAGCTCTTGTCTTCGACCGCTTTCGTACTGTTGATATTCGCGTCGCTTGCGCTGGTCATGAGCACCTCATGGAAGATCTAGCTGGTAAGCATCTAGGCATGCACGCGGGGCATGGAAAAGGTGGCACACTAATTCTAGAACAAGCTGCCTCGTGTGTACACCTGTCTGCCACTGCTTGGGTTTCTTCAATGCATTTTCAGAAATCGAAAGAAGGTAGTTGCTCTTCGCCTTGGGCTATGTGAAAGCTTGTTGAAGCACTCCATGTAGTGGCAGACAGGTGTACACACAGACAGAGTACATTAAGTAAGACGAGTGTGCCACCTTTTTCGTGCCTAGCGTGGCATGATCAGTTGGTGTTGAGAAATACTAAAGTCTTGTATAGCACGCATCGAGCAACGTCGTCTGAGTTTTCGACAGATTGTTCCGTGGACTTTCGAGTCTGGCATTGAGTCGTTCGTAAACTTCCAATTCACCGACGGCCGCTCAATTCCCTGTGTCCACTTCATCATTGGCGAGTACTGGAGGTACTTCGACAAGCTGGACTCTGGCCTCTCATCCTTGGCCTTAACCGTCTCAACTTTTCTTCCATCATGCAGAAAGTTGCCCAACTGCCGGAGACCACCAGCTCGGTTTGCTCAGGTAATTGCATCTGTACAAGCCCGGCAATGAGGCGGGATGAGATCATCAAGAACCTTCAGAAGAGAATCAGTAGCATTGGTGAAGGTAGCAATGGGCTGTGCTTGGAGTGTTGGATTGCCAAAAAGGAGACTATCTTTGTCAGAAAAGGGTCTTGTGAAAATGGACATGGCCCTTTCAAGACCTTGATAATGACCGAAGAGCATCGAGGGAAATGGGATGAGTTCTGGTAGGTCTGGGCTCTTCATTTAACCTCGCCACTAGGATCCAACGTCAGCATGAAGAATCAGAGGAGCGAGTGCGTACAAACATCAAGGCCCTGATCGTGCTCGCACAACCTATCATGTACATCTTCACCAAGTCAGCTATGCGAAACGCGCTCTATCTATGGATCGTTAGCACCATCATCGGGCTTGGGCAAGATTATGCTACCGCTTGGGGAGTATTCAATACGATCCCGATAGGGACTTATCATGGTGCCAGTGCAGGCATTGCAGAATTCGACCTTGACCTTCATTGGGCATCGATGGGCCATTGGGGCGATAGGGACAACGGTCCTAGACATCACAAGCAATAGCTTGAACTTATAGAAATCAACAGAAGAGGTGAAACCCACCTACTGTAGTCTTTGCCTTGAGTTCTATATAAAATAATGATTATGACAAGGAGAAATGCCGCGTGTCGCACTGACTTTGGGCATCATTGGGTGGACAACGGCAATCTCATAGCGAGCTCAATCAAGAGGCTGCTGACGTTGGACTTATTGCTGAGATAGCTGTTAGGGACGGGAGAGCGACAGCCGAAGATGGAAATCACGGCCCGATGAAGAAAGGAGCTTTCCAGTGAGAGAGAGAGAGAGAGAGAAGAGAAGCAGGTTCAAAAGCAGATATATGTAGCCACGGGACGCTGGTCTGTGTTAATGGAAACGAAAAACGGAGGAGAATGGCCTACAGTACGCCTTTTTAGCACTGTTTGAAGGCCCCCGATACGCTTTTGGAAACCCAAATGAGACAGAATTGGATCATATTGCCAGACCTCTTACCTCACTGGGGCACCTCATGCAGTGGCAGGTGGTTGTTCGCACTTGGTTGCAGCGGTCTTTTTTAAGGTCGTCTCACACAAATACACATGGCATAGAAAGGCTTACAATGAAAATTATGAGGACTTCCAATCGATTGAATGCGCTAATTCTAGCTAAAGGATTGGAGCCTTCGGGGAAATGGGTCGGTATCGCTAAAAGCCTTCGTGGTAGTTTCCGTATCCAGCGAGTCCGAAGCGTGAGCTGTGCTCAATGCTTGATGCGGCAGCTGTTGTTGTCGTACGATTTTCTTCCCTCCTTCCAACAATCTAGACAAAGGCCTTTGAATGTCTTTTCAAAATCGTTCAACGTTTTCAGGAGTGAGTTCTGATTCTCCAGTTACCTGTCTGACGTTTGAGCACCAGCACATACATCCAGGTCTCGGGTTACATTGCTGGAACTGCAACTTTGGTATATTGGCCACTTTGTCCTTGAGCTCAGAGAGAGTCAATCCAGGAAGACGATCCGAAACAGTCCAGAGCCCGGATTTTATCAACTTGAAAGAATATTGGCCAGCGATGCTCTCCACGCCCATGCAAAGCTCGTAATCTTTGTATGCTTCCAATGGCCCGAAGATCGCGGTTTCGAAGGTAGTAACAAGCTGCCTACGCATTTCGAGTCGATTAGCCTCAATGGACCCTATAGATCAATCGTCAACAAGCGGCATAGAGTCATAGGTGGCTTTACTCCATGGACTTATCAACCAAGCGTTGGGGTACCAGCTCAGATCCGTAGCCAGCGCAGGCCTGCCATCCGGCTCGGTGGTGTCCATGATGGTTGTTGGGGCCCGAGAGGACGCGGTGGTGGATGTAGGAGGGAGAGAAGAGGAGCAGGTTTAACAAGCAGATAGAAGTAGCTACGGAACGCTAGACCGTGCTGATAGAAATAAAAGTAGAGGCGAATGGCCCATGATACGATATCTTGGCACTGTTTGAAGATTATGTACTTTATCACTACTATTGTTATTACACAACACTATTAACCATCATCCTCATACATCACGAGAGTCTGGGAAACTCGTCTGATCCCTTCGTGTGGGTACGGCATTGCAGAGACGTGAGGCAAAATTAGGTGAGTTCTCATTAGAATTAGGAGCTCTACCTGGATTTTAGAGTCTTTCAGTGCAGTGTCTCTATCTCTATGGGGAACTATCGCACGTGCGTCCTCGAAAGCCACCTCCGCCATCCCTACGCTGATGTGGCAGCTGTCTACGCGACAGCTCTCAGTTCTAGTGCGGTATGCGGCATTTCTCCGGGTCGTAAGTCTCGGAGTGGGGAGTCCTTCCTGACTCGGGTTGTAACAGCTACAACCTAGGATCAACAACTCATACGGTTCACGGTCACCTACGTACAGACTTGGAGTTGCTGGCATAGTAGCTGCCTACATGCCTAGCCAGTTACAACTTCTACAGAGAGTGGTTGGGGTACGGTGGCCTACCCTGCCTAATGCTGCCTACTGCTGCCTCCAATTAGTGCTTCTGCCTATGCATACAGTCACTTCCTACGTAGTATATAGTTTGGCCTTCGGGCCCCCGAAATAAGACAGAGTTCACATCAATTTTCAACCTGAGTTCCTGCCTTCCAGCAATCTAAGCAGAGGCCCTTGATGCAACTAATGTGCTTCCAGATTTCCTTTCGGAGGAGGAGTAAGATGAGCGCGGGATTGCATGGAACATAACGACATACTCCAGAATGCGGATCGCACGTGCATTTGGGCTAGTCAATGCTCAGTGCTGCTACTTTCTTCCAGAGTTCCGTCATCGTGAGAAGAGGAATCCGCTGCGAGAGCGGCCACAGTCCGACGTTTTGGAGGGCGAGAAAGTATTGCCGAACCGTCGCCGTTTGACAATACGTGGACGACTCCAGGAAAGGCGTTATATGGTTCTCGAAATCTGAGATTGCATATTGCCTCCATTGGATTCGCGCCATTTCGCACTGCTCTTTTTTCGTTGTCACTTGTCAGCATTCGCTCAAAATACATCGAGACATGGGCCATCTTACCAGGAAGGTTCTTGTCAAGATATACATGTCCATTGACGGTAACAGTATCGATTTTCACACAGCGATCTTTCACCAGCAACTCAGTAACTTTGGTGAATTGTGCCGGAAGGTCAAGGCCGTGTGTGACCAACAAGAGCTTCTCAAAGCCCACTTCACCAATTCTAGGCAAGAGCACGGTGACCCAGTGCATAGCCCAAGGTCGCACTGCTGCAGCGCACTGATACTTATCACAAAGAACCGTGAGTTGGGCGAAGAGTTCCAAATCGACGACGGCCGGGACTTTAGCATGGTTATGATGGATAATGCGGCAGAACAATATCGTGGTGGCTTCGTTGTCATCCGGTAAGGGAACCTCTCGTGGCGATGCGGAGGACAAGTCTGCCAGCGTACGTCAGCATAGGTTTAAAATCTATGATGGAGCAAAGACTGACCTTGGCTCTCTGCAAATCCACCAGTGAACATGGCTCTGAACACTGGCGACGCAAGCGTAAGGGCATTCGAGGATACGAGAAGGCGGCACTCGCCTTCAGCGCCGAGCTTCAGGATCACGTCGCCACGACTATCCAGAATGAGCATTCCTAGACCAGGGTCCGTGGTCGCCATGTTGGAGGTGCTTAGTTGTAAACCAAGCTGTTTGGCAGCGCGGACGGCGATGATGTCGAGGCGAGGAAGAAAGTCGCTGCGAAAGAAAAGCTTAGATGTGCAAACGGAAGGTATATTATGTAATCAAGTCCGCACTGGTGAATGGAAGAAAGGGAACGACTTGCCATTATTGATTTACATAGAACTCGAGGGAAAATAGGTGGGCTTTACCTCTTCTATCGATTTATATAAGTTCTGGTTCCTGCTTGTGATATCTTAGAGTGTTATTCCTATCGCCTAAAACTTATTAGTTGTCCTCAGTGCTCTTCTGTCATTATTAAGGTCTTCTCAGAAGTCCCATGTCCGTTACAAGACCCTTTTCTGACGAAGATGGTTTTCTTTTTCTTTTCGGTAATCCAATACTCTAAGCACCGTCCAACTACAAGCTCATCAATGCGACTGATACTCTTCTGAAGACGCTTGGGAATCTTATCCCGCCTCATGACTGATTTTGTGCAAACGCAAAAACCCGAAAAAACCGAGCTCGTGATGTCCGGTGGTATGGGTTGGTGAGAAGTATCATTGAGATACAATGGCAAAGATGGGCAGGAATCGCTTCCTTCCACCTCTACGCTGGAAGCCACCATAATAAGGAACATACGTTTTTAAACCAAACCTTTCACATTGTATGATAGTAGGTATTTTATTGATGCCATAACGTCCCAGCACTGCTCCAACACTATCGAATTGTCGTGCGGAGAATTTTAGTCTTTGAGTGTCCAGGGACATCTCCAAGATACGTTGACAATTGCAGATGTAACGCGTATCTGGTAAGTCTTGTAAGTTGAGACGACGCCGTTCTGGGCTGGGCGATCCAACCAGGCCACGAACTGGCAATGATGATGACCGAGAATAACAGCATCGAACACTGCATATAATGAGCGGCCCATCTTGGCTGTGAATCTCCCGATACAATGCCTCGGAATAGAAATCCGTACACTCGTTTACCACTGCGCGAGGAGCTTCATAGTATTTTCAGCATTCCGAATGAGGGAGGACTTCGGCATTTTGGACAGCCAGTGAACTCGCCAGGCTACCCCAGACAGCGTCAGCAGGGCATACGCAAATAGGAAGTGTATCCGCTACCACCGGCTGATATTAGTACGCTGGGGCCCACCAACAGTGGCAGGACAGTGTACGGATATCTATGGCAAGGCATTGTAGGAGGGCTAGAGTACTTTCGAATCCTCGGGTGCATATACCGTGCGTATTTTGTTCAATCTCGAGAGGTAGTTCGCGCCCTCGCAGCCCAGTGCTTGTGATGAACGGTCAGAATGACAAGCGGATGACAAGCTTACATCTTGTCCGTAGTTTTGAGGGCGATATGTATATTGAGTAATGATGCGGCGTCGCAACTTACTTAATCCTTATCCCCAACTTCAACGAGGAAGATGCCGACCTCCAGCGCCTCAAGCCCGCCTTGCCTGACGAGCTTCCCATCCTCAACACTCCACTCTTCAGAACCATACAGCACACTCTCGACCGCCCTCACACTCTTCCCTTGCAAAGAAAGCCTGACGCTGGTAGCTACGTCCGAGTACCCCATGTACACCAAAGTGACCAGCGCTTTCCCAGACGCCTCACCTCCCCACCAGTGCTTCACGTCCACTAGCCCCGCATCGACTCCATCAACCACCACATCCGACGGCGATGTATAAAGCAGGAAAGTCGTGGCTAGGTCTCCCGTCACCACCTTCGCCAACCCACTCATCGCATCCTCCACCGCCCCATCCGTAGGATAAATCCACGCCACCACACCCTTGGCCCCATGATTCAGTCTCAATGCCGCCATCACAGCCTCCTCTTTCCCCGTCGGCCACCTCTTCCAAAAGCTCCCCTGATCATAGAAAGCTTGCGGCACGCCCCAAATACTCTTCCTCCCCTTCCCCTGCTCCGCCAACGCAATGAGGCCGAGCCACTCTTGATACTTCCCGTAGGTCTCTATTCGATTCGGGATGTCTAGGAAAGGGTTCGCCACGTACGCCGGATATGCGTCGTCGTACGCATGGCAGTTGTCGCAGCCGCAGCAGCCGTAGGTGGTGTTGCAGACCGTGTCGTAGACGATGCTGTAGCTGTTGTTTGTTGCGATGGGATAGGTGTCTTCGAGGATGATGTCGGCGCCGGAGGTATATTCGCCGAAGTGGAAGTTTGCGCAGTTTAGGACGAGGGAAACGGGGTGGTAGGGGTCTGCTGCTTGGAGCCAGCTGTAAGCAATTGAGGTGGCGTTGAGTGGGTCGGTTTGGCCGTCGGGCTCGTCGGCTGTGTAGTAGAGGAGGAGTGAGGGGTGAGATTGGAGACTGGCGATCTGGGCGGTGAGGGATGATCGGTTTTGGTACGTGTGTCTCATATCGTACATGACGTAGATCTCGAGCTCGTCGCATATGTCGAGGAAGCGGGAAAAGATGGCGTGGTTGAATGGATCTGTGCCACCCGGTGGTACTGGATGGATCAGGTTGAAGCCTTTGGAGCGAAAGTCGGTGAGATTGGTCGGAGACGAGCTGTTGGTGATCGTCGATGAGATCCAGTCCCAGCTTGTGTAGAAGGAAAAGGGAAACAAGCCTTTCCAGAGGTTAAGAGTGCGTGTAGAACGAATCATTAGGCCACCATGCTTCTGATCCATTCGGACGACACTACCTGTGTCGTTGCGAGGCGGGAGCACTCTCACTAGCGTTGTTGTCTGGAACGTTTGAAGACCATCGGCAGAAGCACAGATAACGCTGATGGGATATGGTACATGGCTTGCAGGGAGAAGGTGAAGGGGGAATTGAATCTCATTTGAAGTAGTATTGACGCCCACATCGGTCCAAGGAACGAGGACGTCTCCGGTATTAGAGCTTATGATTTGGATCTTGAGAGTAGTGAGGGGTATAACATCGTTCGTTCCAGGCACAAACGTAGAATTGGAGAACGGTTTTCCAAAGACGTAAGAAAAGGGTGTATCAACGATGAATGATGCATCAACATCACTTTCCAGGTATCTATCCATCCGAGGATAGGCACGAAGGTCTAAAAGAGGCGTTTTCGAGATCGCCTCTGGTTCTACTAAGGACCCACCCGGATCGAAAGAGGAGTCCCTGACTCTAGGATTACGGACTGATACTAAGAAAGGGGGAAGAAATTGACAGCTCACGTGTTCCGATACGCTTTCCCACACCAGATGTCCACGCCTGGCGGACCGTTGAAAGCAACCGAGTTTTGGAGGACTCCGAAGCCAATTAAGGCCTGAAACCACCACCAAGCTGCCATCGCAACGACAGGCAAAAGCAAAGCAAAGAAAGTGAGGGTGCGTGATGGACCCATCCTGGTGGGTTGATGTTGTGTTTTCTAGGAACGATGAGCAGACGTTGCATCCATCTTAGCAGATCTGCTAAGTCAGCAAGGATAGACCAATAGGAAGGCGTTCTACTGTATATCACCCTATGACCCTTACCTTTCGAACTACCTGCCTAGATGGCGTTAGCAAATGTAACCAACGTCATTTCACAGTACACAGCCTCTGTTCGGGTATCACATCGGCTTGAAAGTTCAAGTATTCATTTTCTTCCAAGATTTGGCACCCATCGGTAGGTTATACTCCAGTCAGCAAATCAGGAACTCACTTGAATCAGCACTAACCAGATCATGAACCAATCCATTTGCACTAACAGTAAGGGCTGGCTCTATGCTTTTTCTTGCAGGTGTATGACGATTATGTTCTTGGCAACCCCATGGTATCTTCTCTTTCCCTCCGAAATGTCCGAAACTCCTGATCAATGCCGCCGTAATGAGATCGCTTTTACGCCAGGGAAAACAAGGAGACCGCCTTTTAATACTGCCTGTGCAACCTCCGGAGCATTCGGAGCACCTCCATCGGTAGCAGCTAACATCGAAAGTCAAGTCGTGAGAGTGGCTCGACGACCATTATAATACACACAATCAAGAACCACGATTTTCCGTCATCGAGTCTCCCACCAATGCTTCTTCCTCTCGCCTCCTCCTGCATTCTTCGCACTGCGATCCGTCCCCTTGGCGGCAAGATGGTAATCCCATCGCTCCCGCTGCTCCCAGAACCACCACCGGCCCAACATCTCTGCTTTCTGTATCCATTCGACCGCCGCTTCGCCTTCTTCTCCTTTCATGTCCTTTTTGACCTTTTTCACAAGCTTCTCAATCGTCCATCCCTCGATCGCGTGTTCTTCCGCCGGGTCTTTGGCGACATCCGTAAACCGGAGCTCGGAACTTGAGCAAAGAGGGAAGACCAGTCGATAGGATGTTGCAGCGGAAGAGATGACCATCACACTACCACCTGGGTTGATGACTCCGAAGTACCACAGCTGGCGTCCATCTTTCTCCGGGACGAAGGTGCGGATGAGTGATTGGCCTTGGTATTGTTGGATTAGTTGCTGTGCGGTTTCAATGGCCGGAGCATCCAGCGAGTGGGTTTGGATGAGGAGGTCGAGGAGGGTTGGAATGATCGAAATGGAGGTTGTTTTGGCGGTAAGCTGAACGCGGGGAAGGTTAGGATGGACGAAGAGTAGAGGAACGCGGAAGTTGTTGACGTGGCCGTTCTCGAAAGTTGAGGTGCTGCCGTCGATTGTGTCGAAGGTCATGCCACTGAAACTTGGTTAGATGTGAAATATAGAGACGGAATAGAGGAGGAACCGTACTGATCTCCGACCAACACGACGAGGGTTTCGTCAAGCACCCCAACTTCTTCCAGCATGTTGAATATCGTATAGATCCACTCGTCTTGGTACTTGACCGTGTTCAGGTAAGCGTTGAATGAATCCTCAGCACCCCATCGGTTTCTCGCCATATAGTCCTCATCCTTGCCCCATTGCTTTGGAGTGGAATAGGGATGGTGGGTTGAGCTTGTGATATGAGACAAGAACAAACGCTTGTTGCGTGCTTCCGCGTCCGTGAATAGGTCCCGCATGTAAGGCAGCACTTCAGTCTCTGGAAACCCGAAATAGTTGCTCTCTGGTTGTTTGGGTGGGTAATACTTCGAAGAAGAGTTGAGCAGTGTTGACTTCATGATGGCCTTGCGGAATCCCATATGATCATCTAGAATGTCCTGCGAATCGAATTGATCGGTAATTGACTGAACGATTACCGACTCCCAGTCCGAAGATAGGAAGTCTTTCTCGCCGGCGTCCCTCTCCTCCTTCGGCGCAGTTTCGTTTGGGTGCTTGTTGAAGAGGTCCAGGATATGCGGAATACAAGGCTGGTAGATGTGGCCCTTAACCTCCTCGGTGAAATCCACTGGTAATGGCTCTACTCCACAATGTCCGCCAACCAAGCTCTTGAAAGTATATCCCGCTCCGGTGTACGCTCCTTGGACGTTGATGCCTCCGAAAGACTCGTTGAAACGATCTGTCCATTTTGCAGGCGCAGCTCCGTGAACTTCGTCAATTGCTAGGTCGGCGAAACCCATAGACTCGCCTGTCAATAAGCTGGCAATAGGTGTCATCTCGAACAGCTTCTCGTCCAACTCATGCATATCGTCGAAACGGCTCCAGGATTCCTGGATAATGTCGTGAATCCTGCTTTCCTTTTTGAACGGGAATATGTCCTTCCGCGTGCTTTCGAGCGTAAGCACTACGACATGCTTGATCGAGGGTCGTTTTTCGTCATTGGCGAAGGCATCACCAAGGCTGCCAAGAATGTCCTGGTCTAAGTTGCTGACCCGCAACGGGTCGCAACTTGGGTCGTAGAACTTTAGATTATCGGTACCATTTCGTGCAATACACTTCGCGGACTGTGGCATCCATCCAGCAAAGTTCCCAACGGGCTGCTCCCAGGACGCATTCGCAAGAAGTTGCTCGAACGGGAAGCCGACCGGGTTGGGTGGACGTGGTAGGCAGAACTCGGAGTTCCTAGCATTGAAAAGCAAGGATCCGAATAACGTGAACGGTAGTGAGCCCGACATGTGCGCATAAGGCTGAGTCGTTGGGCGGACCACTTGAAGAACAGCACAGGCGCCGACCGCAGCAAGAACCGCAAGTACGGTTAGTAGCGTTCTCCGTCTACTAGGTCCTACGGGCTTTTCCTCGAATTCCCTGCCCGTATGTTAGCACTTTCCTGAAGACAAAGGGACAGGTCGTTGGCTCGGCCCGCCACTGTTTGAAGTACTTCAGTAAATCATCAGGGCCATGGAAATGCGGTAGATCAACACCTTGACGCATTTTGGAAGCCAAAAGGGTCTGCATTGCAGGCCTCAAGGCGCCACATTTCCAGACCTGATGACCTCGTGAAGCGTCTGAAGCAGTGATGTGTGCGGAATGGTCACTAGCGCGGCGCCCGTAGATGTACGTACTCTTCATCTGAGCTCTCGTCATCTTCCGAATGGCGAGAGACTTTACTATAACCAACGTTCTTCCTGAATACGACCTGACGAAGAGCTTTGAATGCCGAAGCAATGCCCCCAAATACTCTGTCGACGAAATCATAATATCGCGGTGTGAGAAGCCAGGATATGCCAACGAAGCACAAGAGGGCCAGAGCAAACTTCGGGAAGCCAGACATGAGCAGCTTCATGCCGGCAGGGTCGTTCGCAAAGTTTCCAGCGGCGAGCCATTGCACTTCTCCGCCTGTTTCGAGGTAGAAAGATACTTGGGCTGCAGAAGCGGAGGCAGTGATGAGACTAGGTGGTAGTTAGTATAGAGCAACGACTAAATAAGGCTTGGCTCAACGTACGTGAGAAGTGCTCCGAAGATCCTCCTGGGTACCTCGAGTTTACTTCTGTCTTGCCGAAATAGCAGCGTTTTGGACAGAACAACCAGTATGGCATCGGGCAAGAGGAACGTCGGGAGGTAGAGAGTAGTGAGTATGAGTGGAAGAGATATCCTGTGGCTGTAGAGGTGAAGCAGCTTGCTGGAGAAGGAAGAAACAATTAGTAGAGTGAATTGGAACTTGGTGTCCCACAGGAAAGAAAAGAAGTCTAGCATCCTCGCGGCTGATCGCAACGGTGAAGAACGCGTGGGGATGTTGTGGTCCGCCATGGCACGCGGGAGGGCAAACGGCGAGCACACGATCACTGTGTCCTCGGCGCAGGTATATGAAGCTGGGTCGCGTCACCTGTGTCGCAAATAAGTAATGAAACGAAGAGGCCCCAGCTCCGCCTTGGGGATGCGAAGTCTGTGCATGCCATTTGCCAGTCGAAGGCAGTGTGCCGGCGTCAGCCTCCCGATCTTATTTACCTTTGGGAAGCCACGCTGGAACGGCGCCTCTTCTACCAACGCAGCGCCGCGCTCGAAGGGGACGCAAGCGCAAGCCCCGGCGCCGACAGGCTTAGATTCCTTCGACGCATTCAGGGAGTGCAGAGCATGTACCTTTGTTGGCGGTTGTACTGCGGCGCTGTTTGCTAAAAATACGAACTGCAGGCCGCTCTGTGGGCCAACGCGCCGTGCCGCAAGAATGCTTGTGTCGCCCCCAACCCAACGTTGCTTGTTCCTGTCCGAGAACCCTTCAACACATGGACTGCTGTTAGGGAGAGGGGCGGTGCAGCTGGCCGCGCTGATGGAATATTCATTAGCATGAGGTGATGGGGTGCCCTGCAGCGCCACAGACTCGGGACCAGTAAACAGTTCCGTGGCATCGAGGCGGCGGGGACGGCCCCCCATGCTAACCACTAACGGCGTGTGGGCAGAGGAGCTGAGTATGGCGGCTGAAGTGCGCTTCAGGGGTGCCGCAGAGTAGGTGAGTCTGGCCCAGCTGGGCTTCTTATTTAGATCGCGCCATTTATCGTATTCTTTTCCAAACGCCTCGCTTCTGACTAAGAAAAAGGACAGTTGTTCCCGTGATGATGGCGAAGACTTTACTGCTTCACAGAGACGAGTTACCGACTTCACAGAGCTGCTCCCTGGATCGCTTCGCCGCAACGAAACTTGTGGGATGATTCCCGGCGGCTGCCTGGCCGGTGTTTCACACGGGCTTCTTCTGGCAAAGCGAGGCGATGCAAGGCAGACTTGTAGGTGCTTCTCCGGCGCTTCATGCCGCTGGTCGCTCGTTCAATCCTTCCAAAACCTTGGAAGGCCACTAGAGGATCCTCGAGCTAGCGGCTGTGGAGCCGTTGAAGCTACTTCGAGGCCCTTGACTCGACAGCGACGGCCCTGCACCGCAAAAGCTTGGCCGCGGGAGCCGTGCCCGGCTGTTTGTCCAATAGCAGACTCCGGCGTTGGCCCTCGATCCGACACACCCATTTGATCGGCCAATTACCAGAGAAGTGACTTTGGCGTATGGCTGCGTAAAAGCTGACGCGTCCCTCATTTAACGCCTCTTCTCCCTTGCTTTCCTCTGCAGCTCCTGCGGCATGATGATCACCGCTTTTTGCAAGGTTCTTGAGCCTTTTCCCATGGACCAAGCAATGCTAAGCTTCACCAAGCATTGCCAAGCTTCGTAAGCTATTCTAGATAGGGGTAAGGTGGGTAGAGATTGTGAATGCATGGGCCGGGACCCCTGAAAACTTCCAACGCCCTTTCACAAACAGTGGGTCGATGATCAGCCTGCCTTCTAATCCTGGAGAGGGCGTTCCCACCAACTGGGATGTTCCGCTGAAAGCGCTGACCGCAGTGTGTGAGGAGATGCTGTGTGACAGTAACAGGACATTAGTCTGTTGTCACCTTTTTCTCATTGATTAGGATGCCTAGGGTATCTCTAGAAGTCTTCAAGCATATGATCTATATCCCCTCCGATGTCTTTCTAGGGCTAGACATCACGGTCATAGCGAGGTGATCGATGGAACGGTCATGACCATCCTTCAGCGTCTATCGAGATTGCTGATGTGGCACTAAACGACGCGGGACCTTGTAAAACGTGATGAGTTTCAATAGGCCCATTCGTTTATCGTGCACAGCTCGTCAGGATAAGGCGCGCGTAAGCACTGTTGATTCTATTCCGACAGTTGATAGTCACGTGATGAGCGATATCCGGTTGAAGCACTATTGGAAGACGTGTCATGCATCATTAAAGCTCTTATCGTTTACTAGCTACGGGAGCTTTGCAATTTCTACTTATACGACGTGAGCTTGTACAGTAACCCGACTTCATACCCTTCTGGTTTAGCGCATCCGGACGTCCTACCCTTGTACCGAATCCTCAAACTCCCTCTCTTCCTTACCACCCAACCACCATAGTAAGCCATTCATAGCACATACGGCCGCCCCCCTTTGCTTGTATATGATGGCATATTCTCCAGATTCTTGATCGACGCGTCGCTCTCTCCCGCCTCAAGCCGCTGCACGAATACTTCCGGATCGAACTCCAAGCCCGCCGGATTTGCCGCAAACACGGGCGTGTCCATAGCAATCTTCGTTTCCTCAACCGTCGCAAAGTTATCAACGAACGTTTCGATGTCATTGCCATCCGGGTCCTTGTAGTAGATGCTGGTGGTGGGGCCATGATTGACACACCAGTACGGCTCGATACCGTTGGCCTTCCTCTGTCTGTACGCCAGCGCGAGGTCGAAAAGAGTCTCAAAGGCGAAGGCGGTATGCACGAGGCCCGTGGATTGGCGTACTTGTGGGACACACCATTCGAAGGCACATATGCCGATGCGGTGGTGTTCGTCGTCGTAAGTTATGAAGGCATTGTGGTCGTCTTCGTAGTTTGCCTCCGCGCTCAGAAAGGTCTTGTAGTAGTCCACCAGCCGACGGTAGGTAGATGGTTGTGTCTTCAACACGAAGTGTGCAAGGCGGGCTGGCTTGAGGACGGTTTTTCCTGGGTTGGAGAGAGTGGGAGCTTTAGATGGAGACATGTTTGCTGGAACTGGACAGCGCTGTCACGTAGATGCTACCAAGCTAAGTTGTTAGAACATCTCAATTTTATATTCTATTTCTTTTGACCCCAACAAACTCCATCATCAGGTTTACAAAGCCAAAAGCGGATACGGAAGCATTACGGCAGGGCCTCATCGCATTTACCGAACATTCCCATCTCCGAAAAGCCCCCATTCGGGACCCACGCATCTCTCCTATCCGAAGCTAGAAGTCGCTCCTATGAATGCTAGGCCTTTCTGCACCCCGCATCTTGGCACCTGTAGAATGCTTGGAAACCTCGCGAGGTTTTTGTCATCAGCCATGTGTATATCGGGCAATACTGGCCCCCGAAGACCGAAGATATCAGACGACCGGGACTTCGTCCGGCTCATAGTGCAGAAATGTGTGGGAACTGCACGTGGAGATCAGGACTGCACGTGGAAATCAGGTAACAAGAGGCCCCACTGTGAGAATGAGACCAGGTGCTTTCATTTCTAAGCTGGCTAACTACCTATCCGACTGCCCGAATCCTTTGACTCAAGTTCATTGGTCGATGATTTGTCGAAGCCCTTCAACTCATGGCTTCACGTAGTCTGCTCCTGCAACCAAACCAGGTGCTTTCTCAAAGAACATAGTCCTCGACTTGTGCAGCCATACCACCCAACTAGGCACTCTCCACCCGAAAAGAACGCCCACACCGCCCTCTGGTCCAATAGGAACGACTTGCATGTCAGACTCAATGAGTTTGAGCTTGCTTTCCTTCAAGACCTGCGGCATCGTCATTCCCGTTTCCTTGCCGTCCTTCTTCCGTGCCGCGACAGCAAGCTGGTACGAATCGAACCACACTGAGTAGCAGAGCGGTGCGACCGCATCTCTCACATCGAGAATGTTCCCTCTTGAGTACGAAGCAACGTCTCCGATGCCATATACCCCCGCTGGAGCCTCGAGAACGCGGAGAGTTGTCGTATCAGTACCAACACGAAGCCGCTCGTCCAGCCATGCGATCGGAAGGAAACTGGAATTGGGTTGACCGCCCGTGGCATCGATGACAAGATCGAACTCTTCGGTATTCCCATCGCTGAGCGCCAGAATCGTTTTGCCGCTCGCATTTTCCTTGGAAGAGAGGACTTTCAATCCATGAACGATGCTCACATTGAGGGCCTTGAGTTTCTTCTCCGCCGTTGCGCTGACACCTGTGTTCTTCAGATTGGAGAGAAGACGAGTCGTGCCGGATAGAAGAGTGATGTCTCTGTCTTTGAAGCGGTATGCGATCTCCCCGGCTGTCTCGACCCCGGATGGCCCGCCACCTACAATGGCAATCCGCTGGGCTTTCGGAAGACGAGCGTGTAGATCTTTGAAGGCGTCTCGGGTGATGGTGTAGTCTCCGTGGAGTGTCCAGAGAGCGCTCTTGCTCGTGGTTCCAGTAGCGATGATGAGAGATTCGTATTCCAAGTCGGTGGTTAACCCATCCATAGGCTGCGTCACAATCACCCTCTTGCCGACCTCATCGATTCCAACAGCCTCGCCTTGGATGAAAGTGAAGTGTGATGGATTGTAGTCCTTGAAGGCTTCCGGGATAGAGAGGAATGAATGATCTAGTGGGACAGCTTCGGCAGAGGTGAGGGCTCGCGGAGCTCCGACTTTGAAGAAGAAGCGAGTGGATGGCGAGACGAGTGTGACTTTGTAGGTGCCAACTCCCATTGAGTTGAGAGGCGGGAGGACATGGCGGAGAAGGTAGTGGGTGACTGGAATGCCGGCAAAGTTAGCCCCGAGCACGACTATATTGTGCATATCGGCCCTAGGAGGTGCTTCGCTGTTGATTGAAGTCATGGTTGTGGTTGTAGACATGGCCTACCAGGCTTGGTAAACGGAAGGAAGTACCTAGGTAGGACTCCGAAGCTCGCCTGCAGCTACCATGTAAGTCGTCAGAGTAAGTAAAAAGTCAGATAAGGCAACTGTGATGAGCTAATCAAAGCTTCCTAGAGTAGCTCCTATAGATCCTTCCATTTTTGTCATGTTATCAATATAATCTCAAGTACGGTATAGGAACTGAGCCCCGAGCGGCAGATCAAATTGATTGATCCGAGGAAAGAGAAACGTCCCTTCCGCTTTTCCACAATTGCACAATGTGCTCTTTTGGCTGGCGAAATCAAGGAGGAATGTGAAAGCCTCTGACAAATGAACAGGGTGTCAGTGAGTGTCCTATGGTGTATTGTGTGCTGAATATATCTTTCCATCTTCTCGTCAGGAACGGGGCCTACCATTGCGCCTAGCTCATAGTATATGAGTTCGTGTAACTAGACTAGTTGATGCTAAGTTTGAGTGTCCTTGCTCCCTTAGACCTATGCTCGATTAGGCGCCACGTGATGGGCAACCGTACGGCATTCTAATAGCATGAATAGCACATTACAGTGGTATGATTAACACCAGAATGCTCTTTCACTCTCCTAAACCGAAATTTTATGATAGAAATGAGCTTTGCAGTCGAGTGTTTAGATTGGCCTAGCGCGGTGCTTTCGACGCGCGTCTGAGCACGAACGCGTTCCGCGACTTGCTCCCCACGTCAAACACTCAATTGACCACCAGCACGATGCCCAACGATTATCAGCCTTTGCCCCGCGGCAAGTCTGTACCCACGTACAACGTGAAGATACTCGCAGGCACTTCGCTCCACACGCCGACCAAGTATTTACAGAAACACCTACCGACTGTTTCGAGACCTGCTGTTCCATCACGCGTCTCATCCTCACTCAACAGCCAGTTGAACACCAAGACCATGCCTAGCGAAAAGAAGATAACGCCTCGCGGATCCTCTCGGAAGCCCCGCAAGTCTAAATCTACAAACAACCTGAGCGTACTCTCAGGCACTACCCCACCCGTTATTCCATCATCTCCCACGACGAAGGACCAGGCTGAAGAATTCGAGCGTATACTCAAACGAATGAAGACCTCAAACACACTGGTATCCGTTGGAGACATACGGCGCGCCCTCGCATCACGAGTCTCTTCCGAAGACGTTGAGCACTCCGACACCACAGAAAAGGATAAGCCATATGGCTGCACAGTCTGTGGAAAACGTTACACTAGCAGTTATGGCCTCGAGAATCACCTTTCACGCACGCCGGACTGCATCAATGGACCACAAGAGCGGTTTCATTGTAAATTATGCGGCAAACACTACAAGAACCCCGAAGGCCTCAAGGCCCATCACAAAACAGCGCCAAACTGCAACACCGGGCCTCCAGTGCTCCTGGACAATTCCGCTGGTAGGAAAAGGGGGGAGCCGCATCGCTGTGAAATCTGCGCCAAAGTTTTCGCGTCGAGCATCGGCCTCAGGTATCACCGCCAGTTTGCGGTGACAAAATGCAATTCTAGAAAAGCTGCCGGTTTAGCCGTCAAGAGTAAAAAGGCAAAGAGTTACCGCTGTGGGAGCTGCGGCAAAAGCTACAAGAACAGCAAGGGTCTCAAGTATCATCTAAAGGACGCGGCGGTAAAATGCACGATGCCCACGACAATACCTCCACACTTCGAGCCTGGGGCTTTCCCTCTCGCTATACCCGAACACTCCACCTACCTTAAAAACGCTTTTCGCGATCTCACCACGAAGACTGGCCTAGAGCAGAAACAGGCGATGGCGGGGGTTCAGTACTGCTTGGATTCGCTGGATGTCAAGATTCAGAGAGTCTGGGGAGGCCTGATCAAGAAAGCAGAAGAATACGGTACCGGCAATGGCGCTGAGGAGGATAAAGAGAATGACCCTTGGGAGGATGTCGTTAGTGTGGATGATACGGGGGATTCCAGCGATACAGAGGCATACGATACAGGGATATGGGCCCAGGAAAGGTCGGAGAATGAAATGGAAGATGTTGATGGTGTGGACGAGATGGAGGTTTACACAAACACCAAAGCGGGCGGGGATAATGAGGAGAAGGCGGAGGAGTCGACTTCTCCAACTGACATGTTGCCACATTGGGCTACCCCAAGAGGCATTTTCAATACTCTCGGGACAATTGGACGGAAAGGGACGAGCGACCAGGCAGTCACGCATCCGATCTCCGAGAGGGACAATCTTGACGCACGGGCGGCTGCAATGCACCCTGCCAGCAGGTGGAGGATATACGGGGGACCTATAACGATTCATGACCCATTACTGAGACGCATCAATAAAGAAGGGCAAATGTCATCGAAGAAGCGGAAGAGGAGCGATGTCATTGATACGGACTCCCCCGCCTCGAAACGCATCGATGCGGCAGCATCAGTCTCTCCGACTAGGAAAATCCTTCACACAACCGTGAATCCTGAACGGCCCAGTGCTACGTTAGAAGAGGGATTGGCGTCGTTTGTGAAGCATACAGCAGTGGAGACTATCGATCTAGGCATAGAATCGGAAGGTGAAGGGCCCGCCAACAGCGCGATTCCTGATACAGAAGCACCACTGCCTCCGACTGGCTCCAAAACCCGAGACTCGAGCAGCCGCGAGTATGATGGGTCAGCGAGAACCCCTTGGAGTTTGCCGGGGCAAATGGACTTCTCTCCCATGCCCGGAACGATATCAGGCCTCGTGGCCGGCATGGACGAGGCACAGAAAGTGGAGTTTTGGCAAGACTGAGGGCAGATGATGAAAGAGAAGAGAGAACGGGATCATGCCCGACAACTTGCAGCGACGAAGGGAGACGGACTGCCATCATCGCAACGGAAGCTTAGGACAGAAGGCCTGGATAGACATACCTTCGCAAGCGGACAAAACATTCCTGTGAAAGGCCGGAACGGGGGCAAGGCCTACAACTGGTTGGGCGCCGAGTATCTGGCATGGAGCAAAATCAAGATACGTCGCGAGTATGGGTTTTCCCACGAGGACTTCATCAGCAATTGGAGGGCAGAGCAGTTCCGGCTGAAGCATCCCCCGATCATTGATTTTGGCGCATCTCGGGTATACCACGATGCGTGGAAGGCGGGTCTTTCCCTCGAGCAGATCAAGGCAAAGAAGAACGAGTATGAAACCGTGGCAGCCAGGAAGGAACGTGGGTACAATTTGACATTTGCAGACTTGGAAGCGGCTGGGTGGCCAAGCTCGATGAACTAGAACGTACTGGTAGACTCGAGAGGCGCAGTTATTGTCGTGGTTTTGTTTCTTGTGGACGTCGAAAAGTGTTCCAGTTCCAGTTCCATTTCTATATCCCTTCCTCACACCACCTGGTGCACGTGAAGTTCCTTTAGAAGCGAGTAAGCGCAGAAGCAAGACTAGTGTTCGCATATATCAATCAAAACCGGAATTGGAATTTTTGCGGACTCTGATCGACTGCATAGCGATGGGATCCCCGTGATAAACCCCCTACATACCTCCTCTTCACGTATTCGCACTTTGACCCATTTACGAAAACGTGAAGTGCCTAAACATGATGCTATTCCCTCAACCCCGCTACAGTGCCTTGCTATAGATCTCAGTACACCACCCCGCCGCCCCTGTCTGTGAAGCTTCAACCGTACTAAGAGGAACTGGGGTTGCGGCGAATGCAACCTTCATCCAGTATACACCCTGCTGACGCTGTCCAGGGCAGCCTTACGGGCTTACCAGTTCCCCAGAATGCCCGAATTTTCTCTCTCACTCAGAATGCTGATAACGCTACCAAGCACCTCACGCAGTGAATAAGACTCGTGTACGAATATTCTATTCCTCAGCATCATAACACGCGCGACAGCTACCCCATCTAACCACTAAAGCACCAAATCCCCCCCCCCTCACGACCTCCCCCACCTCTTCCAAAACCTCCACCCCGCGCCCTTCTCCCCCCCACCACCCCTCTGCCCCCGCTGCTGCCCCCTGCCTTTCCCCTTGCGCCCGACCCACGCAAACCAGATCAGCAAGCCCGCCGCCATAAACGCGACCACGAGCAGCGTCTGCACCGGCTCCGCGAACACCGCGCGACTCAGCAAGAACAGGCTGACGCAGCAGAAGATAATCGGCGTCGTGATCCACGTCTTGTACGGCCGCTCGAGCGTCGGCTCGCGCACGCGCAGGATGATGAGGCCGAGGACCGTGAGGAAGTAGAACGTGTACCCGGCTACGCCGTAGAAGGTGAGCAGGGTGTCGAAGGAGCCGATGACGACGTAGACGGCCGTCAGGGTGGCGTTGAGCAGCATGGCGCTGATGGGCGTGAAGAAGAAGCCGGCGTCCGGGTCGGCAAACCATTTCACGAGGAGCTTGGGGACGCGGCTAGCTTTTGAGGAGGAGGCGTTGAGGCGGATGGCGCGGTGGGATTTGCCGAGGCCGATGGTGCCGAAGATGGCGGGGAGGTAGCCTTCCTTGCCGGCGGCGTAGACGAGGCGGCCGGACGTGAAGGTGGTGGCGTTGAGGGCGCCGAAGCAGGAGCCCGAGACGAAGAGGGCGAGGATGAGGGAGCCAAGGGGGCCGAAGACTTGGGAGCCGAAGGCGACGGCGACGGTGTTGGAGGAGTCGATGATGGAGAGGGGGAGGACGAGGAAGTAGGCGGTGTTGGCGAGGAGGTAGGATACTATTACTAGGGGGAGGGAGGTGTGGATGACGCGGGGGAGGTCGCGGGTTGGGTTTTTGAATTCTGCTGTTACGTAGTTGACCTGGGAGCAATGAGTATGAAGGCACAGATAGTAGAGGAAAGGGTAGGGAGATATCAAAAATTATTGAACTTACATTATCCCATCCGTCAAACGCCCATAGACCGGCATACAATGCTACAGCCCAATTCGATATATTAGTCTCTGTTCCCTCAAACCAGCCCTTCTTTTTCCAGTCATCGCTTGCATGTCCTTTGTACGAAAATCCCGTAATCGCAACGACAATGCCCGTTACTGTAACGCCAAGCAATGCAATGAACTTCATAAACATGAACACATCGGCGCTCCTCGTTCCCAATTTCGTAGAGATACAGTTCAGGAGGGTTACAAGCACCAAGCCTGCAAGCGCTACCCCTTTGTTCAGCCAGTCACTGGCATCGGCGGCCTCTGCGCCAATGGCTGCCCGAACGCAGTATTCGCCGAAAATTATGGCGATGATGGCTGCAGATCCGGGCTTTAAAACACACACTGCGCACCAGGTGAATAGGAAACCTGCCCATTCGCCGAATATCTTAGAAAGATACACCTGTGCTCCGCCGTTTAAGGGGATTGCGCCGCCTAGTTCAGCATAACTGGCGGCGCCTGTCCATGCGAGCACTCCAGCCACCACCCATACTATGAGAGATGCGCCGGGTGATCCAGCGTTCTTGTTGACCTGGCTCGGAGACGAAAATATGCCTGAACCAATTATCAAGCCTACTACAAGCGATAGGCCGTTCAGAAACGTCAAGGACTTGTTCTTCTCCAATGATGCCCCATTCAACACCTGAGTAGGATCGAGGGCCGTATTCGACGGCGCGCCGAGTGCTGTATATCCTTGGGCGGTCGAGGATAGAGGGAATAGATTCGAAGCGAAGTCAAATGCGGAGGAGACGGAGTAGGAGCGGTTGCGATGGCCGGGGCGCTCGCCGCCAGCTGGGTTCAACTCGGAGAGGGGGTCTTCATCGTCAAAGGACAGCTTCCGCGACGACGGGGTGCCAGAGGCAGAGGATTCTAGAGAGGTTCGATGGGAGGGCGTATGCGACGAGGATGCAAGGGAGGCAAGCTCGAGAGAGTCGCGGGGAGGGTGTGCGGAGGTGCTTTGGAGGTTTGAGTAACCGGCGGGAGACATGCTAAGAGTGCTACCTGTTTCGCCGTGCGGACGCAGCCATCACCAGGGGCGCAGACAGGGGAGAATTATAAGGCGAGGGGAATGAGAGCCCCTATCTGCGGTAACAGGGCGCGGTGAAGGGGGAAGTGAAGGTTGATGGGCCATGACTTCTCCGCGTTTATTACCAGCCATGCCAGCATCGCTTCCGGCCTAGGCTGGGACGATCGCTTGGCGCAGAAAGCTTGACCTCAAGAATATAATTGTCACCGCTAGACTTCTTCAATAATCCTAATACCATCTTCCTAATTGCTCGATATGCTCGCCGATGCAGGTAATGAGCAGCTGCAGTCTCCTCTCAATGCGCTGGAGAGGCTCTCTCCGCCCCGGCCGCCCTCTCGCTCTCCGCTCTCTCCGCCGCTCCTATGCCGCCGCCGCCGACCCAGAGGATAATGCGAGCTATTACGAACGAATCGGGGCCATTGACACGAAATGGCAGTCGAGATGGGAGAAGCCGAAGCATCAGCCTGCTCCGGTGAAGGATATAAAGAGGGGCAAGGCGTACATATTGCCTATGTTTCCATATCCCTCCGGGAATCTCCATCTGGGCCACCTCCGGGTCTACACCATCTCCGATGTCCTCGCTCGATTCAAGCAGATGCAAGGCTACGATGTTATACACCCAATTGGCTGGGATGCCTTTGGGCTACCAGCGGAAAATGCAGCCATCGAACGAGGAATCAGTCCAGCTACGTGGACGCTGCAGAACATTGCTAGTATGAAAGAGCAGATGAAGGCCATGGGGGGGCGTTGGGATTGGGACAGGGTAAGCTTTAGACCCCGAGCATGGTGTCGCTTTTATACACAATTAGCACAGTGCTAATGCTATCGTATTGTTAGGAGCTCTTGACCTGCGATCCGTCCTTTTACAAACACACTCAGAAACTGTTCCTTATGCTGCATGAGAGAGGACTAGCGTACCAAGCAGAATCTATGGTGAACTTTGACCCTGTTGACCAGACGGTTCTTGCGAACGAACAGGTTGACGCCAATGGCTGCTCGTGGAGGTCGGGCGCAAAAGTCCAGAAGATCATGTTAAAGCAGTGGTTTTTGAAGATCAAGGAATTTCAACAACCACTTCTAGACGATCTCGAAGTCCTTGCAAAGGACAACAAGTGGCCAGAGCGAGTCCTAGCTATGCAGAAACACTGGTTAGGGAAATCCGAGGGTGCCAAAGTCACATTCCAACTCGAAAATCCAGATGGCACCCGTTGCTGGCCTGAAGTGGAAGTCTATACAACGCGACTGGACACTCTCTTCGGCGTCCAATACCTCGCATTGTCCATAAGCCATCCAATCGTTACCGAATTAGCGGAGACTCATGGAAAGCTTCGTACATTCCTGCAGGGGGCGCGTAATCTGCCATCAGACTCAAAAGATGGTCACAAGCTACCGGGAATTAAGGCGAGAAATCCCTTGTTTGCCGCGGGTCTGGACGGCTTGAGCAAAGTGCCAGAATGGATTCCCGTATACACTGCGCCTTACGTTCTCGATCATTATGGTTCTGGGGCTGTCATGGGAGTTCCAGGACACGACATACGTGATAATGACTTCTGGCGAGAAAATGCTCCCCCACCCGCAACTGTCAATGTGGTAGTGACAGCAGAAAAGGCCACTTCATCGGAATTGACCGTAGACGCGAAGTTCACCGCGTCTACGATTCCACCCGTTGGCAGATTCTTCTCTGCTAAAGCTGACACGATTAAGCCTATTACGAACAAGGGCTATGTCGCCGAAGGCTTTGGGGAGTTCAGTGGCATGACATCAGACGAAGCGAGCAATGCAATCATCAAGTCTCTTCGGAAAAATAATGTATATGCTGAGAAGGCCGAAAACTGGCGCTTACGGGACTGGCTCATTAGTCGTCAGCGATACTGGGGGACTCCAATTCCCATCATCCATTGCGATACCTGTGGCCCTGTTCCTGTGCCGGATTCAGACTTACCCGTTGAGCTGCCTGCTCTTGCAGACGAGTTCTTCAAAGGAAAGACTGGGAACCCTCTCCAAGACATTCGAAGCTGGAAAACGACAACATGTCCCAAGTGTCATGCCCAAGCCGACCGTGAAACTGATACAATGGATACTTTCATGGACTCATCGTGGTACTTTATGCGCTTTCTCGACCCTTCGAACACAGCTGCTCCTATATCTCCGAAAAACGCTGATCTTGGAATGCCGGTTGACGTCTATGTTGGAGGTGTAGAGCATGCTATCCTTCACCTTCTTTATGCACGATTCATCTCCAAGTTCCTCGCAACAACTCCATTATGGCCGAGCGGCGGCGGGCCAGAGAACAGGGCAGAGCCGTTCAAGCAGCTTATAACGCAAGGCATGGTGCACGGGAAAACGTACTCGGATCCTGCCAATGGCCGCTTCTTACGCCCTGATGAGGTTGACCTAACGGACGCGGTTTCCCCGAAAATCATATCTAGCGGTCTCGAACCCGTAGTCAGCTACGAAAAGATGTCCAAGAGCAAATACAATGGCGTTGACCCAGGCGCAACTATCGCCACATACGGCGCTGATGCAACTCGGGCGCACATGCTGTTCCAAGCTCCGGTCAGTGAAGTGCTGGAATGGAACGAAGGCAGCATCTCCGGGATCCAGCGCTGGTTTGCTCGCCTGTGGCGCCTATCTTCAGCACCTTGGATACCGCCGGAAGTATTAAAGCACGGTTTCATACCGCCAAAAGACCAGGATATTACTCTCCTCAAGATTCTCGAGAGCGTCCTCCCCGATGAGCCAGCCGATCCCAAGTCACCCCTTCAAACGTCAGATGAGGATCTAGTTCAAGTACTCAACCCCACCGAAGTCGCCCTGTGGCTTAAAACTCAAAGCACCATCGCTCGTGTCACCGACTCCTACTCCAACACCCACACCCTCAACACGGTCGTATCTGATCTTATGTCTCTCACCAACACCATATGGGACACGCAAAGCGACTCTAGATTAAGCTGTACACTCCAGTACCTCTCATTAACCTCACTCCTTCGGATGCTCGCCCCGATCGCCCCTGCCTTCGCCGAAGAATGCTGGGAGCGTCTTCACAAACTCGTCGCGCGCGACCAAGTCTACCAGCGCGACCACCCTCTCCACGCGCCGGGCCAGGTCGAGAGACTGTCATACGTGCGGTCCATTTTCAGCTTCGGCTTCCCCATACACGACCCGCAAATCGGCAAACTCATCAACAGAACGCAGAATTGCGCCGTCATGATCGACGGACGGTTGAAGTTCACGACTGAGATCCCGATGCCGCCCGCCAGTCTGACGTCTCCTATCGATGAAGGAGAGGAAGGAAAAGGTAGCAGCAAAACTACAGTACAAGCATTTGTTCGACAAACCGACGAACTGCGAGCCTGGGTTGTAGACACCATCCGCGAGACGGCGGAGGGGAAACTGTGGCTTGGGGAGGGCGGAAAGCTGGGATGGCCGAAGAAAGAGGAATGCCCGGGCGCTTATCGGACGGGCGTTGAGGGGATGCAGGTATTTGTGGTGAAGGAAGGCAAGACGGTCAACTTTGTGACGCCGAAGCCTAATAAGAAGGGGAAGGGTGCGCAGGCGAGTCCTGCAGAGGGTAAGCGAGAGCTTCGTGAAGAGAGGGAGTTTGAGGCTAAGGCGATACAGACAAAGACTAACGGGGTGGATGGGGACGGGCATGTGAAGAACGATGGCAAAGTCTTAACCGACAAAGAAGGGGAAAGGTTGCACACACGGCAACTCAGAGCGCTGATGGACGCGGCGAACGCAGCGAAGATGGCGCATGTGGAGAACGGTGACGAAGTCTTGACCGACAAAGATGGGAACAAGTTGAACAGACGACAGAGCAGAGCGCTGACGATAGCGGCGCAGACGAGGGTTGACATTGAGGATGGCCGTGGTCAGCCCCCCGTAAAGGAGAAGGAGAGCCATCTGCGAATACCAATACATTCCCCACGCAATGCCACCCTCAAAAATTCTCGATCAGAAAACAAGGAAGAGGACCTCGAGCAAAGACCCAGCTGGTTGCCTTCAACCGCAGGATGGACCAATGCAACCCTACCACACCCCGAGGAGACCTCCCTAAAATCCACCCACATCCCAAAGAACGACCAGCAAGGAAATGAACACGATCGCGGGCCCGCTCCTCCCCAGCCCCTTATAGCTGACGCCAAGCGACCACCTACGTCCTCCCTCCCACTAGATCCCGAGGAGACCTCTCTGAAAATCAAATACGCCACATACGCCATATACACCCCATACACCCCATGCACCCCAAAGAAAGACCAGCAAAGAAAAGCACCCAATCGCCAGCCCAAAATCAAGCAACCACCTGGGTCGTCCCTCCCACCAGAACCAGTTCCCCCCAACGACAAGATCGATGACCCTAACCCTTCGAAAGCTCCCAAACCGTTCCGCGGTAGTGGTCGCGCCTCTGACAAACTTCTCACCCAAAATCTTGTAAAGCAAATCCGCGACGGGTCAGCGGACTGGGATCAAATTAACAGTTTGGTACCCAGACAAAAGAAGACGCTTTTGAAGGCGATTGAGCACGAGTTGAGGAAGCGCGAGAGGAGGGAGAGGCTTAGGATAAAGCGCGCTGAGGCAGCTGCGGAGAGACCGGGTGGGATGGAGGTGCGGGAGAGGAAGGAGGACAAGTTTAGAGTGAAGCGTGCTGCGGGAGCTGCGAAGAAGTCGTTTGGGACGGCGCATAGCTATCGCGGACGCGGGAATGTTAGAGCGCGGTTGGAAAAGCTGGGAGGTGGGTCATAGATGAGGGATTTTTTAGGTTTTGGGGTCCGGAGGGGGGTATGTAGGCTTGTGTATAAGTGTGTATAGTATGTACTTGTAGTATTAGACTTGTATAAATCGACTGTATAGACTAATACAAGATGCACTTCTGAGGTCACTTTGCAAAGGTTGGCAGATTGGATGGTCGTTAGGGTATTGTTCTATTGCAGCTGGGATATCGAGGAATGAGAAAGAGGAATAACACCGTGTAATTGATATCAACATTCTACTGAACTACTATTTCGACAAAGCCTTCAGGTCGCCAAGACCATTCGCCAGCCTAACGTGAGATTTCTCATAAACTAACCCAAGGAAAGCGCAATGACAGAGAAACTCAGAGATTTGGTTGATTGGAACGGCACTCTGATCACTTGCCTGTACTGTTGAGCGTTCCTGAGGTCCACTATCTTCGTGATGGCAGATTCGTAAGATACCAGTGGACATAAACCGTCAAGTCATCGTACACAGCTGGGTTAGATGTGGAACAATTCTAGTTACATCTCCTGATACTAGATAGAAAACTACCCTCAGCCGCGATAAATCCAACTCATCACGGTTTAGTCATTACATCACTAACATCCTTAACGCCTTGTAGAGACAAACAAGCATTATTTCAAGCAGGTGACGCGAAGCCTTCATTGGCATCACGTGAAATGCCAAGGAAAGGAGGAAGGAAACTGGCTGGAAAGAGAAAGGCAATCACACCGGAAGCACTTACACATACCACGGGTAGAGATGTCTTGAATTTAGTTCCACCCTTGAAGATCACGGAGAGGGCTGCGGATGCCGTGTTCAACCTTCTCCAGCTTCTCCGCCGCTCCGCCTAGTGCTGCGAACTGTTTACCAACCAGGCCCTAGCGAGCGTTAGTATCGGTTGCCTCGATATGAGTTTGAATGATAAGCGCGCGAACTAGACTCACATTCTGTGCCAGAGGAGGCCTCGATTCCTGGGCGTCACCATACTCAAACCAGGCTCTAGTCTGCGGCTCGTCCAACCTCTGATAATTCGTCCGATTACCGCCATTAGAAGTCGCATCTAGGTACGTGATACTCATGCAGGGGTATTGACTATAGAGCCTGAGGTACTGTCGCCTCTGCGTATCAGTGTCATCGCCGACAGAGAAGCCGAGCTTATCCAGCGGTTCCTCCCAGCTGCACGTGTTAATGCCCATGAACGACGCGATGTCCATCGAGCCACTGCGGCCGCCGATGAGGCCGAAGATCTTGGATTTCAGGTCCGCGTCGGTCGCGAGCATCGCCCAGAAGGCCGCGGTGTAGGATTTGTCGACCTTGGGCAGGTCCGGTGGATAGAGGTCGATGTAGTCTTTATTCGCAGCCGTCAACATGGCCCGGACGTTGGGCACATTCGGCTTTTCGGGATCTGGGGCTGGTACACCGACTAATATCGGGATGATGTGGTAATATAGCGTGTCCTCTGGCCTTGTCGTTAGCCCGTCGCCTGCACGCGGGTTTGCGATCTCGTTGACATGCTGGAAAAGCCCCCAGGTTGAGTCGTGCTGCTTGTTCACGTCGCCGATGCGGTAGTTGAAGAGGACGAACTGCTTGTCGCCTGGGACGCGTTTTCCGTTGGTATCCACTCTCCACCAATCATACTTGGGAGAATCGGTTATCTTTCGAAGTTCCTCAATCCTTTGTTTTGCCCTTTGAATATCCGGGATGTCATCTCCTGGGCGACGGAGCCCGGCTTGGAGTCTGGAAAATACCTCATTTCGGGTACCTACCGGCTGCAAATGCTGCATTGTAATTGTTGTAGAGGCCCAGAGATTCAGAATTTGGTTCTTCATGATAGCAAAAGTATTAGAAGGTGGAACGACTGGAACGCTCCATTTGCACGTGATTACGGGTTTGTGGTCCCAGTTGTTCGGGAATACGGATTTGAACTTCTTCGTCAGAAATGTGACATCATTGGCGCTGTTGGGCTGAACAAATTCGGTTGCGCTTCTAGAATCCCATATGGGCGTTGCTCTCCAAGCTCTCTGAAACCAGGTAGTAGGATTGTTGACTGCACTGCCGGCCTCCGGCACGACTGTGTTGTAAACGGCCGCCATTCCCGTGAAGCATCCAGGGGGCATGCGATGCATTGCCGCCTGGAGACCACCCTGCTTCTTCACCTCTTCTCCGCAGATTCGTGCGAGGAGACATGGAACTGATATGGATTGAAGGTATTCCCAAGTAGCTGCTCCGGACTTGAAACTGTCAGGTGGGGCAAAACCATCAAGAGGGCCAGTGGTGCCGGGGTCCTGGATGCCAATGACGATGATAGGATAGGCCTTGAAGGTTGGGTTGTTGGGCATTGCGTATCGCGTGGCAAGGTATCCTGCGGCAGCACAATGCCAGACATCGCCAGTCCAGTCACCGGGAAATAGAATGAACACTGGTCTGGAACCTAGTCCTGAGAGACAGCCTTGTCAGCAGTGTAAATCCGAAGTCTAAGACTGAGCGTCTCACCATTGGTAGTTGTAGTTGTAGTTGTAGTTGTGGTTGTAGTGGTAGCAGGTGTCGTCACATTTGTAGTTGGAGTTGTGACATTTGTTACGGGGTTTGTGACGCTCGTAGTTGGAGTTGTGACATTTGTCGTCGGGTTTGTGACATTTGTAGTCGGAGTTGTGACATTTGTCGTCGGGTTTGTGACATTTGTAGTCGGAGTTGTGATATTCGTAGTCGGATTTGTGACGCTCGTAGTCGGAGCCGTGGCATTCGTTGTTTTGGTTGGATTGACTACGGGAACTGGTTTTGGGTTGAGCTTCTCGGCTGGTGTTTGACCCTTCGGAGGCGCACGTTGCGGGAACATGATTAAGACTTTATCATATATCAGCTACAGTTTACGTCGACAAAGCAAAAGGTAAATGAAGTGGAATATGTGACTAAATATGATGAGGCAAAGGACTGAGGGTGGAAGAAGACCGAAATCGTTGCCGGGATACCATGCTTCACAGTATAGTCCTCCCGACTCGGCATCGTCAATTCTTTGTGGTCTGTAGCACTTCGCTAATGCAGTGTCAACCTCAGCAACCAACTGCGCAGGAGCTGTGCTTGCGCGTATTCAACATGCAGACGATATCGTGTTTCAGCTCGAGACGTTACAAGCCCACTCCACATGGCCCGGCGTCCCCGCCGGCTTATCGAAAGGCAAGAGATAGTTGAGAGACCCTTGATGTGGGGAAATATGGTGGAGAGCTCATGCATGGTCAGCTGAGCACTATAAAGGAAGTGGTTAGCGAGCGAGATTATATAGATCTAGAGTCCAGGCCAAGCCGCAGCCGCCAAAATCGCAATTTTGAGCTGTGGCTGTCTGAGATTCACGGTCCGGGCTGGTGGCGCGGCTGTGGAGGGTTCCGAGTGATGCATGTGCTGCTCGGGAGCTGAATGAATGGGCATGATGCAGTCTCTCGGTTGTGGCTGTATGTGGGTTGTGTTGGCGACAATGGCGAGTAGACTGGACCTATGAAACGTTGACATGCTCGCCTTCTTCCGCGTTAGGCAAATATAGGAACTATCGTAAATAGAATCGCTGCTTAAGCAGAAACAGTCGGTGTGTATGAGGTGAAGGTGCGATCCAAGACTCGATTGTTACAACTTTCACAATGCAGTTACACTAAGTACTAAGTAGAACTATGAATGCGCTAAAACTGGACAAATAATTCGAGAGCAAACAGGTATGGAAGACAGTTGGAGGCTACTAAGAAAGTCTTAGCCACCTAGAACAGTTGCATGGCATTGACACCGCAGCGGGGTTCGGCCTCTGCTCTCAGCTTAGATAGGACGGGCCCATCTTCCGTCTCTTGATAGTATATTTGAGCAGACTTGACAACGCCAGGCCATGTATCTTTCCCAAAGAAGTCATTGCTAACGGGGAAGGTTTGTTGTTGCTCGGTCCGAGTATAGATCTTCTCAAGGACGACCGGAGAATCTATGACTTCGCCTCCCCAGACTATAGCAATAATGTAGATACCACTTGGACGTCTGGGACTCAGTCCGACCATTTTCACACTAGATTGCTGTGTCATGGACTCTGGCGAAATCTTTTGTATGCCTTTGTTCTCCGTGGTGATCAAGAGCCCAAATCGAGAGTCAACGCTCGCATCCCCCCCGCTATATTTGTACAAGATGCTCAGGGTTCTTATCGTCTTCCAGCCGGGATCGGGGATGGAATTTGAAAGAGCGCCTGTGTCAAGGGTGAGAGTCTGGTCGGCGCCAATAAATCGACTCATGTGTTGCGTGACATCAGCGATGCCCCAGCTTGCGGCCAGGACCTTGAGTTTAGGAAGCTCTGGAGGCTCAGATATTGGTGCGGTGGTCTTGGGAACCTCTGGAAGGGGTTCCGCAGGTTCTGACTTAAGGTCGCTTGACGGCGGTGGAGGAAATCCTGAAGTGAGTGGGACTATCTCATCTGATGTTTTGGATGGCATTATTGTGGCATTGGTTTTCGGGACTGGAAATAAATCTACCCAGATTTCAGGCGCTACAAGTGCCCCAAAGTTGAACGTCTCAGGCTTGGCTGGGGTTCCAGTAGCTGCCGCTGGCACTTCTGGTCCCTCGCCTGATGTGAATACGATTGGGGTTGGTTCAACGCCCGGGCTATCCACCAGCACAGATGTCTGCGCTGGCGATGTCATTGTAGGGGGCTGCGAAGAAGCCACATCTACTTGCAGGGATGCAACGTTTTGTTCGGCGGGATCCGAGGGTATTGACGTTCCATATCGGCCATATTGTGCTTCCAGGAGGATGCTTTTGACAAGGGGATGGAGAGGAACTGCAGAGTCTTGTGCCTGCCGTTTCAAGATTCCGGGGTCGCGTGCAAGCACATCAACAGCTTGGACGATCTTGTTCATCTCTGTCCTGAGGGCCGACCGGACCGCTATCAAAGTTGGGACTTCGGTAGATATCGCGTTGTGCTTTTCCGTTTGCACTAGCGAATGGATCAGTCAGACTAGCTTTCAAAAGGCAAGGCTGATCAGAATTTACCTGTGTACTGATCTCGATTGTCCATGATAGTCTGGACCTTCTTGAGCAACAATTTGTACTGCATGAAATTGTCGAATAACTCCGCAGTGAAACTGCCAATGTTGTCATACTCAAGAGGGGTAAAACTGGCTTTCTCGCTCCACTCTACGAAGCTTCTGCTTTGCTTATATTTCGTCAAGATAGCCCTTGCGTCAAGGTCAGCTCGAGGCGACGAGAGAACTGAAGTGTCTCCTCACCAAGTCTTTTGGGGACATTTTGCAACTTGAAAAGGAAACGCTGCTGCTGCGACGAAAAGGGACTTTGTATCCCAGAGAGTAGTAGCTATCGAGATTGTTAACACATGCAAAACTGAGCTCATTGGGCTACGCCTACCTTCTTTCACTTGTCCGCCTCCCATCCAGCTCACGGAAATGGTGGTCTCCGTGTCACTTGAGTTCCAAGAATCCACAGAGTCAATGTTCAATGTATCCAGCGTGAAGTCGCTATTGTTGCTGGTATTCAAATTCCCCTTGATCCTGCGTAGGCAAAAGATGAGCTCAGCGGATACTATACAAGTGGAATGGCAACGCGTCACAAATTACTTACGATGCTGAGATTTTCCCAACCTTACTCCTGTCAAGTACTCGAGTAGAGCAAATCGCGGTGAAGTCTCCTCCCTCGATGAATCCTCCATAAACATCAGCAATGGTGGCCCACCATTGTGGGTAGATATTGGAGGTGACCAACCTGAAATGAAGCAATCTCCGAAGCATTCGTTGAACTTCTGAGACCCAGGCAAGACCCCTTGAATGGGCTTGAATTTGCATGTATCTACCAGTGTCGTAGTTTGGTTAACAACCTAGCAACGACTCTATCAGTTGTTGTTCAAATTAGCGAGCACTGGAGAAAGCTACAAACCTTGACAGACACGATCATGTTGACGTCCGAGCTCTTGATTTTGTCTTCGTCCACAGTACTGGCGTTTCCAGAAATTTCTATGGTGCCTTTCTTGATAGAAGAGCCATAGGAGAGATTCATCGTGTCAACCACTTCACTAAGCTTGTCGACAAATCTAGAGGAGTAGGACACGACCTAGAGAGTTGAAAGTGTCAAGAGGACTATTTTGTATAGCTTGGAGCGCGTACTCGATTACCTGCGAGGGATTGTCTGGTCGCACAGAGATAATGTCATCCTGAGCGATCTCCACGGCTTGGTCGATGCACATAGTCTGTGTGTAGGAGTTGAACCCTCTCCCCAACCGCATGGAGTCATTGTACGGTGCTAACAACAGTGCCATCGCGAAGACCGCAAGAGGTCCCCAGGTAGGTAGATGAGATGTGAATTTTAGAATCAAATCGTAATTGAAAATGGTTCAAGGAAATTCGTCCTAGAAGGCCCGGTTCCAGTCTAAACGAGCTGCAAGCACCATGTGTTGCCGAAGCACAGGCGGAGGATGATGCTGCCTGCATGTTTATTGAACACAGACACATCGCTAACAATTGCCACGATGAGGTTAAAACGGCTAGCGGATAGACAGGCTGATGGAGCTGTATGCGGCTTTCATCCGTTATCGTAGGACGCGACGAGGCGCCTCAGCTGGTCTGTAGCAGCATGGCGGCAGCCGAGCCGCTATTGACGGTTCAAAGGCCGATAAGAATACTGCATGAGAAGGCCAAGAAGGTGCTGAGATGCATGACGATGAGATGAGAATGGTGCCAGCATGGTGAAGGCAGGGTGGTCGGGAGGCCTGGAGGTGAAGCAGGTCCGCGATCGCCGAATTTATTCTATCAGCCGAAGCCACATTTGCCCAGTTCAACCTCAGCTCGTCACCTCCTCTTCCCTTTACATCCTACCGCGTTCTGGATATGCGCCTTCACGACTCGAGCTATGTGCAGGATCGGCATCACCAGGCGAACACGACCGCCACAATTGCCAACACTGCTTCTTGCACCATGCACTTGACACAGCAAGCTGCAAGGTGACAGCTCGCCACAAACCTCGTTCGAAAGCACCCTGGTTCTTACTATCTCCTCCACCGGGACGAGGCCAGCCATGTTCGACGGCGGTATTAGCGTCTTTGTGCTATGCAGCCCTTCGTGTAGACAGCCTGGCTAGAATGAGTAAGTCTCATGCTTTCCTGGCAGGTTGGCGATTACCTTCCATTAGAATGATATTCAGCGTCTAGACTGAATGTACTCCTTTGATCTATATACTTCGGCATAAAGACAGAAAACAAGACACTGTTTGCTCTCTTTCGTACCCTGAGCAAGATGACTGAAAGTTCCTCCCAGCTCAAGGAAGTACCTACTACGGAGACGAAGACTGTTCCCGATCTTGCTTCTCCAGACGATGGTAGAAAAACTGAAAGCGCTGTCTCTACAAAAGCTACAAAGGGTGATACATCAAAACCCGCTTCGAGCACAGCCTCTGCACCAGTCATCGGATCATCACGAAAGCCTGCTCCGAATGCTGACGAAACTTGGAAGCCCGGTATGGCCATCAGATCTGTCAAAATGAGGTCTCAAATCCGGGTCCACTGACGCCGATCAACATAGGCACGAAACCACCTCCAAAAAATGAGGCTCCCAAAATTGGTGAGCCCTTGCAAGAGGATGAAGCATCGAAGAAAACGCCGCTCTCGAAAGCATATAGGATTTTAGAGCTGGGTCTATCATCGAGTTCAGCGACCGAAGGCCAACAGGCAAGCACTACGCATAATGCAATAGCTACGTTGGAAAAGGGAGAGTAAGGCCATACTTACCTAGCTTTTTCGAGACTTTTGTCATGGGTTCTCGCTGACTTCTCGATAGGTTTGGCCCTACGGAAACCACGCTAGCAGCCGTTAGGACCAAGTTAGCCGCGAAGATGTATGTAGAATATCCCCGAGGCATCTGCATTGCTGATGATTTGTAGCACCGCCACACAGACCTTCTGTTTTCCAGATGGCTCTGTGGCATCAGATGCTGTCAGCATCGTCTCGTACCTGGAGATATCTCGCGAAAACGCCGATACCAAAGCTCAAGGGGATTTGATCTATATAGTGCGCCCAAAGACGAAAAGCGTGGCCGAAGTTCTTTCCCAACGGCCTTTCGTAATAATGGTCTATCAATGGGCTATCTCGCCGACTGATCCTACTGCGTCACCGACCACCACGAGCAAAGGATCGGTTCACTCGAAGTCACTTGGCCTCAGGGATGCAAAGACAATGAGTCTTGCTGGACTTCGCAAGCTAGTGTCTTCTATGTCATCCTTCTCGAGCGTCCATAGATTCTGTACCAAATCTGGGACCACTGTTGAAGACGAGAATCTCAATTTCCTGGAATATCTAGCGTTGGAGCCTTCAGCTACTACCGAACCTGCGTCTGATGAAGGTTCTGGTTCTGTGCCCATACCTTCCGTAAACTTGTTTTTCAAGTCAAACCAGGCCTTCAACAATCCATCCAAATTAGAGGTTCCTGCGGGCATCCAAGCCGATACGACTATGAGGGAGCCTCCGCCGGGAAAGACAGCATCACCATACACTGAAAAAGCGCGTAACTCGCTTGTAAAGGATGAGCTTCCTACTGTCGCTTCAGGTGCCGGAGACCAAATGGGAGCCGGCAGCCTGTCCGAGGAAAAATGGGCTCAAGTTCTTCGAAACTGTGGTGTCTTTTATGGTTGGATTGTCGACCGCCGCAAAGATCGCATTGTCCGAGCTCCAAAAGCAGCGTTTCAGCTTCGCTCCAAGCTTTCCAATGATCCTATCTCGTCGATTCCAGATTACTCTCCCAGCGAGTCTGACATGTTGTCACGTGGCAAGACGGAAGCCGTGAAGCCATCGCAAGCACCACAATCAGACACAAAAGCCCAAAGTGGAGCAGCGCCTACTGCAACATCACTTCCTGTTCCTTTTAGTTCTATTGCTACGAATGCTGCCTCTAATTCAACGACCACGACGGCAACACCGAATACTCAAAATTCGAACGTTCCCTCCGGTTCGACTGCGGCTGGTGCCACGCCTTCAACTAAGCCAAGGCCGCAGCGTCCAACATATACTGACGTAGCCCCACTGCCTCCTCCACCGAAGAGTAGTAGTCTTGAATCCGACGCATCCTTATCAACGATAGCAAGTGCCCCGGGTGGTGTTGGTCTGGCTGGTAGTAACCCAACCACAAAAGCGAAATCTACTGACATTCCGAATGAGAAACCTTACAAAGGCATCCCGAATTATCGAGTCAATGATGACTCACGCATTGACATTACTGCTTGCGAGCACGAGTTCGAGGTCAGTATGGCGCGGAGCGACTTCAGTGCTCAATCTACTGAGTCGTCAATGTAAGTCCGGTCCTAAATAAGTAGTAATTCTCTATCACTAAATGGTATTGTTCAGGTCTGCTGGGTATGCTGGTTTCTCGGTAACCGTCAGCGCTGGTTTTTCTAGCAGGAGCGAGAGCTCATCAAAGACGACGACAAACACCTACCAGAAAACTCTCATTGCTCGATATTTGTACCCTCGCTGCGACCTGTTCCTCTATTCAGACGACATTGAGCCAACTCCGGAGCTTATAAAGGCCGTGGAGAAAGTTCGAAAGTCAAAGAACATCAATGACTTGCGCAAACTTCATGCAGACTTTGGTCACCTTTTCTGTCAAAATCTGACGCTTGGAGGCCGGTTGCAATCTACTAAGATCATTAAGACCGACACTCTAACCACAGAGCAAGAGCAGAAGGAGCAATTCAAAGTCTCTGTCGGAGTCTCGGTTTCAACACCAATTGGCATTGGAGCTAGCATGAAACACGAGGAAGAAAAGGGAAGCACGCAGTCCCAGAACACCATGGATAAAAAGACCAACGAAAACAACATCTTCGAAGCTGTGGGAGGCGACACCATTCTTGCAAATAAGTCAGTTGATGCCTTGATTCTGCAAATATACCCATACTAACAATAAACAGCCCCGCTGCGTGGGCACCAACAGTTGCTAAGCACGAATATTGGAGGGTGATCAATGTAAGGCTTCTGATTAAGAGCTTCTTTGGGACTTTTATATACTCATAGAGATTAGAGGGACGAATTGACGCCACTCGCCGATGCCCTTTCGGGGATCCCGGGGTACGAAGACGTCAAAAGCTATTTCATCCAAGCTGTACCAGCACTCAGCAAGTATATCGAACTGGATGAATCTCGCCAAGTGATGACGCGGTTTCGTCTTACCGCTCCTCTTAACGGCTTATCTTTAAAAGACAAACCAAACCCTGCATACTATCTTGGTCATAAGCCAACCTCCAGCACAACGCCCAGGATGATGTCGGTCAATACCGCTGACATATCCCGTTTCTGGGGGCTTATGATCGAGTACTCGGAAGAGACACCGCTTTTCAACCCAAAGACGTAGGTCTAGAACTTCCACATCAAAACTAAAGACGTTTTACTAATCATACCAGCTTCCGTGCCCCTGTCCTGCTTGGTTATACCGACAACAAAGTCGGCTCGACCTACTTCGGAGCCAAGTATGAGCCGGAATACACATACACGCAATGGAACATCACCGCTCCATTCAGCGACTCCGTAAGACCCCATCCACCCAGCCCTCAAAGCCCCTTACTAACCAACCCACAGCTCACCCACGGCGCCCGCGTCACCATCTCCACCCACCCCTACACCTCCCCCTCCCCCTCTCCCGCCCAAACCGATCCCACCACCACCCCTCTTTCGACGCCCCCACCCGCCCACATGGTCGTCTTCCGCACCGCGCAGGGCGTCTTCCTCCCCGCCATGTCCGAATCCGACACGCCGCAATACTGGCGCATCCTCAAAGCCAACGGCGCCGCCACCCCCGGCGAGCATATCAAAGAAGGCGACACGATCCGCCTGTGCTGGGCCTTCGCGGACCAGACGACCGGCTTCCGCGACTACGTCGACGATGTCTTCGGCCGCCGCCGCGCGCAGTGCCCGCCGGAGCTTGAGCGCGCGGTGCTCTTCATGAAGCTGCCGTGGCCGCGCTTCGAGTCGCAGCAGGTGGTCGCGGGGACCGACGCGCCGGCGCCGAACTCGATGGTCATGGTGCCCGTGGCGGCGACGGAGCCGGCGGCGGTGGAGCTGCCGGTGTTGCCGGCGGAGGCGAGTGGCGCGGGGGCGTATAAGTATGTGGCGCAGGATGTGCAGTTTCGGGTGGATGTGGTGGGGGGTGACGGGTTTGGGGATACGGAGGATTATATGCTGCGGGATGTGGCGCAGGAGGGGGTGGCGAATAGGACGGTGAGGTATGAGGGGTTGATTTCGGGGGTGTTCTACTTGTAGGATGGATGGTGGATGGTGTAGGGCTTCTAGGCTTCTTATCTATCTATATGCATGTTGGCTATATAGTACATGAAGTAGAGCCGGAGATCTTCGGACGAAAGCAACATTCTATCATACATCAATCTCCTTCTTCTCCCCGCTAACACTCTCTTCTTGCAGCTCTACTTGCCCCGCAGGCTCTTCCTTCACTTCACCAACCCCCCTTTCCTCGCCGTTCCCAACACCCTCCTCCCCCTTTGGCCCCTCATGCCCCTGCGTCCCAATCCTCAACCAAAACACCAACAGCACACTCGCCCCAGTGGCCGCCATGCCAAACCAGAAAACAGCCGCGTACGGCTGATACGGATCATTCCCATAATACCCCGATTTCGCCGGGCTCGCGTTCACGGCATTGAAGATCGCGGTGGCGACACCATAGCCCACCGCGATGCAGAGTTTCGTGACGGTCTGGAAGATAGCGCCGGCGATGGACTGGCGCGCCGGTGGGAGGGAAGAGAGGACGTACATCTGCGGGAGGTTAGTGGTGGGGATTTTGGGGGGATAGGGGAGGGAGCTTACGTTGGCGACGTTGAACTCTAAATCTGCGCCTATGACCGAGAAGATGAGAGCAGGGAAAATGAAGGCCCAGTAAGAGTCGCTGTGGCGGTTGACGGCGGCGAGGAGGAAGGCGAGTGTGTAGGCGCAGGCGCCGACGCCCATGAGGAGCTTGTTGGAGACTTTGTGGAGGATTAGGGCGGCGATGATCTGGGTGGGGTTAGTATGGTTTGATGTTCTTCGGAGCATTGGAAGTGGGATATAGGACGTACGTTTGCAATGATGCCCATGATGGCCATGGGTAGCATGTGGACGGCGGTGTTGAGGGCGGACATGTGCTCTATGCGCTGGAGGTACAACGCGACCCAGAAAGAGAGGATTGGGAAGGCTAGGAAGCCGAGGAGCATGATTGATATAAGCTGTGTATAGTTAGAATCTGTCGATAGGGTATCACTGGTTGGTAGAAGACTCACGAGGGAGAAATCACGGTCTCTCCATATGTTCATTGGTATCATCGCGTGCTCATACTTGTTCTCCCAAACGATGAACAGCCCTATCGCCAATATTCCGAGGATGAGCAGAACAAGTACGTAAGGCGTCTTCCAGCCATCTGATGCATCGCCTCCAAGACTAAGACGAGTTAACAAATGCTCTAACAATTGAGGCCACAAAGGGAAGACGTACCTCAGAGACGCAGAGAACATGCCAATTCCGGCTATAGTCAAAACCGTCCCAACAATATCAAACTTCTTTAGCGTCTCCCACGTCAGCGGCTCCTTGGCCGACGTATCATTCGGAACTGTGAAGAGTGCGATCACCGTGAAGACGAGATAAATGATAGCCAACAGCCAGAAAGACGCACGCCAATTGAATATTTGCGTCGCAATCCCCGAAAATATCGAGCCGAAGACGAATCCGAGAGGGTTGCCGGCGCTGAAGCATGCGAAGACCTTGTTCTTCCTCTTCGAAGGCTTCTCATAGATAACGCCGAGGATACCTTGAGCTGGAGGTACGGCAGACGCTGAGAAAACGCCCATAATGCCATTCAATATGTCGAGCGTGAGACCTGTTTTCGAGAAGCCTGCAGCGAGGCAGAGGACGGAGAATAAGCCCATGCTCCCTATGAACATGGATTTGCGGCCAAAAAGATCTGCTACGCTTCCGAAGAAGAGAAGCAGAGATCCGGATGAGAGTCTGTAAACTTTCATTAACAAAAGGGTGTGATAATAAAGGGTGATACGCTCACGCTGAGGAGGCACTAATCCACGTGATCTCTGCGTTCGTCATGTGTAAATCTTTCCCGATGAAAGAAGTGATGACAGTAATTGATCCGATAGTAAATGAGTTCATTCCAATTGCCATGGTAGCAGTGAACACGAATAGTATTTCTTGAGCAGTGGACCTGAAGCATTCGGGCCGTTCCCCACGATTTGCCTTCATTTTCATTGTGACAGCGCCTTCGGCAGACATAGGGTCCCCTAACTCTGAATTCGCTTGCGCCGCTTGCGCCATGGTTGGTGGTGTTTGACTTTCGTTAGTCGTCAATGCCGAGGTTAAAACTATAGGAGTGGGCAGATAACAGGAGTCTTTAGCGGGAGAGTGAGGAACCGATGCACAACGAAGATATCAAGACATTCATCTCGAGTCTTTCTCTGAGGTTGACAGTGAGGAACCACACCTGCAGTGCCGAGCTTAGCAATGTGGTGATTATCAGAGAACGCGGAATCAATTTCCTTTCGCACTTGGTAATTGAGTTCGGCGATTGATACCCTGCTAGGCCTACGTTAAGGGGGATTAGCGCGATAGCGGGAGGATTTATATGACTCCTCCATACATTTTGTAAATGTGTGCGGAACACATCCGACGGAGTTGGTAATCGCTTCAGCATCGTCCTGTTTGGGTATACACACATTACAATTTATACACTTGCCAACCTCTTAAATCCATTTGGCCCAGCACGCCTCCAAGAGGCCCTTGGGCTTCTCGCCCACCAATCCACAACTTCTTGCCAGCCCAGTGCTCGATGAAGCCATCAGGTCCAGACACGAGGATTACCTTCCCTTCCTTCGAGGGTGCGTCATCATTCTGATCCGATAGCTTTAAATGCCTGGCGATGTTCACGGGTTTGATGAACTTCCTCTCGTCATCGACAAAGTACTCCACACTCAGCCCGCTGCCATGTGATTTCGAGCTGTCCTTCATCGCCTCTAGCTCCTTGACTATGACGCCCTGCTTCGCCGGTGGAGTCGCAGATTCCTGTGGAAGGACTGGCTCCTCTAACCCAAACATACTCCTCCAACCCGATAGACGCCCCGGCGGTGCGGCCTGGAGACCGTCGCTCTGCCCGCCAACACAGTCTTCTCTATTGCGGTTTGCCCACAGTATATGCAGTCGAGCCCCGGGCTTGCTTCTCAGCGCATGCGCAACCTGCATCGCAGGTGCGATCCCAGTCCCTCCAGCTAGGAACAACACCTCTTTCGTGTTATGCGGAAGCTCGTGTTCCACGTTTGGTCCTCGTAACTCGACTGTCGACTGCTCGGGCAGCTTGTGCACATATGTAGAAACCTCGCCTCCCTCCTCTTTCCGTATGAGTAGTCTCAACTCCTGTGTCTCGTCCTGCACGCCCTCTGCCCTCCCTGCATGTGGGGGTAATGGTGTATAGGCCCTCGCAATCTGCAATTGTGGCTGTTTGACCTGCACGCTCCATACTGAGTGTTTCCACACGTTCTTCAGCGATTCGGGGTCTGGGGAGCCGGAACGGTTGCGCAGCGTGAATATTGTGCTGGTAGAGGAGATGGGTTGTTTCGAGACGAGGGTGTACGGCGTGAAGGAGTGTGGGTTTAGGGATGTGTCGTCGGAGTCTGAGGCGGTGCCGTATCTGTATGCTGCACCTCCGAGAGCACTTGTCCCGAGGACGACGAGCATTCCCGAGTGCGGGCGGACGATAATTGAGGGAGCCGACCCCATATTGAGCGTGTGTATCAGTTGCCTATGGTTACTACTGAGGACAGAGAAAAGAGGATTTAAAAGAGTGTATGGGCGTCAAGGCATCATGATGGTGGCGTGTTAGGGAAATGGAGGTGCCCTCACCCGTTGCGGAATCGCAGGCGTGGTCCAAGCTCCATTACGCCAAGATATGTTTATAATACCTAAAGGTTGTTTACCAAGTTGTTCGATGTATGATTGAGCCTCATTCTATGAGTGAGGAGTGTGCTAATGTACAAAGTATCCTTTGTCTGTCTTCGGTATCTTACAGTCTCCTTGCGTGAGTGAGGAGCGCTCCAGTGTACATACAATGTGACCTTCTGTCTGTCTTCACTGTCTTACAGCCTCAAAAGCTCCCCGCCTTGTTTGATGCCGCCTCGGAACATGTCTCGAATGACCCTTCCACCAAAGATGGTCTCGTCTACTATGCCTTCAACATGTTCTGGAGCAACTCTGCCGTACCATATTCCAGTCCCGGCTAAAGTGTTCCCTTGCAACGAAGGAGGTATATAGATGATCACGTTTCCGGCAAATTTATGTCCGCCAATATGGCTGATGAGGCCTACTCGTGCCGACTTTGTATCCTGACCGTCTTCTAGCGGTGGTGATCCAATACGGATTCCCCTCTTTTGTAACTTCTCCTCAAATTCGGAGCGGAGCAGCGGCCCCATGATGCCACATCGCTCGTCTCTTCCACCATGACCGCATATGAGAACTAGTATTTCGTTTACATCCCGGACATTCGCGAACTGCGTCTCCAGTGCTGAATCCCTTGTGAGAACCTCTTTCTGAGTCTCTGAGAGAACGTTGTGTGCGCTATGGAGTTTGGTCGGTTTTAAAAAGCCCTTCACAAAGGTCTCTACGACGCTGGGCTCGATGGATATTGAGGGGATATAGCGGAAGCTAGGGAGCAGATAAACGGAGGTCTCGGTGGGCGCAGACGTGCTGGGTTGGAAAGAAGAGTTCGTGACCAACACATTATGGAATGGCTATATCGCTAGATGTAAGAAACAAGCTACTTTTGAAGAGTAGGAATGGGAAACGGACGGACGTCACTGAACTTTCCTCCTCTTCCTAAAAAGCCCTTTAAGGACTTAGCAAGGTGCTCCTCGTCCTCTATTCTGCTACTCCAGTCGTCCCTCCCAGTTGAGACGATGACTTGCTCCGCGTACGCTGCCATTTTCCCATTGAGAGGCTCCTCTCGGTCGATGTCTAGATTTTTGGGGGCTGCACGACATGCGCATGTCGGTGAAGGACAGGACTCTATTATTGGAAACGGCGGAGGAACGTGGATTCGAGATCGCGCACCGGACGAGGCATGCCGGGCTTGGGATACCAAAGATGCGCGTATTGGCCTTGCCGCTCTATTCCAGCATCGCAGATACATGATATGCAGAGCAAGGAAGGCAGGCTGGGAGCAGAACTTTGTTATGGAGTTCTGCCTTCGTCGCAGGAACGCGGAAGCATTCCGCTCCGCATTCCACTTCACACTACTAACTCCGAGTTCATCTCCATCATCTCCGCACTCCACTTCGATGGACACTTCTACTTCAGCCGATGACCTCTGTACAGGAGAGGACCTTGCCAACTACAACGGCTCGGTTGTTCAAGTCGGTTCCGAGTCCAGCATCATCCTCAAGATGGCCGGCATAACGTTCAAATTGTATCGAGCCAAAATGACGGACGCCATGACTGACGAATCGTCCCCCTACAAGGCTGCCGACCGATGCGTATATATGTACGAGTTGAGTAGGTTTTCGCCATCATTCTCTAACCACGAGAGTCGGCCTTCAATGTGTTGTTGTTCCGATTCTTTTGAGGGAATGATACGTGTAACTAGCCTGCAGAAAGGACAGTAAAGGCGGCCTTTGATTTCCCCAAGAGTCCCAAATTGTAGGATCAATTTATTGCCAGTTCAGTATGAAGACTTCCAAGAGCTCTGGACTTTGACGCTATTCGGCTCAGTATCGAACATTGTAAATCAAAGCAGAGTCTATCCCATCTCGAGAGCTTCTCGCGGTACTCATCCGCCATAGACATCACTCTCATTGAAGTTGAGGGTGAATGCCTGGTAAGAGCCTCTACAAGATACAAGTTTCTGACCCTCAGTTATGTAACGTAGGTGATGGGGTTATTACGCACGAGGTAGTTATTACGCTTCCGAACATTAAAAAAAAGCTTGGCGGGTGCACAGATTCGGAATACGTGTGAAGCTTAGACCAACGTAATAACTACCTCGTGCGTAATAACTACCTCGTGCGTAATAACTACCTCGTGCGTAATAACTACCTCGTGCGTAATAACCCCATCACTCACGTTATGGGGTAACGCCCCAACATTCCAGTCCACATCCGCAAACCGGTCCATGCTCGGTGTGAAAGGAAGCTTGAGTGACAACCAAGTGGTATTACCAAATGTCATTCGCAATGCTATGGAATTCACGCAGAAGCTCAATGAGCGTTACCTATGGGTTGATGCCTGTGAGGCTCCTCGAGAATATATTCTGCATGAACAAGCTGACACTTCTAGTATGCATTGAGCAAGACAATGTCGCTCAAAAGCACAGCCAGGTTTCACAGATGGACATCATCTACAGTCAATCAATGGTCACTATTGTTGCGTATGATGGCAAACGATTCTTCCTGGCAAATTCCGGGCCTACATGACTGGACTTTCTTGCCAAATGTTGTCGCCATGAACATGAAAGACGGATGTTTGCACGGCGTGCCTGATAGTAGAACTACGATGCCAGTATTTCAAACACGTGCATGGACCTATTAAGAAGCTTTGTTGTCTAAAAGATGTCTCGTATTGACAGAATTCGGTCCCTTCCTTCACTGTGTTAATTCTGAAGCGAGTGTTCCAATCAACAGTATCATGAAGGTGGCATCCCTTGGACCACAACTATCCACGTTAGCCATTTCGGCCCTTCGGGAACCCTTTCTCGCTACATTTCCAGAAGTGCTACTCTCGACTCAGTCTAGCCGTGATTTTCTTCAAGATTTCACCTGGTCAGCAAACTTCACCAGTTATACGGGACTAGTTGAACAATATTCGCAAAGAAAACTTTCTTATCGAACCGATGCGCTGAACGCGTTTTCAGGGATCGTTGATCTGTCTCAAGCTGGTACACCTCCAGATTCTGATCCCGACAGCACCCTGACCTTTGACGTGTTACATTTCACGACTGAAACTACTAAACGGAGTTCGTTCTATTTCACTTGTATGCGATTAGCGCGTGCACTGCCATCGGGAAAGAGTAACTGTCTCCCAAATTGGACTCCATTGTTTGAAACCGAATCTATGACACGACATTGCGGAATTCTTTACGCCGGTGATCGCGTGCCTATATTACATCCTGATGACGGCAGCTATGAATACATTCTGCTTTCACGGAGTTTGTATCCAGGAGACACAGCCGAGGGTAAACTCCCCCCAGAATTCACTTATGGCCTAAAAATTAACAGAGCCATCTCCGATCATGAGCTTTATGAGCCTTCGAAATGGTGTCTCTCCAACATCATGCTCATCCGATGGAATACGAGCCGAACGCGTGCGGAGCGAATTGCTATTGGGCAGGTTCACGAAAAGGCGTGGGAAGACGCAATGCCTCAGAATAATTACATCGAACTCGTATAGAGCCCCCACGTCAGCATGCTTTGAAGTATGATATTCAGTCGACGAGTGTCAAGATACGGTCATACTCATCTTGCGACGAGATAGAGTCATTACGGGACAACATCCTACGCGCCACCCATTGCAAAATGCGAAACCCCCTCGAAAAGGGCGCCACGATTCGGATATACCCCTTGCGTTACTCGGACATACCCATATCGCTATTCGGACATACCACGTGACCTTCCCACAATCTAATTGGCTTGGAGGAGCCATTTGGTGGCCCGCTTCCATTAGGCTTTCATCTTAAGTTCAATTTCAAACATTACAAGTGCCAACACGCCTAGGAGGATGCCCAGACTATTAATTTCGCACCTTACGAAGGCCCCCTTTCCATTAAGCCTAGCCCACAAGTACATACTCATTAAACTTATGCTCATTATTCACTGGCGCAGCAATCCGCACACGAGGTGGCTGAACTGTAAACTCTACGGCCGCCTTATTACGAACTGTACCTAGTGGCCTACCTGCACTGGTAACATCGGGAGTTTGGTTATCCTTCGGCGAATGTATTGATTAGAAGACGATGGTGGAATGATCGTTGAACCAACTAGAACGTCAGAAGGCCACGTGGTATGTCCGAAATGTGGCGCCCCTCGAAAATCTTCAGCCGGTGGCAAGGACAATATGTCGGTATAGACTTGCGTTTGACTTGGCCATCTGATCACCACCCAGCATACCACGTCCGATGCGCTAGTCTAGATTCCGACTTGCTGCATTTGACAAGTTAGGGAACTCACTCAAGCGAGGCGGCAACCAGGCCCACCTACTCGAACTATACGAGAACACGATTCGCCAAAATAGTGTGAGAATCAGTTCCTCATCCTAGTTGATATCTCAAGATGCGCCAACGTTTCTTTGTGTGGTTACAGGTTGCAGTTGATAGTAGTATGTCCGCCATGGTTGATGGTGGAGACAAGTCCACATGTCTCAAACTAATATATGACTTGGCTTTAGAGCGAAGTAGTTTATTCCAACAAGATATTAAAAGAGACCTGAAAGCGTATACATCAGTTTCCAAGTTTCAAGCTATCCGAAACCAGCAATCTCAGTCATGGATCATCCTCCTCCGCCCGTCCTGAATTTGCAAAGGCCAGCCGAAAGGGACTCCCAGCCTCAAAGACCGAAGTTCTCACCCGACTGGTCAACCGCACACTCAGAACAGAAATGGGAGATTCTCTGGCACCAGAAACGCTTCACCATCTGGGCTCTGTATAGCGCCATTGGCGGCGTTATGTTTGGTAATATCCTTTCATCTTTCTACCTTCTTTCCCTTCTCCTTCGTCTTCTACATCACTCCATACTAACTCTATCACAGGCTTCGACTTCGGCCTTGCAGGCACCCTCACCGCATTGCCGGCTTTCCAACGCGTCTATGGAAAGCCATACACTTCACAAACTTCTGGATATCTGGTTCCAGCAAACTACCAGTCTGGCTGGGCTGGTATTTCAATGGGTGGACTCATTGTCGGTGTCTTGCTCGGTGGACAACTGCTCGAGCGTTTGGGACGAAGACACTCGCTAGCAATGGGAGCGGGCTTGACGGGTGTCGGGGTTGGGATGCAACTGGGAAGTGTAGAGTGGAAACTGTTTTTGTGCGGGAGGGGGGTCGCCGGTAAGCTAAGTCCATCAGCGGTAGAAGGACCTTTGCTAATGATCTCGTGGTAGCAATCGGTTTCGGCCTTGCACTGACCGAGTTCCCGGTGTGGATTGGCGAGAATGCCCGAGATGAGCTGAGAGGGCTGTACTTGTGCTTGATCAATGGCTCGATTGTCCTCGGCCAGTCTACTCTTGCGTATGCAATCACGTTTGTTCTTTGCCGTATTGCAATCGATAGACTCTTTGCTGACATGTTTTGTCCAAATCAGGTGGTGTGCGAAAGGGACATCGACGATCGAAGGGGCATGGTCGTATCGTACGCTCATTGTCCTTCAATTCGTCTTTGTGGGTACGTACTGCCTAGAATTCAGATTGACCAAGACAATGGCATACTAATGATTTATTCCAGTGATTCTTGTCGGGGGATACCCCTTCTATCCCGAGTCTCCATATTATCTCATCTCAAAAGACGAGACCGAGAAAGCTAGGAAAGCCCTAACACAAATCTACGGCTCCAGCGACTCTTCTCTTATTGACGCCGACCTGTCCAGAATCTCGGCAAACGTCACATTTAGCAAAGAAGTCCAGGCAGCCGCAGCCCAGAAAGGTCCTCTCCTCTTGCAATGCTTCCGCGGAACGAATCTGGTAAGACCATAAAAACGCCTCCCGGGACTGCGCACTAATGACAATTCGCGCAGAAACGCACCACTATCGCCATCCTCCCCGTCGCCGCCCAACAGCTTATTGGTGCCCCTTTCGTTCTCGGCTACGTCACCTATTTCCTCGAACTTATTGGCGTTACAGAGTACTTCACAGTCTCAACCGTGCTATACGCTGTCATGCTACTAGCGAACATCTCCGCCTTCTTCTTCATTGAAACAACGGGAAGGCGGCCGTTAATCGTGTACGGGACCGCTGTTCTAACTCTACTGCTCTTAGTGATGGGTATCGTGGGCTGCGTCTCCACATCTGCGGCAAAGTGGGCTGTTGTGGTGTTGATATTCCTGTGGTGAGATACCTTCGCATACTGCACTTCCTTCCCATTGTTCGACGAGAATGAAGCTGATGAAACCCTCCAGGTCCATCGTCTTCCAACTCACCCTCGGCGCCATCGGCTTCGCCATCGGATCTGAAATTTCCTCGCTCCCTCTTCGGGCCTCCACGCAGTCTATCATCGGCGTCACGCAAGGCTTTATGGGCTGGCTTGTCGGTTTCATATCTCCGTATCTCATCAACCCTGATGCGGGGAATCTGGGCGCGAAAGTTGGGTTTGTGTTTGCAGGGTTTGGCGTGCCGCTTTGTGTAGCATTTTGGTTCCTGATTCCTGAGACGAAGGGGCTGGGGTTTGATGATGTGAGTGTTGCAATATTGGTTTGTGGAGAGACGAGAGGAGAGCTGATATGGGATACAGATGGATTACCTGTTTGCGCGGAAGGTGCCATGTCGCCGGTTTGGGGACGAGATTCGGAAGCGGAGGGCAGAAGAGAGTGGGAGGGTTTTGGATGAGGAGAAGGCTGATACCTGAGGTCTAGGGGCTAAATATCACGTGGTACGCACGTGCCTTTGACTTTGGAGTGGTATAAAACCCTCTTTTCTGCCTCTAGGGTGCAGGGGAGAGAGGAAAGCTGGAGATTTTACGAAAAAAAGGTAGGCGATCGCAAGCCATGTCCCGGTGGTCGAATTTCGAGAACTGATGACGACGACGACGGATGCTTGCCGGCAAAATCGGAGGGAGGATTCGAGCAATGGGCTTGTCGCACCATCGTTAGAGGCCAGTGAAGCTATGCAGCCGAGGCTTGCGTTACTGAAAGGAGTCCGAAGTAGAAGATACTGCAACCCGTCAACCCTCTTTTGCAATCATACACACTGCTAGCAAAAGACGGTGAACAGTACCACCATGTCTGTCTTGAGCGCCGAACGCCCTCCACCAAGCGGTCTTCCCGGGTATCTGTTTTGATCCAACACCAGCGCCAACCCACATTCATGAAGCATGCCTTTGGTTTCGATCCACCCCACACATTCCATAAAAAATAGATTTGACGAAGTTTGCTCCAAACCCCTCGCCATCGCCTGCTCGTAGTCTTGGGTTTTGATCCCCCCAATCGTCCCCAGTGGAGATATCCCATGAGAAGAAAGCAATTGACGAGCTGCAGGAGAAGATTTTATACCGGAAGAGAAGCGGAAGCACGTGATTTACTCGCGATTCACCTGACGTCTCTGAAGCCGATCTCGCCGCCTGGTGCGATGAGATGAAACGATCCCCACTCAATTCAATTGAACATTCGGCTCAACCATGACCTCACTCGCTAGCTGAAACCAAGCCCTCTTTGCGGTGCTCCAGTCTTTGATAATACTCTCGCGCAGTATCTCCTCCGGTTTTTCAAGATACCGTTCTTCCACGATGATTTCTTTGGGTTTGAATACAGGAAGCGTATTGCACTCCATGTCATTGCTTTTTGACATGTCTCACATGCACCAGCCTGAACGCGTGAACTATAGTCCCACGCCGAGTTCCTGAGTAGCAACGAGAGTTGGTCCGCTGTCATTCTTTCTGAGGGCTCGGGGTCCATCATGAAGAATGCAAGATCAGCGATAAGAGATCCGGCTTGTGCAGCAGTATGTATCTTCTTGGATCGCCTTTGACTCTTGGGTAGGTAAGAAGAAAAATCTTCCTCCGGCGAGGCTTCTGGCTCAGATATGGATGCCTCAGACACTGGTGCTCTCACGTGAAAGCCACTAGAATTGCTGTTAGCCCAGAGATAAAGTATCCAGTGAGCGATCCGTTTCGAGCAGCTGGAGTATGCCGTGGATGGCACAAAAGAGTCTGATTGGTCGAGTCGATAGTCCCACAGGCGTGCTCTTCCACCCGCTGAGCAAATAGACACAGTTGCTAGTTCCAGGAAAACGCAGTCTAAGGAGAATATGTCGGCAGAACGACCGCGTCTTGCGGCGTCTTGTACAACTTCAGGAGCGCAATATCTCGCTGTATGTAATCCGATAGAACCTTCAGTCCCGGACGACCCTTTCTCCGCCATGTCTTCTGCAAGCCCAAAGTCCGTGAGAAACAAGACCCCGTCCTTGATCATAATGTTCGACGGTTTGATATCTTTATGTCTCACTCGCTTTTGATGCACATAAACCATTGCTTGGATGGGGCAACCACACCAGCCAGGTATTCTCTGGAGTAAATCAGCTCTCTTGGCGTCGGCTGTCTTCTCGTTTTCGATCTCGTCGAGAAGTGCCGCTAGATCTGACTGGGCAACCGGGCGCATTATGATCCCGAAATGCTGTCGCCATTGGTACGTTTCAAAGACCGTCACAATGTGATGATGCCGCAGGCGGTGTGTAATCCGGGCTTCTTCCTTGATTTCTTCAATCAACTTTTCTCTTTTGGGGAAGACAGTTGGTAGTCGGAATAACTTGTGTGCGTAGACCGCTTGGTTACGCAGGCGGGCTTCGACCTGGTCTACGAAACCAAAGGACTCTCTTCCCAGTAGCGCGGTGGACCTGTACGGATCTTCTTTCTCAGCGTTATAGTCGTGGTGAATAGTGTTTTGAGACGTCGTAGAGGAAGAGAATTGCGCACGAAATTGGGCCCATAGCTTATCCTCGTATTCTGCGGCCACGTCACCAAATTCACGGACCTTGACGTTGTGTTCTACAGTATGGACCTTGGCGAAGTTGATTGGCGCCAGAGCGTCCAATTGCCCGATGCATTCGGTTCTTTCGAGAGAGTTTAATTTCGCGGAGTCGACCTTGACTTTGTGCAGCCGCTCTATAGTATCGCGCTTTGCGAAGTCGGGAGAGTCCGCTCTTGCGGGAGAGTTCGATCTCGCAAAACTGAGCCGTGGTGGGGGTTTCCGGGCCTGGATCTTGATCGGGTCTGTCATGCCGGCTTTTCCTAAGGCTGGTAATTCATCAAGCAGTGGTTCTGGAGGGCGGTCTCCTGTGAATACTATAGCATGATCTTTTTTGATCAAGTTTCATGCAATGACTCCGCGACCGCCATATGTTATAATAGGCCTGCGCCGCATTAAGACCTCGTTCCTGCTCCATACGTTTGATAAGCAAGTTTACTTACAAGCACCAGGACGATTTATGCCCCTCCTTAACAACCACGAACCATCTTACTTCATTAATATAAGTGGCCCTCACAAAACGGGATTTTGATGACGGGAGTAGAGTTTGAAGGAGCTCCCCCACCGGCTCCGGATATAAAACTTGAAAGACTTTTCCAAATGAAAAGAATTTGTTGCCATTATCCTGTACCCAATACTCTGGATCTAACCTTTCAAACATTCTAGCATTGCTATTTAGTCTTACATCCTGGAGTGAGTCTGCTAATGGCGATATGGCCTTAGACACAGCAGATGTAACAGGTGACGTGGAGGTATAGGCTTGGTTTTGGATAGCAGGACCTGTAGAATATGAACTCAGGTTGAGCCGGTGACTCGGTTCAAGATGCATGCGATCCTCTAGAGGTCCTTAGCGACCTGAGGATTCATCTATATCATTGTGCTGCCGATGAGATGCATCAACCCAGTCCGGTCCGAGCCCTGGTGAAAGGTCAGTATACTGAAGCAAGACTACTACATTTATAGGAGGAAAACCGTAAGATGGGCATACCCTTGACTGATAGATCGACTTTCGCTCCGTTCCCAGTGTGGATATCGACTCCATCCTTTCCCAAGCCTCCATGTGCTGATTGAGTCGGGACTAGTGACCCCAGGGAGACTCTGTGTCCAGATTGAAAGATGTAGCACTGCTAAGCCGCACACCAGAAATAATGCTCGCCCTGTGCACTGTCCCATCTCCACTCGGGGACTAGTGGCGGCATTTGTATGGCTTCAAAGTCAACTGAAACGCAGTTCTAGGTAGAGTAGGAGTACGGAAATTCTAGGCAGCGAGATTCACCTGGGTATGTGATTTGTTTTTACTTGGCACTGCTGACGTGTCACTGCAGGCGATGATACAAGACTGAGCCCAAGGCATTCACCAAGGCTGCGCATCCGTGGCAAGACAAGGCTGAGCGGAAGAGCATCGGGCAATTTAGAGAGCCGTAGTATTGCCTCTTCTGACCCTCCTTTAAACTCATTCTTTCCAACGTCACTCCTCTCCGGCTTCATTTTCGTGCTTTCCAAAGCCTTTTGGTACACCGTATCTGGCTTAGTGAATCGGGGGGTCTGAAGCTGAATGATAGTACGAGGGCGACTGGAGGACCATTTTGCTATGTCTTCGCGTAGCTGATAGCGACGGTAGAGGCCGGTCGATGGCATAAGGGGATGGTTTGGTGTTCCTACTTCAAGTCTCCTCCCACTGTCCTTATATTTGATATAGAGTGAGCGCATTGCGAGCGCATTGCCCTGCTCTTAGCAAATATCGAAGTTCATGTCTCACATTCTGGAGATGCTGCCTCGTGAGTTCCTCCCTTTTTGTGTCGTTTGTCTGAATTAAGTGGTCAAATGATGTCTGGATAAGATTCGCTGAACGCGCTATTGATCCCGGATACTTCCGGCTACCTCAAATCAGATCTTCAACAGAAGATGTTCATCGCATCAATCACGTGGGCCGTTTTGAGCCGCGATTCACTAGGATGCATGAGGCAGGTAGTTTCTTTTTCTTGACTCGCCTCAACCGCCTCCGGCATAGTGAGCGCCGAAGCACCAATTAAACCGCCTCTTCCCCACATCTCAAGATCCTCTGGCAGACTTCACCCTCCCGCCAGCGACAGAACGGACGGGCTGTCCGGCCGTGTTGCTAGCAACCATGGCCCAAGGGATCGCCGGCTTTGTGCCTGGGGTCACGAGAGCACTCGACCGAGGCCTTGGTTGTGCTCCACCGGTCCCCGCATTTCGAGCATCCTTACGTTTAAGAAACTTCGGCCCTTCTCCATCTTTTTTTGACGTTGTCGAACCTGGGTGGAGACAAGCCATCTTCACCTCTCCTCGGCCCTCAAACGCCTTTTAAGCATTGAGCTTCCCGACTGCTCCGTGGTACTGCAATTGCACTCTGCGCAGTGACAGCCGCCGCTATCCACCATGGGCAACAAGCAGGATATCTCCCCGGTCCACACTACCCAGTCCGCCCACGATGAGGCCCACGAAACCGCGGGGAACAAGGCCGCTCACGAGGTCATTGCCAATGCTCGCGCCGCCACCGACAAGGAGCACTCTATGTCACTGCTGCAGGGCATCAAGCTGTACCCCAAGGCAGTTGCTTGGAGCATGCTCATCTCCACCTGCATCGCCATGGAGGGCTACGACGTGTGCCTCATCTCCAACTTCTACGCCTTCCCCCAATTCAGGAAAAAATACGGCAAGCAGCTTTCTGATGGCTCCTACCAAATTACTGCCCCCTGGCAGGCTGGCTTGAGCAATGGTGCGAATGTGGGCGAGATCATAGGATTGTTCATCAACGGTTGGGCGAGCGAGCGCTTCGGGTACCGGTACACGGTCATGACCTGTCTGACCCTCATCATCGCCTTTACGGCCATCTTCTTCACCGCCCAGAACGTCGAAACGCTGCAGGTCGCCGAGATTCTCTGCGGTATCCCATGGGGCGTCTTCCAGACCCTCACCATCACCTATGCGTCCGAAGTGTGCCCAGTCGCCCTTCGCGGCTTTCTTACCACCTATGTCAACTTCTGCTGGGGACTCGGCCAGGTCATCGGCATTGGTGTCATCAAGAGCATGCTTCCCCGCAATGACCAATGGAGTTATCGTATTCCATACGCCTTACAATGGATGTGGCCCGTCCCTCTCCTCATCGGCATCTTCCTCGCCCCGGAATCTCCCTGGTGGCTTGTCCGCAAGAACCGCACCGATGATGCCAAACGCTCACTGCTACGATTAACTTCCTTGAACCGCGAGACTGACTTCGACGCCGAAGAGACCGTCGCTATGATGGTGCACACGACGGCCCTCGAGGAGAAAATCACCGCCGGCGCCTCTTATCTCGACTGCTTCCGCGGCACCGACCTGCGACGCACCGAAATCGTCTGCATGGTCTGGGCAATCCAGAATCTCTGCGGCAACTCCTTCTCGGGTTACAGTACCTACTTCCTTGAGCAGGCTGGTCTGGACACCTCGACCGCGTACGACTTTGCACTCGGCCAGTACGGAATCAACATGGCCGGCGTCTTCGGCGCCTGGTTTCTTATGTCCCTCGGTATCGGCCGCAGGACGCTCTATCTCTACGGCCTTTGCGGACTCTGCACCATGCTCTTCATCCTCGGCTTTCTAGGCCTCGTCCCACACGCGCACCGTAAAGAAGCCAGTCTCGCCACCGGCAGCATCATGTTGGTCTGGGCTCTCTTCTACCAGCTTACCGTCGGTACCGTCTGCTACTCCCTTGTCGCTGAACTTTCAACGCGCCGTCTGCAGATCAAGACCGTCGTCCTCGGCCGCAATCTCTACAACATCGTCGGCATCATCTGCTCGGTTCTGACCCCTTATATGCTCAACCCCACCGAGTGGAATTGGAGCAACTACGCCGGCTTTTTCTGGGGCGGAATCTGCTTTCTGTGCATTATTTACACGTATTTCAGAATCCCGGAGCCGCGAGGGAGAACTTTCGCGGAGCTAGATGTGCTATTTGAGAAGGGTGTTAGTGCGAGGAAATTTGCGAGTACGACGGTTGATGTGTTTGAAGAGGATGTTGGGAGGGGCGGACTGATCACGGAGTATGAGGGGAAGTTGGAGGGGACGCTGCATGAGGAGATGGTTAGGAGGGGCGAGGAAGTATGATGGTTGAGATGGTTGTTATGATTATTACTAGTTTTGGGGCATTGTACATAGTGGGAGGTTTCTTTGGTTAGTGAGCATAGCATAGCGTCAGCAATCAATATAAAAATTCCTAATCACTTGATTCCCCGATGTACATCACTCTTTCTCGAGCTTTCTTCGTCTATCTTCGCTCCAGTCCACGGAGGCCGTGGATAGGAACGTTAAAGTTCGAAGCGTTGAATTGAAAATACATCTATTAAAAGGGCCTCTGAAAGCTGGAGAGGTGGATGCAATTCATAAGAACTCAAGAGCGAATTAGCGACTAACCGCTTATAGTTGCCCCTAATGTCCTAGTTTGATCCTTACCTTACCTCCACGTCATAACTATCTCCATCACGTTCTTTCCACCACCATCACCTGCGGAACCATTGGATAGGCGCTCAACGCCGATCGTCTGTATCTAGAGACCACAAATCTCGCAACTTGATAACGAAGCGGCTCATCCATATACGCCAGCTCTTTTCCGGTAATGGCGTCACAAGGGTTTAGCTCCTTCACAGCCCTACCAGCTGCTTCATATAACCCGCTTTATTCTTATCTTTCATCTCAATTTCCATTTGCAATCCTCAAATCTCACTATGTTAATGTACTTGTTCCAAGCCAATATCCACGGCTTGAATCGTGGGAGATTCATGCACGAACGTAGATTTTCACAGGGATCTGGCAGAGGACTTCTGGAGGAACAATTCGGGCTAATAGAAGCCTGTGAAATAAGCTCACCACAGGGACATTTGCGGTGGTCACTTACTGCTCAAAGTTCCGCATCCGTTTAGAGGGGCTCATAACTGAATATCTTTCCACGTTGTAAGGCTGTTGCTCTGTCGTATTTATGAGAGGTGTTCCTTGCAGATTAGGTGGATTGCGACTAGTCTGCGAGTGAGGTGAAGATTGAGGGTTTCCGAAGGAGGTTTGTCTCGACTGATTTGCTCGGAGGTAATTCGACGTTGTTTCAGATGTCTAATATCTCAACCAGTTCTAAAGAAATCTCACTCTCAAGTCTTTGACATCAGCCTCTCGATGTGATCGGTGGCCGGGGAGTACTTCAAACTAGTTTCAGATGCCCCAATCACTTCATTTAATCCTGTTTGTATCCCACTGTCATAATTTGAATGGCACCTTTTCGGTCTGATATTGGCAATATCAACTCATTGGTCATTCAAATCACACGTCACGTCCGTATCTCCTCATTGTTCTTTGTAGCCTCTAAAGCACCTTCAGCCGACTATCGCCGTTGCTCACTGTCCCTAATTCCGCTTCCATCTAAAGTGCACTGTACCGAAACTACCGTTGCTAGCCGAAACAGGTAGCGCCGAGCCATCGTGGGTTCTCAAATGGGCACATGACCACGAATATCACTCCCGCATCTCATAGCCGTTAGACTCCCTCGACGCGTCTCCAACACATCCAGCACGGCATCTCACCATGGCCTCATTCAAAAGTCCCGCGCTGGCCAGCTTCGCGTCCCTGACCGCCGCCCTCTCCAAAATCCCCTCACAAAACCGAGATGCTCTCCAAGAGCTCTCAGGAGAAGCCTCCGCCCTCATCACCGCCTCTGATGCCCTTCACGTTTACGAGATCGGAGGAGAGCCAGACGACCTTGTCTTGCTCACGGTCCAAATCGAGTGGCTGAAGAAACATCCTCGGGAAGATCATAGGGGCACTAAGGTCCCAGCGGGTGCTATCTTCCTGGCATCAAACCGAAATCGATCCTTCGGCCGCGTCGTTGAGCAACTCGAGCACCTTACCAGCGAAAGTCCTCAACGCCATCTCGCCGGCCACGTCGCACTCTTCGGCCCCTTCGCCGTCGTCCGCACCGCCGACTCCACCGCCCAAACCCCCAATCTCTCCGCCCTCCAAACCGCCACAAAAAACATCACCACCACCCTTTCCCAACTCTCTAAGCTCACCCACACCGCAAAATACGTCTGGCACCACGGGCCCTACCTCCGCTCCCTCACCCACTTCATCGCCAACACCACCCCCGCCATCCGTAACGCCCTCCTCGCCCTCACCGTCTGCGCCGCCATCACCTCCCTCGACGCCCACGCTCCCAACACCCCCGCCGACTGGCGCACCCTCGAAACCTACGCCCGCCGCCTCCGCCTGCCCATCATCCTCATCTCTCCGGATACCATCCCCCTGCAGTACACCTACCTCAACCATTTGCTCAAGAACTTCGGCGAGCTCGTCCCCGCCCTCTTCCCCGCGTCCGTGTATACCGAGAACGTCAACCACCACCTCGACCTCGCCCACGTCCTCGTCTACCGCGTCGCCGCGGCCGCCGCGCACCGCCACTCACGCGCCGTCGCCAGCAAAGTCGCCGCCGCGCTCCCCGCGCACCACGCAGGCGTGTGGCCGAAGGCGTGTATCCGCCCGGAAGCCTACCCGCCGGAGCGGTGTCGCATGAAGCGCGCGCTGGCCGCCATGAAGCCGCTCGCGTGGTACACGGACATGGGCATGATGCCGCTGGGGTCCGCGCAGGGCAGCACGGCCGCGCTCGCACGCGTACTGCTGGGTCCAGGCCGCCCGACGGACGACGCGACGCTGTGCGTGCCGGTCGAGATCGCGGCGCGGGGCGGCCGCGCGTTTAGGATCTCCAGCGCGGGGACGTTCTGCGTGTATACGCTGAATCGGATTGGTGATGGGGGGAAGGGGGGTGGGGTTCCTGAGGCACTGTATCACGCGCTCGTGACGAAGGCGGTGCTGGGGGGCGTGGAGGGGTTTGTGAAGGAGTTTTATGAGAGGGGGAAGAACGAGTGGGGGTATCAGCGCGAGGGGCTCGGCCAGGTGCCGGACGGGGTGGCGGTGATGTGGGGAGAGGTGTATCAGGGGCTGATTCAGCAGTTGAGGGGGCTGGCGCAGGGGGAGGCGGGGCAGGAGTGGGCGGAGGAGGAGCGGCGGGATGTGCAGAGTGTGGTCAAGGCGCTGGGGACGGGGAGTTTTACGACGGCGGTCGTGGGGGTGTTGAGGAAGAGGGAGAGGAGGGGGAAGGGGAATGGGTGTTGGATTAGTGGGTAGGGGTGGGTGAGGGGATGGGGAGGTGAGATGGAGTTCTGGTGGTTTTGCGGTTTCGAGGCCAGATGGAATCTTTTGAGCCGAGGCTTTTTGGATAGTGCGGCAGCAGAGAGTAGAGATGAGGTAATGGAGTCCCAGCGAGCTCTATTGCTGTTTTGACAGGGCGCTTGAATCGGTACTCACAATGCCTCGTCATAAAAAGCTATACACTCGTCTACCGCTGCGTGAGGAGCTTCAAAGCATTTTCAACATTCCGAAAAAGAGAGAAGTTCGGCAATTTAGACAACTAGTAAGCCCGCGAGGCTACCCCTAGCGTTAACAGGGTGTACGTAGATTGGAAGTGTATCCGCCGCCACGGTTTCTCTTAGTACGTTAAAGCCCCCGTAGACAGCGGCAGGAAGGGGTACGGATATCTATGGCAAGGCAATATAACTCATTACCGTAATTGTGGTGCAGATAGGTCTTTAGCTCGAATTCTTTCATGTCCCTATGCTTCCTGGGTCTCTATGAAAGTCTTCAAAACAAGCTTACGGACAAGCACGGGCCCCAAAATATGGTATGGATGAGAGAATGAAGAAGAGAATGGAAAGCTGTATGATTCATCTGCCCAAGGCGCCTTATAGCTTTAGCCTACTAGACGATACCTAATGAACTCTCCTCCCTTCCAATCAGCATGCTTCTCAGACTAGAAATGGTGATCTGCAGCAGAGCCTAGCCGGATATAGAAGCATGGATATCGGCATCCGTCGAGTGAGGTGCTGAAAAGTCGGCGTGATTCACGAGTCGCGGGATTGCTGTATGCTATGGAGGGTTTATTGAAGCAAAGAAGCGTTAGTCTTAGTAGATATAACGATAGGTATTCGTGTCTCGGCTTACGTTGGGGGTCTGCATGTCTGAAGAGAATGACGTTTTGGTGGTTGCTTTGCATAACGGACGGCCCAGGTCGATGAACGAGGAGTAACAAAGGCAGATTGCCGAATCCCGTAAGGATTAGATGTGCGATTGTATCAAAAAAGGTCGCCGTCGAAGTCGTCGTCTGGTGCAGCAGTCGAACTTCGCCGGCTGCTGATTGTCGGAGTCGACCCAGAAGTTCGAAGGGATTTATATAATGGAGGTGGTTGACTGCTAGTAATCTGCACAAGCTCTGCCAGCGCCTCGTTGATTTGATCAAGAGCTGTTTTTTTCTTCGTCTCAGACTCTTCTCTCTGCTCTTCCCCCTCACTCTTCTTCCTCTGCCCCTCTTGCATCTCTTCGGCTGCCTCGTCCCTCTTCTGCACTGCGGTAATTATCTTCTTCTTGACGTCTTTGAGCCTTTGAAGGTCCCGCTGGTAATTATCGTGTGGCTCTTGGTGCCGCATGCGTATCGTTTCAGCATACGCGATTTCAGATTGCCTCTGATCGAGCTCTTTGGTTGTCTCCCTAATCGCGTGGTTGATCGCCTTGATGGGGTCCGACATGTCGGAGCTCAATCCGGTCGAAGACATTATGGTGGGTCTCGGATGCTAGATAGTATAGCGTCTAATTCCTAAGACGTGGCAAAAAGACGGGCGATGGGTGTGACTGTGGTATTGGGACGGTGACAATTATTGATTTGGCTGCAGAGGAGTCTTCGCAGACTGGTGCGAAGGCAGGGCGGGGACGAAGCAAAGAATATATCTCTGGATAACGTTGAAGGCGTCTTAAGCTGAACGAAAGGCGTCCTTCCGGTGTGGTTGATGGATGATGGATGATGGCCTTGAAGAAAGACCGCTCTCGGAAGATCAGTCCTTCTGTAGTTCGTGCATAGGCCGTTCTTTCTGGGTAAGACAGATCGTTCTTTCTAAATAGTGTCATTCACAACATACAGGAATAGACGAAGTGCCTTGTCGCAAGCCTGTGCACACTCGTTTACCACTGTTTGGGACGCTTCTCAAATTCCGGACCGGATGTAAAGTTCAAGGCCGTGGGAAATGAGCTACCGTTTGACCCTATCAACCCTGGGACGTAGTGCGTAGCAATTAGCAACCACAATTTTGTTTTCTAAGAACCAGATATCTGCAGCTCCTCCCGCCCGGTCTACGTACACCTTCTTTCAAGAAGGCGAGACACTTTCCATTGATTGTAGTGCTGCTTGTTTGGAGAAACCTTCCAGTGAGCCTGTCCGAAGTGGCCTAGAGAGCTATAGCCGTATCGGTGAGGTTTCTGGTATGAACGATAATCGACTGCTTTGATCGGAAGAAACGCCATGGTGAGGGACGGTTGTGAAGATAGTCTAGTTCCAATCTATGTCTGCTCCGCGTCATGCTGGCTATCGTAAAGATGCTGCCATAAATTGGTCTGTCTGTCAGCTCCTCTTCTTTCCGTTGGCGAGGGCCCTCCTCCTCAGCCTCCTGTCTTCCCATCTCGCCCAGCCCGAGTCAACTAAGTCCTCTTCCACAACGAGATCCCGCATCCGAAACTCCCTTGCAATATATGTATCCAACCCCCAATCAACCCAGCCAGCTCGCCTTAGATAGGTCGTGAAGCCAAACCACAATATAGCGAATATAGCACCTGCGGTACATCCCACGAGGACTTGCTTCGGAGTGTGGTAGTTCAAGTATATCCGGCTCACAGCAACAGCCGCGGCAGAGATTAGAGCTGCAATGGAGAGCAGAAGGCGCTGGAAGAAGGAGAACGGAGTGTGGGTTTCGGTGGGATGCGGTGCGTGGCGGAAGAGCAAGAACATGGTCAGGGTGAGGGAGAAGAAGGTCACGAATTGGGCGTGGGAGGAGGGCATTCCGTAGCCTTTGCCGTGCATCTCTGCAAAGAAATCAGTACACATATTCCCATGCCTCAATCGCCATTCACTGAATAGATTGGAAAGGGGCGGCGAAGGGCGGAGGGCGGCTTCAGAGTGCATACCGCGCGGTCTCTCCTCCTTGATCAACCTCTTCAACCCCCAGTTGACGCCCTCACAGGCCATCTGCCCGGTAAACATGAGCAGAATCTCAATCTCGCGGTTGGACCATATCAGGGTCGCGTAGACGATGCATAGCCCTTGCGGAACGAGGGCCAGCCAGGCGCATACGTAGGATAGGCGGTCGGCGGGGTTCTTTGCGGGAGGTTAGAGCGGGCGGGGAGCAGGCGGGCGTCTCGTACATAGTGAACGTGTGTCAGAGACAGCGAGGCCAGCGGCGCGTATTCCTCCATGTTCGCGAGGGAGGGCGGAGGCGGAGAGAATTGTGGTCGCGGTGGACGAGAGGTAGGTTGCAGCTTTATTCTAACTGGTCTTGGCCCGCAGCCCGATCCGCAGCGTCACCAGAAGTGTGGCGTTGATATTTCCGTTCGACATGGCTTGAACCCGCCCTGACTCCAACACCACACCTCACTGCGCCCGATTGCCATAGAACACCTGCATTTCCCGCCTCCACCTCTTCTCCTCTTCTCTCATAATGCCATGACAGGACCCTCCTCCTGTCCAGACTCCGCGCCCAAACCCCCACCTCCGACAGTACGTTTTTACGAAAGCTAACATACAGTGTCTTTCACATTGTTATGTATGGTGCACATTGTATCAAAGCTCACCAATAAAAGGAACTCACAGACAGTCTTCACACCTCACCAACCGTCACCTACCAGTTTCGACATCTCAACTGCCAGCCTCAACATCCCAACCTCGATTCCCAGGCCCATGGCAGAAGACACCACCGACGACGAGCGCGAAGAGGAACTGTCATCTATCAAGGCCATATACCCAGACGAGCTCATAGTAGATCCACACGATCCGTTTTCCGCGTCCATCGATATCCTAGTCGCGCCCGCTACTCCGCTCGCCGTTGTCTTTCCCCATCCCGTCGATGGCGCTCCTCCGACCACTCTCCCGCCCTCACCCACATCTCAGCTTGGAGCTCCTCCGAGCGTCCAGCCGAAGCGCGACATCCACAATCTGTCGTACCTGCCACCGCTGCGCCTTCAGCTAACGTTGCCCGACGGTTACCCCTCCGCGGCCGCCCCGAAGTTCCGTCTGAGCACATCGCCACCATGGATCCCCGAGAAATTATTACAGAAGCTTCAGAAGGAGGGCGTGGGACTGTGGGAGGAATACGGGCGCGAACAGGTGCTCTTCTCATACATCACTCATCTGCAGGATGCGGCGGAACGCGGCTTTGATCTGGGAGAAGACCGTGTGTTGGAGCTATCATTGGACATGAAGATCGGGCTATTGGACTACGACATCAAGACGAAGAAGAAGGTTTTTGACCAAGGAACCTATGACTGCGGGGTTTGTCTGGAGCCGAAGAAGGGTTCGTCGTGCTACCAATTACCACGATGCTCGCACGTCTTTTGCGTCCAATGCTTGCAGGACTTTTACAACGACTGCATCTCTTCGGGAGATGTCAACGGCGTTAAATGTCTTTCGCCAGGTTGTGGTCAAGAGAAGGAGATACCCGGTGTCAAGCGCAAGAAGAAGCCAGACCGACTGCTTACGCCGAGCGAATTACTCCAGATCCCACTAGAGACGGCTATGGTTCAACGATATGTCGAGATGAAGCGGAAGAAGAAGCTCGAGTCGGATAAGTCTACCATCTATTGTCCACGGACCTGGTGCCAAGGAGCTGCGCGATCCAAGAAATACCCCAAAATCACCGACCTCTCTCAGATTACCGAATCGGACGACGAAGCATCCGATGACGAGACAGCTGTAGAGGAGAAGGCTAACCCCGGCAAAGATGCCAAGCCTAAAGGAGCGCCCGAGACCGACCGCCTCGCCATTTGCGAAGACTGCAACTATGCATTCTGTCGCGTGTGTATGCAAGGCTGGCACGGCGAATTCGTGCGGTGCTGGCCGCGCGATGCGTCTGAACTCACAGAAGAGGAGCGAGCTTCGATGAATTACATCCTCGCCCATACCTCTCCTTGTCCGACCTGCTCAGTTCCTTGCCAGAAATCGCACGGATGCAACCACATGTCATGCTTTCAATGCAAGACACACTTCTGCTATCTGTGTAGTGCTTGGCTGAATGCCGACAATCCGTATGAGCACTTCAATCAAGAAGGCAGGCCTTGCTACCAGCGCCTTTGGGAGCTGGAAGAAGGAGACGATGGCAACGGAAATGTTCATTTCAACGGTATCCGGGGCGCAGAAGCTGCTGCTCAGAGGGCGGCGCAAGCTGCTGTGGATATTCAGAACCAGGTATGAATATACGGCTAATAATCTCGCTAATCGTAGTGCTGATTCTTGAGACAGGAGATTGATGCCGCCGAGGATCAAGAAATACCACCACCGGCACCAGAGCCACCCGCTCCGCTTGTGCCTGCCCCTGTCTTTGCCCAACCAAACGGTCGACAGGCTGCTAATCAAGTACCTCGCGAAAACGTCCGGCGCAATCCACGGGATCCTGGTCAAGAGAGAGCTGCACATGGGGGTGGTGGTCGTTACCCACTAATGGAGGCTAACCAGATGGGGCTGCAGCGCTTTTTGCAGCTAGTCCGCGATGATGAAGAGGATGAGTGGGATAGCGATGAGCTGGAAGACGAAGACGACGAATTTGCTATCCCAGAGCGGTGACAGAGCCGCAGCCCTTCGAGGGAGAGTCCTCAAATACTTTCACCTGGGATGGCTCGGTACTTTTTCGAATGTGGCCGAAGTTGCAGGCAGGCCTCGACTTTCTAAGCTGCAACACCGGACTTTACAACGACTCCTATGATCACCCAATAGACCGACAAGGTCGATATTGACCAGCTGCTTCTGCTGCGGAAGACTATGGATCTTCCGACATACTCAGCTGGCGCGTTGTACTTGCATCAACTAATGAAAGAGCATGATGACGACGATATTGGGAATGCTTTTACGACCGACCATCACTTAGCGAGGCATTTCAAAGGCGTTTGATGGGAGGCTGCACATTTTTGAGTGCATCGGAAAGTCAATAAATATTTTGGTGCGTCGTGGGTGAGGCTGCAACCCAGGCGTAGGTGGGTCCTTTTGATATCCCAGAGTCAGCTTTACATTTCAATACCAATCTTCAAATTTCTAGATTACTCTCTTTCTTTATGTGATAGTCAGTGCCAGTGTCCACTTCAAAAACTTCCATCTACCACTCAAAGGATGGAACCCACTAATCTCACAAGATACATCGATTGCTTCCAGCGGCAATCTACAAGATATTCCTTAACCTTTCTTCACAACTTCCCCCTCTCCCTTCCCTGCCACTCCCCCGGCATCAAATAATCCGGCAAATCTGCCTCACAATCCCCCGAAACCCCTAACCAATTTAGCGGCAAATGATAACAAAGCACACACGCCGCACTACAAAACCCAATCACCGCAAACCCCCTCACCATGCCCGGCAACCAACTCTCCCCATACCGCCTCCCCCTAAACCCCACCCCCGCCCTCCACCGCTGATACCCCCTTTCCACCGGACTCAACCCCTCCCCACACCCGCCCGCCTGCACACGCATCCACGTAAACAACGTCCCCAGCGTCGCCACAAACACGCTCTCATACACGGGGAACTGACTTACCCTTCCCGCCCACAGCGTCAACGGACCATACGTCTTGGCAAACGCATACGCGTGCGTCGTGCTGATAATCGCATTCTCAACCACAAAATCAGACACAAACGCATCCACCCACACGAGCGCGAAGATCGCCTCGTTGTTGAGCGACGGCCCGAATAGCGCGCGCAACGCGGCGTGCAGCTTGCACCCGACGATGGCGACGCCGGCGCAGAAGTACACGTACATGGGCGGGCCCCACAGCAGGCTCTCGGTGTAGCGCGTCGGCGCGCCCGGGCGGTGGAAAGACGTGAAGCGCGCCCAGGAACCCGCGTTGGCGGCGTACGAGTTCCAGGCGAAGATGTACTGCTGGCCGTTGAGGAAGCCGTCACTCACTAAGGCTATTAGCCCGCCGACGACGAACTTGCCGTCGAGGGTGAAGGAGCGGCGGCGGTAGAGGGGTTTGGCGAGATTGTAGAAGAGGAAGAGGAGGAGGACGATGGTGGATAGGATTTCGACGACTCGCAGGCTGATGAGGCGCCACAGGGGCATGGGGGTGTTGTTGACGTGGGGCGCGGGGCGCGGGGCGGAATTCGGTCGGGGAGGCGATCCAGCGGATGATGACGGTCAGGGAGAGGATGGTCCAGGCGAGGCCCTAGAGAGCCTAGGTGGTGGCGCCGCCGTGGGTGGGGTATTTTTCGTTTTCGATGGCGTGCGAGCTGGCTGAGTAATGGGGGAGTAAGGGAGTGGTGGTTGAGGGAGGGGATTCTTCGTCGTGGGTTGGTGGGCCCATGGTGGGTGGATTGGGGGTTGAAGTCGGTGGGAATGGGGAGCTTTGAGTGTCTGGGTTAGGTATGGGTAATGGACATGGGACATGTTCAAAGCGTCTTGTGGTTCAGTGTTTTGAGGTTTATACATTTCGCTAATAGGCATCGGAGTTCGGAGGACGTCCGGGCCGGAGCCAGCCTTCCGATGCACTGGTGTGGAAGGCCAGCCTTGTGAGTGGAGAAGAGAAGATGCTTTGCTGGATTGGGAGGAGCCCAAGATTGTGGTAGGTAGCCGAGAATACGGGAGAAGCTGGGGAAAGCAGGGTGCACTCCGCGGTTCGAGTATTTACTAGAAAGGGGTTGCTTGCGCGCAGTAGCACGGGTTGACCCTTCGAAGTTGATATTGGAAGTTTGCTGATATCTCATGGTGTTTTGAAGGCTTCTTTGTTTCTCGGAAGCTTCGAACGAGGTCCTACGACATGTGAGAATGTACCAAAGGTCCATCTGCTAGGACTGAGAACATACTAACTTTGCTATGATGGCTCGACTAGGTTTAGGCAAACATTGTGTTTGGCATTTTGAAATACGAATGCTTTTCCAACTCGCTTTCTATCCGACCTTCAAGAACGGCCAGCATGGGTGGACTCAAGGGCAAAACTTCTGGGCTCCAAAACGCCAGTAATCCTCCGGATACTAGACATAAAGGCCGTGGAGACTCCCGACGTCCAGATGATAGATCTCACAGATCTGGAAGCGCCCATCATTTCTTCTCACTGGACTATGGAGATTCACAAAGCAACCCTCCACAATCCTCCGAGACTTTAGGGCAGACAGAAACTTCCACCACTGGTCGAAAGCGACCGCACCCCGAGGACGACGAGTCTAACTCGAAGTCCCTTGAAGCGTCTTCAAAGAAGGCAAAGATCGCATACAACACTAAAGATAGCGGTCTAGGTCAGTGTAGCTCTAGTAGCACGACCAAAGACCAATCTGGATTGCTGCAATGCAGCGTGGACGCTGCGACAATGACCCCTCATGCTGCCGCTGAATGCTCAGCTAATGAAGCTCTCGCTCAATCAGCACTCCCTACTGCCGCTATTGAGAGCTCTATGAGGGCCACCCAACTCCAGCCAAGCTATCCCCGCCCAGCCAGAACGAAGAGCCAAACGGAAGCGCTATTGGATCGACGAGAAGCTTTTCCGAAGCAGACAAAGAAGCGGAAAACGCCAGGAAAAAAGAGGCTGCAGCGAAGAAGGAGCGAGAAGAGGCGGAGAGGAAGTTCCACGAGAGAGAGATTGAATGTGACAGGCTCTTAGAGTCTCCAAGGTCCTCTCCTACTCTTCCTGCGCCGATCAGTGGTCAAAATTTTACTCCCAGGCCTGCACAGCCACAGACACCTTCTCAAAGTCAAAGTCTGGCCGGGTCAGAGGACGGTGAGATAATCGAATTTGTTCTAGAGACTGGCACATTAGCTTCAAGTGGAACTCCACAAGCTTTCCGAAAACCCGTCAGGTCTCAACAGCCTCCGGCAGCCTCCAATCGTGCCAATGCAACCCGAAGCTCCGGAACTACGACCAAAGGCTCCAAGGACGTTCAAATGATGGCATAGAATGACTCGGCTCATTCCCGGACGGATACCCTGGCTAGCAATGCGCCGCTGATGCCCCGTGGGGAAGATATGTCTATGCGAAATGTGGTACATCAAGTAGATTATACACCAGTACGCCCAGTCCACACGCCGCACTTACGAAGGCCACTACCTCCCGATGAAAGCTGCCCGAAACGTCAGAATATAGATGACGTCAAAGGGAAAGGAACGAAGGCTGGGGAGAAGAAGGACAACTTTTATGCAGCGCGTCGGGAGTAGGTTTCCCATCGGGGCATGTTGTAGCATAGAAGCATATTGACACGGTAAGCGACTGAAGACATGAAAGAAGGGCTCTGTAAATAGTTCAGGATAGACAAAGTAATGGAATCCTTCATTAGATTGCTGGTTTCGAAGCTATGAGGCATTGTAGGAAAAGATAGGTAGACGGCTTAACGACTAAGGGGCCCTTGAGGTGGAGTCAGCTTCGGGGCCCGCCGCGTCCATGCTCCCGCTCGATTGCTTTCATTGTTCGGATTCGTTTCAATGTCGTTGGGAAGACGTTCACTGGCTTTCCAGGCGGGAGGTCCACGAATACTCCCAAGAAATGAGAAGAGGTTAGGCAGCAAGATGCCTTATTTCCAGTCGTATATAAGACTACCCTTACAACGTCTCTTGACTGTATGTTCGCGCGACTCCATAGCTACTCAGTCGGTTTACCTCCTTGGCACAGTCTCTCAGATGGCACAAGAGCGAGACCAAGATCAGCTGGAGCTTGTGTCGTCGCCTGTGAGCAATGGCAAAAGACAAGACCGGACTTGGAAAGGAAAGCGTCAAAGCACGGTACATTCCCCCATTTCTCACAAGCACATATTCCATCCAATATACTCGCAGCACCACGGGTTAGCATGCGCTCAGCTGATAATATCAGGAAAAATCAATTCAGCAGAAACCCTCCGGGAGTGACACTTCGCGTAACAGGGTTCGAGGCCGAACAGTGACAGTCATCAGCGTCACTGCACGTGCAATATCGTTTCCAGCATCGTTCAATGGACCAACTTCATCCCTACGATCATCCGTATCGTTGCCACCTACAGCGCGACCGACTTCGACATCGTCAATCTAACTAGTTCGACCGTTCGAGACTAGCGACACGCCTCGATGCGACGACGATTACACAGAGCTATTTTCGACGGTTAATCACTTCACTTCTGCCATCAATCGGCGCAAGACCGATATTGTGTCAAGGGCGAAGGCGAAAACAGCGGAGGCACGAACCGCAAGAGACGAGCGTACAGCTCGCGTGGAGATCAGGAAGGACCAGAATATGGCGCAGATCAGGGAACTGGACCAGAAAATCAAGAGCGATGAAGAAGAGGTTAAGAGGCTGATGACTAGTCTTGAACTGGGCAAAATGCGGAAGACAACACTGGAGGAGGGCTTTCAGGCAGATGTCAAGGACCAACGAACAGCGCAAGAGGAGTATAACAAAATCGACATTCAGGTGCGACGGGAGGTTGAAGAGCGTATTGGAGAATTTAAAGCCTGGACCCGAAGACTTAATCAGGATGACTTCGAAGAGAACCCCTCAAACGAACGAAATTATCAGCTGTGCAACGAGGAGATGGCTGCCGCCAACGAAATAGCCGACGAGATGTCCAACGAGGCAGTCGACGAGTGCTCCGAGGAAAAGGTCGAAGAACCTTCCGGTGAAAAAGTTGTTAATCAATCCTCTGAAGAAGTAACATCTTAGGTACGCGCTAGTCTATTTCCGAAACACATGCCCCCGGTGGTTTTGACATTCAATCGTCAGCAGGCTGATGATGATCAATTCCCAGCTTCTACGCTGTCCCTTTTGAAGCCCCTCGAGCCATGGCTTCATTATGAGACCATATTGTTGACGAATGGTAGTAGGACCCGGATGATAGCGTAGTAATCATAGGCTCCACCTCGCTGAAGAAGATGCCATTGAGGAAGAAGAGAGTTCTGAGTACCAACCGAGTGATACCGATGAGAGCGAGGCTTCTGACTAGAACCAGCAGTTGAGCTGCTGCGACGTACGGCGGTTGGAAATCTCGAACCAATCGTTACAAAATACATATACCCAAAATTTCAGTTGTCTCTAGATATAAGTCCTTAATGGCTCCCAGAGTTTCACACGTGAATGGCTCTTTAACCAAGTGACTTCAAACGTAACCTACGAGCTGGACCCTGAATCTGCTCTTGCTCTTTCACTTGTTAAGGCTCTCACTACGTTTTCTTCAGCATCTCGGGCCAGAATAACACACTGTTCGAATGCTGGATGAAACGAATCACGTGATAGATAGCTAACCATTGTGGCTTAGCGGGATTGCAACTAGGTAGAACAACTGCGTGGCCATTGGATCTCCAACCTTCTCACCCACACCACCTTACCATCTGAGGATACATTGCCCGCTGGTCGTCGCTTGACCATGTCAACCTGTTCTCATAACACCTAGATAAGTGCTGCATTGGTCACGGTAAGATGCAGGAGGTGCGAATTCTATCGGCTACCTACATGTCCTACCCTAGCCAGCGGTCCTATCACAATCAAGAGAGTCATCAGAGCAACAATGGTCCTCCCGCAGAATCACGGAACTTTCCTCTTCTTTCCAGAGGACTCAGCTTTTGTAATGTACCTCGCCAAACGGCATGAGTTACTTCCAGCAGCCGTCAAATTGGATCGGCTAATGCTTAATGCAACTTCTTGGAAGGCTTTCTATAGTTTTCAACTAGACACACTGATAGACAGTAGTTAGTTTCGCGCTTGGCTGCACCAAGATGCTGCAATGCTCACGGTCTAAGTTATTCTGTGGTAGAACGCACGTTTCTGCCATTAGCCGTTGTCCGTGACACCACCCACGCTCCGCATTCTGGGAGCGACTGAGCTCTTTCGGCAATATGATGCTCCTTAGTAGAGCCTTTTACTTCTAGAAATCAGGGCAAGTTTTCCAGTATGCTGATATCCTTCAACTTTCAGCTTTCTGTCGGGTCATTATTTGGTTCGAAGCATTGCCAGCTTGGCCCTATCATTCTAAACAGCTACCACCCAACGCTTGAGTCCTCCGAGGACCCCTTCCGTAGCCCCTTTGGGCGAGACGAACAACAACATAGCAGACGCGACCTTCGATGCTGAGGTTCACACAGATCCATCCAACGCCAACGCGGTTCTTACAGACTATATGACTTGTCTCAACGAGCTCGCCCAGGCCGAATTGCAAGACAACCAAAGAAGAGATCGCGAAACCGCCAGGCTGCTATATGAGAAAGATGCTTCCCAGAAGCGTTTTGCACACGCGAGAATATCGGCCGATGTCCAACATCGGGAGGCGATGCAAAACTTCGACACAAAGAAGAAGAATGCGGCATATGCCGAAAAACAGAGTGATGCAAAGATTGCAGGACTGAAGAAGCAGATTTTGGAGGAAGCGAAGGTGAAAGAGAAGATCTTCAATGATGTTAAGGTGTTGGATCGGGAGTTCAATAATACCCAACGCAAGATATGCAAGGACATTATGGCAGCAGCTAGAGAGCTTAGCTCAAGTGAATCCGCGCATCACTTGGAGTAGTGGTGGCAAGTTACTCAATAAAAGAGCATCGCAAGATTGAAGCATCTCTGTCTAGATTCTCCTAGCCACCACCGGAATAGAACCGATGTCCATTAGGATGCTTAATCGCTCGATTCTATCTTCGCCTCGTTTTATTACCCTATCTTGACCCCTCAAGTGCCATTTCCGTTCGCGCCTCTGCTCAAACAACCAAAAAAGGGGATGAACAGTCGAAAACAGCAGCTTTCGAAATGAAGTGAAAGGCTTCAGTCTGGCTGAGTGTCTGTCCCGTGATACTCACGTGGAGCGAACGCACAGCCTCGCCATCTTACATGCACCACCGACAGTAGTACAACACCCGAACCTTGAAAGATGGACGCGACCTACTTCTGCTATTATAGCCTCAAATCACTCACAAGCACCACAAAACTCCTCCCACCGATTCGCGTCATTCAGGTGTCTATACGTCGATCCCTGAAGAGCACCAACACCTCCATATCCACATGCAAAGATAACCCATCTACTATTTCCACTCTCTCTCTCTCCCGTTTATACACATATCCACATACCCACATCTCCCCATAATTTCCACAACCTCCACTCCCATATCCTCAAACCCCACCCCCACCCCCACCCCCATCCCCCACCCAATATCTTCCAACCCGACCATCCTCCTCGTCCACAGCACCCGCCACACCCCCGCCGCGCTCCTCGCACACCGCTTTCCCTTCCCCTAACTCCCCATCCCCCTCCCCCTCCCCTCCCGCAGCAGCACGCCCCGGCCCGCGACCTCGCTCCCCTCCTCGCCGACGGCACAGCCGCTGCTATCCGCCTCTCCGCCGCATCCCTCAAGAAAGCAGAGCAAGCAAAGCGGCGGGTGCGGCAGCTCGTGTCCCTGTGCGCGTGCATTCTCGCAGCGGGGACGCGTAGGGATGATGGGTAGGCAGGAATTAAAGAGGGAGGTTTAGATATGCTTGTTCGCGGGGATTTAGTGCGGAGGCAATCCAGGTTGAGGCGAGTACGAGATGCGAGTTTCCAGCTGGGTCCTTGGTCACAACAATTTCTTTAAATCTTCCCTGTTATCCCATTCCTTCTCCATATTCACAAAGTTCTGCGGCGTGTCGGGGATGGAGAGGCAGGGAAGGAATGATAGACGGGAGATGAAAGCGTGGAAGAGGGTGGGTGAGCAGGAGGTAACCCCTATCCTATTAGACTATCCAACGCTCCCCTCGCATACTTTCCACCCCATCGAACGCATCGAGGCACCTTCGACGCGACACCCTCTTTTCAACGTCTCAACTGATCAATGAAGTCCCTCCGAATCTCAAACGGCAAGGCACCCTGCCCGACCGCCTCCTTCTCCCACTCCGTCTCCACCCACGTCAGCCTTGCGACAAACCTTCCATCGACCCTCACCTTCCCCAGCGCCTCCAACGCCGCACGCTTCCAGTCTTCGCCGGGCTGCTGCTCCCTCCGGTCACCCAGCAGCACTGCCACATCACGTAGATTCTTCATCTTTGCAAGCAGTGCGCACGCTTTCTGCCAGTCCTCCAAGTCTTTCTGCGCTTTGCCGTGCGCGGAGCGGGCTTGAAAGGGCCGGTGGGCCCGGGCGAGCATGAAGGTGAACTGCAGCGTGAGGCTACGGATGAGTTGGAAGCGGTCCGGGAGGATGGTGGTGGGAAAGGCGAGGAGCACATCAAGGTTGCGGAAGTCGAAGGTATTGGTTTTGTAGAGGAGGGGTGCTGCTTCAGTGTAGCTATCGTTCATATTAGCACTGTAACAGACACGATCATTCTGACTCGAGATTTCTAACGCGTGATGGAAGAGATATGTGAGGAGTAGGGGATAACTAGGGAGAAGTGGTATGGAACATGGGAAAGAAATGGCCCCACTCACATCTGCCGACACGTCTTCGTCAGCGCCAAAATCCTGTTCTTCCGCACCCACCACCTCAGATACCGATACTCTTCCTCTTCATACGGCCCATGACCCTGTAATAGTACCCTGGGTGCATTGAAATACAGCTGCCCGCCATCCGTGACCCAGATAGCACACGCGGAGTGCGCGTTTCTTGCGAATGGCGACCCCACCCAGTCGTCCTCTTCCCACTTGCAGCGTTCGTGATCGAGCCGGTAGAATACGCCTGGATCTATCAACGTGTAGCGCGGCGGGCGGGTCAAGCTGGGAACGAGAGACGGAATGATGTGCAGCCTCTGCCCGCCGACGACTAGGGTCCAGATGTGGAGACGGAGCTCGAGTGGAAGTTTGGTGAGCAGGGAGCAGCCGCTCTGGGGACTTGTGTGCTGTCTCGGGTCTTTGGGTTTGATGCCGAGAAAGGTGGCGATTGTTCCTTTCGTCGGATCTTCTGGTGATGTTGGAAGAGATAGAGCACGTGGACGTTTCCTCGGGAGTGGTGTCGGGCTTGGAAGAATTCCTGGTGGGCCAATGGCTATGGAAGGGCGAGAGTCGGGGGCACGCCATCTCTGCACAGTCTTGACGGAGTACTTAGACATATAGGAGACAGCATAGTAGGGAAAGGTGATGACGGCTTTGGGGAGTTTGATGAAGATGGCTTTCGAAAACTGGCGTAGAACAATCGAGCCCATAGACTCGGCTCGATACTGGGTAGTCTGCATGCCGAAACGTGGAGGCCTTTGGACGAAAGAGTGAGGCCTAAGGAAGTGTATAGGGCGTGATGAGTATGTACTTTCGGACTTTAGGCAGCAAGACGACGGGAAGGCTGAATGCGCGGTTGCTATTCCATCCAAGCCCTCAAACCATGACGAGACGAAGCGATCAGATGCAGTGCACTGCCATCTTTCGCTCGCGTGGGAAGACAAGGTTGGTGTAAGATTTCACTGCTGATGGTGGGAGGAGGAACGTGGTTCTGGAGTTCGAGACCCTTGGACCCTGAGGCGGAGGGGAGATCAGACTAATGATACACTAGCCCTAAACTAGACACAGAGCACGTGGTAAGAATGGATCCAGCCTCCCAACATGAACCGCCTTCTCGGACACTTCCACACTTCTGTCTTTGTATCACAATAATTTGAGATGATTATTGACTCTCTGACCCATATTTCAATATTTCACGCCTGAAGTGGCGAAAGACTTTTGATTTTGAAGATTTTATTTCTATTTCATTACAAACTCTAAAAAGCACTCAAAGAGGATATATATACAGTGTTTACGACAACTCTGCATACCTCCTGATTATGCACAACTCTCTCTCCTCTCTCCTCTCCTAATCTCTCCTTTCTAGTTGCTCTACATCCCACCCAACTAGTCATCTTCTTCTTCCTCAGCCGCCTTGGTCGCGAGGATATACCTCTCGTTGCCATGCTTGTCGGTACCATGCTCAAGAGCAAGCTTGCTGAGGGCAGCAATCATGTTCTCAATGGCCGGGTCCTTGTGGCTGCGGTTCTTGCGGCCCAAGTTGTCGAGCCAGGATATGCGGTTGAGAAGATAGTAGACGATAGCAATGACGATGGTAACACCGATGGAGTAACCCCAGATGACAACGATGGTGACGATGTCAGTCCAGCCGTCCTGGCGTTGGTGCCAGTGGTCCGATGGGTGGGTAGCGTGTGGGGGTCCGCCGGAGAGCCAGCCGAAAGCGCAGAAGACGGTAGCGAGGGCATCAACACCGAGGATAGCGCCGACGAGCTGCCACGAGGGCCACGTCTTGCCGCCACGGGTAACGAAGATGAGCCAGTTCTCAGTAAGCGAGACTTCGAGGAAGAGGATTTCCTGGACTGAGCCGAAGTTCTGGACAACACCACCGTTGGGCAGGTACATGGAGCCACGAATGACCCAGGTGCCGAGCGCGAGGATTACGCCGAGAATGACGGAGATGATCCAGATCTTTGGTAGCTGCCATTCGACGGGACGTTCTTCCGAGTATGCGTTATCGTAGGCGACGGCGACAGTGGCCAAATCAGCGAAGAGGGCAATGAAGACGATCAGCTCGACACGGATGGTCTCGTTGATGATAAGCATAGAAGTGACGAGGTAGATCTCCAAGTGCAAGCAGAGCGCGATACGGTATTGAATGTAGGCCTTCATGCGCTGGAAAATTTGGCGGGCAGTCTTGATGGCGAGAACAATGGTGCTAAGACCGGGGGCGAGGAAGACAATATCGGCGGCGGCTTGAGCGGCTTCGGAGGCACCTTCGACGGCAATACCACAATCAGCCTTCTTGAGGGAGGGAGCGTCGTTGACACCGTCACCAGTCATAGCAGTAAGATGGCCTCTTTGTTGAAGCATCTCGACGACCTGGTACTTGTGTTCGGGGAAAACTTCAGCGAAACCGTCGGCACGTTCAACTAAGTCGTGCTGAGTAGTTCCGGAGAGACCACCATGGATAAGCTTCTGGGAGTTGTAGACCTTGGTACCGAGAGCCAGCATCTTGCAAGTTTCCTTAGCGATAGCGATAGCGTCACCAGTAAGCATCTTGACGGGCACACCGAGCTGTTGAGCTTCGATGATGGTCTGCGCGGTATCCTCACGAGGGGGGTCGAACATGGAGAGCAAGCCGAGGAGGATCCAGTCACCGTCGTTCTTCTGGTAAGCAACACCGAGGGATCGGAAACCACGGCGAGCGAACTCAGTGGCCTTGTTCTTGAACAGATCGGCAGTCTCCTTGTCGCAGTTTGAAAGGGTGAGAATGGCCTTGGGGGCACCCTTAGCGCAGACGTACTTGTCGCCGCCCATGTGGCAGATGGTAGTGATACGCTTGGAGACGGGGTCGAAGGGCATGAACTTCTCAGTCTTCCATCCCTGCTGGAGGATCTCACGAGCCTTGGGGTAGCGCTTCATGGTCAGAATGGTGACTTTGTCGATGGGGTCCAGCGACTTGAGGTTGTGCGAAGAGGCGAGAGCGGCAACGGCCATCATCCAGTTGACATCTTGGCCTTCGGCGACGTAGGGCTCGCGGATGGAAAGCTGGTTAGCGGTCAAAGTACCTGTCTTATCAGAGCAGAGGACGTCGACACCGGCAAGCGATTCAATGGCAGTGAGCTTCTGGACAATAGCCTTTTGCTTGGCCAAGTAGGCAGCTCCGACAGCGAGAGTGGTGGTTGTAACAACAGGCAGACTGAGGATGGTTAGCTTTGCGGAAAAGTAGAGTAGTGACATTTAAACTTACCCGACTGGCACACCGACGATCAAGAGGATAAGAGCGTAATGCAGCAAGTTCTCCGATGAGTCCTCGGGAGTAGAAATCTTCAAGTGATGGAAGAAACCGCCAATCCAGGAGATCAAGATGAAGAAAACGACGAGGACGAGCAGCGCCGTACCAATGGAGTTCATGATAGCCTTGAAATGACCTTGGTCCTTAGCACCCTGAACGAGACTGGCAGTTCGGCCGACGAAAGAGTGAGGAGCGGAGGTAGTGCAGATAGCGTAGGCCTTGCCGCGCTTGCAGCCAGTGGTGTAGTAGCAGACATCGCCCATGTATTTGTCGACGGCAAGCGATTCTCCGGTAATGGCAGACTGGTCAACAGCGATGATGGAAGGGCCTCCCTTGGGGTGGTTCTCCTCGCCGTAGTCCTCGTTCTCGTTGTCGTCCAAGTCGTCCTTCTTCTCGTCATCTGGATCGGAGTCGGCGGCAAACTGGTCATCCTCCTTCATCTTGACGAACTTCTCGAAGTCTTCCGGGGTGTCATAGTCGCAGATGAGTCTGGCGTCGCAGGGTACAGTCTGGCCTTCTTCAAGGACAACCTGGGTGAGCTGTTAGTAGTGGTCACGGGACCCGATGGATGCGGAAGGTACACACGATTTCACCGGCGACGATCTCCCGAGCGAGGATGCCAACTTCTTGGCCATCGCGAATGACAGTAGCCTTCATGGCGATGTCGCCCTTGAGACTGGCGACGACGTCGGCCGCTTGCTTCTCCTGGTACCAACCGACAATGGCGTTGAGAATCAGGATACCGATGATGACACCCATGTCGACCCAATCACGAAGACCAGCAGCGAGCAGGACAGCGAGTTCCATGACTGGCCAATCACGTTAGCGCTGCACTAAGCAAAACACGGCCGGTGGAGCAGCGCGGAGATTTACCGTAAAGAATTGGGCCAGTGAAGAAGGAGAGGAACTTCAGGAACATGTTCTCCTTCTCGCTGGTGAGCTCGTTGGCACCGAGGCGGCGGCGCCTCTCCTCCACGACGCTGGACTTGATGCCCTGCTTGATGTCGGTGTTGAGCCACTCCGCGGGCACCACGCCAGCATCCTTGCCCTGGGCATTGGGGCTGTTTCCAGCTCTCCAGAACGCCCACCATGGCCGGGCCTTGGCCGCGTCGGCGGCATCGGCCTTCGCGCCAGCCTCGTCATCGGCGGCAGCAGCTTTGGGGTCGCGGTAGGTCGTGATGTACTTCTGCAGCGCGCTGTACTCGTCGAGCTCTGAGTAGTCGACTTTGGAGTAGGTGCGCTCCCGCTCGGGGTCGCCGTTCTCGACGTCCAGGCTGTGCTTCGCCATGATAGCTCAATTGGATGCAATTGCGTGCTACAAACCGCCGACGACAATGGACCACGCGTGAAGGAGGAGGGGAGAGTGGAGAGGGGACGAGAAGTGAGCAAGCAGAACCTCAGCGGGCGGCAGGCTTTTTATGAAACTCCACGCGCGATCGGCCAGCCTTCGTGGACGGGTGCCGTTGACGTCGCTCGAGGCGTAATCATCCTGGACAACAGTTGAGAGGCCGGCCTGCGAGCGTTATCCGGACCCAAACAGCGTCGAGCAGCGCCAGCCGACGCTACCGGCCGAGAGAACCGCGCGAATTTCCGCAGAGCTATGGGATGGGTGGGGTTCGAGCCCGTCCCGTACTGGCTGCCTCGCCTCGCAGAATGGGAGCTGGATAGGCGTGGCTACGGTAGGGCAAGGCGGGAATAATACCGCACCGCGCTCTTGCTCGCAGCTCCTCTCCGAGACAGCGCCGGCACTGCCGGAGGGGGGAAAAAGACGCATGAAAGCTGCCTGCCGCTGACCGGCCCTCAGTCACCACTGCACCGCGTCGCCAGCAGCCAGAAGCGCGCAGGCCGTCGCAATGGCACGTCGGCAACGCTGCCTGAGGCCGAGCGCGAACGGCCACCGACGAGCAGCCGTGACGTCGATGTTGCGCCGCTGAGGCGCCGCTGAGAACGCAGTGGCAGCCGAGTGGCCCGCGGGCCTGCTAGCTTTTTGCGGCCACTGGGGGCCACTGGGGCCGCCGTAGGCGATAGCATGGCCTGGACAAGCTTTTTGTCGCACAGATCCTGCTTGGCGTGCTGCTTGAGTTGCTTGTTCCTGGATGTGGGGTGCGGGATGGTGGAGCGGCGCTGCATAGATTGGCGGATGGATTGCTGCAAACAATTCCCGCAGGCGCGCCGCCCACCCGCAAGCCCTTTAAAATCTCTGCCAGCCAGGCTGCTGCACTCGGGGTCCCGCACGGCGCGTCTGCAATCGTGCATCGTCGGCCCTTCATGCAGCCGTGAGCTGTCCTTCACTGAATGGCGGGTCTTCAAATTGCTCAACCGCCGGCGAGGCATCATGATCGATTAGTATCGCATGCAACTACCTGCCGGGCCATCCACCCCGTATCGAGCATGCCGACCGAGCCGTCTCCTCGGCCGAATCGTATCGGGACATCCCTGGGAAATCTTCCTGTACGAGCGCTGCTTACGTACCGGCCTTATCCCAGCCTCGATTCTGACAGATACACCGTGCATCCTCAAGCGCCAATACAAAACGGCTGCCAAGGACGGCATTTCCAGTTCAAGCTTCTTCTGTGAGCACTGCCAGTTCTGGGAAGTTCGCGATTGACGCCCTAAGCAGGCTATGTTCGGTGATGATATCGCGGTAGGTACATCACAAAGCAGCCGCCGACACTCAGAATCTACAAGTAAGCGGCAAGGCCGCGAGGCAGAGAGCTACCCCTCCACACCTCGAAGCTCCCAGCACGCCCATCCCAGATTGTTGAGCACTATGCGCCGAAAAACGCGCCGAGTCATGACATGATCGGCTTTCCTATTCCCGGATCCCAAGTGTGGGTAGCGTCGCGGTTTCATCGCGCCTTCCGAAATTCGCAGCGACAACAAACAAACATCCTCCTGCAACCTCGTTAATTCGATGGAGACGCACTTCCACCACACGCACCCCTTTTTTCGAGAGTCAATGGCTTCAAAATCTGGACCGCGCCGCGGTTGGACCACAACGGCAAATCAGAACGCGCCAGTTTTGGCGCAGTCATCATATCGCAGCACCGCCTGGAGCAGCACCTGAGCACCGAGCGCACAGTGTTCTGGACTGGTGTATTCGTTCGGGTTATGGGAAACGCCGTCTTTCGAAGGGACAAAAATCATACTGGTCGGAACGACTCTCGATGTCCACGCGCTGTCGTGACCAGCACGCGACTTCATGTCCATGATCTGGCTTTCTGCGACTTCTCCTAGCGCAGCTCGCCTCACGGCATTGATGCAGTTCTCATGGAATTTCGACTCTGGCAGGCCCCATGTTCGCGTGACGTCGTACGACGTCGCATTTTCCTCCTCTGCGACGACAGCGTCGAAAGACTTGAAAATTTCGGTTGCCAGCGCGTCTACCATATCGTCCGTTGAGCAACGTACGTCTATGATGAACTCGACCCCTGCTGGAATAGTTGCCTGGCTTGATGTGTCACTCTTTATTACACCTACGGTTGCTACGCCGAGGCCAGTGCGAGATGCCGCGTCGCGAACAGCCGATATGAGACGCGACGCAGTTACGAGAGCGTCAGAGCGGTTATCCATTGGAGTTGTTCCTGGCTGTCTTAGTTTCGTGGAATATGCTCACATTTCTGTGTAGTTAGCATACCTGAGTGCCCCTCCACGCCAGTAACGCGCACAGCAAACCACTTCATGCCCTGCACGGCTGTAACAACGCCCACGCTCTTACCTTCTCGCTCCAGTAAAGGGCCTTGTTCTATGTGGAGTTCAAAGTGACACTCCAGACCGTTCTCCCGGTAGTCGCACGGCGTCGTCCCCAGATATCCGATCTCCTCCAACGCGTCCTGCATTGTCACACCCTCTGTGTCCCTCAGGCCCCAACAAGCCTCCAGCGGCGCAGAGCTCTTCGTGCTCCACACACCAGACGACATCATGGCCCCGGGAAAGCGTGCGCCTTCCTCGTTTGTCCAGTCTATAAGCGCGATGGGACGGTGGGTTTTGACGTCGTTCTCGTGGAGAGTACGGAGGACTTCGAGGGCTGCTTGGACGCCGAGAATACCATCATATCTACCCCCTACAATCGTTACTACACGTTCGAAGGTTGGAGGGTAGACCATACCAGCTGGCTGTGTATCTAGATGACTTCCCAAGCCAATGGGCAACTTGTCTGTAGCAGTACCAGGGCGAATAGCAAAAATATTGCCCATCTGATCTACCTTGATTTCACATCCAATCTCTTTACATTGATTCACAAGCCAGTCCCGCACATTTTTGTCTTCCTGGCTTAGTGTCAACCGGCACATGCCCGTCGACGTAGATAGAGCTCCCCATTGCGTGCAGGTGGACTGGAGAGTCTCGTTGAGGCGAGCGCTGTTGATTTTTAAGGAGGCCATTGGGTCTGTAGGTCCAGCGCATCAAAAGAGACTATCAGAATATTTTCCGTGGCTTATGGAAAACGATGACACCAAAATATGACTTTGGAGCTGATGGCGGGGTCCTGGTGCGGACAAGCCCGCAGGACCCTTGGGGCAGCTCGCGATAAGCTCCATCAACGCGCCCGAGAGTGGGAGACAGACCCGACGGCATCCCATTACTGCAATCCAACCAACGCCTTCGATATGCATACCGAACAGCCCATCGCGTTCCGTAGGATCTCCTGCTATCTTTTTCGGTGCGAATGCTCTTTACGGCCTCCGTAGAAGGCGCGACTCGGCGACCTAGAATGGCGGATTACGACCTTCTTATCCTCAACGGCCTGGTTGTCACCGACACAGAGACGGGAGAATATGATATCGCAGTCAAGAATGAGAAGATTGAGCAGGTAGCGCCCAGAGGGAGCTTCAAAGATGCCACCGCGAAGAGAACGATTGACGCCGAAGGAGGCTATGTTATGGTCAGACAAGAATCTCCAATTTTAATGCAGAACATCGACTGACGAGCATTGGGTATAGCCAGGAGGTGTAGATGCTCATGTTCACCTCCAAGAGCCACCTCTTTTCGGCAAAGGCTCGACGGCCGACAATTATGAGACAGGTAGAGCCATCGCGCCTCTATCCGACCTCCAAGACTGAACGTCATCAGGGAGTCGCTCTGCTATTGCTGGAGGCACTACGACTATGGTTACCTTCGCACCGCAAAGAAAGTCGGAAGATAGCCTACTCGATATACTAAAGGCAACACACGCGAAAGCAGAGAACAATTGCTACAACGACTACTCCTTCCATCTCCTCGTATCGAACCCATCCCACCGCGCGCTATCCGAATTTAAAACGCTCCGAGCAGAAGGAATCTCCTCGCTCAAGATATACATGACCTACGAGGCACTGCAGCTGCAGGATGGAGAAATCTTAGACGTCCTCGTCGAGGCCCGGAAACGAAAGATAACCACGATGATCCATGCGGAAAATGGGCAAGTTATAGACTGGATGACAGCACAGTTGGAGAAGCGCAAGTTCTTCGCCCCAAAATATCACGCCGTTGCGCATCCAGAAATGGCTGAGACTGAGGCTACATATCGGGCTATCAGTTTCAGCGAATTTATCGATGCACCCATCTTGATCGTACATGTTTCAAACAGAGCGGCTGCGGCCACGATCAAAAACGCGCAGGACCGAGGACTTCCAGTTTACGCAGAGACCTGTCCACAATACCTCTTCTTAACGCGCAAGGATCTCGACAAAGTCGGATTCGAGGGTGCCAAATGCGTCTGTACTCCGCCACCTCGTGAGGGCGAAGAGGACCACGACGGCATCTGGGATGGGCTCGCAAATGGCACATTCACGGTCCTCTCATCGGATCACTGCCCCTTCAGGTTCGATGACGCAGTGAATGGGAAGAAAACATGTATCACCGATGAATTTCCCGCTGGCCAATTCAAATATATTCCAAATGGGATTCCCGGAATCGAGACACGGCTCGCATTCACATTGAGCGCGGACCGTCTGAAGCTCAACAAGTTCGTCGAGGTCACGAGCGCCAATCCAGCTAAGCTGTACGGGCTTTGGCCTCGGAAAGGTGGGTTGGTAACTGGTGAGAGCGACGCTGATATCAATATATGGTATCCTGCTGGCAAATTGGAGCCGTTTGCGCTCAAGAACGAGATGTTACATCATAACGTCGACTACACTCCCTTTGAGGGAAAGGTCTTGAACCAATGGCCACGGTACACGATTCTGCGAGGAGAAGTCGTGTGGGACAGAGATCACGGTGGACTGCTAGGAAAGAAAGGATATGGAAAATTTATCAAACGAGACGCGAGTTGCTTGGCTGGCAGTCGACAAGAGGGTGAATGGGATATCCCAGAGTGATCACGTGCCTCAAAAATCGAAATCAACAAACTGTATGCATCCTTCAGCCACTTCAGACTTGTCATCATGACGGCACGAATGCATTGGCATACTGTGGAATTTCTCCGTCATTCCAAGCAATCTTCAGGTATCCGACTAAAGTGACTTTGATGACACCACTGACAAGGAGCCCTGCAAACTCTCGCATGCATGCTGCATACCCCACGCCCAGCCCTACCACCTATGATTACTCCGATATGCAGGCTTCCTTCGGTCCTGGTACATGGCAACTAATCAACGAATGGTTAGGAAGAAGGGCGGTTGCTTATTAATCCACATTTATGTCTCCAAAATCTGAAGGCCCTCGACATCAAATCCAATATAAACAAACGTTTCATGGTCATTGTATCACGGAGGATGTCACTCCGTTGCTGACGAAAGGCTTGGAGCAAGCAAGATATATGACAACAGTTCTGTTTTCAATCTATAACCCACTAACAGTTTATCAATAGTCGGACTTTCAAGAGTACTTTATCAATGGCTGCCAAGACTACCAGAGGCTTTCCCTCCCATGAGCATGAGGATACACCAAAGGCTTCTCTAAGTGATATCTCTTCAGGATCACGAACACTCGCTTTCGTCCATTCCAAGCTCGGTCGCCTGGAAGGTCTTCATTTCCTGCCCACCGTCGCTCAGTTCCGCGCGATCCCATTTGCTACGGTCCCAGGGCGGTTCAGACAAAGCGTATTACTTACAGATTTGTCTTCCACGGACAGGAAATTCACTCAAACAGGGTATATACTTGTCCATGATTTAAATGAAGCTAAGTTCTGACCGAGTCCCATTGCTCCCAGCTACGCTTGCCCTCAGCAGGATGAGTCCGATGCACCTGGAGGAGGCCCACTGTCAGGAGATGTTCGGCCGATACTCATGGATGAGCACAAATGCCTTATCGTCCAAGTCTCAGCGCCGACTGAAGCACTATCTAATACAGCTCCGGGAGCACCAAAACTGCCGGTCTTGGTCTATATTCACGGTGGAGGCTTTCATAGTGGGAAGACGGATCAGCAGCATAGTACTTTCGCGTTATATCATATCTTCCATTGGCCTACTAACGATGAATAGACATGGGATATATAGTCGAGCAATCTATCTAGGACAAGCAGCCTGTTGTGACTGTCAACATTCAGTTCGTTTTCTTTGCACCAGTCGTGCAAAAGGTTCGCTGATCCAGATTCAGATACCGTTTGGGAGCGCTTGGCTTCCTCACCTCCGCTGATCTGTCAGCTGACGCTGCATCTCACAACGAGCCGCCTGGAAACTTCGCGCTGTTCGACCAACGAAATGGCCTATTGTGGGTGCAGAGGTTCATCTCCGGGTTTGGTGGCGACCCAGGGAATGTCACGGTCATGGGGGAGAGCGCAGGATCAGTGTATGCACCTCGGATCCAAATGCCCAAGTATCACTAATAACCATCACAAGCTCTATCCACACCCATATGATCTCCACAACTCCGAGTCTATTCAAACGTGCCGCGCTGATGTCCGGATCTCTCTCGCCTATGCTCAGTGCTGCACCCTTCGATCACCACGAAAAGACGTATCAAACACTGCTCGCGACTCTAAGCATCTCGTCAACTGACCCAAACCGACTAGCTAAACTGCGTGCAGTCCCGGCCGCTGAACTCGTGACAGCTAGTACAGAATTAAGGGACTCAGGCACCGCGTGGCTCCCCCTCGCGCACGAAAGCTTCTTCCCAGTCCTCCCAACCTGGCGCAATATCAGCGAACTAACGACACGCTGTGACTGGGTTGAGAGCATCATGATAGGCACGACGGGCTTCGAGGTCCGCACCCCCCCCCCCTCCTCCCTCGCCCCATCCAACAAACCCCCTTCTCGCTAGGAGCCCTAACACTCCCACTAGGGCTACATGTTCCTCCCCCTCGCCTCGGCCATCACCCCGTCCAGCCTCTCCGCCCTCCTCACCCGCCAATTCGGTCCCCTAAACGCCGCAAAACTCCTCGCCGCCTACGACATCACCCCGGACATCGACGCAAACCTCTTCATCACCCGCGCGATGGAGTTCGTCGGCGAGCTGATCTTCGACGGTATGCACCTTCCCCCTCTGCCCCTCTGCCCCTATCCCCCACTTCCGCGCAACTCACTTCCGCAGTCCCAACGCACCATCTCGCCCGCCACCTCCCCCACCACCGCACCCACCGCTACGTCTTCGACGTCCCCAACCCCTTCCCCGGCACCGCCTTCCACGGCACCGCCCACCACTGGGTCGACATGTACTCCGTCTTCGCGACCTTCCTCGCGCGCCTGCCCACCACCCGTCTCAGAAACATCTCTACCCACCACGCCCGGCTGTGGACGGCGTTCGCGAACGGGGAGGAGCCGTGGACGGCGTATGTTAGCCGCGAGAGGGGGGGCGAGGAGGTTGTGATGGTGGCGAGTGGGGAGGCGGGGTGGGTGGAGCGGACGAGGGGGGCGGATGAGGAGGTGGCGGGGAGGAGGTATGCGCGGTGGGAGGCTGTGAGGGGGGTTTGGGAGGCGGGGTGGGGGAGCGGGTGGGTGGAGCCGTTGGGGGGGTTGGTGGGGGGGGGGAGCGGGGAGGGGAGGGTGTATTAGGGGAAGAGCGACGCAGGGGGTGCTAGAGGGTGTTTTGAGGAAGGTGGAGATGGAGTAGCTGGGCACGCGGGGCATGGTAAAGGTGGCACACTAATTCTAGAACAAGCCGCGGTGGGTGTACACCTGTCTGCCACTGCTTGGGTTGCTTTAATGTCTTTTCGGAAATTTAAAGAAGATAGATGCTCTTCGTCTTGAGCTATGTGGAAATTTGTTGAAGCACTCCATGCAGTGGCAGACAGCTGTATGTACGGGCAGAGTACTTGATGAGTGTGCCACTTTTTTCGTGCCTCGCGTGGCGGGTTGTGGTGGAGGAGTGGTGGTATATCCGTGCACCGTACGCTTCCAAAAACCGCGTAGTGACTACGCTAGCCAGTCTTCTGAATATCACTTGATAACCGTCTGAGGTGGCCAAGTGAGTTTTTCAAGCCGTTCAAATAAATGGACTTCAGAGTTGTAGAAAACCATCGAGGGACTTCAGGCAGTGGCAACCAAACGCATTGCAGCAACACGTAGATTCTCTCTATAAGCCTCGCAACTCATGCCCCACGCTCAAACCCAGCATGAATGATTGGTCAGGGAACAGCAGTTCAACCCTCGCCGCCGCAAACTTGTCCTCCAGATCGCGGGCATAACGTTGGGCTCTGCGGTCGGGGGGCCACTGGGCATAGTCGCCGCAGAGCGCAATGCGGCGCAGGCCCGGAAGGTGCTTCTGCTGGAGTAGACAGGCGAGATAGTACAGGGGTGCGAAGGAGAGGCGCTCAGCGTTGGCGACTGGGACCCGGTAGTTCCATCCGATGTACAGCTCTTGCAGAGACTCTGGGAGACGATGCACGAGTGTTTGAGCGGCTTTGAGATTGGGATCTGGGCTTGGGTTGCCGTCAACTAGGTATGGATCGACGATGAGTTTGCTGTAAATGCACAGAGTGCGGAGTCGCTCGAAATCAGCAAAGGATGCGGGGGATCCGGTAGGTCCTTCTCCACCGAATAAGACTGTGAGGTGCTGTAGTGTAGTGCAATGCCGGGAAAGACCTGACATGACCTCAGTACCCAGGTCGGATTCTCTAAGGTCGACGGTGGTCAACGCTTTGAAACAATGGAAGAGAGATTCGATGTGTGGGGCGTTGATCTGGCCCCTGATTTTGAGCTCGGTCACGGACGACTTGTGCTGTTGTTCCCGAAATATGCGTAACCAACTGTTCTCAACGGTCAGGCCGTAAGAAAGCTGAAGCTTCTCCAGGGAGGGAAGGTACAGGAATGTGTACTTGGAATCACGGCCGCTTAGCAAGGCAGGTTCCTCGCCATGGAGGTAGTCGAGTTGGAGATCCTTCAGGCGGCCTAGGAGTGGTTTTGAAGGGAGCATGGCAATTCCATCAAGCGAAACTCGTCATGGCGACGAATGCACGTATGTAGTGTTCGTAGATTCGGCATGACTGACAACAGGCAGGCAATCATGGCGATAAAACGGTCGGTACTGAGTGTGTGCCTGTCCACGGCATTAGCTCGTATGGCAGGATAACGCCGTCTGAGGTGGCCCAGCAAGTCTTACAGATTGTTCAACCATTTAGCCCTTGCGTATGCCGGTATGTCCAGATTACACACATGTGCCTTCAGCGCTGGAAGTATCCCCCTGTTGATGCATACTAATCCGCCGGTAATAGCCCATCTGGAAAGGTTCAATCGTAGGCTCCGGACCTTCCTGGTAAGACCTGGGTGCTTAGAAAGTGTGTCGAAGAGATTCAAGATCTTCGTTGCCTGCGTGACGACCTCTATGGATTTCGATGGGTATGAGCAGCCGTGCATACATGTCGTGAAATCAATATCTTGGTAAAGGACCTCTTCCACACATCGTGAAAATTTCCGGGACATACAGGCGACTTCTATAAGCTCTTGACGCCCGCAGCTTGCGCGGATGTTTTGCATGACCATCGTAAGCAGCTCTTCCGGCCATTCTTCAAGGCCAGAAGTAGGCGCAGTCGGTGCGGTGGAGGTAGTATTCATGTTGATAACAGTAACGAAAGCGAGGGCGATATTTGGTAACGATGGAATGTATAGTACGTTGCAAGTCTGCGATGATGTTGATGCGAAGTTGTAACTGTGTGGTTGTTGTGTTGACTTTTTGGTTGGAGAAAGAACAAACGGTGACTAAGCATGCTCCATCGTACATGAAGTAGCAGTTCAGCACCTTCTGAGAAGGCCCGGAGAGCTATTAAAATTGCCAAAACTGACATTTTACCATCTTTTAGAGTGTACGGGAGGGTGTTAGGCAAGCCTAGAGAGCTGGAGATCATGAGCCTAGCTACTTCATCAAAGATGTGTGTACAACTGTCCAGCACTGTTTAGAGTGCGCCGATAAGTTTTTGAAAATCAAAAAATTGAGAGTTTGAGCAACAGGTAAACGAGTTCGGCCACCTCAGGCAGCAGTAGGTTATACAAAAGTTAGGAATGTAGTCCATGGCATCAGATTTCTATCGGTACGTTGAGGTAACACAAGCAGTGACAGCAAAGTGAGCGTGGATCCATGACGAGACATTGTACCTTGGAATAGGAAGTTTTGTCGCACGAAGTCGTGTAATGCCACTTTGTGTTCAAGCGAGCCTACCAGTCTCCTTCTACTCCTCCACTACTCCTGCATTCCGATCCACAACCGCACTGACCTTCCAAACACCTCCCCGCTTCAAACAGGTAAACACGTTCGTCCCTGTCGCCGTCTTGACCCCATCGACTCGTATCTCAAATGGTGCCCACACACATGCTAGGTCCCGGTCCACCATGATCTTTACATCATGAATCGGCTCTTCAAACGGCTTTGAGCTTTCGAGGTAGTCGACGAGTTCGGGAAGGGAAGGTGAGTGTAGATCGGTGCCTTCGTTAGCTCGTTGAGGCCGCGAGATAGTATCGCGCGGCCGGTAGGCAAGATGAGGGTGCGTAGAGTAGGCCAGTCTTGGGTGTGGATGGCCGTGAAGAAGGAAGTAATGAGGGTGTGGATGGGGGCTTCCGGAGATGATGGGTCTGGGGCTGGAAAGGACATTTGGTCGACGAAGATTGTTCTTTCTAGATTTCAGCGCAGGAGTAAGGGATTCAGAAAGAGCGATTTTGAGAAAGCTAAGTGATGAAGGTGAAGAATGATGAGCTAAATAGAAGTTTAGAGATACATCATGGGATGAGAAATCGGGCTACCGAAGCCGGAGAGGGCACGAGGATTATATTCATTTCCACCAAAAGCGGTGATGGGATTTGGAATCAGTGACGATCCAAGCTTACGTGCGCATCTGAAGCAGCACTGCCATATCCTTGTTAGGATACTAAACCCCATAGATTGCAACATTATTGATCAGCTTCTAGGATCAAAAAGTTGCCCAAGTAACCTTTTAGCTTGTCTACTGCATCAGGCGCTATTTCCATGGAAGTGCCCACCCATCCATCTGGTCTGAGCACGAAGATAGCACCTTCGTTCACATTTACGCCATAACGAGAGTGAGCAACTTTCTTCACATCGTAAAAGACTTTCCCGAAAGGCACTCCGCCCAGAAGCTCGTATGCAGAAGGGCCGGAGGTCGTTGCAATGGTAAGGAAGGATATTGGTAGCGATCTGTTTGAGAGTACCTTCGAAGTTGCGACGGCATTGGAAAAAGCGGTCATGGATGGTTTGGTGTGCGAAATGTCTCCGGCAAACACGACAATGTAGAATTGTGCGATGTTAGGAGTCTCTTTTTGCAGTCGCGTTGATTCCAATGTTCCCGGCTTTTGAAGAGTCACGTCGGGAGCTCTGTGGCCAGCCTCAACGGGAACGGAGCCAGAGGCTGACGAGAAGGTACTACTAGCATTTAGCTGGTGGTCGATTTCATAGTAAATACCAAGACCACTGCTGAAGGTTGCTGCTTCCGCCATTACATGCCCTAGGACTTCGTTCGGGTCTGCTTTCGGGTCTCCAGTCCATCCAATGGGCAGTTGCATCGTCATGAGCCGCGAGATGTCTTTGTCGTAATTGATCAGTCGGTGCACGTTTGGCAGACGCTCAGTCTCATATGTGTGAAGAAGTTCCGGTTTTGCCAGTCCGCGAAGGACCAGAGAGAGTTTCCAGCCTAAATTGACAGCATCGTGGAGACCAGTATTCATTCCCTGGGCAGCCCCTGAACTATGTGTATGGCATGCGTCGCCGGCAAGAAAGACGCAGTCTTTGACCAACATATTCCGAGCAATCCGCTGACCGACAACGTATATGGTCCACCAGTCGACCTGCTTGAAAAGAAGGGTGAATGGCTTGACAGACGCGATTGCCTCTTTAACGGCAGCGTCTTCGTTGAATTCCGCATACGCCTTTTCGCGTTCAGCCGTGAATGCGAATCCAATTCGAGTTGCGCCATGGTCGAGAGCAGCCCAAAGCACATTTCCGTGAGTGGGAGATTCGATTGCAGCGTAAGATCTGGGTTTAGGCATGTTCGTTTCAATGACACCGTCGATGCGTACCCACTTGTCCTCGCTCGATGCTCCGTCGAATGGAATATCCATAGCCCGCCGGACGAACGAGCGCCCTCCGTCTGCGCCGACCAGATATTTGCATTTGATAACATTTCGAGCTCCGGTAACGCCATTTTGAACTGTCGCAGTGATCTTGTATCGATTCCATCCAACGGTATCGTCCACTTGTATGTCTATGAGTGATACTGGCGCATCAAGTGAAACGCCCTCACGTTTTAGTGCCTGTCGAAATATCTCTTCCTGGTATTTCTGGCGTAGCACAAGGGCAAAGTCCCACTTCGTGTCCTTCATGTTCTCCATGAAATACCACCCTCTACCTGCAACTTCATTGCCATCCTTATCGTATGAAGCGGTTGTCCTGCACGCGAAACATTCCTGTGCTAAAGCGTCGGCAAGGCCCAATTGGTCCAGCATCTCGGTGCTTCTGGGATACAGGGTAATAGCGCGGCCATACTGGTCTTGGGCGGATTTGGGTTCTTTTTCGATGATTTTGATTCGATAGGGAGACGGGAGGCTAGCGGCGAGCTGGTATGCTGTTATGAGGCCTTTGAAATGTCAGTTTCGAGATCTGAGAACGACGTGGCAGGAAGTAACAAATACCTACAGGTCCTCCCCCCACGACCAAGACATCGACATGCTCTACGGCTTCTTCTAGTGATCCCATAGCATCTAATTGCTTTGTTTTCTACGCAGTAGGGGCGCCTGTGGCTTGGTAGATGCCATTCATCCTGGAAAGATGGGATGGCACCCCTCTTGACGGAAAGTGGAGGATCTCATCATATCCCCATCATGCCTCGATAAGCTGCGGGTAAGACCGATATAGCAGCAAATCCCGTCGGCCCAATACACGGCATGCATTACAGTGGACACTGGGAGAGTGGAAAATGGGGGGAGTCTTAGGTAACATGGTTGGTTGATGGTAATTAGTTAGAGCGATGCCCGCATCGATAAGAGATATCAGGAAGCGCCAGGTAAGCTTACTACAACCGTGCAAGCGCATACATGACCTTTTGAAGAGGAGGGCACGGAGGGTAAGAAGCAGTTCCTGGATTGAGCATAGGTTTTTATTTGCATTGTAAATGCAAATTCCCCAAGAGGTAAGTTCTAGCTGTAGTCACGTGCTAACAGTCTACTTCTGAATTCCTCATGTGAATGATTCTAGGCTTTAGATACGGAGCATCTAATTTATAGATCAAATGTATAACAGCTGAATAACTCCTAAGTTGTTTGGAATGAAGCTGAGAGGTCACGTGTATTGTCGAATCATCCCTCACCTTCAACTTTCCATGCACGACCACCACCCTAGAGATCATCAACTTGCTCAACTAACTGGTCAGGCCCCATCAATGGACGTCTCTCTTGAATGTCCTAGGACCGTAATCTCATGTCCACCGGCGAGGCATAGATTGTGCGAGAAAAAGTGACTGGCTTGCTATCTCTCCTTGTGTACGATTTTTCTTTTCGTGTTTCTCTTTCACAATATCCTGTCTAGCATATATATAGACTGTACACACAATAGAGCTACTCAAAATGTTTCTTAACGCTATTGGGTGCCTTTGGCCCTTTTGTCTTGACATCTGCTTGTAACCAGATGCTCATCCTTAACCATGACGACTACTGTCTCAACCCACTCTTCCATACTCGTCTCACGATCCCTCGAACTCTCCAGCTCTCACACTCGCCCTCGCGTCCACTTTCAGCGAATACGCCCTTAGCACCGCCTCACCCCCATCCTCCCCATCCCCGCTCCGCTCAACCGAAACCTCATTCCGGACATAAATCCCCCTTAGCGGCACCAGCGTCGTCTCCAAACGCGCCACCTCACTAGCCCGCACCGTCTCCCCACTCCGCCAGCTCGCCAGCATCGGGAACCTCGCCTGCAGCCTCCGCAACGACGACCCATCCGAGCTGCGCGAGGCGCGAAACGCGTGCGTGCTCTGGCCATGGGCGCTGACATAGAGCTGGTGGAAAGAGATGAGGCACGCCACGGAGATCGCGAGGCTCATCTCGATGACGCTCCAGGTGAAGTGCCAGTGCCAGGGCAGGTCGGTCGTCTGGCTGAGCTGGTGGGAGGGCGCGATGACGATGCGCAGGAGGGTGATGGCCATGGTGAGCAGGATGCAGGCGAAGACGGCGAGGAGGAGCGCTTTTTTGAGCCAGGAGATGCGGGCGGGCCAGAGGATGCGGAGGGCGATTGAGATGACTGGGGGTTGTTAGGGGGGGTGAGGCTGGAGAAAGGGGTTGGGGGGGTAGGGGCGGGCTTACTGAGGCTGTCGGTGATGAAGTCGAAGGCGGTGTTGACTTGGAACATGGTGTCTGCGATGTGGATTTGGGGTTTGTCTTGGCAATATACTGATGCGGGATTAGTGACTGGCCGTAGTTGGAGGAAGGAGACTTACCGAGTAGATGTTCAACCGATCCACCCGTGCATTCCCACGGCCAAAGACATAGGAAAGTAATGAAAGTAACGGCAGTGATGCCCGTCACGCCCCACCACCAAATACCCCGCGTGTGAGTCTTGTCTACGATTTTCCAGAAGAAAGCCAGGAATGAGAACTTCACAGACCAAAGGCAAATGCCGAAGAGGATATGGTACGTCGCATGCCACTTTGGCCCTTCTTTTATTTTATCAGAGACATAGTTGTCCACATGCGCCGGCGGTGAAGGCATAGTGTCGATTTTGTCGAAGTAACTCCGGATTCGGGTATGCCAGATGATTTCGGCGGGAAGCAGCGCGCCCCACGCAAGGACCACAAGGTAGTCATCTAAAGAGAGGCGTTTGAATATCTTCCAGCGGATAGCGAGGCGCATAAGAAGGAAGGTAAGGGCTATTGTTACTCCGGCCCATTCGACAGCCTTATGCTCAGATTAGCGGGCTTGGACATGCGATATGTGAGAATAGTACGGACCAGAAAAGCGTGCAGCTTCATTTCCTGTCATTTAGCTCAAACGGAGAGAGTGGATGCTTGTGGCGAAGCGTTGTAAGGACCCGACCGGACGGGCCTTCAGATACACACCCACCCCTTTCTATCTCGTATGGTCCCAGAGTATCTTTATCGGTCCTCAAAAGGGCTCTTCAGCTTAGAGATCCCATCCTTCGTCCCTCGCATAGATCGCACGGTCGCCAACTATCAACTATTCAGGGCGGTTGCTCTCCACCAACTTCGTGACGCGGGGCCCCCGCTGCATTACTCGGGCCCCGTCGGGTTGTTTCACAATGATCGAAGATCAGCCCGCATAATTCTAGCTGATTGTGGGTGAGACTGACATTGCCTCGAGCTGTACAAGCCACAGCTCGCAGATATCAGTAAGCAAACCTATGCATAAGCCATGCTTACTTGCTTTGCTAATATCCAATCGATCGCTGGGTTAAGCGAGAGAGAAGGGGCAAAAGCTCTTTATTTTTAGGCGAATAAGAGAAGTAGCTTTAACGTATACTTGATGCATACTAGTTCCATTGTGTCTTCCTTTTTGCCCATGTATTTGGGTTATGGAAGTGTGATGCGCTGGCTCCGTGATGGGTGGAGGGGGCTATATATGGCTAGGTCAATGTGGCTCGGCGCTCACAAAAAAATAAGCTCAGCTCTCTACATGGAATCTTGACCGCTCTTACAGCGCAGATGTGGCGTCGACCCAGCAATGTGGTAGCGAATTTCCGATGACAGCTGCAGGACTGAATGTCAGTCCTGCAAGGGTAAATCTTAAGCTTAGTTGCCAGGAGCTCTTAGAAGTCTTACGAGAGATGACCGTAAATTACTACAAGGCTTTGTCAATTTTTGAGTGACACGGTATTCTAACCAGATATTAGGTGCAAAGAAATAGGGATGTTCTCGTGAAGGAGAAGTGCAGCAATCATACATGTATCATGCAGAGGGGACATAAAAAGAGGAAAGAAAAGAGTCAATGAGACCCTGTTTTCCCGCATATTTTCACAAGGACCGCTCAAAAGGACTGGAACATGCAAAAAGAAGTCATGGCATTTAGGAGTAACGCCGAATCATGCATCCCTACGAGTTCATACAAAGAATGGAAGAGCCTCCACCGACGGCGTCAAAAACTCTACAAGAAGAGCGCCAATACCACACCAACAGCCGCAAACATAGACACGCTGGCGCCCCTCACAGCGGCGTTGTTGTTAGTAGTCTCCGGGGTGGTGCTGTTGTACACCACGGACTCGCTCGTAGGATCGCCAGTAGAGTTAGCAACGCACTTCTTGTTACCCCACTTCGTGTCCGCGACAGTCTTCCACACTTCCGTGACATCCAGGATCTGTTTCGCGGTGTAGAATATCTTGCAATCCGCAGCCTCATAGTGGAACTCCGACGGCGTTTCGGTCGTGTCATTCTTGAGCAGGGTGTCCTCTGCGTTGATAGATCCGACAGGCTTGCCACTTCGGTAGGCGAGACGCTGTGCTAATTGGCTCGGGTATGCGAGTGTGCCGATGACGGTTGCATTGAGCTTTGCGGCGGTTTCCTCATGGAGCGAGGTGACAATCTCCATGAATTTCAGCGCAAAGTCGTTGATAGTATAGAACTCAAGGACACGCGAGCCCTTCGTGCCAGACACAGCTTGCATGGGCGCGGCTACGGGAAGCCCACCGATGGCGATACTCTCCACGTGACCTTGTGAGCTCATCAGAAGTGAGAAGATGCTGCAAGTGGAAGAGCATTGGCCATCTTGCAGGATAACGATGTTATCGGCGGTGAAGGGTTGCGCTGTGACATTTGAGAGGTCGCCGGTGCCGGTGAGGGTGACGCCAACGTTTTGAATGTCGAACTAGGTGAGAATCGTGGGTTAGAATGTGCGTGTTAGGCGAGTCTAACGAGAATTACTTACATTGGGTCTGCGGGTTGTGGTGAATTGATCATTGTAAACAGTGTGTGGCCCGTAGAACTCATTAAACGACGTGAAATTCTTGTTGTTGATATCCAGATTTTGGGTGTAGTCGAAATCGCTCAGCATGCCAGTTGCGGCATAATTGAAAAGAGTTGAGTTCGTTTCGTTAAGAGCCTGTTGCAGCGTCACGTTTTCCCTGTATATCGTGACTCCTTCGCCAATTATATGCCACGCGTCTTGAGCCCGGAACCGACTAGCACCATAGGGTTCGATCGTGGGGAATAGTTGTTTGAATACTTCGAACCCAGCGTAAACCAAGCCACCACCATTTTGACGCAAATCGACGACGAGCTTGCTCTTCCCTTTTGATTTGGCATCGGCAAGGAAGTCTCGAGTGACGTTCTGGAAGGTTCCCACACCAAGTTTTGACTCGAACGATGGGATACTAAGCACAGCTACATCTTCATAGCCAGCGCCATCGAGGTAGTATCCTCCGATGGTCAACCCAACCGCATCGTACACAACAGGCTCGGGATAATTGGTAGGAGTCGGGGTGGGGGGTGCTGGAGTTGAAGAGGGAGCCTCCGGAGTTCCGCTGGGGGTCGGTGTTGGTTCTGGTGCTTTTGGTCCTGTACAGAACCGAGAGAAGAAAGTCTCCCCGCTATCAACTCCTTCGAACGAAGCTGCGTTAATGACTGCTAGGTTTTCGAGACCCAATGTAGTGCCATTCGCAAACGTGATATTTGTGGTTGGTCCGACGTAAGTTGTGGGAACTTTAAAGCCCCCCAAATTCAAACCCGATATGGACCCGCTCGCTTGTTGCGGGAACAGGGTATTGTAACGAGCGTCTGCGTCGTGGAATGCCTGGGCCTCTGCTTGCAAACCGAGCCAGGTGCTGGCATCTACGTCGTCGATGGTCTTAACCACAGAGGGTGTGAAAGTTGCTCCATTGGCAGTGGCGTTAAGGTCATCGTAAACGTAAAGTTCTGGAAGCGCAACCCCGTCGGTGGAAACAGATACTAGACCAATCGGGCGTTCAAAAATGAAGATGTCGCCAATATCGGCTGAATAGTAAAGATGATTGTCGTAACCTCTGTTAAGCAGGTTTCCGATGGCAATCTGCGCGGCGTATTCACTCATGTAGAGCCCATTCTTGATGCCGCGAGAAATGATATCAAGGCCACCCATGATATCCACTGCTTTCTCCTTGTATCCGAACTGCCTCGGGGGGTTCTTCAGGTATGCTGTATTGCTGTTCCATTGGAGGAAGACTTTCAACTGTTCAATCAACAGTTGGTTCCCCTGGACATCTACAGGGACTGTACTGAGACATGCGTATGCGACTTCGGCTGGAATGAGTGGCGTATGGCCGTCAGGGAGTTTGCTAAGGAAGACGCTGACTTGGGCGCATGGAGCCAGGTTTCCGACGGGAGTTGGGGTAGTTGTATTCGAGGGAGGGTATGCAGTGGGCGTTTGGGCATATGACACTCCAAGGCCACCAAAGGCGGCTGCTAATAGGGTTGTGCGCCTAGATCAGTCGCGTCAGTACAGTTCAGACCTCAAGTGGGTACATCAAGGCCTTCTTCATAGCCCCGAATCAGGGTGGTTTGCCATGAGCCTCTGAACCAGCTATATTTTCATGGCTCCAATGGCCTCGGAGATACATGTAACGTTCGACAGACTCATAATAAGAGTGCAAACTTTGCCAATGTCATAGCGAGCTTGGAGATCGTGAAAAGGGCAAACTCACATCTTGTCGGGAGCACCCTTGACGGCGTAGCTTACGCACAGTACTGCTCAGGGACTGGAATGACTCAAAGAGTGACGATTAACTATGCGCGACTAAGAAGATGCACGCGAAGGGAAGACGAAAGGGAAGGGGAGAGGGTTCAACACAAGTCGATAACTGCGGAGTGATTGAATAGAGCCAAACACCAAGGGACGGTGGATCGGCGGCATCTTATATGCAGTCCCCAAGAGACTTGAACAACGATGTCAGATCTGGTGGCAGTGTTTAAGCCACGAGCACGGGGAACACTTTCGTTGGTCCACATGGTGCCTGGCTAGCGTAGGTCGAGGCTGAGGCTGAGAGCCCGATGTCCCGTTTGGGCCATCCTCATCTCGGCAGCTGGGTCCAAAGAAGCTTAACGCCTCATAAGCCTTGAAGATCTTCAGCCCATGTTTCATGGGGCTGCAAACTGACAGAGCGCCAAAAATAGAGCTGCAGATGTCCTATGCACGCTTTTCGCATGAGTCTTTCGTAGTCCAATGCTATGAGACGATAGCTTACAGGCCATTGATCTTCACAGTGAAAGACGGTTGTTCTGCTGGGCATCGTAAGACCTACATATTACGGCACCAAATGGGGGCGGCCCGCGGCATCGGACGAGTCTTTACGGAGTGGAGTAATGCTTGCTTCCGTAGGCGCGCTATAGCACTTTTTCGCTGACGCCTTTGGGGGCTCGATGTTCCACGTCCTGCCAAGCTAATGCTACCCTGGCGGGAGAGATGAGGCAGTCCTGGTGGTCCTGGTGTTCCTGGCAAGAAAGCGTGATGTGATCGAATTACAGCCATGGGGGCTGGGGCCAACATCGAAAAGAGCTCCCCGGCTCGTCGACTGTCAGTGCATTGAAAGTGGGGGCAGGTCCCTGGCAGGTCTCTGGCAAGGCTGATGCTGTGATTTGGAAACGTCTCGGGCCGTCAGATAATCTTAAGCGGTCGCCAAGCCAGCAAACTCGCAGTCCTTAAGGTCCTCTAACACTGAACAATCCCACGATGCTCTGTATTTTGGTCTCAGGTGCACAGAGATCTGGGTGTCTTTTGGATCAAATGTCACGCCAATGGCCCATCCGAGTTGAGAAAGGGGTGCGTCCACCCTGAGCGGCGCGGCACGAGTTGCGTAACTACGAAGGTATTATTCCGCTCTCGTTGGATGACAGCCAGCCCAGCTGGTGAGCTTCCATTATAACTTTCAGGTTAGCATATGGCTTGGGTCCCAGGTCGTGCGAGGTCGCTTTGCGAAACTGACTGCGCCCCCGACAGAATCTTACGCCTCGAGAATCTTACAACCCGTTCCCAAAGCGGTAAATGCGCTTTAAGTTCCAACACTTCACAGTTGGTTCTCCCAGGACAGCAAATGCAAACACTCTGACGGCCGCATTACATTCGAGAATAGCAACGCATTGTTCAGTTCTCCGGGTCCAGAAATAGCACTTTCAAGACAAGATATTACTATGTAGTACGAGTGTCTTCACCTGGTAAAGTTTTATCTCCACGTGTTGACCCATGCTTATATTGCAGGATCGTCGTAGCGGGACCCCGGTGAGGAGCCCACCCGAGATTCCGCCTCAACTTATCACCAGCCTTATCATCGGGTACTGGGCGTGAGTCCTCGTAGTGGACTGTATGTACAGTACCACTCAGTTTCGCTATTTGGGCACAGTGCGCAATCAACCAATGCCTACAATTTTCCAGAAAGAAAAACTCCAATCTCAACCATGCAGTTCATAGCCTTAGGTTTATTCCGAAGTGCTGTACGAGTTAGAGCTTAGTACATGTACAGTCTTCTCGAACTCACCTAATGTAAATCGATTTCACGTTTGTGTAGTCTTGCAGGGCGAGCTTTCCCATCTCTTTGCCTACACCACTGCTCTTATACCCGCCAAACGGCGCGGTAGGGAAGAGCGCAACGCCTGCGTTTACACCAATGTGTCCGGCCTGTAACTGCTTCGTAACCCTGAGGATACGACGGTGGTCTTCCGTCCAGAGGTAGGCTGGCAGAGTCAGCAGATGAACTCAAACTGGAGCGCACCACTTACCGGCTAGTCCGAATTCCGAATCGTTTGCCATGTCCACAGCTTCCTCCTCCGTTTTGAACGTCCTCACAACAAGAACAGGTCCAAATATTTCCTGCTTGTATACCGCCGCATTCGCATCGGTGATCTTGAAGACGGTGGGTGTAACATAACTTCCTCCCTTCTCATACTTCTCCCCACCCGTAACGAGCGTTGCTTCCGTCTTACCCTTCTCGATAAACTCGTTCACTTTTTGGTACTGCACCGGATCCACGACCGGCCCAAAAGTCGTTGACGGATCTTGGGGATCTTCTCCAACCGAAATCGCCTCAAAGCCTGCCTTTATCCCAGCAATAAGCTCGTCCGCGATATCCTCATGCACATACACCCTGCTCGACGCGACGCAGACCTGTCCAGCGTTCTGCGTAATGCCCCGCACCAGTTCTGGAATCGCCTTCTTGATATTCGCGTCCGGAAACACGAGTGCTGGGCTCTTCCCTCCCAGCTCCAATGCACACCTCTTCATATTGCTGTTGTTCGCCGCATCCGCAATCTTCTTCCCAGTAGGCACACTCCCCGTGAAGCTAACCATATCCACCTTCATATGGCTCGCTAGCATCGCACCCGTACTCCCATCCCCCGTGACCACGTTCAGCACGCCCTCCGGCAATCCAGCAGCAGGCAGCAGACTCGCCGCAAACAGCGAACTCAGCGGGCTTTTCTCCGGCGGCTTCAATATAAACGTGTTACCGGTCGCTAAAGCGGGTGCAGCCTGCATGCATCAACTCAGCAAGAGCGCATTTCGAAAAGGAGAAATACAGACCTTCAGCGCAAACACCATCAACGGCCCATTCCACGGCGTGATCCCCGCACAAACCCCTAGCGCCTCCCGCCGTATTATCTTGTAGAACCCATCCGCGTCATCGCTCAGCACGTCGCCCTCGATCTTGTCGCTCCAACCCGCGTAATACCTTATTATACTACTGATAAACGGGACTTCGTACTTCAGCTGCGAGCGCACGCGCCCAGAGCAAATGGACTCATAGAACGCGGCTTCTTCAGCATTGGCATCGAGCAGATCTGCGAACTTGTTGAGCACAGCGCCGCGCTGGCCACCTGTGAATTTGGACCAGGGGCCGTGGAAGGCAGTGCGGGCGGAGGAGACGGCGGTGTCGACGTCGTGCTGGTTGCCGATGGCGTGGGCGGAGGAGACGAGGGAGTTATCGTAGGGGTTGTAGAGGGAGGAGACGGCTTTGGAGGCGGGGGTGACCCACTGTGAAGATTATCAGGACAATCTTGCAAAAAAGAAAAAGGCTACGAGAAGTTTGGAAGGTATCATACCTTGTTGTTCAGGAATACCTTTCCCTCTACCGATTTAAGAAATGCTCGTGATGCGAATGCCATGGTGTTTATATATTTCCCGACTTTCCACCTTTCAAGTGCTAGGCCTCTCGCGATTACAACGCAAAGTCAATACCAACGCACAAAAACAGCTCTCAGCGGAAAATTGCGCGACGCGACGAGCTCCTAGCTTTAGAGTGAGCTGCAGAGCTAGAGCTTCTACCGTCCTCGGATTTTCGGAACGCGAGGATGTGGGGGGACTGAGACCCTTCCACTCCGCACGTCAACTAAGACAGAGCGCGGGACCTGTAGCTTGCGAGGTATTCTGGGATTACGTATGGTTCCGGCTTGTCGATTTGCCTTACCCGTTCCCCACAGATAGTAAGGAAATTGTTACTCTGTTGCGGTGTCACGTGCGAGAGGGAGGGATGGTATTTAAGAAGTGATGAGGCAGTGCTGCGTCTTAGGTTCTATAGTAATTTGGCAATCTGTAAGATGGATGCCGCTGAATTCGTACGTGATGCCCTGATGTCTGGCAAGATCGTTTGTGAATGTAGGTGGAAAGGTGAAATCTCGATTGATCAACTGGCCAATCAGCGTGAAGTGAGAGATGATTTAGGAAATTGGAGCCAATCAGCGTCCAGGACTTCGAGAAATTCCGCGCAACCTTAACAGAACCTCCGCTCTCGAGTCTTCAAACCCTCAGTCGATGATTGGACACTTGCAAGTGGAATCTCAATATTTTCCAAACTAGGAAGTTCTTGTAGGTGGGAACATACGACTCCAAGTGCGTTTTGAGATGCGAGGGGGGAGGAAGACCAAGAGAATGGAGAGCAATGGACACCCCACGAGTTGCCAATTCGTAGTGAGAGTTTTTTGCTTCTCTACATTCCATGAGCATCAATCTCCGAGTATGTGGCGTCTTCCTTTTGTTTTCTCTCAGACACAAGATAAGACGTCGAGTGAAGCAACGAAGAAGTAAACAAAGACCGTTTCACCTCGCTAAACGGTCCTCCCCAACAATAACATCAGCCTCTATTGAGCCCCCGATTAGGCTTTCATTGTAATGCTTTCGCAATTGGCGGATATCCCGTTACCACGTGCGGCCTTATTGAGCCCCAGATCTGAATAGGCCGTTGAAGTCGCCATCAAGCAAAGGCGTTCACACACCTCTACCTCCATCCTATCCCTCAAAACATCACAAAACCGGCATCGAGAACGAGCGTCGAACAAAACACCACCCTCCACCGTCGCTACCGGCTTCCTATCATTCGGATGGCCCCATCCCATCCCTACCAGCGCCTCGACGCGCCCGACCAAACCTCCTCCACCCACCGCAAACCCCTCATCACCCCCTGCCAGCTCATCTCCCTCCTCTTCACCCTCCTCTTCCTCATGCTCGTCATCTTCCAAGCCCAAATCCTATCCGTGTTCGCCAAGATCCACTTCGGCCAATGCTCGTGCGCGCAGCCAACACGAACCGAGACCTTCCACGAGCGCGAGGAGCTAATGAAGTTCGGCGAAGAAGGGGATAAAGCCTGGCGGGCGCTGCTACCAGCAAACAAGGAACCGGATATGTGGGAGGGGGTGATTTTCGTGGCGTTGAATGAGACGTATAGACTGCCGTAAGTACATGCACGGAAAAGGCGGCGGAGAAAAGTGAGAATGGAGCTGATGGGTTGGTGAATGGCAGGTATGGAGTTAGCTATCTTCATGCGCTGCATTGCCTAGGCGCGGTCCGAAAGACGCTACTATATGGGGATTCGGGACGGTTGCAGCATAATGTCGATAAGCAGCATCATGTGGGGCATTGTTTGAGCTATGTTGCGCAGGTAAGACCTCTCTAGATCGTGCTTCATCCTCCTCTTTTGCCTGGCTTACCCGTTTGCTAGCATGTTCTCTGCTCCGCCGACGACACGATCGAGCGCGCCTCCCCACCGAAAGACGCCGCGGGCAACTATATCCACCAGGCCGACGGCATTGAGGGGAAGGGGGAGATTCACAGATGCCGCGACCGGTCGAAGACGGAGGAGATTCTTGGGAAGCTGAGGGCGATGGAGACGTTGAAATATCCTGGGAAGAAGGGAGAGGCGGATACGCTGGATGCTTTGTACGAGGAGTGTCCGGAATGCTTTGGGGAATGAGGGAGAGAAGGGAGGAGAAGAATAGGCGAGACTCTGCTTTTGCTGCTCGTATTGGCCTCCTGATTATGCGCAGGAACCTACAGAGAGATACGTAGATGAACTGATGCTCCTTATTTTCTAATCTGAATGATATCGTCGTTGGCCCAGACAGGCTTGTTGAAGTTGGCTACGTCACACGACGAAGGTCTAACTGCTCCACGAACATCCCCTAGGCTGCTGAGCCCTAATAGCACTATTCTCTCCAATGTTTCATAGAAGGCAAATGAGCTGGGCGGATTCTGATGAAGTTGAGGTGCAATGGGAGGATTTGGAGCTGGCGACCTGACTCGGGGCGCACGTGACCTTATCAAAAGAAAACTATCCTTAGACGCGATTTCCAATTATACCCTGGAAGACAGTACGAAGTGTTCTCAGGAAACTCTTACAAAGCATTGAAAAATGAGTGGGATCTAAAATACTAAGGTGCATAACCTCAAGCACAATTCATTCACGTGATATTCCCACCACCAACCACCTCACTTTTCACTGGTCACTGGTGGATCCACTCCTCACCTGCAAGTGGGTTCTTGGCCCTTCCGGTTCCACGACGATCCACGCTAGCCAGTAGTTAGCGCCTTGGCGTCATTTCTCCCACCTATATAACCCCCTTCCCCCTCGCTCCTTCTCAAAAATCATACTTGTAAGTCTGCTCTTCCTCTCCTGCTTGGTTTGTATCAACGCTGACAATCCTCACAGACCTTGTTGGGGTGGCTGAGCTCATGAATTCGGTCCACCTGGCAGACTGTCCTGCATTGCACACTGCGGCGACGGGCTGTTATGAATCTCCTTCGGGGGCTTCACCGGCGTAATTTTTGCTGGTCCGCTGTCTCTATTTACGGCTTTTCATTGATTTTCTCGCCTTGTGCGGGTGGTTGAAGAAGAGTTTTTCGCTGGGTGCGCTTGGCCAGGCTGGCTGCACTCGCGCTGCTGCTTGCTGATGGAGCGCATTGTTTGGTGTGCTGGGGCTTCGCTGTCTTCATGGTTCGTGTCGCTGAACCTGCTGGTGGATGTCGTCGCTGGTTGCTGGGGGTTTTTGGTGTCGGATGCAGCTCTACGTTGCCAGCTCGATCGGCCTCGCCCTCCAGGCCTCCTTAATCGGCCTCAACCACTCGACAGCCTGATGCTAACGATCATCCTCCCTCCAAGTCTTCGAGTCCTATCAGTAGGTGCACCGCGCCGCCCATCTACCCTCGTCCCGCCGCCCCGATCGCGAACCATCACCATCATCACCGTAACGTGTCTTGTCCTCAACCTCCGATCAATCACAACGTTCATAATACTGTGTTCAAAGTCCTTTTGGAAGAGGTAATATAACGCAGAGAGGGAATTCCTTCGTTAGCTTTTGCCGCTTACTTGGATCCACAACCCTGCTTGGAGTTTCATTGCGTCCTTCATCACAGGCCTGTATCTTGCATCGTTAGGCAAGGGGTATACGGGTACATATCGTGGGCATGGCAGCACGCAGACACAATTGGCGAGGCATCGATAGTGCGGCGAGGAAACTAGCATTTAAAATGATGATCCCCCTCATGTTTCTTGATGGTGCTCACTACCTAGGTAGCGTGCTGCTGTGCATAGGCAGCTATGCCTCGGATAGTGAGTTCCTTCGCAATCTTATTCCGATGGTTCTCGGTCACGCTGAGATTCGTGTCGTCGTCTTTGGCCATTGGAAATGGTATTAAGATCTCCATTAAGTCTAATTGTACTGTTGGCAACCCTACAAGCAGAGTTCGGCTAGCATCTAGCTGCTAGGGACAAACACTAAGCATTTACCGCTCACCATTACCGGCGTCGCAAGAGGCCCGCGAGCCCCACCGCTGAGATCATACGCAAAAGAACCGTCATAGTCATCCCATCGGACTCACCGCCTCTCGACCATCCTGAGGATACACGCATCTTCCCAGTTCTCTCCTCAGACCCACCGCTCGAGGATTCATACTCAGGCATACCCATAATGAGGTCTAACATCCCGCCCTCCAAGTTCCGATCTCACAACGACCGACCCTCCAAGTTCCAGCCCGTTTCCCGGTCGGGAATCATCTCAGTCGCGAGCAATGCCTAACCCTTAACATTCTAACCGGTGTCCCAAACAGAAATCACTTTAGCTACGAGCAAGGCCCAGAACCGCGCTATTTAGAATCATGCTACCGCTGTTCTCACGCGTCGATCTGCGATAGCACCACGTTCACGCAGGTCTCGCAGTTTTCATGAGCGGCTCCTTACGGTGGCAAATCGTTCGCACCATTTCCGGCCCGGCTCAGCCGAAGACGGCCTCATGGCTCTGAGCAAATGGTACATACATATCATTGTGGAACGACCCTACGCAGAAAAGCCGCCCGCCTCCCATTATGCCAAGGAATGTATAGCGTCTCTTGGTATGCAGACCGCAATACCTACAATTGCCCAAGCCCTAACAAAAGGTACCCGGCGAGTTCTTCGGTGCATGTTGTATCGCATAGCTCCTACGACAGATGACCTGAAGGCGATCGGAGGCAACATGGAGGATGAACGGCAGGGAATATATGTAACATCCTCACGACCCCGTTGCGTGCTGAGGAAGGCGATGATCTCGACGAAAACAATGATCTCGACGAAGACGACGCTCTTGAGGGTGTGTATACTGGTAGTGGTTCTGGGACGCATGGAGGTCGTGCAGAGGAAAGAGGGTTGTGGTATCGAACCCATCGTCATCTCAGTAAAAATAATCGCGCACATGGACCGGAGAAAGATTCCACTCACAACTTGTTTTGGAATCGACCCAGCGTTCAGCCCAACTTCGTTGCACTTGTTGTTTTCAAGGAACAAGTACCGACTGAACTAGTGCTCTTTGCAGAGACTCTCATGATCTTGCTTCTCCGTTCGATTTCCATTCAATCCATCTACTCTCTCCCAAGCATGCCCTCCTGGATTCCAGCGCGGGCTCCTAGCTGAGACCAGCTCAATAGTTCTTAGCCCCAGCAATATATAGCTCCATTCGACGATTTTCCTGCCGCTCGCAAGGAGAGGGCCCACAAAGAAGTCAGAAGGGGCGCTGGTAAGACACAAGAGGTTGAAATGTGATTGGATGCTACGAAGAAACCACAGGCTGTGGAGCGAATCACGACAAATGAGTTCGCCGTTTACATTTGCATGGGACTGGCATCTACTGGGTCTGGCATGATTGCTATGAACTCCATCTTTCGTACGAATTTCAATATCCCCATACCCGTTGTCTCGCCTTTTGGCATTACACAGGGCGGCAAAATCCGGCTTGCCTGGCATTTCCATGATCAAGACCCGTCCCATCGGTTCGCCGACTATGCAAGAGAGTCCGATGCCGCGTGAGCTTTTGCTGTGGAGCTGGTGAGCAAGGGAGGTGAGGAGGTCGAGCATGGCTTTCCCCAGCGACCAAGAAGATCCTAGCGGCGGAGATGCCCGCCGCGGGTGAATGTTGAGGTTGGACAGCCATTTAGATGCCTGACTCTCAAGTTGATTGATGTTTGTCCAACTATTTTGGGCTGGTGGATGAATGCTATGTTCCCTTATTATATAAATGCGAATTGCTGAGTGACCGAATTTGATGAATGGTATTGAACATGACTCGAAAACTTAACGTCTACTCCTGCTTTACGCTGATGAAGGACTCAGCACCTTTTGCCTAAGTTAGGGTTGCGAGATAGATAAAGAATTGCCGTATGCATGACTGTACGCGTTGAGAAGCTGCGACGCGGGGCTGCGGGGGTGACATCGGGTCCCCATAAATGTCCTTCCTCTATCTATAACAGTAACTTCTCTGCAACGCTTCTCGATGTGAACTCCAAGAAATCCATCTATTGTTTCTTGACGAGAATCTCCATTCTCAATCATGTCCAGCACATCAGACTGGCGCGCCCTCGCCGCCTCGAAGCGCGAGTCCGTCGCTGCCAAAATCCCCGCTGAATGGCGTCTCCCCAAGTCCTTCACGTCCCAGTTCACTCAAACATCCCGCATCAGCGTTCTGGACGTTCCGCGGAAGTCAGGCCTTTTGAATGACCGGGAGCTGGAGTTGACGGAGAACTACGATGCGACCGCGTTGGTAGAGTTGATGGTTGCGGGGAAGGCGACAAGCTATGAGGTTACGACCGCGTTTTGTAAGCGCGCTGCAATTGCGCAGCAAGTTATCAATTGCTGCACCGAGATCATGTTCAACGAGGCACTGGTGAGGGCGAAGGAGTGTGATGAGTATCTGAAGACGAAGGGGAAGCCGATGGGGAAGTTTCATGGGTTGCCTATTAGTTTGAAGGTGAGCATTTCATTCAACAGGAACAGTTTCGACACCAACTTTCAATTTATTTTCGCATCAAGTTTATCTCTGCACAGATGTCCCTATCAAGAAACTCTCTTTCCCTTGTTTCCGTGCTCTAATACGATTACAGGACTCCTTCAATGTCAAAGGTGTCCAAAGCACACTGTGCTACGTCTCTTTCCTCAGCCATCCTCCAGACACCGAGAACTCAGCCCTTGTCGACATTATTCTTAGTGAAGGTAAAAGTGAATATCTTTTGCTTGGAGCTCGGCACTAACACTTGCGAAGGAGCCGTCATATACGTCAAGACCAACATTCCACAAACTATGATGACGGCAGATTCTGATAATAACGTCTTCGGACGGACTTTAAACCCTAACAACCTTTCCCTCACGGCCGGTGGTAGCACCGGCGGCGAAGGTGCTCTGATCAAGTTTCGCGGATCCGTCTTAGGCTGCGCCACCGACATCGCAGGATCCATTCGTCTACCAGCTCTTTGCAACGGCGTCTTCGGTTTCAAGCCCACCGCGCAGCGGATTCCCTTTGCTAGAACAACACCTCCGGGCCGTCTTGGAAGCCCGTCGACCATATACCCAGTCATCGGCCCGGAGGCGCACTCAATTCGGGATATGCATCTTTTCCTAAAGACGGTGATCGACAACGATCCCTGGGAGCTCGACGAGAATGTCCTTGCTGTCCCCTGGCGAACTCTTACTCCGCCGTCCCGCCCAATTCGACTGGGTCTCATAATCGAGGATCCTAGCTTCCCACTGCACCCGCCCATTCAGCGTGCCTTGCAGTCCGCGGCCACCGCCATCAAAGAAGCAGGCCATTTCATCGTGCCCATTCCGACGACCGATATACCCTCTATCTACGATGCAGCGGCGTTGGCATGGAAGTTCTTCCTCCTCGACCCGCAGAAGACGGCTGTGAAGCATGTTCAAGCGTCTGGCGAGCCATGGGTGCCGTCTATTCCAACGGTCACGTTCCCTCAAAATCATGGATGGGAGCCGTCATTAGATAATCTGTGGGACATGAACGTGGAGCATGCGAAGATCCGGAAGGTGTTTCACGATATCGTGGTTGAGAAGAAGCTGGATGTGATTCTGATGCCTGGATATCAGGCGACGGCTGTGCCTCATGATACTTTCGGAGTGCCGATCTATACGGTTTTGCCGAACTTGCTGGATGTGAGTTTTAGGGGACGATGCGAGATGGGAGAACTGTGAGCTAACAAGAAAACAGTATCCCGCTGCTTCACTGCCGTATTTGAAGGCGGAGAAGGAGCTGGATAAGGACTTTGTACGGACGGACGTCACATACGCACCGCCATGTAAGCAGCACTCTCGAAAATCTGTAAGCATGATGTGCTAATGTCTTGTTGTAGATACGCCGGAAGCCGTCGAGGGCGCACCCTCCTCTATCCAGCTCGTTGGAAGACCCATGAAAGACGAAGAATTGCTGAATATCATTGAAACGGTCGGGGAGATACTCAAGCTATCGACCGAGTAGACTTTAACGAGAAATGATATACACAAAGGAGCCACTGGCTCTCGACATTCATTGCTCTTGGCCGCAAGTTGCTATGTATGCCATCCATCGAATAGGAGAGCACCTCTTGAAAATTTAGAACATTCATAATCAAGAAAACAGCTGATACTCGACTGATGTATGTATGCACGAACGAGACCTACTAACCTTTAGTAGATGGCGCTGCACATCTATTCATTTATGCCGGTATACGTTCGACTCTAGGAATCACGTGGTTTTCATACTACACCCTATACATGCAAGAAGACGCGAAGAAGAGGAATTGAGGACTTGAGTACTGAAAGGGGGATACTTTTGGGGCTACGTAGCTAGCATCCGGGTTCCGGCCTTGGTGGTCTACTAGATCTGTTTCCAAGCCCTACTACGATGGACACCTGACGGGTCGCTATTTGATACCGTACGAAAGACCTAGCCGCCGTCGATACGATACTCCAGATCCCGCAGACGCATTCCCGATGTTCACGAGCAGCGACCTTGAAGATGGCATTTGAAGTCTGGCCTGCACGCAGGGGCACGCGAGGTATGAATAAATCGAAAAGCCCTGACTCGATCTAGCCCAGCCACCAAATAATGCACTAACCCCTAACCAAGTCGAGTAAAGCTGCCCAGATAACCGCCGCGCCTGGCCCGCCCTGGACGCCATCAGCCGCAAATCCCCACCGGCCACACTCCACTGACCCCTGACTAACCCGCACACGAGGCATCTGGACGCCTTTGGACGTGTCTGCCAAGCCTGCCAAGACCCCCCTTCCGTCCTCACGGCGCGACTTCACATCGCCAAGGCTTTCTTTCCACCCCGCGCGTTGAAAACATAGGGCCAAATCTGCTTTGAGATATGGCCTTGCTTGCATACGGATGTAAAGACGCCACACCCGTTCAAATAGTGTCGCGCAGCTCCGACGCAGAACTGTGGCTTGCACAATCACGCCGTGGAGAGTCAACGCTGGCATGAGCTAAAATGCGCCTTTAGGAAACTTAAAGATGTTAGGCCGGCACGCGTGGTTTGTTTCTTTGTCGAGTTCTTCTTATTTGCCCGCCAATCGCTATTGGGCTTCTTCGTTGAATCTTACTCCATCATGCGTATCCAACTTTCGCTGGTGGCAGCTCTCTGCTGTGCTTTTCCCGCTGTCTTTGCCCATGTCGACGGCAATAGCCACTCTCACGAGCGCTCTACTTCGTTGAAGGTTTCAAAGGACGGGCGATGTGGTGGATATACTGGACAGACGTGTGACGGATCCACTTTCGGAAACTGCTGTAACAAGGACGGGTGGTGCGGGAAGAGTGCCACATGCTGTGGGACTGGATGTCAAACAAAATTTGGGACATGCAAGAGTGAGATCTCGACGGATGGGAAGTGTGGAAAGAATGGGAAGAGTTGTTTGGGAAGCAAGTTTGGTGACTGCTGTAATAAGGATGGCTACTGGTATGCTGAAGGGTGACTTCAGAGGCGACGAGCGGAATACTGACGGACGCATAGTGGTAAGTCGACTACGTGCTGTGGAAAAGGATGCCAGCCTGACTTTGGGAAATGCGCGTCCTCGACTTCCTCCACAAAGAAGACATCCTCGTCGACAAAATCCTCAACCAAATCTACGCCGCATTCGTCTTCCGTAAAAGCCTACTCAACGCCTAAGAAGTCTTCTTCGTCTTCAATTAAGGCCTATTCTACACCTAAAAAGTCATCTTCCTCCTCGGTCGCGTCGTACTCGACGCCCAAGAAATCCTCGACCTCCCTAAAGGCATACTCTACGCCTGGCAAATCTTCCTCCTCGTTGATCAAATCATCCTCGTCGAGTCACCGGGCCACCTATTCCGGTTCTTCGCCATCGGTCTCGACAAAGACTTCATTGTCGTCTTCTTACCTGACCGTTCACTCTACGACTTTTAGTGTCTCGTCATCATCTTCTCATGGAAGCTCCTCATCCTTTTTAGTCGCTAGCAGCTCTTCGTCTTCAGTAACTGGCAGCTCTTCGTCTTCAGTAACTGGCAGCTCCTCTTCCTCGGTTTCGAGCTCAAGTAGCGATAGCTCCTCCGTCAGTATTTCCTTCTCCGTCGCGACCATAGTTACCCTCGACGTTGGAACGACGAGCAGCAGCGGCCCGGGTTCTCCCAGCAGCACCTCCGAATCTGCTTCTCCCTCATCAAGCGCTGCCACTCCCACCGCCACGCCACCCGCATGCCCTAAGCCCAATGGTTCATGCGTTATAACTGAAGACACCCACTGGCTTATCGCTTGCGGTGTTACGTATTATGGAGCCGATGACCGGGACAGCCCGCAGGAGCTTGACAGTCTCGATGACTGTATCGCCGCGTGTTACGATATTCCCGCGTGTATGGCGGTTTCGTGGGTGCCAGGAACGAATGGAGGACCTGCCTTCTGCTATCTCAAGACTTCGGTTACCGAGGAGGTTACTAACGACTGGGTCTTTGGAGCAAAGGAGGTCGATGCGGACGAATGTCCTGCAACTGATAGCAGTGCTTCGGCTTCGGGTGCTGCCTCTACTATTTACTCCAGCACGGATGCTGGAGCCTCGGAGACTGCCTCGCCAACTACTACTACATTTGACGAAGCGGCTTTCCTTGCAACATACACGTACTACGAGGTCCCCCTTCCAACTTTTGACACCATGATCGATATCGAGCAAGTTGCCCCGGCCCCTACGCAGATCTGCTTTGCCGACCCAACAGATAGCTCAATGCAGTTTGTAAGTACCTCAATGTTACTACACACGTCTTGTCTAACACCTATCAGGAAGTACTTGATACCCGCGGTTATCCAATCACTGATAATGCAGGTCAACTTGGTCTTCCAGCGGACCCACCCACAAATACGACCGTTTATCCGTTTTATCACTTCGAGACTCCGGACAATGCGCCCGCCGGATTCCAGGATCTTGTCTATGAAGGGCCTGATGGCAACAAGTACGCCGCACGTAAAGATGACGGCTCCGTAGTCCTCGTCGATGCCAGCACAAATGGCGAAAATGTAGACGGCTACGAAACCACTGTTTTTACCATCGAGTGCGATGGCCGTATGGCAATGGGCACCCCATCTGCCCACTATGTATGGGCACTGGACGGCGATTTCACCAAAGCCCCCGTCGGTACCGGGCATTCTAAGATCATTCTCCTTCCTCGAGCGGCTTCTATCCAGATCAACCCGAAGAGCATCAGGAAGAGTGTCACCAGCGACACAAAGGCTAGGCGAAGCAGGAACAAGCAGAACACCAAGCGCAGCGACTACAACGGGGGCCAATCCCCGCGCTGCCCTGCCAACCCCCCTGAACTCGTCGCCAAGGCTCTCACAAAAGAGCAAGGCGGCCGCGACCCCCAATCCAACGGCTGCGGCCCCGCTGGTATTGGCGGCTACCTCGTCCCCGACTACAAATTTACCCCCTGCTGCGACAACCACGATCTCTGCTATGGTAAGCCCCCTCCCCTCTCCCCCGTTCCCCCTCTCCCAATCCAATCCAATCCCCCCCGCTAACCCCCCTCTCCTCCAGACAACTGCGAAAACGGCCGCAAAGAAAACTGCGACCACAACTTCGGCTCCTGCATGCACAGCGTGTGCGACAAGATCCCGTGGTGGCAGCCGCTCGACCAGTACGCGTGCCCACGCATCGCCGACTTCTATGAATGGTTCGTCGAAACCTGGGGCAACAGCGCCTTCAGCGAGGCGAACAAGGAGCGCTGCGGCTGCTTCTGCCCACACCGCTACGACAACTCGCTGCCGGCCGACGACAGCTTCAACTGCGGCGGCTGCGGCAACCAGTGCCCGGACAAGACGCACTGCAAGGCGTCGAAGTGCGTGTGCAACCAGGACACGTGCGGCGGCAGCTGCGTCGACGTGCAATCGCACCCGAAGAACTGCGGCAGCTGCGGGAACGTGTGTAGCTCCGGGATTTGTAAAGACGGGGCGTGCTACACGCCCACAGCGGTCGCGATCACGAACAAGTGCCCCGCGGACAAGGCGTGGCTGAACATGGGCCGCGTGTTCTACTACTCCAAGTACGGCTACGGCAACACGCTGGGCGATGTGCGGGACCAGCGGGGGGACTCGGACGCGCTGTACTACGGCGACCCGGAGCGGTTCGCGCTCACCAACCACGGGCTGGGGTTCTCGAAGGGCGATTGCTGCGATACGTGCTACTCGATGGACGACTGTATCTTGTTCTACCTGCAGACGCAGTATGACGAGGTGTATTGCTGGACGGTGAATCAGGAGCGGAGGGATACGCTGTTCACGGCGCTCGAGTTTAGCCCGCCGAAGGCGCAGTGCCATTATGGCGGGTTCGAGCTCGAGCCGGCGAGCGGTGGGGGGCTGGATAATGGGTGGAGTGAGAGTGAGGTTGAGTTTGGGCCGTGTGTGAATGGGAATGATCCGACTGGGGATTGGTCGAATCATTTGTATGGGAGTTAGATGGTTGGAAGGGGTCTGAAAGGGGAGGGGGGAGGGTGGTTCAGTGGGAACTTTGTATATATTGTGGTAATTTGATTCTGTGTATATATCGATGAAGAGATTCTGGCTTGATAGCAATGGGCGTGGAATAGAATGATGTATTCGAAAGGAAATTGAAGACTGCTCACTCTTTTCAATGCTCCTTCTCTAGCCCTGTCGAAAGTCCTCCGGGGACGACGTAGTTATTGTGGTGTTCAAACCAAAGAACCGATATTTGCATGGTGATTGAAGCCCAATGTACAGGCTACCGTCTTTTTATTCCCCTTGCATACCCTTCTATCGCTCATAAATCATGCCCTCATAACTATAATAACACATAATCGAAGCATGCCAGAAACGTAGTCCAGCTACCCCCAAACACGTCGAATCAGACCCACATTGCACGCAAATCGTCCTCTGGCCAGTATTTTGAAGGTAAGATCACCAGTCCTCCTCCTCACTCGAATCATCCGGAACCGTATTCACAGGCCGAGTAAGCTTGAATGGCGCCCCAGTGACGTCTTTCCCCTTCCAACCTAGATACACATCGAACTCCTTTAACCCCTTGACCTGCCGCAGCGGTGCGAGCATCTTCTGCTCACACTCGTTGTCCCTGAAGCCGTCGAAGTATTTTAGGTCTACTCGTAATCGTTGTAGACCTGTCATGCCGGCGATTATCCGCCATATATCCTCCCACGTCGCTTCGTCATGCGGAGGGTATAAGGCAGTGTTGAAGAGCATTCGCTGCGCGAAGACGTCGTAGAGTGGCCACGTAAGGTACCATTCTATACGGAGGGACTTTATAGCGTTGAAGCGGGAGGGGAGAATGGTAGCGGAGAGGTAGCGAAGACAATCGAGGTCGATGAAGGAGAAGGTATTCGTAGAGTATAATAGAGGAAATGCTTCGGAGTACCTATTCCACACCCGATTAGTTAGCATTAATGCTTCCATGATCCATAATTGAAAGAAGGAGTGCTGCGTTCGGAGTATACTCACACCTGCCGACACGTCTGCAACAACGGCAGCACATCCCCATCACTCCCCTGCGGCTCCTCCACCGGCATCCAGATATTACTGCTATCCACGACGCCCCAGCAGCTATCAGCGCACGGCCCCACGCCATGCCACCGCTTCGGACAGGCCTTCTCGCTGTTGGCCTTGCACCGCAAATGCCCCAATTTGTTCTCCTTGTGAATAACGTGCATCACGTCGTTCCCAAGCACGGCCTTGTATATCATCTCCCGCAGTTCCAGCGGGAGCGCCATCAGCCGCGACTTCTCTTGGAATATGGTCGTCTGCTTCAGCTCCTCTGGCGATGACGGTACGCCCGGCTCTTCCGTCTCTGGCTCCTCTGGGAGCGGGATCGAGAGCGCGCGTTTCCGCACGACGAGCGGACGGGGCGCCTTTCGCTGGCGTCGCTCGAAGCGTCGTTTGTCCTCTGGCTCTGAGCGGCGGCGCAGGCGCCCGGGACAGAAGCATGCTGCGAAGCCGACGTAGATGCAGACGCAGGGGCCGCAGAAGATGCTGAGGAGGACGCCGGAGGCGCGCATCTTGTGATATGAAAAGGGTGTGTTTGTAGAAAGAAAGGAAGTGGGTGTTAAGTCATGATGAGAAGATAATTGAGGGAAGGTGGTGGTGGGAGGAGGCTGGACGCGGCGTGGTGTTGAGGTACCACGGCACACGGGGTCTTACGTAGCTTGAGCCATTCCAGGGGCTAGGGGGTCTGGCCAACTTCAACTACCAACCTTTGACAGTCTCTCAACCATACAGGCAAGCTATCCAGCGGCACTGGGAAGCAGCTGCCATAACGTCGACGATGGTTGGCATGATTATCGATCTTTGTCGACTGAAATATGCGCGCACCCTCGACCGCATATGAAGCATCGCGTACCTATCGATAAAGAATCAACGGAAGCCAAAGTCGCTTCGACTTTGGATAGAATGGCCTGGATTTGGATGAAAATGCCTGAATCTTAGACATGGCAAGTCCGTTATACCTATTTAAAGAATAGGTCTGCTCATAATCATTCAATGGATCTCCTCAATCGTGGCGCCCTCGTGAAACTGCCCATTCGGATCCATCTCTCTATTCCGGACTACCAATATCTAGGTTTGTGCTCCATATTCAAAAGAAATCGGTCTACTAGCCCTATCATCGAAGGATACGTCCGCTACTGAAACATAATACGAGACGAATGAGCTAGTCATCATATGCATTTCTTATTTCCCTCACTGTTGATCCTGCGAGCAGGAGCCAGTAAAGAAAAGACTGCACATGGTACGTGCTACAACTTTCTGGTGAAGCATAAAAGGCCGGTATAAATGAAATCGAAGCATGCATATTGCCTAGGGTTTAATTTCTCGTACAAGAATGCCCCAGTTTTCAATATAAAGAAACAATTACTAAGTCTTTCCGCAAGGTGTACATACACCCAGATTTTCACAATACTCCCTAGGCCGTATCAGACACCTCATTCGAAAAAAGATAAGAGAGCTATTAGCTCTGATGTCAGACAATGTCATTCATTCCTTTCAGACTCGTACGTCCCAATCAGCGCGACCACTTCCGGATGATCATATTCCTGGGCTCTCTCGATAGCTTTCACCCCAAGACTATCACACTTGGTCGCATCCGCGCCATGATTCAAGAGATATTTCACGGCTTCGGCATGACCGTTCGACGCAGCATAGCTCAGTGCTGTTCCGTACAACCTTGGAATCTCTTTGAACGGACGGGCGTGGTTGTGGAAATTGTCTAGATCTAGCATATTGTTGACATCTCCACCTGCCTCCACTAACGTCCTCAGGATCTCTACCCGGCCGAATTCACCAGCTCATTGCATGGCATTTGTGCCATCGATGGCAGTACCGTACTCTAGAAGGAGCTTCAGTATCGGTTTGTAATCACGATAGATGGCAGTGGCAGCATAATCTCGTAAAAGTTCGTGGCAAGGGCGGTCCTTGTGGCCCGGCTCGTCTTGGAGCTGCAACACCGTCCACTCAATCGGCAGGTAGTGGTTGAATGTTCGAGAGGAGTTCTCTACGAACCATCCAGGGCCGGCGCCGTTTCTGAGCAAGTATGAAAGAAACTTGGAGTTGCACCCTCGGACTGCCCAGCAGACTGTACTACTGAAAACGTTGGGGCCGCAGCCCCAGTTGATGATTTGCGGCTGCTTAGTATGGTACAGCTTATAGATGTCGAGGCCGGCGGAGCAGGCAGATATGATCATGTCGGCGGAGAAGTTGGTCGAGAAGGTGTGCTGGAGGAGATAGTCGACAACGGCTACTTGTTGCTTTTCGGTGGCTTCATGCAGAAGCTGGAGTAGTCCTTCTTGACGATTGTAGGCTGTCGTGTCGATGGCGTCGAGGTATTTGACTTTGGATATGTTTCCGGCTGAGCAAGCTTCAAGAAGCGCCTCGTCTGGAGACCAGGGAGGAGGCCAAGCTGCTTTTGCGGCTTTTCTTACCAATACCTCAGGAGGCCCGTGAATTGGATGCTCGCCTTCGGACATGACGTTTCAAGCGGTATCGGTGATACAAGGAATCAGCAAGGAGACTAAGTCAGAAAATGTTGTTGATGGCAGGCTGAAGGACGATGATCCGATGTTCAGGTAATGACATTGCGGCGTAGTCGCGAAGCACTGCCTCCATTGGCGGGCTGCTTACCCTCGAAATCTCAGCAGGAAATCAATCACGTGACTAAGAATCCCATCAGTGAGCGAAAGAATTGGCATGTCATTTGCTCAAGGTTGGCCGTCTAGAACTCGACATTGTGTGCTTTCCGCCTCCTGTTCAGAGTAATGTAACATCAGATTCCCCTATTATTGCTCCGCAGCATTCAAGTCCAGATGAGGCGTTATCTGCTAGTTGGGCGCGCATAACGTTACCGCGACTCAAGGACTGCACCAGGAGGTGTGGAGTATATCGAACGCCACCATGTGCCATTATTTATCTGTAGAAGTCCGAGAAGTAGGCACACGATACGTTTGATTTTCTTCTGTGAAAGGTGAGCCCTCAGGCTGACTCTGCCATGGCCTAGATATTTGACTTGAACATCATAAAGCCCCCAGCCGTATGATATGGATGAACTTGCCGAACGAACTCCTCGCGGTCACTGTATATTGATTGAAAACCTCAAGACGTGATGAGACGTTGTTGTAGCTTTATCTCAGTTTACCGTGTCCTCAATCCTCATGAGGGTTTAACGCCAAAATTTCCAGCCATCAAACCTATTTTTAATTGCCCGGTTGTATAGTTCTAGGCCGGCCGGCCCTATCTATTCTAGTAATAACTTTTGCAGTTGCAATAACACCTATCTAGCAGCCAGTCTTATCGAAATTCCAGGTATTCTTATCTTAAATTCCATATTCTGCCTTTATATTATGCACAAGTTTAAACCAGCCTTAAATAAGCACAGGATCTTTGCATTTAGCACGCTGGTAGTTGTACTTGCAATTCTATTTGGATTGTAGGTTGTTATAACGCTTAATAAAGTTATATACCCATCGCTCGCCAACTGGTTTAGCACCAGGGTGCTGGGTAGTTAGTAGGCCAGCCATCTGCCGTACAAATGCGATTCGTGGCGGCATACCGCGTCGATCTGATGATAGAATCCATTGCTTGAGGCTCTCTTCTTGTGCAGGTGTAAGACGGCGATTCGATGCGATAGAATCGCGTTTTGGTTTGATGCCCTTGACGCGTAGCCGGGCGGTGCTCCGGGGCACATCGTACGTGCTTGTTGCTTTTCGGAAACTTGTAATTTGGCCTTGCTTGTACGCTTGAATAGCTAGATCAATTCTGCCCTCTTTAAAGAGGTCTTCTCGTTGTTGTGGTGTAGGCATTGAGGCAGTAGTTGAGTAACGCGTCGCGTTTCTGCGATTTTTGATGGGGTGGGCAGGATGCCCGCACGGGCAGCTTGCCCGCAGAACACGTTAATCATTTCCTAAGACTCCTGGTCGCTCCTCAATCTCATATGCCAATTACCCGAGCAATGAGACAATCGCTCCGGATGTACTCGAATACTATTTGAATACGGCTTCCTGCTCGGATGACTTGTGTTAGTCCAGTCTAAATCCTGTTCTCCGCAATGCTTGGTGGTAGATGCTTGGTGGTAGATGCTTGGTGGTAGATGCTTGGTGGTAGACTTAACCCTATATGGTCCATTGCGCGACGAGATTTGTTCGTGGCTGAAGTGCAGAATCCACACTAATATTCCGCTAGGCTGAAAAAGACCTGACGCAGGGTTACATCCTTGTCATCATATCGTCGTCAACTTTTGTCCTTTTACAATTTTAGAAATTCGGCCCCATCAGAGATCACTGAGGCGAGACTGTTGTACTTTGCTTCACAAAGCCGGACTCCATGGGCAGTGCTGATGGGCAAGATTAGGCTGCTCCCATCCGGTGACTGGGCGCAGGAGAATCTGTCGAGACTAACAACCACCATCAAGTCTCTGCGTGGATAGCGCCGCGCACACCATGGTGAACATTGGTGGGCGGTCAAAGGGTTGCTCGACCTGTCGAAAACGGCGGGTCAAATGCGGTAAGCTCTCTCTATCTGGGACGCACGTAACCGTCGACTAAACTGTCCCGAAGACGAGAGCCACCCCATCTGCAGGCGATGCCAAAGCTTGAACCTTGAATGTCACGGCCCTAGAGGCATTTCTTTCATCTACGATAAGCTAGCAGGGCCTATGAAGACGCAGACGCGGACGGCCTTGTCAGAGGAGGCTCCAGTACTGCTATCAGCCACGCCCAGGATCGTCGGCTTCGATGTATACATCTGCTACACCCAGGCGCACCTCATACGCGATGGCCTCATTGCATCCACCATAACAGACATCAAAGCCGCCGATCTGGTACCCTCTGGTACAGCTGTCGCCAGCCGTCAAGTCTCCCATCAGGCCATCATGAGCTTCGCCACGATCCTTTTCGGCATCCAACACCGGCAGGCGGACATCACCAGACAAGGCTACGCCATGCACGGTGTTGCCCTGAAACAACTCAACCAGGTATTATCTGATACGACACGGCACAGCCGTGACGAAGTCATCGTCGCCGTGGCTGCATTGTCCATCTCCGAGTTATTGGTGCCCAGCGGCCCAGATAACTATTTGACACACATGATGGGCCTGGAAAGATTGATAGATCTCCAAGATCCTGTGTCATTCTGGTCTGAAAAGTCGTCCGGATTCTGCAAAGGCGTACGTTTCATGATCCTCCTCGCCTCCCTGAAGCTCTGTAGACCTTCGATCCTCGCCAAACCAGATTGGAAGAAAGCCATGAGAACGAATTCCTCCTACCAAGAGCTACAGGAGCAGGACCTTTTTGATGTACTGGCAGACTGTAGCATCTTGCTTGCCGAGCGCGATGCCATGTTATCAGCTTGGAATACAAACTCGATCAACGCTGGAGAGCAGCGAGACGACATAGAGCGACGAGCAAGCTCTCTTCTTATTCATCTCTACGAGTGGAGACGGCGCTGGGATACCGATCTTGAGAATATTTGCTCCGAGACTGCTGTATGTCCTTCTGGACTCGAAGAATCACAGTTCATACACAATGAGGACCCCGAGGCGCCATTGGTCACAGCTACTACGATCCCGAACGTCCCTGCCGCGATCATGTTGATGCTATACAACCTGGCGCTTATGCGTGTTTTGCAGATTATAGCGACTCTACCTCTCGAGGAGTCTGCGACACGAAACATTTTGCAGCAACTCGAGACCGCTAATGAGTGCCGTGCAAATGAACGGATTGCGGCTAGGGAAGCTTGCCGCTGCATTCAGTACTACTTGTGTATAAGACGCCGCTTGGACGCAAGCGCTTCACCAATCATCCACTGGGCCGTTGCCACCGCCTGGACGGCACTTCGCCGTGACGACTCGATCGAAGGGGCATGGATGCAGGATTTGTTGTCCAAAAAGGGCCGACAGGTCGCTGCTGAGGGTCTATGGACCACATACCTATGGTTAAACTCGTTGCCTGAGTGAGCAATCGACAGATAATCCAAGGTTGCTTTGTACAAGGTAAATAAGTGTTCGTTTCATCATTTGCGAGTAGAAATCTTCCATCCATTGCAAACTTACAGACTCGAAAATGCGGCCAGTTAGTTATATAAATAGAAAAGAGTTTGTGAATTATTTCCACTCTGATATTCTTCTAGTTATCTGGTCAGCTGGGCAATATTATTCGCGGTCTAACCCGTAGTGCATCCTCTCCCCGATGCCACGGCTGCCGGCAGAGCGCGGTTTAGAGCTCGTCACAGGAATCTTACGAGCCTCCAGAGCCGTACCCACAGGGGCATGGATATCAGAAGGGCTTGGCGGGCTTGGTCGGAGACACTGATTAAGGCCCCCACTCATGCATTCTCAGCCCACATAAATTGAGTTAGTGAGAATCGATCCTACGCTATGCCGCATGGAGCTCATTACGCGACGACGCTAGTCTTCGCCTCCCTTAGAAGCGGGACTATGTATATCGGCAAGCATATATAGTTAACTATATCTACTGGAAGTCCATCCGTTCTTGGACCAAATATTTCCCATTGCCCTACACGATCTCAGATGTCAGTTTCGTCCCTGCGCACTCACCCCCATTCGTAGTAACCGTCCCCAATCGAGGCTCGAACTGCAAGCAGCTGCCGCTCTACTCGGGCCTAAGACCTTCATTCTTGAAAGGCTTACATTCGCAGCATTCCGTATAGAGCCACCCGAGCCTTCTTTTCATCACCATGGAGCCGTGCCATGGATGCATCCAGGTGCGCCACATATGACCTCCAAAAACTGAATCGAGGCAGCCACTAATAGCAATTCAAGGGCACCATCCACGAAGGCCAACCCCAGGGCACAGAGGAACTAGTCCACGGCCTTAACACCTACGTGGTGGGCAACCGAACCAACCCGCGCGCCATCGTGGTTATGTACTCGGACATATTCGGCCTGCTGCTCCCCAACAACAAGCTCATCGCCGATGCGTATGCCAAAAGTGGCGAGTATCTGGTTTACCTCCCAGATTTCTTCAAAGGCGACCCTGTGCCGCTCAAGGTAGCCGACGTGATGATCCCCGTTGATGCAACCAGGCAGTCGACCTTTGCCAAGTACACAGGCCTCCTCGCCAGTATGCCAACGTTTCTCATGTGGAGGGGGAGGCACAAGCATATGTCGACTGAGCGGATTTGCGTGGAATTCCTGCAGAAGCTGCGCCGCAACACTCGCAGAGGCCAGAAGATCGGCATGGTCGGCTTCTGTTGGGGAGGGAGGTATGCAGTCCGAGCCGGACTGGCCAGCAACGCAGTTGAGATCGACGGCGAAAAAGTGCCGCTAGTGGATGCGGTGGTGGCGCTGCACCCGAGCAACATGGTCGTCCCCGTGGACGTCGAAGCGTTGGCCGTGCCTACAAGCTTCGGCTGGGGCGTCGAGGACAGTGTCGTGAGCTTTGACCAAAAGGCCATGGTGGAGGAGACGCACGCCAAAGTCGCGGCTGCGGGAGGAAAGGTGCCTATAACAGAGCACAAGACCTATAATCCCGGTCGCCATGGTTTCGGTGTGAGGGGCAACCCGGACAACCCGGCGGAGAGGGCATGCCTCGAAGGCACGGAGAAGCAAGTACTGGACTGGTTCCAGCGGTGGCTCTAGCATGCGCCAAATACATATTCCGTAATCTACTTTTGTTGTATCGAGGGATGGACTCTTATAGGGATGTGACTTACAGGTATAACCTGAGAGACCGACACGAACGAGAACTCGAGCGGGAACACCAGCAGGTCTTACGATGATAGCGGGATGACGCCAGAAGAGCTTCGCTGGTGCGGCTCTATGCGTGCTGCTATGAGCTGAGTAATTACAAGACGAAGCACAATTCAGATTTGGACACTCATGACGTGGCCTATTGGGTATTGCAGTAATAATTGGATTCAGCCTACTAACGACAAGAACCACGGTCGCCAAACCGTCTCAGCCCAGTCTATTAGCCAGTGAAGAACCGCTACAACCTTCATCGCGTCAAAGCACGACCTTGTACTCCCAATAGCAATCTCCTCCCATATCGTCATCTTCTGGTCTTTCTTAGAGACGATCAATAAGTGCCAGTCATGACCTTGAGCGATTAGGAGTGGGATAGCGGGCCAGGGCTCAGCGGGACGAATGCGAGTGAGTCGTGTTAGCCAGGCATCAGTCCATGTCGCGATCTGAGGTTTACCGTCGGTCCATGACTTCATGGGGCCCTTGGTTTCGACATGGATAGCAATGGGATTGCGACGGGCCCGAGTTGTATAATTCCAGGACTTGACAGACACTCCAGGGAGCGGACGAAGGCGGTGCCAGGCTTGGTCGATGGCCGCGTCTGGTTTAAGTGTGACAACGTAATCAACGACGCGGCCGGGGAGAGCGGAGCGCGCGAGCGAGGCGGGTTCGATCCTGGCCGTTTTTCTACGCCTATGAGCATGCGACTGTCTAGGTCACATGGGAACTCACACGTTAAAGATTGCAAGAGTTTCTAAGTGCTTGCTTGTACTGTAGGCGAGTTGGAGGAGTGGATGTTAGACTTTAGAGTTCTACTTATCCTCAGAGACGCCGGAACTATAGTCATACTGCCGTGCCATCACCACAATATTTAGTACCTGCGCTATCGAAGGCATCGAACCGAAGATGCAGCGCTGCTTAGTATCGTTCACCCAAGAGTACTGGAATCGTATCCTGTCCATTAGCGGTAGAGCAGAGATAATAGCACTTATATTATTATACCCTAGTATTCCAACACCGTCGGCACTGCTGCCTACCCCTCACCCCTACATTGCGTCCATCACGAACGCTTCCTTTGATGCCAGAGACTCTGCAAACGCTGTTCTCGCAGTCATTAGTGCCTAAGAACTCGACGCAATTCATCGAACAGTGGGCAAGCCACTGCGATAGTTGCACCGAGCCAGATACGGCGTTTTAGGGAGGGTTGTGCAGAAAACTCATGTGTGCCAGTGCATGATTTTTCGACTCACGATCCTCCCGCTCTCACGATCCTCCTGCACTAAGCTTAAATGGGGATGGTTCAGTTCTTGACACTATTGAAACACGCGGTAAAATCCAAAGCACCAATGCCCCTTTACCCCTGATAAGCACATACAGTCTCCGAAGCACAAATGCAAATCGCGAACTCCATTCTTTCCCCTAGACAAAGTATTCAAATATACAGTATCATACTCTAGTCGTGCGTGTAGTCTTAAGAAAAGCCGGTTGGTGGTGGGGGAGGTAGAGACGAAATTAGTGGTGGGGGAGGTAAAGACGAAGGTGGTGGTGGAGCAGGTACAGACAACAGAGGAGGCACTGCTTCCGTACCAACACCTGCTGACATTCCTTAGGCCGTCGAACCAGCCGACTCTACCACGCCACCCTGCTTCTTGAAGATGCTGGATATGCCCGCCGCAAATAAAGCAGAAACTGAGAATATGAACCACTGCAGGACACTCAAGGCTGCTCCCGCGGTGATCTGGATTGTTGACGCGGACTCAACCTGGGTAACATACTCCATCGCAGCAGTTACCTGGCTAATAGTCAGGGCCGATGCTAAAGCAAGTCCAACTGAAGTCTATATAACTGCGAGAGTGGCTCGTCTAAGTGATTGCCTTTGCTTTTCTAGGTCTACTTTGCCTGTTTGTGATGCCTTAAAGTGTTTTTTTAATAATAAGACTAGTAGAAGACCGATAACAAGCAATAAGCTAGTGGCAGCTAGCAGGTAAAGAATTATCTTAGATTAGATTATAAGAGCGAAAGAAACCAACTCCTTTAAGTCTAATATGTCACCGCTGCTAATATTCCTGTTAGATATAAATTAGAGGACCCTATCGGCCGTCTTGCCAGAGCTTAATTAGCAGATTAAGCGGTCTAATATAGAAGCGCAGATGCCTACTTAGTTATTAGCAGTGCTTACAGAACCTAGGAAAAGGTAAGTATTACTAAAGTAGTTAACCCGTAACTTAGAGATTGTGGAGGTTATGCTATTTCTTAGCTGCAATTTAACTGCAAATATGTTTCCTATTCCTAGAGAATTGGATACACATCTAGTAAGACTTAGGCCTGAATGCAGGTTAGCTTAATTACAGCTATTTGAAAGACTTGGAGTGCTACTGTAGAAGAGGATAATAGGTATAGGAAGGATATAGACCCAAAGGCGATAGTTAATATTTTCTTATTAGTGAGTTAATATGGAGCCATCTATTACCGAAGTGTCTCTGAAACTTACGCATGCGACTGTCTACACTGTCTACACTGTCTACACTGTCTACACTGTCTACACCTATCTCGACGTAGTATTTTTGGTGTTTGAAGAAATGCAATAACTTCTGTGTGATTTATACGGCTGGACTGTTCTGCGGAGGTAAGTAAGGGTACAGCACCGCCTATTTATCTTTCTGAGTAACCGCACTATGATCTCTCCGGGAAATGGTATAAGTATTTTAAAACACTACGATGGTGCAGTGCCACATAGCACGCGCGCGGCTTGTTCTTGAGGCACTAAGATTAGATCCGTAGAGCTTTGGAAAAGATCCCAAACCATTCTGTGGTGCTACTGAAGCGCTCGACAGGCAAGGAAGCCAGGGGTGTGGGCTCTCAAGGCGTCGAGAGTCAAAAATGGCCATCCTGTGAGTCCATTTTCCAGACCCAACAGTTTCGTTCTGCTCCAAAGTAGCGTTTTGGAGTCACAGAAATCATGAGATGCAAACAGCTACGCCGCAGCCGATGAACGCGATTTCAACACCAATAGATGTGCGGCAGTCAAAAAGCTGTGAAACCTCAACAATTTAGTTCTGTTTCAAAGTAGCGCTTCAGGGTTCCCGTAAATCGCGGGTGATGCCAACAGCTGCGCCGCAGCCGATGAACGCGATTTTGACACCAATGAATGTGTGGCAGTCAAAAAGCTGTGAAACTCGGGGGCATTGCGCGCGCTTGTCAGTCGATCAAAGTGTCGCAAAATCTGCAATCAACCAAGTTTGTTTCGCTTTCTGAGCCTTCAAGACGGCAATTGGTCTTGGTGGCAGAGTGGTGTGGAGTCTTGTCAGGGTGCGCTAGGTCGCATCTATTGGAGGCAACCTCTCCAGAAAGGTAGCTGCCTAGGGGTGACCCCTTGTTGAGTTGCTCTCGGCCTACGCCATAGCCAGCGCGCATGGAAACAACTTCTACAGAGAGTTAGTAGCCTCTCTTCAGCTCTCGTTCAATTCCTTGATTTCTACACAGCCTCCTTCGTATTTGAGGTCTCGCGCGAACAGCCTCATACGTCAGCTCTGTCTTATTGAGGAGGTTCGAAGACCTCATTATATACATAGAGAGGGGCCACCCCCCAGGGAGGTACGGCATCAGTTAACACCGACTTTCAACTCAAGTAGTGTGCTTCGAGGCTAACCACTGTGCCGCATAGCAAACCAACAGGGCCAACGAGCTGAACGGGGGAAAATCGAGCTAAGAAGCAGAATATGCAGCGGCTACCTGGCGTTAAAATCTTTTAGTAGCACCTCGCACGATCTTGCTTTCGCCGCAAGTGACAAATTCTGGACAGACGGGCTCAGGGCCGGCCACTTCGATAAGCCGATTCGCGGATAAAATTGACTTACAGTGGAAACAGGAGATGCGCAGTTGGAGAACACAGCGCAGAACAAAAAAGACGCCACCACTTATAGATAGCTACCAAAGAGTAACAGCCCAGCTCACCGTGTTTCCAGAACCACGCCCCTACAAGCTGCGACAACAGCGACCATCATCTCCCCCAGGAAGCCGGCCGGGCTGCTGAGGCTATGTCATCGCCTCGAGCAACTTAAAGTCGCTCGACAGTAGACAGCTTCTATGGAGCTCTTCATTCCGGCGGGAGGGAGTGGGAAACTCGGTGTATGCCATATTGACAGGCCTCAAGCTGCACCATCTCGTCGACGTTGTTGTAAATAAGCGGCAGCAGCAGCTTTGCGAAGTCTAGGAAATGTATCTGGTACTTCGCAGAGGCAGCTTCGAATATAGCAGGGTAAACGCCAGCGCAGCCCCAGTCGATGAGCCATACCTGGTTATCGGTATCTAAGATAAGATTCCGAGGACTTAGATCTCCATGAATGAGGACAAAATCCTGATAGTCGATATCTGGAACATCCATTGCCGCATGCTTGAAGAATTTGCTGAGGCCGAGTTTCCAGTTAAGCCACTTCTCGAAACCTTCTTTGGTGGTAAATGGTCCTGCGCCGTAATCACTAAACCATGTACCACGAGATATCCCTCCGCTAATAACTCCTGGGCTGCTTAAGCGTACGGATTGTAGCTCTTGCACCATTACCGCGACCTGGGCGGCGATGTTCTTTTGGAGCTCAGGACTAAAATGGTCCCAGCAGCTGTCTAGGCAACGACCATCTACGTAGTCCATGACTATGTAGCCTTTAACGCCAAAGTACGACGGGTAATCAATGTTAAAGCATTGGTATACTCTAGGTAACCGTACTCCTGGAAAATTTGTTGCCACGTATTTCATAGTTTCGCCTTCAGAGGCTTGAACGCTTCTCCCGTACTTGAGAACAAGGTTGCGGGAGAGTCGTACAATCTCTACTCCACCGAACGAATGGAGTACCGGTGCAGCTTCGCCATAGGCTATGAGAGTCTCTTGGGGCATCGTAGAAATATCGAAGGTTATGCCATCCAGTGGAAATTTGGTTGAAGGGTCCCTAGCGGCGGGCTATTACAGTCCTATTAGCAGATAGGACGGCGAATAAGACTAGAGCACTCACGTCAACAATAGGCTTCAAGGTCATAAACGGTGGGAAAGGGGGTTCCATAATAGTACAGGCTAATGGAACTGATGGCGGGGTAAGTAAGGTGTAGTTGTTAGAAGGGAACGTTCAGGACTGCAGGTGCGTGGGTCATGATGACTAAGACACCCAAGCTTGTGCAGGAGCATTCACTCGCGAACCTTTGCAGCGACTGGATGTCGACAACCAACGCCGCATCAATAACTACCTGGCAGGTTTCATAAATACGCATTACGCGCGCGCTCGGCAACGCCGATGCTCACCTGATACCTTCAACTGCTGTGCCTCTTCTGTGCCTCTTCGACAACCAGCCTTGGCATTCTCAATTTAGGTTGCTTGTTCAGCGCTTGCGCTATTGGAATAACTTCGTAGGCTCCGACACTATCGACGGGCGTGAAACCATCGCAATAGTCTATGCCAATTTCTACTTCATGTCAGCGCCAATGGAAACACCAACAAATCCACCTGAGCCACTGTCGGAGCATTGCAAATATGGTGCTTCGCCTCAACACATGGGATGTATATATACCTTCGGATGGAGTCCCAGAAATTAATCATCCTCAGACAGCAAGTTAATAACTTCTCATACCTTCCCATCAATCCATCCGCTCTTCAGTTTCTTCATCTGTTAGTTCTAGTACTTTGTCCCATCAGCTGCTCTGCTCCATCAACCGTCTGCTTACTATATTTGTAGTCATTTGCCCCGGCAGTCGCGTCTTTTTCTCAGCATCCGTGATCTGGGGCCTGCTTGGCCCGCAGCGGATGTTCAGTCCTGGCCAAACCTACTCCGCGCTGCTATGGTTCTTCCCGGTGGGTGTTGCTCTGTCGGTCATCCTGCACTTTGCCGCAAAACGCTGGCCGAAATCTCCGCTCAAGTACGCTATAGCGCCCGTCATTCTAGGAGGTAGCTCAAGCATTCCCCCGGCGTCGCCGATGAATTACCTGGCATAGGGTGTTGTTGGCTTCGTGTTCCAATGGTATATTCGGACTAGGCATCTGAAATGGTGGTTCCGTCTGAACTACATTACGGCCGTAGCACTAGGAACTGGACTGGCGTTGAGCACGCTGACAATCTTCGTAATCTTTACGCTCAATCGGATTAATGGACTACACTGGTGGTATGTAAATATCTGAGAAATTTTTCATGGTATATGAACTTGAAAAGGGCTGATCTGAGATGATTGAAACCGTAGGGGTAACACTGCGATCCACACAGCCAAGGATGTCGCGGATACTGCCGTTCAAGCCAAAGTCGCACCCGGTGATACTTTTGACCCGAAGGAATGGTAATTATTAGGTGATAAGATGGACTTCCCTACTCCCAAGACTCTCTCTGTCTCTCTCTCTCTCTCTCTTGTGCTGCCGAAGTGTTCTTTATGGCGTGTAGCGTTCTTACTACTTTTAAGCACCACGTTAACTTGTGCTATTGGACTTTTGTACGCTGTCTTATCTTATCGAATACTCGCGGTTGAGAAGCCGCATTCCCTCAAACTTTATGCCCCGTCTTCTGCACAGCTCTCTTGTAACTATCCGTCGCCTCACAATCCTTCAACCACTGCTCTACCTTCGGCCACGTCCTCCCCTGCGTCCCCAGCTCCCTTTTTAGAATAAAAACTATCGAAATATGCATCATAATATCCGCCGCCGTCACTTCCTTGCCGAGCAAAAACTTTCCATTGCTCTGCCCCAACTCAGCCTCCAGCCAATCGACGTCATTCTGCACGTTCCCGGACATCTTCTTCTCCATCTCCTTTAGAGCCCCATTCGACTTCCCCGGCTCCGGGATGGTCGAGCGCGCAGAAGAAATCGCAAGCGCGTGGAGTATAAATGTGGCTTCAGACGCGTGGATCCATTGTTGGACTTTGATGCGATCGACCTCGTAGGCAGGATGTGGGATCAAGCGGGCTTGTTTGTCGTATTTCTCGCAGAGATATCTGGGCTAGTGCATTAGTCTTCTCCCAATAATAGAAAAACCTGATGCCCACTCAGTGATAGCCCCGCTTTCGTAGATCGTAAGAGGACCGTCTTGCAGCGTGGGTGCTTTGCCTAGTGGGTTGCCGGACCCGCTTTTTAATGCTTGAGGTGCTATTCCGTTTTCGCGGTCAAAGAACTTGACGTCGTAGTCGAGATGCAACTCTTCGAGAAGCCACGCGATTCGAATGCAACGGGAGGCTTGGAGGAACCAGAGGGTGATTGGGGGCATTTTCGTGTTGCGGTACCTGTCAAATCTCACTTGGAAGCTTCTTGAGAGGTGTTGCAAGTTTCCACTGTCTCGGAAGCGGTTGTGCTGAACTCTGCGACTTTTATACAAAGCATGAACTTTAGGCAGCAGTTTCGTTGATTGGTCACGATTGAGATCACGCGTAATTACAGGCAAGAGCAAGGTCAGATACCGCCGGGTTTTTGTACCCTTGTAGGATCGACCGTAACTTGCCGCGGGGACGAGAGGGAGCGGAACGGAGATTCACCCGCTGCCGCGTCGAATAGTCGCGCATGATGAGGCGGTCTAACTACGGCTTGTGCTGACGCTTGCAGGAGAACCGGCGGCGGGCTTCCACGGCGGCGGGCTTCCGTCGACGAAACCGGCAGCTTGGTGTCCCGTTCGTAGGCGAGGACCTTACTTTGTAGTAGCCTTATTTGCGGCCTTGGCAGTCTAGCTATTATTATACGGCACGTGATACCCTTTGTGCAGAAAGGAGCACAGTCGTCCCTCGAAGCTCACCATTAGCATCCACTACAAGCACCAGCAAAAGGAGGAACTTGCGCAATAGCGAGGATATCCTTCCTTCTATACGGTATTGTGCTACTTTCAAAAAAATATTTACGTGATGCTAATGCTATCCAAAAGAACAGACTCCCCGATTCCTCAAAGAGCGCCCCTTCGTCTCCCCGCGACCTGTCCTCCCCGCGACTTCCCCCAAGGATCCCACCCCTACGCCATGAATCTTGATCACGGCAGTATGGGGGAAGTCGTAGCGAAAGCCCTGCTCCCAGGAGCACGTCTTGTTGGCGGCCTTGATATCCGTCCGCTTCGTGTGGTGGTAGGTGCGGACTACGCTTGCTGTGGCGTAGGCCGGCGTGCTCGGTCTGGAGATTGGGTCTGCTCGGCACCACGGCGTCGTGGGCCTGATGGTGATTTCACCTTGATACCGGCGAACCGACTTGCCTTAGACACACTCTGTGGGTGAATTTGGCGGAGTGGCCTATCAATTTTGGTACGCCGAGACTTTGTCTCGGGACGCTTCGACGCCTGTGAAGTGCTGCTCTGCAAGATGACGTCTAACTTCTGGATAGAAGGCTCGGGTTCTGGAGCCTTGGGCTTCTGGGTCTGCATGTTCCGTGTGTTCCGCTCCTTCGACTTGGCCTTGGCCTTCGTGACTCTGACCTTGCCGAGGACCGAAGGGCCGTCTATTTGTTTGGTCCGGCGTTCACGATTCACGAGTGGAGGTCCTTCGGGCGGCCTTTGTTGCGGCAGCCTGATCCTCATGATCTTCTTTAATGGGTGTCGGATGCCCTGGATCCATCGCTAGTCGCCGCTGCTCGATCCAGGGCGCAATGACCACGTTTCAGAGACTCGCGGCCACGAAGACTCACAGCGGATATTCCGAACATCGAGAACGGGCGTGTGCTTCAGATGCGCCGCGAAACGCAACCAAATATTGAACGAACTAAATCAAGGCCAATAAAAGCGCGCAAATTCGAGGTGACGTAAACCGCAAAGAAAGCGAGAAGTCCACCGCATAAAATGGAATGGAACGAAAGAAATGAAAGGCAGTCGAAGACCAGACCTGTTCGCACCGATCACTCGTAAGTTGTGGCGCGATAGCCGTATCTCTGATATACGAAGTGAGTTCCGTTAATACGTGTCCTCGAAAACGCAATAAAACATTAGCAAACTGGCCGCAAAAAAAGCAAAATGGAAACGAAATAAAGCATCAAGGCTCAGGAAGCGCAAAAAGGCGAAAGCGAGATACATAAAGATTCCGAAGAGCGGAGGATGATATCTTTAACATCTGCTCAAGAATATCGCATCCATAACTCGTCTCGAGACAAACAAGAGAACCCACAATGAGCAGGTCCAGTGGTAAGTACTCCCTTCCTGCATGGCTTCTCTAGTGTCCACCAACTGAACCTTCGATTTTCCAGAGTCTCGGGCCATGGAGATGGCATCCGTGTTGTCAAATGTCCTACAAGCATTGCTCCAACTCTTCATTCTGTTGCTGTTATACTGCTCCCGGCGCCAACAGGCTCGCAGTGGCGACGGAGGTGTGTATCCGCTTTCCGTGGTCCAGCAAGACGCTAACGAGATGTAGGAATCCCTGCCATTTGACCGAAATAGCCAGAAACCCTTTTAAGGTGAAAAGGGAAAATGTAGGAGTGGAAGCGAAGCGATTGGATTTGTGTTCATTTCTAGATCTTTGGTTTTCGATGAGGAGAGCAAAGATTTCGGGCCAAGATTCTAGCGGAGATAAGAGATTAGAAGGATCAGTACTCTGCGATTCAAGGCTATGTCACGGATAGAAACGACGCTAGCCTGATTTCGACCTTCGAGATTATTACATCCTATGCGAATTCTAGTTGCGGTGTTGGGGGACTTCAAACAGCGTCAGAACAGGAGCAGACGACAGCTATCAAGTCTGGCGCTTCTGCATGTACTATCGTGCCTAAAGGAACGACCCACCATTGACCTTCGGCTTCACCACCGCCCCCTTCATGTGCCCGGCAGCCAACGTTTCCTCCCTCAGAAGCCACAAAAGCCCCACCGCAGCCCCCGGCCCTGCCACAAATGTGACAAGAAGCATCGCAAGCCCCAGCCGCAACCAGTCCCAGTGCAGCATCTCCGCCTCCTTCAAGTCCCGGAAGAGGAGTCCCAGCCACGCAAAGGCAGACGCAAAGGCAAATACTTCGTCCAACTGTAGGAACAAGCGCCAGCCCTCCACGTAGCTTGCCGTGGCCATGTACGTCAAAGGTTGTGCCAAGAATGCCGAAGAGGGCACGAAGAGGTCGCGAGCGCCGTAGCCGGACGTGAAGCGCACATAGTTGAAAATTACGGCCGCAATGGTGCTGCAAGTCAGTATGGCCCACCGGACGTGCTTCAAGTCAGCCTTTGGGTTGGTGTAGCGGGCTACTTTCGTCGTATCTTCGATGCAAAGCGCCATGGTTTCCCAATGCGTCACCGCCAGAACAAGTGGGAAGATTTGCCAGATCGAGTTTGCTTGGAGACGCAGAGCCCACGACGAGGCGAAGTACTGCAGGTATTGTGGGATCCCATATGCCGCAATGAGGGATGCGAGCGCGGTGCTAGCGTACGCGACGTTGATCATCCGGGAGTCTTTGGCGATGAATTGCTCGAGTGGGGACTGGACGTAATGGAGGAAGAAGTACACGGGACCTGTGGCGCCGAGGCCGTAGAGTTGGGCTAAAATAGCGAAGATGACGGGGAAGCGGGCGCAGGCGAGGGCGTTGGCGCGGCGGTAGCTTTCCAAGACCCAGATCAGGAAGATAGGCATTGCGTCTGTGAGGAAAGCGAGCGATTGGTAATATGAGATCTTGTCGATTCCGAGCAGAGAGGGCGAGAATGTCGAAACGAAGAACTTGAGAAAGTTGTCGCAGCTTGTGAAAGGCCCGCAGTAAGATTTAGAGAAGGCAACGGAGGAACTGGCGAATTCCAGATAATTGCCTTTTAGTGGGTGCTGCGCTTTGAAAGTCGATCCTGCTTGAATAACGTTAAAGAGATAGAGACAGGCGAAGCCGAGAAGCAGTAGCGGGAACGCAATTATGGCGCGTTGTTGTCGACTCTGTTCTTTGCCTACACCATAGTTCTGGTTGAAGTTGGCGAAGCCCGAGTATGAGCGTTCGGGGTCCGGTACGGTTTCAAGCTTTTCAGCTCCAACGGTACTGAAGGATATCCGATTCAGCAGGAAATCACCAGAATTGGGTAGTATGTTGAGCATGAGGAGCTTTGCTTTGAAGTCTTGGAGGGCTTCAAGCTTGGTCAAGGCGTTCGAAGCCGTAGTCGCAGCTGCAGCTCTCGCCCTACGCTTGTTTTGCACGATGGTGAGACTTGGCTCGAGATCTATGAAGGTGGGGCGCCGAGGTATAGACTCGAAGGATCTAGTTCGCTCTTTGTGGACAAGACGACCTATCATTTGTTGCAAGACATTTACCAGGGCAACGCAACTCTCTATAGCCTGTGATCCTCCTAGGCCGGCATTTGGCGTAGCCTAAGGTATCAGTCAGTCTGAAGTTCTAAACTATAATGAGAAGGTGCTAAGCATATGACTTAACCTTATGAACGGAATCTCCGATGCAAATGAGCCGGCCCCAGGACCAATGCTCTAGAAAATATTCTTCAACACAGGCTAAGGAATAGCTAGTCCGCTTGTCCCAAAGATCGGCCAGGACGATTCCATCCGTGTAACGCCAGTTAGCATGCTTGGCGACATGCCTCTTGGTATCCTCTTTAGTGTACTTTGGAATATTAGGGGCATGGTAGGTGCTGTCGAGCTTCGTGAAGAAGAACCAGTGAACTTTGTCGTCTTTTCCGGCTAACAAGATTCCAGACGAGCCTTCGGCGTATATCCTGTGAAATGTGCCTGGCGTGACGCCTTTGACACCCTTAGAAATGCCGAAGAGGCAGTTGTACTCGGCCTTGATACCTGCAGACTGTGAGCCTGCTGTGCTATATTGTGAACACCGGAGGGATACGAACTATTCTGCTCCTCTTGGCTGATGGTTCCAGGCTTAAATGAGTTCGCGTATCTCCACATCTCTTGTCGCACTATGCTGTGGACGCCATCTGCGCCAACCACAACGTCACCGGAGACGACACTTCCATCATCGCAGAAAACCTTGACCCCGTCGGACTCGTCATGATGGATCTGGACAACCCGCTTGCCAGTCCGTACCTTAGACCGGTCCTCGAGACCACCGTAGAGAATTTGAAGCAAGATCTGGCGATCGAAGCAACAGACGTCATATCCCCATCTACAGAAATATGAGCCGTTGTTCCGGAAGACATACTCTCCGATTCAGTACATACCTGGCTTTAGAAAGCTTGTAAGAGTCATCGCTGGCGAAGCATTTCCCGTCCTTCCAATGATTCTGAGTATTGATCGGTTCGTAGTGTTCCAGGATTTGATCGCAAAGCGACAATTGATCCATGATGCGGAGAGCGGATGGTCCTAAGCAGACGGATGCTCCGATCTGCGGTGCGATCTTATCGCGAGCTTCAAGAACGACGTAGTCAATTCCTGCCTTTTGCAGGCAGTTGGCGAGGGTCACACCGGCAATTCCACCTCCTACGACGATGACCTTGAATATGTGATCGAGAGTCTCCTCCATGATGACCATGATCGAGCGCAATGGGCCTACTGCGGCGAGCACTTGAAAAGGGTTTGTAGAGGATGTAAGAATTCTTGAATAGGCGCATGCACGGAGCTGAGGGTGACCACGCTACCAAGACGCACGCTCGAAAAGGGGTTTTCGAAGATGTAGGAGAAGGTAAGTTGAGGTTGGAGGAGATTGGACGATAAAACATTGCGAATGGCCAAGGGCGCTAGCCCAGTTAGAGCAAACAGCCAAGCCACCCCCTCCATCAGGTCCAGGGCTGGAGGCATCTCACGCACAGATGATTGGTAAACACTCAGATTACCTTTCGAGGAGCTATCAAGCTTGTCTACTATTCCTACCAACCATATGCCATTGGAAAGGCCAGTAATATTGCATGGCCTGATTGTGGAGGCTTACAAGAGCATGGATTGCAATACGTTGCTCCAACTCCATGCAGTCAACCGGCACTACAGCTTGCATCTCCACCCTTCAGTGTTGCCCCTTCCTTCCTCTCGTCACCACCGTGCTTCCATAACAGTATTATCGTGAGGTATTCGTGCCAGGACAGGTAGCAGAGACCGTTCCCTTAAGTGAAGCTGGTCTACACGTCGCTTTCGGGAGTTGCGAGGGCTGTGACTGATTGAGCAAGGGATGGTGGTATGCGGGCCTGCGAAGGCAGTGGTATTGGAGGACCTCAGGCGCTGGAATTCTAAGAAGCTGGCGATGAGTCTGTGAGTAGGGGGTATGCTGTTTGCAGGGAGGAGTCGTAGGAGATGACAGAAGGTCGGAACGGAATAAATGAGAACGAGGCAACTAGCGGTCTGCGCCTGCGCCTCTCAATCCCCGCCTGCGCCTCACGACAACCTTAGCATCAACCTTGAAATCAAGCATCAATGTCCATCGATAGCCATCTAACTGTTTATCAAAGACGAGCTGGCAAAAATTTCAGCGCAAGGAAGAATCAAGATGATACAATGGTAAGATGCAACATGTCAAACCGCTGGACGTCTGCTGATCTCGATCTGCTAGAAACCTCCAGGAGTACTTATGCCTCCTCATCCTCGCTACAATTTCGTTTGCATGTTTCCGTGAACAAGATGTCGAAGAAACGTTTCCTGGGAAGGTTTGGGTCTGTCTCGGAAACTGTAGATTCAAGCAGCGCTTCTACTTCGTCCAGAGAACAGCCTGTCGCAAAGAAAACGGACCAGAAGGAAGACGTTGAAGTGGAGTTGCCAGCGGTGATTATCTTCCCGCTACTATAGCGATAGAAGGGTAGTATTTCTTATTTTGTATTCTAGGAAACTGCATACGAGTCGCCCACTGGAACACCGTACACCTATTCTCCGTTACCCTCGGAAGATGGCCGAGACCATATACGTATACTGGAGTTACTCCCTGGGAACCACTTAGATGACATTTATTGCCGCTTGATTCAGTGCTCCCTTGGCTCTCGTCCTGACTATGAGGCATTATCTTACGTTTAGGGAAATGCCGCAAACCCCCTTCCAATATGTGTCGATGAAGGCATCCTGGATGTGACACAGAACCTACGCTCGGCGCTACGTCATCTTCGGAGTCCTTTGGAGAGGCGCACGCTTTGGGTAGATGCCGTTTGCATTGACCAAACGAATCTAGATGAGCGGGCTCGAGAAGTGGGCATCATGAACAAAATCTACCAGCAAACCACTCGAGCGGTCGTATGGCTTGGACCCCATGCTCGATCGCCTGAGCTGGCCTTCTTAAATGGATTTAGAAAGTTCGCCCACCAAACCAAACACGAGTGTCAACATATATCGGCCAAAGAAGTCACACGACACGGAAATGAGACTCACAGAAGCCGCAAACGAGGCTGTCGACTTCTTGGTTCTCCAACACTGGTTTGAACGAGTATGGGTTATCCAAGATATAGCTCTACCGGACGATGCATGCATCATGTGCGGACCGAGAGAGATAGAGTGGAAAACCTTCGCCAGCAGAATCGAGAATGGCTTGCGAAGGGGCCTGTTTCAGACTTCTATGTTCGGCTTTGTCGATGCTGATAACTTCCATAACTTTCGCGCTGTGGCGTCGATACATGCAAGAGATACAAGCCGTCCGCCGGCCCAACAGTTACTTGATCTTCTTATCCAATTTCGCATACGGGATGCGACGGATCCAAGAGACAAAGTGTTTTCTTTACTAGGCCTAGTTTCCGACGTCGAAGAACTCGGCTTGACCCCGGACTGTCGTGCTTCTGCCGCCAGCCTTTACTGTAAGACAGCGATCAGTATACTCTCGCGCTCGACTTGCCTTGATTTATTTGGACTAGCTGTTACAAGCTCGAAATCAGATCTCGGCCAAAGTCTACCATCTTGGGTTGCGGATTGGAGCTTCACTAAAAGCATACCGAAGCCGTTCATGCTGGATGCACGAGGTGAACCGAGGCTAACAAGCACATCTTGGAACACCACTGCATCCATCAAATTTCCTGATATGGACACTGCTGTAATTTCCGGTCATTTTGTGGACACTATCGCGTCTGTGAGTGATCCTCTCATTGACCTACATGACGATGGCAATTGGTTCGTAGACGACGACTTCTTCGCAAAGACCGAGCAGCTGGAGAACCCCGAACATACCAGCCTACGCGGGATATATCGCACCGTCCGAAATTCTGCAGGTGCTGTCAAATTTACCCTCGGGGAGATCTTCCGCGTCGTGGACCAAATTGAAGTCTTCCTACGATGGGAAAACCTGGCACAAGCTGGCGACAAGAATGGCCCGACCACAACGCGGACTCGCGAAGAACATATGGCTATCTACTGGCAAACGCTTTGTACGGGGACCATGCCAGACGGGTACGATACTACGGAAGAATTGTTTCGGGCGTGGTACAATTCCTTGGCCTCCGTCAGGCGATTGACTAAAATGAGAGTCAACACTGTACGAAGACTCTTCAGACCGCTAGCCTTCATGGGCTACATGATATCGACGCTGAAGCTGAATGAGAAATTCGCATCAGAGTTGATGACCCACGCAAACCAGAGACGAATGGCAAGGACGAAGAAAGGCTACCTTTGCTTCATACCTGCAAAATCTGAAGCTGGCGACTCCGTGGCATTGTGCAAAGGGGGAAGAGTGCCACTCATTCTGAGAAAAGAGGACTTGCATTGGAAACTCGTAGGAGAGAGCTATATACACGGCTTGATGGATGGGAAAGCCTTCCGCGAAGACGCGTGTGCGTACATATCGATACAGTGGAAGGCCTGCGGCGAGGGCAGAGCGTTCGAATTCACACCCAGTCTTTGTTCTCTAAGACACCAGTGAGCTTTCACCACAATGATGCCTGGGAAAACAATAGCGGCGAACCAGGCCAAAGGATTCACTGTACGGCGTCGGCTGCTGGCCTATTTATACCTGTAAACACTGCTCACTGCTTTCAAAAGTACTCATATTCACAACACTCTACACACCACCATACCACTCCAGTTTTCGTTACACACTATCACTAGCGTAAGCATCAAACTCGTCAACAACAAACAAACGCTAAGGGAGTTAGTAAACACTTTGACGTCTATAGTCGCCATCATACACCAGCATGAGCTCCGTTGGCCGGTCTGCTACTCGTGAGCAGCGCACTGAAGCAGGAATTCGGGTGATCATGGTGAGAAAGGAAAAGGTCGGCTCGACGACTCCGGAGGGCAGCCCTCCTTCCAATAGACTAGAATACTCCAAGGACGGCCCTACATCAGTACCGGCGAAGCAGCCATCCGAAGTTAGCCCAGATCGAGGACCTCTAGGACCTTTTCCAAAAGATATTCACCCCCCTAAACAGCCACCCTTACCACAAATAACCCGGGGATCTCCGAGACCGCTACCAAAGAACAATCATCACCCCAAACTGCCACCCCTACCACCTAAACACCGCCACGACCAAGTATTTCTTGGCACAGAAAGCGGAAGAATATTCAAACCATTTCCTGATGAAAAATTCAAGATGAATGGGAAGCTAGTGATTACAAAGGAGAAGAAGCGACTGGTGACGCAGGACACTTTGACTCCCTTGAAGGAACGGTACAAGGGTAACTTCTGGGACCTCACAGCGGATGAGAAAGAGGTGTTGCGGAGGAAGCCTCTTCATCCGAATCCTAATGGATTCACGAACAGCTTCATCGCTGCCACTTTCGCAGCGCCTGGGCCATCCAAAGAGGAAGAGAGGCTCACCAACGGTGCTAATGACATGAAACGCGGCCACACAAGGCCCAATACCCACCGGGTTTGGCCTTCGCCTAGACCTGCCTCCAAAGAGCGTTCGATTCCGGAAGACAAGAAGCGCAAGCGGGTCCATACATCCAGCAGCGACAGCGAAGATGCGGATGCCGAAATGAACCCATCTCCTCTGAAGAAGCCTCGCATCCAGTTAGTCTTGTATCTAGTGGTCGCGATTATGGCCAACTAATTACGTACAGTACAAACATGGCGTCTCGGCCCATTCGTCCCCCGCAGTCCAGAAACACGGTCACATCGAGTAAGATGGCCAAACCAGTCACGAAGACCACGACGGAATTAACCCAGCCTGAACCTTCCCAGAAAGCGCCTCTCAGACATGTAGCATCAGCCGCTTTAGCTAGCGGTTCTGCGAACGCTGTGAACACGGACGATTCGGTGGATAGGCAGAACTCGGACATCGCTGAAGTAGAGAACACGCACGAACCGACCGAATCCACCGAGGCACCCAAGGCAAAAATCCAGAAGAAGTTCATTTTCTCTTCCTTTGCTGGAGTCGCCTCCACGGTATTCACCTTCTGCACGACATTCGTCCCGAGCACCCACTTCCCGTTCGTCCAGACCCGCACAACCCGTGCGACCCGCGCCCATCATCTTGCCGCCGAGGCAGCCAAATCGCGCAAGGCCAAAAAGATTACTCGCAATCTATCTGCTTTGGCCGCCCTCGCCGAGGAGGCCAACGCCAGGGCCGAGGAAAAGAAGCAGCTGCAGGTACTGGACGCAGCCTTGGACAGCGTCTTACAGCAAGCTCGTCTATACGGCGTCAGTGACGGCGAGGTAATCGATCGACTGCAGAAGAGGAGCGTGGTGTTGCGGAAGAGGGAGCTAGGAGTGCTGGGAACGACCAGGAATTGGGTAGGCAAGCAGATGCTCAAGAAGGCGGACCAGCTCGATCGGCAGAGGGATAAGCTGTTGTACGGATAGGTGCGGCTGTATCAGGTAGTGTTTACTAGCTATCTGGCTTGACTTTGGTGAATGGTCCTGGAGTCCTTGGAATTGTATATCGTTGGGAAAAACGTTTCAACCATAGAGCTGATCCAAGATGAGTTGCGTTCACTATCTTCAATCACTGGTACAGTACCAGGACACAAGTATGAGCACGCCGTCTTTTCCATCTTTTCCAAATCATAATGATATGTTGGAGCACCACAAACAGCGGCAAGTAGGCGGCTTGTTATCGTGTGAATTCTCTCAGATTCAAGCTCTCAGGGCTTTGACATATTATCGCCAAGTTTTCAATGTGCCGAAACACCTCTAACCGTGGTGAGGAAATGCGCATAGAGTTTTGGCAAGGCGCTGTATAGTCAACCAGTAAGTAATCTAGACTTCTAATCAAGACTCTCATGCTATCACATTTGCTCTACTTCTAGAAGGTTTGAAGTCCACATTCACGCTCCATCATGTCGTAGTTCTACTCTTCCAGTCGTCTGATATCAAGGCAATCCCAGAAACATTTCATTCCAAGTGCTATCATATAGTCAAAATATCCCGGAAACACCACAAAACCCTATTTCAGCCTCACATCTCAACATACTTAGCACAATCTCTAAATATTCGAAGCTCACCACCACTTTGCAAGATCCCACGCTTCAATTCAGGCGTTGCTGTAATCATGATTGCAATTCAAAGTCTATTCCAGCTCTATCATCCTCTAAACCCCGAATCTGAACTCCATACCGAGGATTCCTTCCGCAATAAATCCCACAGGCCCAAGGACCCCAGACACCGCCAACCCGCCTCCAAAACCCCTCTCTCGCGGCGCAAATTCCCAGTCCCTAGACCAACCCCCCTACCACGGCCACGCATTACGGATGCCCACTACTATCAAAAGAACTCCCAGAAGGCCCCGGATAACCTGGAGCACCGGTACGCTCCCAAAGTACAAATGCGCGTTCAACAGCAGCGAGAGCGCCAAAACTACCCCAACAACCTGCGCAACCGTGACGTGAACAGCCACAAAGCCCTCGAAATCCTCCTCCGCCTCCTCCTCCACGCGGGCCTGCTCCTCCACATCCAGGTACAGCCGCAGCGTCCTCCCAATCCGCTCCAACGTTTCGCTGGCAGTCATACCATTCATGACGCCATGGCCGACGGCAAGGTGCACACGCAGGTCGATAGTGTCCTGCAGGCTCGCCGCGACGGGCTCCAGGTCCTCGAAGTCGCCGGCGGGGTCGCGTGCCATGTGGCGGAAGGAGCGGTTCTCGGCTTGGGTGAGGATGGTGATGATGAGGGCGTGCAGGTCGGAGATTGTGCCCGTGGCGGTCTGGTTCTCGACGTCGCGGGAGACGGTGGCGTACACGGGGTAGGTGCGCTTGAGCTCGGCGAGGCGTTGTTGGACCATGAAGGCCACCGTGTCGTTCTGCGGCTCGGAGGCGGCGGGGGACGGGGTGCGGGTGGTGTAGGACATGGTGGTGTGTGGGTGGGTGGTGTGGTTGAAGCTAAAAGGGGTGTTAGAGGATGTGGTGGGCTGAGGACTGGGTCTGATTGGAGTGATAGGGCAAGCACTTACTTTGAGAAGTTGGTGTTTGGCTGAAGAAGAAGTTTGGCTGGAGAAGCGGGCTTGGAGGTAGTGGACGCACAGGTTTGTTGGCCGAGGAAGAGCCGGCGAGGTAGTGTGGCGGAGTGAAGGTATGTGATGGTTGTTTTGCTGGGAGGGTCTGGACCAGGAAAGGAAGGGAGCTCTAAGTACTGGACTCTGGATTGCTATTCATTTACATCCTAGAGTTTTTTACGTTCTCGCCGGCCAGGGGCGGCAAGTTGGACACACTGGTGAACTATAAGGGCGGAGAGCGGACAGTTTTACTGGTATGTTTACGTTCACTTCAGCTCTGAGGACTCGCTAACATAGCTACTGATACGCCAATGACGATTAAAAGACAGCCAAACGTATATATAAGCTCAGTGAGAGCAATAATGCCGGTTTGATAGAGATTGTATTGGTATAAAAGTTGAATACAGAACGGACAAGAAGAAACATCGGAACCGTCTCTAGACCCTGACGACCCTAGACTACCACTAATCTATCCCCACAGAGCTCCGAACCTAGAAAGAACTCGAACTGCGTTCTTTGAGTCGCCCGTTAGCCGCGGGCCGGCAGACGAATATCTCGCTTCTCGGGCTTCCGTTTTGCGCGTTTAATAGCACTGTCATGAGGACCCCACCCCTGAGCCAGAACTTCTGCACTAGTTGCTCATGAGGAGGCGATCGATCAAGGCGTAAAGGTCAGAGACTGTTCCAGTGGCCGTGCCATTGGCCACCTTGTCGGCGACTGTGTTATAGACTGTTGAAATCCGCCTCAAGTTGTGGTGACGCTAAGTTAAGATATGTCATCGTGTCGTTCTCGGTCCATGGTGGAGTGGTGACGGATGCGTCGCCTTCGATATCTGGTGTAGCTGGCCCCGAGTCTTCTGCTAGCTCTTGTAGTGCCCGTTCTCTCCATGTTCCGTTTTCGTTTTCGATGAGCAGGCGGTCGATCAAGGCGTGCAGCTCCGTTAGTGGGCTTCTAGCTATACCCCATTCCACTTCTCTGGCGACCGTGGGATAGCCAGGGTCAGTCTGCTTGAGCTCCTGGCGCCGCTGGTCGATGACGGAGGCCACTGCCTCGTTGACAGGCTGGGAGGGAAGAATTCGCATGTGTAGTGCTAGACGTTTTGCGCAGCGGGAAGTGGGGCTAGACGGAGCTATTAGCAGGAGGAGATAGGTTAGAGGCCAGCCGTTTAGTGAACTAAATATAAGACGTACCTTGGGCACTTGGAGCGAAGTTGAGTGTGGATGGAATGAGGCCTGAACCAAGGTTTGAAGTTCTTGTTGCTCTACAAGGGGCCGGGGTGATGGTGCTGTGGCAAGGTGGGTGTTGCTCTGCCGAGAAACCCAGAGGCTGGAAACTCGAAAGCATTTTATATATGCAGTTATGGACTGCTAGGTATTCATTGCTTAGGCTTTGTTTATATGTTCGCTAGCCAACGGGGACGGCTTCGAGCTATTGGTGAGACCGTAATGGGGGGAGTGGCCTCGCAAGTGTGTATACGTTCACCTCCGCGGTAGGATCTTGCTGATGTTGCTCTATTGTACGCAGGTACGATGACGGACCGACATTGAGAAGCAGATGTATAGCAAGTCTAAAGCACTCTGACATGAGTTTGGAAATTCCTTGGATCTGCTTGGGCTATCTTGGCAGGGTTTTAAAACTCTAGACACGATGTAAAACTTCCCGCAATGGAAATTGGGCTTCTGTTTGACTGGCTGAAGGCGTGCTGGCTGGGGTACTCCTTGCAGTGGCATCTGGACAGCAAGATAGTAGCCTGAGTATATCCATTAATCGTTGACCGGCTTTTAGGACTTCAGAGACAACGAGGAACTCCCTGCAGTGGAAATTGGGCTAATGTTTGACTGGCTGAAGGCGTACTGGCTGGAGCACTCCTGCCGGTGGCATTTAGACATCAAAGTAGAGCCTGAGTGTATTCGATTACCGCTCACAAGCTTTGAAACTCCAGATACGATGCAAGATTCCATATAGTGGAAATTTGACTACCGTTTGACTGATCGAAGACGTGCCAGCTGGGGTTTTCCTTACATTGGCAGCTAGACAGCAAGAGAAGAGTCGAAGTAAATCTATTCATCGCTACTGGGCATTCAGAACTCCAGATACAATGAGAAAATATATACAGTGGAGATGGGGCTACCATTTGACTGAGCGAAGATGTGCCAGCTAGGGCACTCCTCGCTGTGGTGTCGAGCGAGCAAGAGTGCCCCCCGAGCGGTGAGATGTCTGTTTCCATATGCCGTAGTGCGTAGTGCGCTGGAAAAAATCCGGAGGCTGGTCCTGAGTTGTAATGATTGCAGGTATTTGAGAAGACGTAAAGAAAAATAGAATTAGGCCAGGCTGCTAGACACCGTGTCGGGGCCAGACGTCTTTACCCATAGGCTGCCAAAGAGCTTTGTTGGTCGTTTGTAAATGCTCCAAAGGCGGTTTGCTTTTCGGCTTGCCTCCGGTAAAGCCAACCTCTCTCTGGTGCAATCTGTAGGGTCAGTCTTTATCGTACGAGGACAAAGGTTTGTGCACTCTATCTACCCCAAGTTACGAGCCCTCTTGCTGGATTCCGCCAACCTTTTAAAGCACCCCAAACAACAGCGATGTAGTTCGATCAGAAGCCTTGAATACTGGTCAAATTTGAACTCTCTAAACTTTTCTATTTCGTCCCCATCTTTAGTAAAGCACGAAGGTACCTCCAACGGTGGCGAGCATGTATCACAGATCTCTGTCTAGCACGCTATATCTACACCGATGTATCAAACCTAGAAGTATCAAGGGACCCTACCAATGCTGCCGCTAGCCGCAGGCACAACTCTTAGCCGAAATGCAGACACACCCAGGTCCGAAACAGACATATCAGAACACGCGTAGTGTTCCAACGCTCAAACTCTCCGCAGCATGCCTCCCACATAGCGTTGAGAACCGTCTGCTCATCTAGTGGCAATTGCCTCGCTGCATATCCGATACGGTGGATCGCGTCTTCCAGCTGCTGGACCTCGTCGCTCGGCTCGACGATCCGACGACGCACGGCGACGTGAGCGATGGTAGTCATCACGACACTGAACGTCATGCCGTCGCTAAGGATTGCCGTCTTGACCAGATTGGCGATCCCAAGCTTTACCCGTTCAACCTTCTTCTTGTGCCGAATACACCACTGGACGAATGCCTCGTGCCAGGCTAGAGAGTTCAGTTCTCTAGTGTTCAGATGATCTCCTCTTTCTTCTTTAAACTTTAGGATTGCGTAGTATGGACTTTTGGCGCCATGTTCTACCACAGTTTCCGTGGCCAGTTGATTTTGGATATGTAGGGGAATCATCAGGGGCAGAGGCGTGAGTTCAGACAGTTGCGTGAGATAAAGAACCCGGTCCATTGTGGGTGATTTGAGAATTCTGGTTACACATTGTGAGCTGATTTTGTTTTATGATTGGAAGCGGCATAGAACTATGCGAGGCTGCGGACCTGTCGAAGTGGGTTGGATTTATATACGTTATTGAAGCCTGACAAAGCTGGTCCTCCGTGAAGGCTAAGAGTCTATTAGCAGCCAATCTTGATACAAAAGGCGGCAGGTCAGGCACCTGCTTCCGGTGTATAGTCGAATTCAGCAACAGCCAGGGACGGAAGTTCCACGCGTAGAAAAAGGTAGGAGTGGCGGCGAAGGTGTTGAGGGCGGTCGAAATTAGATCACATAAAGACTCGAAGCGTGCGCGATGGGTGATACTACACGTATACTGCTAGGGGAAAGGATGAAGATCGGCGTTACAGAAGTAGGGCACAGTCTTGCGCTGTTTCTGTTGATCGCTAGGTAAGTGACGGAAGTGCCAAGCCAACTCCGACCATTGTGATATCGCGAAACTGGGCCGCCTACATGCCACTGATGGAGCGCAAACCTAGGAGCCGTGTTTTAAATGCCATGTGAGTTAACCCCTGGGGCATATTCGCTTCCCTGCATCCAGAGTCTGTGTCGCAATCCATCACTGCCGGCTGAAAACCTCCAAACAAGCCCTCCGACACCGCCAACATGTCTCCGACGAAGCGACCATGAGGAACATCTACCACTGCTATAGCAGTATCTATAGATCATGATCTGAGCGACGATATAGGCACCGACCTAAGGGCTCTCTGCTTCTACCCGCGTCTTCACCAGCAAAATCGCCGAGCCCGAGACTGCGCGCCAACACCTACCGGATTGTCTTTCGCGGAGCAGCCTCACGGCAGCAGTGAACCCTCTATAGGTTCGTCACAGCTTTCTTTGGCGCTTCCAGATACACTGGCTCAGGCGCATGCTCTTGATCTCCACCCGGTTTTTGAGATACATTACACATTGGGCAGTAGCGCAAGAGCAAGAATGGTTCATATTCAAAAGGTATATTACATGGCCAGATACCCCGTCTCGGCCTTCTCAAATCTATCTTGCAAGCCCAGATGATAGCCACATTGACCTGATGTAGTAGTCAGTGTCGTATCTGCAGCAAAGAGACCAGATATCCGCCCAAAGCCACTCCCCCAAAGCCCGATCCACCCGTAGCCACCGAAAACACCATAAACCCCTCAACTGACCAACCACACCACACTCAGCCTTGCCTGAACACCTTCTCTGGCAACGGATCCATAGCCTTAGCGGCGGGTGGCTCGCGAAACTCCACCAACGAAACGGGGGCCGAACTTTGGAGTGGGACCAGAAGTGATGGTGCCGAAGGCAGGCTGGTACGGAGTCGCGGGATCGTGTAGGGCGAATGGGGCGGGACCCTGAATGTCGGGACGACTGCGATAGCCACGGCGAGGTCTAGAAGACTTCTTAGAGCCAGGCAGAGTGGCGCCTTGACGGCGAAGCGAAGTCGTTGGTATAATGGCGGCCAGCTCCTCCCGGACCCTCATCGCGGCCGCTACGATCATCTCCTTCGCAGCCGCCTGGCCATAGCCCTTCTTGATGACCTCTTCAATCATTTCCACGACCTTGAGGTCCAGTCTAGCCCGGCTGGTGGCGTCGAGGCCAGCGTCGTAGGCCTGGGCGGAGGAAACGACGCGGCGTACCATCGCGGTGAGATGGGCGCCGGAGGAGATGATGGCGTCGTGGATATACTTGAGCATGACGAGTTTGATGGGTTCGGAAATCGACAAGTAGACGTAGTTGCAGTGGTCGATTATCCGTTGGTGCTCGTCCCAGTACTTGGCGTAGTCCTCTACGCTAGCCTGGCTACCCTCTGTCACGCGAACGACTAGCTGAGCATGCTCGACGTAGTGCTTCTTGACGTCTCCCCAGGCGCGGCCAACTGCCTGGATGACGTACTGGTTGATAGGACCAGTCCCCTCATAGCCTGGGTAGGCGGGACAGAGGGCGGAACTCAGGTTGAAATTGATGTGAACTCTGATTTCTATAGACGTCTAGCTAGTTGTATATATACTAGGGGAAGGAAGGGGGCCACCCCCAGGGTGGCGCGCTAGTAAGTTCAGATGAGCCCTGCACAGCTGAGGCTTCAGCTCGGTTCTCTACAGCTGAGATTTCAGCTGGGTTCTCTACAGCTGATGTTCGGAGAGTAGCTTTCTGGCATATGAGTTGTTGATCCTAGGTTGTAGTGCTGCAACCTGAGTGCGGACAGAAGGACACGCGCAGGCTTGACCGTAGACGTGCTCGATTCAGACTCGGAGTCGGGCTCGTCGGGGGTGGGAGAAGAACCATAGTAACGGCCCAGGCTGGCTTCGAGGTCGTAGTTGGCATCTACCCCGAGTATCCGGAGCGTGGAGGCAATCACAAGTAGGGAATGATCCTAACACAGGTTGTTAGCTTGAATGGGTAACTTGGAAGATCTTTCAATGGGCTTACCATTGTGTTGGATTTGCTGATACAACGGAAAGCGAAGAAGATCTTGGGTTGGAGTCTGATTTAGCGTTGATCTTGATCGAGGTGCGCACGATATCCGAGATCAGGTCGAAGCTATAAGATCTTGCGTTAGATGACGTCCATGTGAAGTGGAAACGGGCATGGCGTACCAGTGGAAACCCTCACGAGAAGTTGAGCTAAACTGCCGTGCTGAAACAGTGATCTTTGCCTGGTGTGATAGAATCAGAGCAAAATTTGTTGTTGGAAGAAAGTAGAGTGTAGATCTGGGGGCTAGACATGCTTAAGTACCACAGATGACAGTGGTTTCCAGAAGCCCAGACGCCATCGCGCGGGCGTTCAAGTGAAGGCTCGAGGATGAAGATTGATCGCGCCATCCAGCAGTGGCCGATAAACTGTCAAAATCAGCCGCGTGGAACGGATAGTTGCGGGTCACGTTGGTAGTCCTGCTCGGCTACTATTATTCTCCACTCCTTATAGGTCAGTGTGGCATGCATGGCTTGAAACAGCAGTTTTTTGTGCCGGCTTTGATCGGAACGCTGGTCAATGAACGCGATTGAGCTAATCTGATAAGATTTTACCATGGTGTCAGTCTATGGGATCGCTTTAATGATTTGATCGAGTTTCTTGATTCAGTTTCACTGCATGTATGTACGCCGATAGATCATGTATCTGGGCATTCGGCAGCCCTTTTAGTTTTAGATGCCTTGTTGGCATTTGAGCGGTGTTACTGAACACCTTCTCAGTCAAATAGTTGGCTAGTTATTGATATTGGAAAGAGAACTGCCGTTTAGACGCACGAAGCCTTGAATATTCCTTGGCCTTTAACACTACAAAGAAGCACGTCAACCAGCGACTAATGAGTTCATACATACCTCTGGTCAAGGTACCATACAATGAAGCCCTAAAACACAGCTGTACTACTTAGACCCTTGGAAGTCAAACTAGTTTTGAATTGAGTTGATTATTCACCCCTCTCCCCGAGGAATTTTTCATCGTTCCGCAATAGTGTTATCAGTTTCGAGTCTAGTATAGTACTAGGTCATAACTCTGGACACATAGACATCTCACTGCCCGGGCGTCAATCTTGCTCGTTCGAGACTACTGGAAGAGGTACCCTTGTGAGCCTGTCTTCAGGCGGTCAAACGGTAGCTCTATTTCCGCGGGGTTGAGTTTTCCTATCCGAATGCCCCCAGGGGAAGCAAATAGTACCCAAAACAAGGCCTAGTACTGTATATTGGTGACTCGGGATCACATCTAGCCAAATTCAGTTTATTGAAGACATATTGACGTATTTTATGCATATACTCAATGTTGGATGTGCAAAGAAAATGACTAATGAGGCCAATCTATCAAGCCACGAATAAAACCGCTAGAAGTATCCACCAAACCCCAATCTAGGTTTATGGAATGAACAAAAATACAGCTGTGTGGATGACACCCACAGCGTCTAGGCTATAATCAAATAGCGCCTTGCCATACCTGCGTTATCTAGCCTTTGCGGCTGACATTGGGTCCTCACATCCCCTACGACTTCTACGCAAACTTAAGCTCAGACCTTGACTCTCATCCGGGCTGTTCCAATACGGCATGCGGCTGCGGAGGAAAACAAGCACAACCTTATCCGTTGCGATCAAGCCGTGGACCAAACTTCTTCGCCGCCTCCCTGACCATCCCCTTGACATCGCTGCCGCTGATATTGTTCTTTGCGCCCCAGTTGACAAGCACTGAAACCATAGATCGATCAGCATCCTGGGCATCTCCTTCAATCGGCTTGCCCCTAAGCCACATCGCAGCATGTGCAATGCGGCGAACGGCTGCCTGAAGCGTGAACCCGTCTTTCACAAGCCTCTGAACGTGCGCCTCGACCATTACGTCGACGAACTGCTGGTGCTCAAAAGACTTCGTAGCGAATTGAAATACTTTTTCCATATGCTGGCTCTTCTTTGGGAAGACGCGACGATCGCTAGGGGTGGGACGACTCAGCTCCTGAGGCAGAAGATGGTTGAGTGAACCATTGCCATTGGCACGAAACTGAGATTGCGCGGCCCGGTCCTGCGACTTTCGCCCCTTTTTGGGCTCGACTGGAACAAATTTGGCCGGAGCATTCGCAATCAGAGTGCGGACTTCGTTCATATCCATGTAACCCTCGTTGCACCACTTGAGGATGTTTACGACGACGGGATCAGAATGAGCATTATTGTACGGATTTCTCCAGGCCGTGTCCCAGCGAGTAGCCGTCTCATGGATTGAGTGCGTAACCTCGTCATGCCTGAAGCCTCGCTCGATGCATATCGTGATGTAAACACGGATTGCATTTTCAAGAAGTGTGATCTCAGCGTCGGTAGCGTTGTGAAACGTGGCTTTCGCACGTTCATGGATGATCTTCTGGTACTCCTCTTCTGATAGAGAATGCCAGGCAGTCCTTACAACGTGTTCGACCACAACTGTCTCCTGCGTCTTCTGGCGTTCGGCGGGATTTTTACCACCTGTGGGAGGCTGGCCCCCAGGCACGGCACTGCCGCGCTGAGGCTGCTGCTGCTGCTGGGCGATATTCAGGGCACGGACGATGTGCTGTGCATACTGCTGAAGTTTTTCCGCACCCTGGGCGTTTGGGAAGGCGTCTGAATAATTTGCCGCGCAATAGACATTCTGGGTACCAATATTGAGTGCACCTGACGCAGATGCGTTATGGTAGTGATTGTTTTGGGGACCTTGCCCTGTATGAAATGGGCCTGGGCCAGACACCGAAACTTCTTGGTGTCCGATAATTTGGTTGCGCTGGGTACCAAGGCCTTTCTGAAAAATGGAAAGCCGCGCGGTGTACTTCTGATTCATCCAATGATTTTGGTGGTCTGGTGTGATGCCAGTATCATTGTAGGATGAGCCAAGGAGAGAGACTCGACGAGGAGGCATGTCTGAGGGGACCCGATTGGTAGACTGAGAGTATCTTGTTAGTTTTGCATAAAAGGAAGAAGAATTGCTAGAGATAAACAGAAGGAGAGCCTTACCATTGAGCCTACCCTTGGTTGTACGGATTTTCTGATGGTCTGGATGAGAGAAAGAAAGCTGAAATAAGATTTTGTAGATAGTGGAGTGGGAAATAAGGAAGTGTGAGGTGGTGTTATAAGTAGAAGTGGTGGAGCGTGTGGATTATATGAAGAAGAGTCTTTTTAGTTATGCGCAGAAAATTTGAGCCCGGTTAATACATTCACAGGAAATCGCCGCCTGCGCCTATGCCTTCAAGCAGTGAGTGTGAAACTTCGACTAGTTTCACTGGAAGTAAACGTGGTGCTCGTATATACATCCGCTGGCCCTGCTCAGGTAGTGAATCTAGTACATAATTCCCCCTATAGTACCAGATATACGTGTGCGCACTCCTGCTTGCAGTGTGGTTAGTAAGCTGTCATGGACTTTGGGGCTTAATTTTGGTCTGGATTGGCAGCTTAAGAGTAAGCATTAGGGCGGACTGGCCCGTTAGAAATCAGGATTGACTGGACGGATTAGTAGATCTCCTGCCAAGACTCCAAGAGGATAAATCTGTCAGGTAGGGGGATGATAATACAGATTAGACAATTTAAAATTGAAGAGAGCTCCGACTAATTGATTGATGGCTAATAATACATTTGAACCAACCGACCATCAACCGGAATGAGAATTGGACGGCTCACTAATCACGCTGCTTGCATGCCACTAATTCTAAAGTTCTATCAAGGTTTTTGATTGAACGCTAAACCGCCTTGAGAAAACAGATTGATTGGCAGCTCAAATCCCGCTCGAAAATGTGGCTATCTAGAGTCTTGCGTCCCATCTAACCGTCTGATATGTCTGATAATTTGCCAGAATCCATCAGACAGTGGCAAATGGTGGCACACAATGCTCTATCGGGGCACTGTATACAAACTCAGGCACGTCTGAAGAAAGCTATCTGCACTCTGGCCTCCTTTCATGGGTATCCGACGCATACCAACGAAAGCACGCACACAAGCCCCTGACTCTAGGAGAGCTTGAATGCCTCCTGTTTGATCAACGTCCTGATGTCTTTCCCTCCCCTGCCGTAGGGTTGATCCAATGCCCACTGTATAGGACCTTGTACCAAACGCTCGGCCGCATTACGGTTCTTTGGGCCTCCAGGCTGAAATTTGGTAGCTTTCTTGAGCTGGTCTTTGATCGATTCCAGCTCCTCGCCTTCTTTAGTGCGATCCCGAACATGAGATTTAATCACCTTTGCGATGTGGTTTCGATCTTGCATGCGCTTTGAGTCGCGCTGGGAGTCGTTCTCGTTCTCAAGCTTCTGCGGAAGGAGGTTTAGGGGGAGTCCTGGGGCACGCTGAGAACCTTTCTGGATAGCTGCAGAAGAGATCAATGCCTGGGCATCACCCCTATCCAACTTCTGTACCTTGCACCATTGGATCAAAGCCTCAACTTCAAGCAACGGACCAAAGAGATCAGGACTACCGGGGTAAGGACGGCCCACATTGTAGGAGCCAATAGTCTGGATGATAGTACATACAATATCTTTGACGTGGCGGCCTTGCTCGACGCCGTTCCGGATGGCAAATTCGACTATGTGGTTGATGAAGTTTACGTGCCATATGGTAGCCTTTTCAGTACCTCCACGCTTCGATTCGTTCCCAACGGCTTTGTGGCTCTGAACTATCTCTTGTGTTCGTGCCTCTGCCTGTCCTTGAGGCTGCTGGTGCTGACCCGGAGCCTGGCCCTGCAGCCACTCTGCATTGCAGCGGTCGATCAGCTCTTGGTAGATCTGTGCATATTTCGCGTAGTAGACTTGTGGAGCGACTCCATGGATAACATGATTGACTATGTTATCCACTTCCGGATCTTGAGTCTGCAGATGTTTCCATTTTTGCACAACGGCGTCGGATACCATGTAGGTAAGGGGTGCCTTGCTGCCTTGAAAAGGGTTTGGGGTTCCAGGGAAGTTGCCGCCGGCCGTAGCATTGTTGGCTTTAAAATGACCACCGCTAGAATATCCTTGCTGGTGTCCTAGATTTGCGAATGTGTCTCGTCCAGCCTGAGGCTGTGGGTACTGTGCGGGAAAAGAGGTAGAGGGAGGTACAACGAAAGCACCCATTGGAGGATTTTGATAGGCGCTTTGGTCATCATGAGCCATGTCAGGGGGAAAGTTGGGGGGCCACATGTAAAAATTGACGATATGGCCCACGTGATTGTGAACATCTGAGCTGTTATACTGGGTACCATGACCTGCGTTGGCCGGACCAGACCCCGTGTTCAGCACTCCCGGCCCAGTATTGACTACAGCTTGACGTTCGGAATGACGCGGATTGTTTTCATTGCTGTGGCCTCCGGGCATGTTGGTGGTTGGATGGTTTTTGGTAGCCTAGGAGTTCAGTTAGGCCCGTGGAAATTTGAAATATGAAGGGGAAGGTTATCTTACCATGATGTGATTCTTGAAGGTGTTGATCTAGGGGTGGTGGGAGTTGACTGGCATGTGGTATGGGGAAAGAAATGGTGTGTGGTGCGTTGTGGTGCATGTGCAGTGAGCGTGTTGATAAAACAGAAACAGTTTGTTTAAGTAGTGCAAACCTCAAGTTTGACTAACATTCACAGGAAATCGTGGCCTCATGCCCGGCGCCGGTGGCTATTGTGCCTAAAAGCAGCGACCAGTGAATCTCGACCACGCTCACACACAAAATGGCAAATTTGCATACTTATAGTTTCCCGCCCCAACTCTAAATTCAGCCTATTATCACTGCTTGGCGTGCCTCTACAAGCGCTTAAAGAACCGAAGTACGGCGTAAGAGTTGATATAGTGCAAACCAAGCTACCTCTCGACTCGCCGATCATCACCTATCTGCAATACCAAGACATACGTTTGAGCACTCCTTGCGACTGCTTAAGCTGCCCCGTTAGGCTTTAGAAACTTCAAATACGACGTGAAAATTAACGCATAGGATATTACGCTTCCTTTTGATCAACTGAAGACATGTTAGCCAAGGCACTCTTCTTTAAAGTGGCGTGAAGAGAGCAAAAGTGGAGCCGGAGCTGTAGTATGTCTGTTTGTCCAGATTTATGACCTGTTATTGTAGGATTCTTCTCGCAAAAAAACCCGAACAATGCCATATTCGTGTGCCAAGGTTGGTGACGCAGCAATGTATGCCTAGCTATCGAATCAAGGGTCTCAAGTATAGACCCATCCATATCTACGGAATCTCTATCAAAGAAAGCTACATAATCTGATACTCACCAGCACTCGTCTCGGAATACCCGCCATAAGCAAGCAGGAAATCGAAGTCCATCTATCTCGAGCGACTCCTAACAGAGCTTCAAAGCCTCCTACTTTATCAACTGCCTAATCTCTTTCCCTCGCATACCGTAGCCCTCCCCCCGCTTCAACAAGCCAAACACCATACGATAAGCCTCAATAGAGTCCCTCGAGCCATCAGGCTCGTGCTTCGTAGCCTGTATGATATGAGAAAGTGGCGGGAATGGTGGGCAAGTTTGGCTTAGCCGCTGCTATGCCCATCATCTCCATAGGACGGCCTCACTGGCGATATTGGGGCCTCGTGGTCGGATTCTGGAAGACAGCATTAGGAGCAAACTTCTTGGGAAGCTGGCGTGTCGTCTGGGGGCCAGGATCGAGGCCGATGCCAGGGTGCTTGGGCATCGCGTCACCTGCTGCCAGCAAGCTCGTCTTCTGCGTGGGGAGAGTGGGTTCACGACGCGCTCGTGGAGTAGAGTAGTGTTTCTCCACCGCGTTCTGGATGATATTTATGAACCCATTCTGCTCTAGTCCTTGGCCTTTGCCCCACTGAAGCAGATCGACAATCACAGGTTCCGACAGAGAAGGATCATTCGGGTTGCCCCACGGGGTGCCCCAGCAATTCGCAGTCTGTACGGCTACGTGAACCATCTCGACCAGCTCAAGGCCATGGTGGATGCCAGTTAGAACGTAATTGTCGACGATGGCGTTTATGAACTTGACTTCGGCGTCGATGGCTTTGTGGGCAGGCTTTCCGTGCTCTTTCTCGATCTTGTTGAGCTCGTCGGCTGTCATGGAACCGGTAGCGGCTGCGAAGATGCCTTCCATGATACCTTGGACGTGAATACGGTTGGCCTCGTCGTTAGCGCAGCGAGCAGCATCCTCCTTCCACTTCGCGTTGTAGTGATCCACCAACCTGTCGTTAACTTGGCCAAAGTTCGCGTAGTCCTGCCCGCTGCCAACACCTTGCGCCACTCTACTGAGAAGTCCAGCAATCCTGGGGTCGCTGCGGGTGGCGTCAACCCAGAACTTGTTCACCGAGTGGGCAACTTCCTCGTTGAGGGGGACGTAGGGGATTGCCTCCCGGTTGACTGGAGCGTTGGGGTCTGCCTGGTTTGGTTGGAAGATGGCGGCGCTCGCGGTCAGCTTGGAGTTGTATTTGGCCCCGACAGATTCCTCGCCTTGCTGCTGCTGCTGGTGGGCGTTGTCTGCCTGGTGTTGAGACTGGGCATTTTGCGAGCCGCTGGCAGCATTGTCTGTGGACGCACGAGGAGGACGGGCGGAATAGTTGGGGTCTTTCCAGAAGTTGAGATGAGCGGGTGTCACGCTGTCGTCGCTATTGAAGGATTCAGGGAGGGAGACGAGGGACACGTGGCGCTCGAGGGTGGGGGATAGCTGGTAAGTGGCCTGCGAGGGGTTAGTTGACTCCGTTAACTTGAAACTATTGAGGAAGATGGAGATGACAGGTGTGCTTACCATTGCGACTGCCTGTGGTTGACCGAACACAGGCGGATGGGGAAGCGGTGTGGGTTGCTACTGGGCGTCGAACTGGTGTGGGAGAGCAAGAAGCTTTGAGAGGGTGGGTGGTGTGCTGGAGCAGGTTGACGGAGCAAAGAGACGCTGAATCGAATAGTGGAAGTTGGTAGACTTGAGCGCAGTTGGCATTCACCTAAACCACGGCTAAGCGATAATAAGTCCGAATGGTTGCGTACTATCTAAGGCCAGTATTTAGCGCGTGACAACAGCGGTTTCTCTCGGGATTCAAGATGTGGACAACTACCTTTGAGTTTCACGTAGGAGCAGCGAACACGAAGAAAGCTCTTGATATAGAGCTTGAGCACGACCTATAGGAACCGAATCGTTGAGATTGACAAAGAAAGCTGGTGAAGATGCTAGGGACTACAAATCGATCTACCTTGAACCACCGATTTCTCGAGGCCATGATGATGTGACAAACCTCACATGTTTCCTCTATCCGCCAAGGCGCAAACATAACCAGCAGAGCTTATAATCCTCTCGCGGAACGTAGTCTGGCCTCTTCCTCTGCGACTGATCCTATCCTACCTTCAATGTAGCCTCAGTAGATGAAAAGCCCATCTTTGCAGGCAATGATATTGTGCGAGTGTCGTCAATTTTGACGTTCCTTGGTTCCGCTCGCCTTGGCAACGCCATCCTATACATCATTTCCACCGGATTTCCTGATCTAGTTCGAGAAAGCTTGGTAGCGATGCACAAAAGCCGTTATGCCGTATTGCCTTCACTATTATAGCTGTGATCCTCGGATATCCTCCCGGTATTATCCTCCAGGACTAAATGTGACGTTTTTGTCGCTCGACCCGGCATCCGGACGCTCGCTCCTTCGAGGCTCAGGTTATTGGCGGCGATACGGGCGTGAAGTGGAACTATTGTGGCCTTCTTATTGTCGTCACTGCTATTCATCTGCTCGCTTATTCAGCACGTGCCGCCGTCCACTTCCTAGCTATAAAACAGCCGGGCTGGTCAGAGCTAAACTACACCATCTCTTCTACACCACACACCACATCAGCAGTCTTCAACAAACCTCCTGCGCTCGGCTTGCCAGTTCCTGGAAGTCTCCAGACACTCACCTAGTATGGAAGATCTTTCGTCTCAAGCACTCTGATTTGCAGCACACTGACAGAAGCTTTGAAGATCTTGCTCTGAGCCGTACCACATCAACAACACCTTTGCCATCAGCTCGGAAGACACTGAGTGTCCTCGACTAGCCCTCCGGTACGTCAAGATCTCGTCTGCTTCGCTCCGGTTCTCACTGTACTGACAAAAATTCTCAAGATCTGCTCGAAATCCAGCTCCTCAACCAACAACACTCACATCACCACCCGAATCAAAGGTACATAATCCATGCAGTGTCCAGCTCATCACTTCATTGAAGCCACCTCAACTCCTCCCACTACACCAAAAGCTAACATCATCAGACCAGATTCGCAGGCACCCGCCACAACGATGTCGCCTGTCACCACCTTTCCGCACGACCCGCTCTCTGAGGCCACTCGTGACGCAATGCACAGCCTCCGCATCGAGTACGGCCAACGCTTCCAAGCCTACCGAGGCCTACTCGAGCGTTGCGATGAGGGTGTCGCTACCGAGGCTGAAGTAGACAATTTCTACCACATCGAAGGACTTGTCCAGGAAGTAGCCATGTCGCAGCAGGCTATGTACGCCGCAAAGCGTAACCTGCGCCTGGCCGCCCTGAACCTCGAGGTCGCAAAGCAGGAGGCCCAGACGGACGGCATGCTCGTGTTTGCGCTCGGAAAGGAAACACGTGTCGTGCACGTGATGGACAGTGTCAAAGACAACTCGGAGGTCGCCGCCGAGGCCGAGCTGACGGAGACTGAGGGTCGCCCTGTGCGTGCGCGGGACACGGCTGAAGTTGATAGTGTCGTTAAAGAGTCCATTGACACTATTGTTGAGTACGCGTTGGAGGGTAGCATGAGCCTCGAGGCTCTCAAACAGAAGTTCTTGGAGCGCCTGGAGCGGGCTGAGGCCAGCCAGACCTCTTAGGAGGACTTGTCCGTAGCTTTCTTGGCGGTATTTCTGGAAGCTTTTGCTAGAGGTCTTGAATTGGCGAGTTGTCTTCTTCCTTTTGACTGGTTTGAAGGCGGATCTGGATGTCCTCGTAGTATGATGGACATGGCAAACTGAAACCGAATATACATAGATATGAAGAGGGCTTATGCACACAAGCTCTCTGCAATGAAAAGTACAGATGCTCATTCAAAACGAACCAAAACATGATGAATATTGACACAGCATGCTTTCTCTTTGCACTTCGTCTCAGGACTGTGAAGTGGAACTGGAGGTATCCTAAATTACGGGCAGGTAACATCATCACGTGGACCAGGAACGGGCCCTAGAGGGTATCAGATCGAATTTCTACCTTGCCTAATGCCTATAGTACAGCCTGAGACTCCGAATTACCTCCGCCTATGCCCATCGGAGCGATCGTAAGGAGATCTGCTCCGCCTCGGCCTCATATCCCTCACTCGATCCCTCGACCGCGGCCTCGAACGTGCAGCATCTGGATCTATTCGTCTCTCTCGATGGTGGTCTTCTTCCCTTCTACGCTCATAGCTCCTCGACCTGTGCTTTCTCCTCTCGCAATCCCGATCTCGTGACCGTGATCTCCGCCGCCGATGATGCTCTCTAGACCTGCTTCGCGAGCGCTTCCGCCTGTGCCTCTCGCCATCATCCTCTCTCCGATCCCTCCGCCGCTCTCGTGGAGCAACATCTCGATCCCGATCCCTGTCCTCCCTTCGTCCCTTCCGCGCAGACAGACCAGCATCCGCTAGGCCCGATCCCTCCAGCACCTCATCCCCATCATCGGCAGCGCCATCACGTCCATTATACGCGCCAAATCCCACACCTTTTACAGTGTCTTCATCGCCGCCCTCAGTCCCGACCTCAGCCATAGCCTTCTTGACATCAGCCACGCTCGCTCGCTCGCCCACTGGCACCATATTCGCATTCGTGGACGCTCGTTGCGGCACAGGTAATCCCATAGCGACTAGCATCGCGTCTTCCTCGGCTTCCTTGAGTTTGCGCTTCTCCTCGGCGAGCTTCTGGGCGGCGACCTCCTTGGAGTCCTCGTCGCCTTTCGCGTACCAATTCAGGTCGCGGCCTTTCTGCCAGCGGCCGACGGCTGTGGCGCGTTAGTATTGAAGGGTGGGTTAGGCAGCGAGACGGGAATGGAGGACGTACGCGCCATTAGGGAGTGGCCCAGGTAGTTCTCGCGCTGGGAGTCGGCCTTGACATCTTCCCATTTAAAGTCGGCGCGGCCGCCGCTGTGAGAGAGGTTAGCGGCATATTGGACAAGGAGTTCGATGGGACTTACCGGCTGCCTTCTTTGCGGACGCTCTGCAGCAGGTCCATCGTGTGTGAGGTTGTGGTGATAGAGAGGTGAAGGAGAGGTGGGATGTCGTCGTTCAGCCAAGGAATGAAATTGCGGAGTCGGCGCGGGAGTGCCCGCGGAGCCTCATCAAAGAACAACTTTACTCTGTGCCTCCCATGTGAAGACCAGGTGAATGCTCAATCTTTTCTATTTGAGAATGCGATGAGCAAACTGAGAATCAGCTTGCTACGAAGCTGATGATCTACTGAGTGCGCCCACCGCATTCGCAATCTCCACAGCACCCTCTCACCAGATCCTACCGCAACACAGCATGGCACAGAAGGACCCCCCTCTCGATGAGACAGCCTGGTTTAGCGAAGACTATGCACGATTCTATGGAGGCATCAACACAAATACAGGCATATATTCCTTCCCCCTCATGCAGATATCCCAAGCTATTCTAACAAGCTTCATAGTGCACGTCTACTTCTACCATTCCACATTCTTTGACCTATCCTCACTCAACGGCACGCTATGGTCCCAGGCCAACCGCCACATGGACCAGCGCTACCTCCTGGAGTCACGGAAAGCGTTCGAGGATGCCGTGAAGGCTGTTCAGTCCGGCGGCACACAATTCCTGATTGTCGGCGAGCCAGAGACAGAGGACGGGACCTGGGTGATGCAGAAGCAGCTGCGGACGGTGCAGCGCGGGCTTCCGGACACAATTGAGGTGCTGGGGACATACTTCATCATCGGCATCCAAATATTCATGGCGCCGAGTGTGGGGGACGTGTTAGCGGCGAAGACGGTACGGCATATCCTATTCACCACCACCTCACATATCAACCATACCGACGAACAGACGAGAACACCAAGCTAACACAACCCCCCAGCTCAACATCACAAATCTAATGTCCTCCTTCTTCACCCTCGCCTCCAGCCTCTCCCTCTTCACCCCCGCAACCGGCCACACCTACTTCCACCCCTCCCTCAAACCCTCCACCGACGCCAAAAAGCTCGCAATCGCCGGCGGCGTATCCCGCGCCACTACCCCCGGCCGTGACGCTACTCAAGATAACGCTTCCGTTGCTCATACCAGCACCGGCGCGGCCTCCAACTCTTCCGCAATCGGCGGTACCTTCATCGAGCCTCTCTTCTTGAACTCGCTTGCTCTCTCTGCGCGCTACGCGACCGAGTATGCAGACGAGAACCCGCTCCAGGGTGAACCAGGCGCTTTCGTTTTCAGCAGCACAAATGAGCGGGTAGCCGCGTTGAATGAGGCCGCGGCACAGGCGGCGTTGAAGGCGCAGAGTGCGGCAGTAGCAGTTGTCCCCGTGCACCAGCGAGAGCGGGAGAGTGCGGTTAGTACTGCTGCGCCGACGCCGAAGCCCGCGGTGGGTGAGGGGAGTGGAAGTGGAGGTAGGAAGGGGAGCAAAGGGGGGGTAGATGGGGCGAGGGTGAAGCGGCGGAAGAGTAAGGGGCTGGCAAGTCCAGTTACGCCTAAGGAGGGGACGGCGCAAGGGATGAAGTGAGGACTGGAGGGCGGATTTTGGGGTTTTGACGGGGTGGGAAAGGCGTTGAAGGAGGTTTGACTGTGTCATGATAGAGGCTAATACCCAAGTCTTATTTTGGAGTCTCAGGAAAATGATTTTGTATTCAATGTTTTCATTGTGAGGTCAAGGGGTTCTTCCTGTTATATCTACCCTTTCAAAACGATAACTCATACCTCCCTGTTTCGGGTGCTCGGCGGTTCAAGGAACATTACAGTAGGCGAATTTCCAGCACTCAATCTAAACGGCAATGGAAATGACATCGCCTCCAACGTGTTCATTGTTAAGCCGGGGGAGCTATCCATCCACAACCAAAGGTCCAACGGTCGAATGAAAAGCACCCGATTCCGAGTGCGTTAATTTGTGCTACGAAATGCGCTATCCTAGTCCCAGAGCTCGATTTGATCGATCATGAACGTGACGTTGTCTTCGCTAGGTTTCTCATAAAGCTGGGGGTCCTATCCATCTCTGAACAATCCCCCCAAATGAGGGATTACGCTTCCTGGTTTCGAGCACTGAACTAGAAAATGCTACGAAATACGCTGTCCTAGTACCAGGCCTCGACTTGAACGGCCATGAACGTGACATTTTATTCGTCCGCTTTCTCATAAGGCCCTGAGGAGCTAATTACGCCTGAGTAAGGGATTGGGCAGGGGATGAAGTGAGGATATGTTGGGGCTGTAGCATGAAACTTCTGCTTACGTACAACTCTTCTCTACCCTTATCTAATATGCTGTATGATCGAGCCGCTACAGGCTCCACACGTGTGTAAGATTTTGCTGATGTCTACCTTTTCACGTTTAGAGGTAATGTGCAGTACAAATGTGCAGTCGCAACGTAGATGCTCTTCAGCCAGCAGCCGCCGTGATATTTTCCGATTGATCCCCAACAAGGCTTTGAATAAGCTTTCCCCAAGGATTTACCCTTACCGCCGATTAGCCCCCATATGGCACGTCGGAGAAATGTGCGAGAGCTAGAACCCGTCAGGCTGCGGATACTTGAGAGATTTATGCATGCAGCTGCTTCCCCTGAACGAGGCTGAGCCTGGATCGAATGGGGTCCTCATATTATTCACCTCCTGTCATCGCATTACACGGTGACGTGTCCAGCGTTCCAACCGTAGGCAAATTTCGAGACAATGCAACACAACACTTCTTCTAAGTTACCTACCCAGAGTGTCAATCGCAGGACACTGGATTACGCCACTTCTTGTGGCACGATGACTAGGCTGCCTTAGGCTAGCAGGTCAGCTCCAAGCAGGCGGCAGTCTCTCCAACACCACCACGACTTCGCACCAGCACTCCACCCACCAAAGCCCATCTTTATTCGTGTTCATCGTGAAACTATCGCACGCAGGTCTGATGTGTTTCTGTGCTCTGATTTGATAAAAAGTCGATCCCAACGAAACGGCGTTCAAGATCAAAGCTACCTTGATTTTCATCACCCCGTGTATTCACGTAGAGATAGGCTTTCTTTTTCCTGTCAAAATCTCACTCCCCTGATCACACATCAAGTATGCGCATCGGACCTGATCGCACATCAAGTGCGCGCATCGGACCTGATCTTCCTGTCTTCGAATCCACCGCTTCATCAACCTCTACACGATGTCAGACCAACATCGCGACTCACAACAAGACGCGTTGGCTTGGCGACCCTCGCAGCGCAGCACCACCCCAAAGGTAAATCATCTCCTTCAGTCCCCACTTCCAGTCCTTCCTCTCTACGTCACACTACCCCACCAATCACTTTTCACGTGATACGCCTTGGCGAAGTTGGCCCGAGCGCCAATCTTCACCGGCGATTCACGCGTGAGGCAGCCGCTATTCAGACAATACCATTCTCCGGACAATAGGAAACCATGCTTATTGTCCCTTCTCATATAAAGTCAAACCCATCGCCCGCAAACATGTCTCTCCAGCCCAACAAGCTCATCACCACCTACGACGTTCAAGACTCCTCTCCACTGTCGTCAGTACCGTCAGATTTCTCGCTCTCACCGCTCCGATCGACGAAGCGCAAGCCGTCCGCATCTCCAGTACTATCTGAATCACGCTCTCCTACACCGCATTCACCGAAGCGTCTCAAAATGGCCAAGAAACGCACCACCGCTGCAACGACCAAGAAGGCTGCCAGGAGCACTTCATCCTCGCCGATCCGCAAGCAAAACCCTCGCACTACGACTCCGAAACGCACGTCCCCTCGCAACGCCTCTGCGACACCCTCCAAATCAGCGTCACGTCCCGCCTCTCATTCACCCTCTTCTACCGCTGCCAAACTGGCCTCAAGCCTTCCACCATCACCGCAGCATCCCGGCGCCGGCGCCAAGATCCAGCCTGCTCGTCAAAAGACATCCTCTCCAGCTCCGAAACCAGCGTCCCGAGCCATGACTCCTGCCCAGGCCCCTGAACCGGCTCCGACGTCTTCTCGTCCTGCCCGCGTCCGTCGCGCCCCGGAGCGCCTCGTCGCCGCGCCCACCGCGCCTAAACGCCCCACTCGCGCCCGCAAAGACCCCTTCGCCGACGTCGAACGCCTCCTGACGCACCCAAAATCGAAGCTCGTCTCCGCTGATCTGACCGCACGTAGACCCCTTCCTTCCGCTCCCAAGTGTATCAAGAATACTGTACTGATGATGTCATTTCCAGACCGCGCTATTCAGCGCCCGCGCCTGGGACTGCCTCTCGCCCGCCACCCAGCGCGACCTAATTCTGCTGCTGCCAAAATCGGCGGAGAATGAGGCGCTCGCTGCGCAGCTGGACGGCGCTACGAAGGGGATTCCGCGCCCGGCGGCACTGAGCAGAGCCAATGCGGCGCTGGTGGGAGATGTGGGGCGGTGGAAGGAGGACTTGGGGAACGGGTTCTTGGAGCCCGGATGGCGGGAGGCGGCGGAGGAGGCAGGGGAATTGAGGCGGAATGGGGAGATGGATGAGTGGAAGGAGGAGAAGACGGAGAGATTCTGGGGCCAGAAGATGGAGGGGAAAGGGGAGTAGGGAGGGGGTGGTTTGGGGGGTGAGGAGTTAGCATAGTTCAAGGGCACTCGAATTCGAGTCGTGTGCGCTAGGGTTTTGGGAGGTGGGTGGGTAGTGATTGGCGGCCCTGGGCTTACGATAAATTTACTGAATCCAATGTCACGTTTGCGAGTGTTCGTATTGGACCTTAAAGATGAGGATCACGTGACATTTCTAGGAGCCCCCGGGCTGTACTCTAACGTGGCAGATTGGGGGCTAGCGCTAAGTAGTTTCATCCAGCTCAGCTAGGGGGATTGGCGATAGGGTAAGGTCTGGGCTGTATAGAACGCAGCGAATGAGAATAGAACCATGCCCGAAAACAATGGTACCACACTCGATCAAACGTACAGTAAGATCAAAAATAGCGCCTCACCGAGTTTCGAGACACGGAAATTGCGCAGCGTAACTCCAAGTCACCTATGGCGAGATGGGAAAGGCTTCTACCGTGACACCTAACTCATTTCCTCGACCGTAGAGAGATATGGGGGCAATTAGCAGCGGAGTAAAGCCCACCGCAAAGCTCAATCTCGAGGGGCCATCGAAAGATATAAAAACCTACAGAATGCCTCGATATCCGCACCATCCTCATCCAAGCATCTCCACACCAGCCAACACCGCAACAACCTTCATTTTCAAATCATTCCACCACCCCTCTTCTTGCCATTCATCATGCATACTCCCAGCTTCACCTCCCTAGCCATGCTAGCCGTCGCCATCTCCTCCGTCTTCGCCTCTCCCATCGAAAAGGCAGCGGAGTTCGCCCTGGCGATGGACACGCGCTCCGGGACGCCCGGCTCCCTCCTCAAGCGCACCGACTTCCACTGGCGCTTCTACGACACCGGCAACTGCGATCATGACGTCCAGCCCCCAGATTCGTTCCCCGAGGGTGGATCGCCGCCGTATGCTCCACTCCCTCACGCTCTTTCAATCTTAAGGAGCCCATACTAACGCACCCCTTGCAGCGGCGATGGCTCCATCGGGGTCTGCTACAGCGCCCCCGAAGGCGTGCAGTGGAACAGGGTCGAGATCGATGCCTTCTTCGCGGATGGCGGGGCGCTTGGGCTTCAGGGATTCTGCAATAGCGGTTGCGGCGGTGCAGCCTCGGTCAAGCAGCAGGGGACCAATTGCTACTTGCCGACTTCTGGATGCGCGCTGGGTAGTTTTATGGTTATCAACAACTAAGCGGAACGTATTTGAGGAGGTAGAGAGATGGGGGTTAGAGAGATGGGGGTAGAGAGATGAAGGTAAGAGAGATGGGGGGTTAGCCTGTAGAGAGAGGAAAGGGGGGCAAGGCGTTTGATTTCCTGGATTGGCATGCAGCTCTGCTGCAATTACATTCGTTAGAAGTGTTTGAAAATTGAAACCAAGGCGTTTTGCTGTCAGCCAGTTTTCAGTGAATCTAGAGTGTTGAATGGGGGTTCCTCATGAGAGCAAGCTGGAGTGCTAGGTACTGCGATATTCTACGCCAAGGCCTGCCGTGACCTTGAATTGTGGGACGCACGGTGTAACGGGATAGGTTCGCACTTCGGACCTTCGCTATCTCTAATTTGCAGAGTTATAGACCCATCATTGACGTATTAATGTTCTGTAGCTTTTTCTCCCTAAGTGCACCAGCCTCCGACGAGGGCTGCCGCAATATTGGTCATGCTGTCGATCGTTTCATTACTGCCGTTAAACGACCCTTCGTCGACACCCCCCTGTTTATTCACGACCACAAGGCTCCCCGCAGGAATCGGAGAGTCTGACGTAAAATGCAATCAAGAAAGGTTATGTTTTGAAGCTCTAAACGCCGCTCCAAGCTAAGAAGGATGTAGTCCGGCAGTTTCGCCGGTCGGGAGCAAAGATCGTGAAAAGCGTTCCAGCGCGTTTGAATGTACTAGCGCTCCTTGGCATGCGGCAGCATGCAGTAGCGTGCGCAGATGTTGCTGTATGCTATGGTAACAAATTCGACGCTATACCTACATAAGGTCGGCTACTAAGAATAGCTGTGGCGCAAGAAGGCGGGCTTAAGTTTCTCCTACAGATGTCTGATCTTGGGCAGCCCGTGCGAATCAAGTTTATACCCTTTCTAGCCTTCTGCGTCACCCGCCAGCGACCCGAGAAAGACCGACCGCCCAAGCCGCCGAATAAGAATTGGGCCCGGGCCTTCGAGAAACGCCATCCAGACACACAAGCGCGAAGAGTCACAGCGCTGACTGGAACCGCCACGAGAAGAACACCTATTGGAAAATGTCTCACTGGTTTGAGGTGATCGGAAGGCTGTTACAAGATCCAGCCATCTTAGCAGAGAATGTGTATAACATGGACGAGACTAGCGTAATGCTATCGATGCTACAAAGGTAGGTTCGGTAAAAGTGCTAGTAGGTAAGAAGGACATGCGAGACTATAGAGGCGCACGTGTGAAGCGTACGATGGTCACCGCCATCGAATGTATTAGCGGTGACGGTAGGTATCTGAACCCTATGATCATTTGGCCAGCGACCACTCACCGGAGCAACTGGATTACGTTTCCCACCCCTGGGTGGCAGTACGCGTGCACTGACACTGGATACACCGACTCGTACATTAGCTTGCAGTGGCTCAAGCGTATATTTGATCCTGAGACTAAAGAGCGAGCTCATAGTAAGCCACGGGTGCTGATTTGCGATGGCTTCGGCACGCATGAGACTCTAGAAATTCTTGAGTATTGCTTCGCAAACAACATTATTCTGTGTCGACTTCCTTCGCACACTTCTCACAAGCTCCAGCCCTGCGACGTCGCTGTGTTTGCTCCGCTAAAGACAGCTTATCGTGAACAAGTCGAACGACTAGAGCGCGGAGGTGTTGGCAAGGAGCATTTCACTTTTCTATTCAGCCCTGCACGAGAAAAGGCATTTACAGCCAAGAACATTAAGGGCGGCTTCGCGGCAAGTGGCTTATTCCCATTCAACCCAGATAGGGTGCTCAACTCTATGCCAAAGCCTGTCCTTGAATCGACCGCATCGGAAGCCGATAAAGTTATCGTAGGGCTGAGTCTTCAAGAAGAAGTTCCGCAAACGCCTGTCACACCAGTGTCAGCAGAAGGTCTTATGTCCCTACAGAATCTGATCATCAAGCAGGACGCTCATGCTCTTGACGAGAAGAGCAAACAAAGCTTACAGAGACATCTTCATAAATTTTCAAACGCCGCCAACTATCCTTCGCCAAAGAAGCCCTTCAACAGAACCACATTCGATTTTTGTTGAAGGTAAACAACGAAGCCAAAGTTCGACGCTCGACGAAGTCACTGGTACTGGGGACGGCCAAGGTCATGGGCTACGAGGAGCTTCAGGAGGCGCGAGCGAAGCGTGCCGAGGTGGACGCTGCCAAGGCGACTAAGGTCAAGGGGAAACGAGGCCGAAAGCGAACCAAAGCAACGTTAGAGGTAGACGCAATACAGTAGAGCCAAAGCACAAAGTGGCGCGGATAGGCGAAGTGCTGGAGCCAATACAGGCCGCGATATCGTCATGGGGTGCCCCTGTAGCGCGAATGTATTAGAGAATGCTCTCGAGCTTTCTATTATTATCCTGATCTCGGAGTTGCATGAGCTGCATAGAGAGGAAGGATATGTGCGAGCGTTGATTCGAACTAACTTATGTCTTTTGATTATTAGTGTGATTTACTGACTAACGCTTGCGCGTGCCGTCGCGCTTAGGTTCTCCCTTTCTTCCGCCCTGTATCACTACAGGCTAGGTAATGTCAGAAGCGCGCCCTGCTGAATTCGTAGCGCCAAGTAACTAGCCACTCAACATCGTTGCAGCCGCTCTACAGCCGCGTGCATGGAGCCACGTCTACTCCGCCTAAGGCCTGGTGCGATGCCAACGCGAAACCAAGATTGCGACACAGAACACCAGTCTCAGCTCACGGCTCTTAGAACGCTGTATTCTATCAAAATATCTGGAACTGTACAGCTATTCGTTCTCCTCTTCTTACGTTAACCTGTACAGTGAACGGCACAGCTCGCTGCCACACTCTTGTCCCACTAGGCTGCCGCGTCGAGCCTTTCGTTCCTACCGCATGCGCCTACCACATATCCACACGAGTCGATGCGTCTTCTCAAGTACAAAGAAGATGGAGAGCTCACGATCATCAGCTTCGACGATAACGCGATACCTCCTTATGCGATACTTTCACACACTTGGGGCAAAGATGCAGAGGAGGTAACTTTCGCGGACCTTATAAAAGGCGGCGGCAAGGACAAGCCTGGCTACAAGAAGATTCGCTTTTGTGGAAAACAAGCACAGCAAGATAAATTGCAGTACTTCTGGATCGACACATGCTGCATCAATAAGACGGACAAGGCTGAGCTCTCTTTGGCTATCCGGTCTATGTTTCGCTGGTACCAAAACGCGACCAAATGCTATGTATATCTATCAGACGTATCGACAAGGAAGCGGAAAGCCAGTAGCATGCTAGCCGAGTTCACTTGGGAGCCTGCCTTTAAGTCAAGTCGCTGGTTCACACGTGGTTGGACGCTCCAAGAGCTTCTTGCCCCAAGTACAGTCGAGTTCTTCTCTCAAGAATGGGAGAGGCTTGGTGACAAAATATCGCTAAAGTCATTGGTCTACAAAGCCACTAGCATCCCATACGAAGTGCTCAACGGAGCTCCTCTTTCTCAGTTCAGCGTCGACGAGCGGCTGCGGTGGAAAGGTGACAGGGAGACCAAACGCGATGAAGATGCGTGGTATTCATTGGCAGGCATCTTTGACGTTGAGATAGCGCCTGCCTACAGCGAAGGGGCGGCGAGCGCATTTAGGCGTCTGATGGACGAGGTCCGTGAGGGACAAAGATGCACTCAAGACTTACGCCACACGGATCCGTGTGACGACAAGAAGCGTATTGAGGATACGAAGGGCGGACTGCTAGCAGACTCCTACCACTGGATCCTTGAAAACAACACCTTCCAACAATGGCGGAAGGACCTGCACAGCCGACTGCTATGGGTGAAAGGTGATCCTGGCAAAGGCAAGACGATGCTGCTCTGCGGCATCATCGACGAGCTGCAAAATTCGATGCCTAGAACTGCCCTTCTCTCGTACTTCTTCTGCCAAGCGACTGACTCGCGCATCAACAGCGCTACGGCCGTGCTACGAGGGCTGTTGTACATGCTCGTGAATCAGCAACCGTCACTTGTATCGCACGTCCGCAAAAAACACGATCACGCTGGCAAAACCTTGTTCGAAGACGCGAATGCCTGGGTAGCCTTGACAGAAATCTTCGTGGATGTGCTACGAGACCCAAGCCTGCGCCCGACATATCTGATCATCGACGCGCTGGATGAGTGCGTTACTGAGTTACCAAAGCTGCTGGAATTTGTCGCAAAGCAGTCGTCGACGGCTGACCGCATCAAGTGGATTGTTTCTAGCCGTAACTGGCCAGATATTGAAGCACAGCTAGAGCGGGCAGGGCACAAAGTGAGACTGAGCCTTGAGCTGAACGCAAAGTCGGTTGCGGCGGCGGTTGACGTCTTTATCCAGCAAAAGGTGGATCGGTTAGCGCAGGAAAAGCAGTACAAAGCAGAGATTCGACACGCCGTGCTCCAGCACTTAACGTTAAACGCGAACGATACCTTTCTTTGGGTAGCGTTAGTGTGTCAAGATCTGAAAGCGACACCAAAGTGGAACGTGCTAAAGAAGCTAGCCTTATTCCCACCTGGGCTAGACTCCTTGTACAAGCGGATGATGCACCAGATAAGCGAGTCTGACAGCGCCGAGATCTGTCGGCAGGTGCTGGCTTCGGCTGCGATCTTGTATCGACCTGTTACGATTCACGAATTGATTGCGCTTGTGCAGTCGCTTGAGGACTTTGTCGACGACCTAGAGTCAGTGCGGCAGATTGTCAGCCTTTGTGGATCGTTCCTTACTCTTCGAGAAGACACAGTCTACTTTGTGCATCAGTCCGCAAAAGACTTTCTCTTTGCAAAGGCGTTTAATGAGGTCTTTCCAGATGGAACTGAGGACGTCCATTGGGTGATGTTTTCGAAGTCGCTGGCGATTCTGTCTAGGACATTGCACAGGGATATGTACAGCCTGAAAGCTCTAGGATCTCCTGTCGAGAATGTTCAACCGCCTGATACAGACCCATTAGCAGAGTCACGCTACCCGTGCGTCTACTGGATTGATCATCTGCACGACTCGAAACCTAAGTCTTCGTCAAACAGTGTTGGCGACCTGCAGGTTATAGGCGTAGTCGATGAATTTCTAAGAAAGAAGTATCTCTACTGGCTAGAAGGGCTCAGTCTGTTCAAGAGCTTAGGGAGAGGTGTAGTCTCAATGGCAAAATTGTGGTCACTAGTGCAGGTATGGCATCTAGAAACTGCATGTCCGTATAGAGTACATAATCTAAATGCTGACGCAATTAGGAGATGCAGGACCAAGATCAACTCACTCGGCTTGTTTATGATGCACGGCGATTCGTTATGTATCATAAACGGGCTATCGAGAGTTATCCTCTTCAAACATATGCATCTGCGCTGTTGTTCAGTCCGACAGGTAGTCTGATTAAGCGGCTGTTTCAGCACGAAGAGCCGAAAGGAATCACGATTAGACCAGCTATGAGTGACGGCTGGAGCGCGTGCCTGCAGACGCTCGAGGGCCATAGCAGTTTTGTCAACTCAGTGGCCTTCTCGCACGACTCGGCCCGGCTGGCGTCGGCGTCGGACGACTGCACCGTCAAGATCTGGGATGTGAGCAGCGGCGCGTGCCTGCAGACGCTCGAGGGCCATAGCAACATCGTCAGCTCAGTGGCCTTCTCGCACGACTCGGCCCAGCTGGCGTCGGCGTCGGGCGACTGCACCGTCAAGATCTGGGATGCGAGCGGCGGCGCGTGCCTGCAGACGCTCGAGGGCCATAGCAGTTTCGTCAACTCAGTGGCCTTCTCGCACGACTCGGCCCAGCTGGCGTCGGCGTCGGGCGACTGGACCGTCAAGATCTGGGATGCGAGCAGCGGCGCGTGCCTGCAGACGCTCGAGGGCCATAGCAACATCGTCAACTCAGTGGCCTTCTCGCACGACTCGGCCCAGCTGGCGTCGGCGTCGGGCGACTG